ACGTCCTTAAATTCAGTCGCGTCGAGCACGCCGTCTTCATCCCGATCGAGCTTCGCCCATACATCGTCCGTAATGATGACGTGGCCACCTTCGGACGATATTGTGATAGCTTCAATGTAGTCGACCAACTCGCTCCGCATCACATTACCCGATCCGTCGAAATCAACGTCCTCGAGTTCGTGATTCGGCGGAGGCGGGGAAGGCGGAGGGGGCGGAGGCGGCGAAGGCGGAGGGGACGGAGGCGGCGAAGGTGGAGGTGAGGGCGGAGGTGACGAGACTCTCCTAGTCCAGCGCACATCCTCCAGCGACGCGCCTTGTTCGTGTAGGCTCACATCAACGTGAAGTGGATACGTCACCGTCTGATCGCTCGTCATGAGCTTCAAACCGTCCACGAAATACTCCACCTTGCCGGCATCGTTGAGCGCGATCTGAACGACGGCGCTCTCACTATACGCCTTTGCAGCATTCCCAAAAGCTTTGCCTCTCTCATAGACTCGTACATAACTCACCGAGTTCCAAGGAAAACAGTAAATTGCGAAATCAAGACTTTGGTAAGAGGTGGAATCCGCAGTCGACTGTGAATTCATCGCAATCATCCTGTGTTGGCTCGTCGACTCTTTGCACACGGCGGAGACGCCTCGAACGGTATCGGATGCTCCACGAATGGCGCGTTTACTCACAGCACCCGCCGTCCATCCTGACCCTGTTAGCGTCCTTTCGACATGCCCTTTTCGATTTGATTCGACGCCCTTCAAAAGCACCCACTCGATGAATTCCTCCACCTCGGCGGCGCCTGGTGGCGGGGGTGGCGGCGGGGGTGGCGGACAGTGTTGGGAATAACAGTTTTCGGTTACCGTGTACCCGTTCTTGTGACTACACGATTGGCCGCCGTGTGCCGCTGCTGTGTGTATTGTGAACGTCTTTTGTCTCTTGCCCCAACCACACTTCGCACTACACGTCGACCACGATCCAAACCTGCCATCACAATTCACTGGACACGGTTTCGGCGGACAGTACCCCCAGCCCTTTTGCCCGTTTTTGTACGAGCAACTCAGACCGCCATGCCTAGGATATCTCGAGATTCTGTAGTACCTCCATCTGTAACGTCGGCCGCTCGTGCAAGTTGGAGTACACTCATTCGACCACTGTCCCCAATAACCGTAGCAGTTTACTGGTTGAGGTAACGGATTGCAATACTCCCAGCGTTTGCGTCTGTCCGTCGTGTAGCACCAGATCGTGGGTTCGCCGTCAGGATTTCTGCAGTAGTTGTTCCCGCACGAGCCCTTGGCGCAGTTTCGTCTCGAGTGCCTGTGGGGCGACTGCGAATCCCACTGCTGACACGTGCGACCGCTCCTCGTCCTCGTCTGGCACCCTCGATACCCTTCGTGTCTCCACCCTCGGAGCGTCTCGTCGCATCCCCAGCCGAGCGCGGCCGTCGTGTTGTTCCCCGCCGTCTCATTTCCGCCATCGTGATGGACATCGTACTCTGTTTGGTCGTTTTGCAAACCGTTTTCAAATTCATCAGCGTTTTCAAACTCGTCGTATCCGAGCTCTTGCATAGCTGCAAATTCGTCCACGTAAACTCCATTCGCCGACGCGTGCGGCGAAGACGTGGTTTCGGTTCGCCTGTCGTTTCGAAGCATTCCAAGCTCGGAGGTTTCGAAATTCTCTCGAAGAATGAGCAACACGTTGTGCGCCTGACTCTTCGGGACCGGGTACTGTCCTTGAGCGTTCCTCTTTGAGTCAATCAAGACTTCCGTAGTTTCAGGGAAAATTTCCTCCTTGTAAGCCCCGATGTGCAGCGTCGCTTTCACCGGAAGCTTGCCTGAGGTGTCTTTGAGATCCATCGCGTATTCGCCGTCATCGTCGGTGACCGCGGTGTACTTGCATTTCGTCTTGCGACCGTTGACCTTGATTTCCGTCACTTGAGCCTTCGTCAGGGCTTTCACGGTGACGTACTGTCCGTGAAACGAATTCACGTCGGTGCCTTTACACGTGTACGTCAAACACGCGTGTGGTAACGGATCCGGATCGCAATACTCCCAGCGTTTGTATCTGTCCGTCGTGTAGCACCAGATCGTGGGTGCGCCGTCAGGATTTCTGCAGTAGTTGTTCCCGCACGAGCCCTTGGCGCAATTTCGGTTCGAGTGCCCGTGGGGCGACTGCGAATCCCACTGCTGACACGTGCGGCCGCTCCTCGTCTTCGTCTGGCACCCTCGATACCCTATGCCTCCCTGGCCTCGGAGCGTCTCGTCGCACACGTCCCTCACCGAGTCCATCAAACAATCGTGTCCAAAGTAAGTACTTTTACCCGGGTCGTAATCTTGGACGTGCGCGCTGAACATCGACGTCGCCGATGATTCCAGACGTTTATGGCACACCTCCACAGTCGACACGGATGCCCAACTGCCGAGATTGATTCGTATGTGCTCGTTAGCGTCGACGTTGCTGCTTTTGCCCGCATCATCGCCATCCGTGACGACGTATGACGTAGACGTTTGAGCTCTGTTTGAATGCGTCACACTTTTGAAAGCGGCGAGATTCTCATACTCAACGTCAGCTTGAAAATCTTCAGTCGCCGGCGTGCGCGTCACGAATGTGTCGAATTCTGCACACATTCGCACGTTTCGAACTCCCTCAGTGGACGCGCCGGCCAGCACGCGTCCCTCGATCTGCGACATCCAAGGCGTGCGGAAAGTGAGCTGGGGAGACAACAAGTACGTTATCTCATTTGCGTCGTCTGAATCCGGATTCTTCGTCGTGATGCGATACAGCCATTCGGAGTAGGGCGTGTACGAGGCATCCCTATCTATGTATGTGATGGAGCTGAACTTTGCGGCGCAGCCCTTCAACCCGCCTTCAATCAGAACGACGGTATCAAATTTGGAGTCAAAGTTACCGTTGACCGCCGGCGCTCTACGCTCGATTTCAAACGACTTTTCTTCCCAGGCGGTGTCTCGAAACTCAAAAAAGACTCCAGCGAGATCCATCGATGCGCGTACGTCGATCGCCGTTCCGTCGTAGTACAACGCGCCGGCGCACGCAGGCTGTCCCGTCTTCGCGCCCTTGACTTGCGTGAACACGCAGACGACGCGGCGATGCGAAGGAGTCGCGTGCGCGCGCATTGCGCACAACGTGCCTCGTCCGCAGTCGCGCGCGATGAAAAACATTTCCATGTCCATGACGCCGGCGTACAATCGAACGTCGTCGATGTGCTGCTGACCACCGCCCCTCGACGCTGAGAAGAGCTTGATGTTTGGAAGTTTTGGAAGCGTGTCTTTCGGCCACGAGGGGTGACTCGCAGTCGTCGTCGACGTCGAATCGTCCGGCAATGCGAACAGTTTCAAGCCGGCGTTATGGCTGAGCGTGAAACCCACGAGCACCCACTGACGCATTGGCGCCGAAATTTCTTTCTTTGCGAGATTGCCACCAGTTCCGACAGAATCGTACGACGCGCGCAGCGTACACGCGGATGAAGAACAGTCCATGACCAACGTGAAAGAATTCCTCAGTTGTCCATCCGTACCGCTGAATTCAATCAACGTCGTCGCCGAGCTCTCCGCGACCCTGACCCAAGCTGAAAACGCGACGGCGCCGCCGAGTGAATCGCCGACGTAGTTAAAACCGTCTCCGCGTGCTACGATGCACTGACCACCGGACGCTCCCGAGCACGCGGATATATGCTGACCTGAATACGAAATGTACGGTCTAGCCTTTTCTCCCGAGGCGAGCGGCGCCGCGGAGAAAATGCGATCGCTTCTGACGGTGTCTCCAATCTCGCGCTCGGTGTCAAAGGTGAACTGCGCGACGAGAGACGGTTGCACGTCCCCGATCGCACCCACGACGGGTCGCTTATCGGTAATTTTTGTCAGGGTCCACAGTCCAGCCACCTCGGAGTGATGATCCTTACTGTGCGGCGGCGCTGTGTTTTTCGGCTCGTTGACTTGAAACAAGACGCCGTCCACAAAGACGCACACAGTGTCTCCCGACTTAGGTGGATTTTTAGGTCCGTACCCCCAGTCCACAGCCATCGCTCCGGCGTTTTTCGCGCAATCCTTACGCGTCGTCTCTCGACCAGCCTCGGTCGACGGATACACGACGCTCTTAAAAGATACGGACTGCACGCTTTCAGACGACGCGCACGTGTGCGGCGCGACGATCGCCTCCATGAAGTGGCCGAGCGACAGACGAAGCGGGCGAATCTGGTTCCACACTTTCAAGATGTACCCGTCTCCACCTTGTTCGCGAATCGCGCGGTCGAGCTCGTCGTAATCGAGTACGCCGTCGGTTGGATTGGTGTCGTACTTGCGAAAGATCGATTCCCGCACGTCGTGAAGTTTGTCGCACGGCGCGCGGACGAAATCATCCGCCGACAACAGGACGTACTTGGTGAGTTCAGAGTTTTCCACGCCGCTGTCCGACGACGCCGAAGGTAAAATCGATTCGCAACCGCGCTCGATGGAGAAAGTGTGCGTCCCTGTCGTGCGCGACAGCTCTTGCTTCGTGATGTAGTGATTCAAGACGGCCACGTACTCGATCACGTACGTTCCCGGATCGAGCGCGCCCGTGTCCGTGGTCAATCCCAGTAACTGGGATGGGTGCGTCGTGTCGTCTCGAAAATCGTCCCAGCGCTTGCAAGGGAGATATGCGCCGTAGGATGAACACGAAACGCCGTCTTTTCTGACCGTCGCGAAGATTTTAACCATCCATCGCCTCGACCAAGCTGACGTTAGACAATCGCCGCCGCACGCCACGGAGTGTTTCACCGAGAGACCGAAATCAACAGTGTTTGACGCCACGCGCGTCAACGGATTACCGATGGAAACCGTCGGAGCGGCGCACGAGGTGGTACAATCTGCATAGTGTTTGGCCCCGTTGCTATAACTGCACGAGCGGCCGCCGTGCTGTGCGTTTCTGGTCACCGTGTATGTCTTGTATTTGCGTCCGCTCCCGCACAAGGCGTCGCACGACGTGTACGAACCCCAACGTCCCGCACAATGCACCGGTTGAGGTAACGGATCGCAATACTCCCAGCGTACGTTTCTGTTCGTCGTGTAGCACCAGATCGTGGGTTCGCCGTCAGGATTTCTGCAGTAGTTGTTCCCGCGCCCGCACGAGCCCTTGGCGCAGTTTCGTCTCGAGTGCCCGTGGGGCGACTGCGAATCCCACTGCTGACACGTGCGACCGTTCCTCGTCCTCGTCTGGCACCCTCGATACCCTTCGTCTCTCCACCCTCGGAGCGTCTCGTCGCATCCCCAGCCGAGCGCGGCCGTCGCGTCGTTCCCCGCCGTCTCGTTCGCGCCGCGGCTCGCGTCCGCCGCGTCGTCGACGACGCCGCCGACATCGCCTTCGCCCTCCGCATCGCGGTGCGCGCCCGCGCCGCGCGCCGACAACGCCGACGTCACCGTCGCCATCAACATCAACGCCGCGCCGACGACCACGGCGTCGACGCATCGCCATCGCCGCATCGTCCCGTGCCCTCCTCGACGTTCGCGCCTCGCGTCGCGCGTCTCGCGTCGCGTCGTCTCCCGCGTCGTCGCCCGCGTCGTCTCCCGCGTCTCGCGTCGCGACGTCTCCCGCATCGTCTCCCGCGTCTCGCGTCGCGATCGCTCGCGCGCGCGCGTCTCGCGCGCGCGCGCGCGCCGTCGCGCCGTCGCGATCGGTCCAACACTATATCGATTTTAGCTCAATCGCGCGGCGCTACATGGCGATTCGTCACCCTTCAAAGCGGGTTCTCGCGCGCGCGCGCGCCGTCGCGCCCCGTCGGTCGGTCGCGGTCGGTCCAACACTATATCGATTTTAGCGTGCAATCGCGCGGCGCTACATGGCGATTCGTCACCCTTCAAAGCGGGTCCACTGTAGCGCCGCGGCGATTTCGAGATGTCGATCGACCCGTGACTGTTTGCGCACACGTCGACGCCGCGTGCTGACGCGGATCGATCGACCCGTGACTGTTTGCGCATACGCGCGCGTCGACGGCGCGCTGACGCGGATCGATCGCCATCCGCGCGCGCATGCCGCGCGCGACGCGCGCGCACGCGCTCTGGGACGTCGCGCGGTCGCTGCGCGCGTGCGTCGACGCGGTGCTCGACGCGATCGCGCGACGCGCGCGACGACGCGCGCGACGCGCGACGACGCGCGACGGCGACGGCGAAGACGCGATGCGCGTGGTGTGCCTCGGCGGCGCGCTGGGACGGGAGATGAGCGCGATGGTGGCGACGGCGTGGACGAGGAAGGGCGCGGGACGACGCGCGGAGGTGGCGTCGTGCGCGGTGACGGCGACGAGACGCGCGATGGACGCGGCGACGGAGGAAGAGGCGACGGTGGTGTTCGTGGTGGAGACGGCGGAGGGCGACGAACCGGCGGCGGAGGCGCGGGACGCGGTGAAGATGATTTTGAGGGAGGCGAAGGCGCGAAACGGCGACGGCGCGGGCGACGCGCGCGGGCGGAGGTACGCGACGGCGATGGTCGGGGATTGCGACATCATCGGCGATCGCGCGGCGTATCGGAGTAATCAAAGCGTGGTCGAGGATTGTAACGCCGTGGGGTTGGCCGTGGACGCGGCTTTGAGACGGTTTGGATGGACGCGCGCGGCGGAGAGTTTGCGCGTGGACAAGTCGAAGGAGGACGACGACGCGTGGCGGCGCGGTCGAAGCGCCGCCGTCGACGCGTGGGTAGCTAAATTGTAGCGCGCGTAGGCGCGGTCGAAGCGCCGCCGTCGACGCGTGGGTAGCTAAATTGTAGCGCGTGTACAGTAGTGATCAAAAACAATAGATGGTCGTCGCGCGTCGAGATCACATCGCGAGTTTGAGCATCGCCGTGAGCTCGGCGTCGTTCAGCGCCACGCAGTTGCCCTTCATGGACGAACTCTGTTTTGACTTCTCCACGACGGAGGCGAAATCGGATTCCTTCAATCCGAGGCTTCCCAATCCCGGTACGCCGCAGTATTCGCACAGATCGACGATCCACGCGATACCGTCTTGCACCGTGGCGTCTGCGTTCCCCGTGATCGCGCGCGCGACTTGCGCGTATCGCTCGAGCGCGCGCGCGGCGAGCGCCGGATCTTCGGCGGCGACGCGCCCCTCCAACGCGGCGATGTTAATCGTCCACGAGTGCGGCAGCAGCGATGCGCAGATCGCGCCGTGCGGCGCGTGTAGTAAACCACCTAGCGTTCCGCTGAACCCGTGTACGGCGCCGAGCTTGGCGTTCGCCAAGGACAAGCCGCCGTAGTACGAGCACAGGCACATTTGCTCGCGCGCGTCGATGTCTGAGCCGTCGTCCACGACGCGGCGAAGCGCGCCAGCGCCGGCGACGATGCCAGCCATGGAAATCGCATCAATCATCGGATTCGGCACGCAACACACGTACGGCTCGATGCACTGCGTGAGCGCGTCCAGTCCAGTGTCCACCGTCACCGCGCGCGGCAGACTCAGCGTCAACATCGGATCTATCACCGCCACCGACGGCAGCATGAATGGATGCCGCATCGACACCTTACGATCACCCGCCTCGAGAACGGAGTTTTTCGCCACCTCTGCCCCCGGTCCAGCTGTGGTGGGAATCGCGATGAACGGTGCCGTGCGCTTCGTCAGCGGCTGCGCGCGTCCGACGACTTCGAGATACTCGTACAAATCCGGATTTTCGCCGGGTCGCCGGTTCGTAATCATCGCCGCCACGCACTTCGCCGTGTCCACCGGAGTCCCACCACCGATCGCGATGACGATTCCACAATCGCTTTCCACCGCCGCTTCCGTCGCGCTGAGCGCGCTCGCCACCGTCGGTTCGCCGCGAGGGCAGTGAAACGTCCGCGTCGTCCCGCCGACGCCGCCCTCCCTCAACAATCGCTCCAGTCGCTCTGAAAACCGCGTCGACTCCCCGGCGACGATGAACACCGGATTCTTTTCCACGTCCACGCCCTCTAACGTCGCGAGCTCGCGCACGAGCGCCGGGACGCGCTCGAGCGCGTCCCTCCCGAAAACCATCCTCGTCGCCGTCTGAAACTCAAACGGCGCCACCGCCGCCGCCGCGCGCGTCATCGCGCCTCTCTCTCGCGTCCGCGATCGCGCGCGACGCGCGCTGTCGCTCGGCGCGATCGAGACCGCGAGCGCGCGCGACATCGACCGGCGACGACGCGCGATGTGGCGTCCCGAAGAGCCGAAAAGCGCGCGCTGTTTTGGGACAAACCTCAAAACGCGACGCGAATGGCCGAAGGGCCGGCGCGCGGCGGCACGCGCGGCGGCCGCGATCAGTTCTCGTGGAACGACGTCAAGGAAAGCGCCGATCGCGAGTTCTACCTGGGGCACAGCGTCAAGGCGACGACGGGGAGGTGGTGCAAAGGCAAAGACGTGTACTGGTACAACAGGGACAAGGAGACGGAGGATGAAAAATCGACCGCGAGCGAGTTCGCGCGCGTGAAAGCGGCGGAGGAGGCGGCGATGCGCGCGGCGTTGGGGTTACCGCCGCTGACGTCGACGAGCGGGGAGGGAAGGAAGGGTAAAGGGTCGAGGCGGAGACGAGACGCGCGGAGCGACGAAGACGAAGACGACGAACGAAGGCGAGGACGGAAAAAGTCGTCGAGAAAGAAGAAACGACGAGGACGTGATTCGAGCGATGATAGTGATTCGAGTTCGGAATCGTCAGATTCGGCGTCGGAGCGTCGACGGCGGCGAAGGAAGAAGGAGAAGCGTCGCGAGCGGCGTCGAAGCCGTAGTAGAAGTCGAAGTCGGGATTTCCACCGCGACGATTCCGAGCGTCGTGATGAGCGACGGTGAACCGCGACGACGCGAACACATTTCGTGCGTTTCGTTCGTTTCCGCGTCGCGCGCGCTTAGCTTGTAATTGCAGTGCTTTCAGTCGTTCTCGTGGTTCGACCGAGTCCGCACTCGTCGCCTCGCCCCTCGCCGCCTCAGGATGGAGGACCTCGCGCCCGACGTCCTCAAGACGCTCGCGGTGGCGATGAGCGAAGACGTGCTCAGTGGAAACTTCGACCTCGCGAAGTCGCAAAAGATCAAATTCGTGTCCTCGATGACTTTCGGTGGCGCGTCGTTGGTCGGTTTGATGTTTCGCTTGGTCGTGAAAGTTTTCGCGCTCGTCATCGTCGTCGCGTGCGGGTTCGCGGCGTTCGCGTACGCGAATCGTGATCGTTTCGTCAACCGTTTCGATGAGTGGGCGCGGAACCGGTGTTTGATGGAGCTTCGGAAGCGAACGACGGCGACGTGCGCGTTGGACGCGTGCCGCGTGCGGATGAACGAGGTGACACTGCGACGTTTGACGATCGGAAACTCGGATGCTGCCGAGTTCACGTCGCCGCATTTGGCGAAGTTTGACGAGATTAAAATTGCGATTGATTTTTTTAGCGCGCTGGGACGGATGCAAGTGGGGAACTTTGTGTTCGGATTTGTCACGACGAAAGTCGACGAAATATTCGTCAGCGGCGGGTCGATCGTGCTCGAGGAGCGTGGACGGGCGAAAAATTATAAAATCATGCGCGCGCGCGAAGACGAGAAAGTGGTGGAGGTGAAGGGTGAGGAAAAATCTGAGGCAGAGGCAGCGGCGCCGGCGGCGGATGGGTTTTTCGCGGGTATCTCAAATTCGCTCGAGGCGACGCAAAAGGCCATTGACGCGCAACTGAAAGAGGCGATGAAACTTCCTGGTGCCGCGCTGGGAACGTTGCAAAATGCGGGATCGGACGTCACTAAACGCCTATACGCTTTGGCGGAAATTTTAGACAAGCTGAAGAGAGCCTCCCCTATCGATGACGAGGAAGAAAAGCATTTGAACTCGTTTTCTTTACGGCGAGCGCCGACGGTGTTGAAGGTGAACAATCTCACGTTCTACGACTGGTCGTTGACGATTCATTCCGTCGCTTCGACGCCTTTCCAATTCACGCAGTTTGAAATGAACGATTTCATCGGTCGACCCGGTCAACTGGGTAAAGACGTCGGCATCGGGTTGGTCACGGAAATTCTCAACGATTTTCACAGAAAAATTTTTAGCGGAGTGACGGATGGCGTCGGGAACGTAACGTCGACCATTCTCGGTGCTGGTACGACGATCGTAGGCGGTGTGGCTTCGGGCGTGACGAACGTCGGGTCGACGCTCGTGGGCGGCGTCAGCGACGGCATCGCGTCCATTGGGCAAGTTCGCGACTTGTTGAAATAAACGGTCTACCTATGTGTAATATAATATTGCTAGAACATTCGCTACGCGATTGTGATTACTTGAGAGCGCCTGTATCGATCCCGCGCGCCTTCGCGATTGCCTCCTCAGCGCGAGAGAGGATGACTTTAAAGTCAACCTCAGCGTGTCGGCCCCAGGTGTGATGTCGCGACCACTCCTTGCTCGGGTAAGCCGGAGAATGGAGCTTGTGCAGAACACGCGCAATGGCGCGCGCGGTCATCATCCCCGCTCCGCCAACCTTGCCACCGCTTCTGTGCGCGAGGAGAGTTTTAATGTCGGGCGCCAAGAGCTGCGACTCTTGCTTGACGCACTCGGGCGGCGACGGGAGCATGTCGGAATCTTCGTTCAGGTACTCTGCTAAACACTGGCGCAGGTGCTCGCCTTGGGCTTCTTCGTCCTCCGCGTTAGCGGCTTCATCCATGGCGTTGTACAGTGCGTCTAATTTCCCGACCGAGCACGCTTCAATCTCCGAGCAATGGTCTGCGAGTGCCTTCGCGAGAGGAATGATATCCTTTGGTGGCGCGCGGACGATTTCAAAACCAACTGCTCGATCGGAGAGCGTGTACGTCACGTTATCATTCTTCGACATGGCCTTCAGCTGCGATGCGACATCTTCGAAACCGGTTTGCATGTGCATGCACGCGTCAACAATCTTGAATTTGTACATCGACGCTTTCGGCTTTGGCACGAGCTTCACTATGGCTGCAGCGAGAGGGCAGTCTTTGCCGATTTCTGCCGGCGAACGCCCGTAAAATTGTGCCTCGCACGTCGAACGAATATCCGGCAAGATCCGAATAAGACCTTTGGCGTGTGCGGCGTCGAGTTCGTTCACCGACGAAGGGTCTTTTGAACGAATATCAATGAGACCTTCACCCCATAGATCCAAACACGAAAGCACAGTCTCGATAGCTTCTATGCGCATGTCGAGCTTGATTTCCATCTCACTCGCGGATAACGCACCCACGCACGGTGTCCACTCCGCTTCGTCTTTAGCTTTTTTCATCACGGGGCCGGATTCGAAGACAGATTGCAAAAGTCTCGTGATGGAAGGTCGGTCCACTCCGTCGCTAAATGTCAGCGATCTCGAGCGTAAATAATCCTTTGGATCGAGAAAAGTGACGCACGCCGCGGGAGCTCCGTCGCGTCCCGCGCGCCCCGCTTGTTGGATGTATGCCTCGGGAGATCGCGGCAGGGAGAAATTTATCACCGCGCGTACGTCGGATTTGTCTAAACCCATGCCGAACGCGATTGTGGCGACGACGACGCGTACTCTGCTCATCATGAATTCAGCTTGCGTCTGTCTCCGCTGCGCAGGCTCTTGACCTGCGTGGTACGCTTTCGCCTTGATGCCTTCGTTGTATAGATAACTCGCCACGCGCTCGGAGTCCCGCTGTGTCGCGGTGTAAACGATGATGCTCCCCTCTTGCAACAATTCATCGTGCTTCAACATGTGACACAGAGTCCTTTCGCGCGCCACGTCGGGCACGCGCATGACGGACAAAATTAAATTGTCTCTCACTCGAACATTTCGCATGACGCCTTCGCTGGGGATACCCAACTGCTTGATCAATGACACTTCGGTTTTCTTCGTCGCCGTCGCGGTGAGCGCGAGCGTGGTCTGCGCTTGAACTCGATCGTTCAAGATGCGGCCCAATCGATGATATGCCGGTCGAAAGTTGTGCGACCATTCGCTCACGCAATGCGCTTCATCGATACACGCCAGTGAAACGCCGCCGGGTACGTTCTGCAAATCATTCACGAAGTGTTCATTCAGCAGTCTTTCGGGAGATACGAATAGCACTTTAAGTTCTCCCGCGCGCAAGCGAGTGAGCGTCTCCCACATGTCCCTCCGATCCATGTCGCTTCGCAAAGCTCCGCCGGGAAGCGACGGAGGTAAAGAATCCATTTGATCCGCCATGAGCGCGAGCAAAGGCGAGATGACGATGGTGAGCCCGGGCAACAGTAACGCGGGAAGCTGGTACGTAAGACTCTTCCCCGCACCCGTAGGCAAAAGCGCCAACGTGTTTTCTCCGCGCAACACGCGTTGAACGATTTCGAGTTGTCCAGGACGAAACTGTTCGTGACCGAATCCTCGATTGAGAACTTCCGTGAGATTCGCTTCGCTAGGATCGCTCTTCGCTCGCAAAACCGCGGCTTGCATCTCTGGTCCTACTTCTAACTTTGCTCGCCGCTCGGCTTCGGCTCTGGCGCTCTCCGCCGCCGCCGCCGTGATGTACTCTCGCGCGATGCCGTCTGCGACTTCTCGCGCTCGCAAAGCCTTCTTCGCCGGCGTCAATTTCTCGTCTTCCGTCGCGTTCGCGCATTCAGGGGGAGGCTCGAGTGGATACTCTCCCGAAGCCCACACGGAAGGCGCCTCGGGTGGCGGTGCGTTGGGATCTCTATCCTTCGCCTCGTAATCCTCCGCCTTGTTCTTTGAACGTCGTCCGCCGCCGAATCGATAGTGCTGCGCCGCCTTTTTGCGCGCGCCATTTTTCACCTTGGACTTCCACGTGCGTTTGAGGTTCGTCTTGACGTAGTTACCTTTACCAGACATCGCCTTCACCCTGGCCTTCTCCGCCTCGAACTCGGCGCGGATCTCCGCCGCCGTCTTTGACGGTTTCGGCGCCGCGTCCTCGCTCGCGGCGCCGCTCGTCGACGTCACCGCGCGACGAGCGACGCCGGCGCTCGTCGCCGCGCCCACGAATCGTTCTGCAGGTTTCTTACGCCGTTTCGAACCGTCCTGCTTCAACATCGCGCTCACGCTCAACTCCATCGTCGCCTTCTTCGGCGCCGCCGCCTCGTTACGCATCGCCGCCACCGTCGCCTCGCACAGCAAATCTTCCACCCCACCGCCGCGTTCGATCGCCTCGTCTCGCGCCCGTTTCACCGCCGCGAACCCGCCCTCTCCACCCGCGCCCGCTCTCCTCGCGAGCCTCGATTTAAACCCCCCCGCGCTCGGCTCCGCGTCCGTCCACGTCAGCGGCCGCGCGCACGCCGGTTTCGCCCTCGCCCCGCTCGCCCCCCCCCCCTCCGCCGTCGCGTTCCCCCCCATCTCCCGCAGCGCGTCCCGCCCGTCCCAGTTCGCGCCTTTCGCGCGCTTTTCGAGCAATCTCGGCGACCTTCGCGCGTCGCTCGCTCGCGTCGTCCCGTCGCCGTCGCCGTCGCCGCGCGTCTTGATCGGCGTCGCCTCGATCGCCTCCCCATCGCTCTCCCCATCGCTCTCCCCCCCCTCGCGCAGCATCTCGCGCATCTCGCCGTACGTTCGCGTCGTCCTCTTCCTCGGCGTCGCGCGCGCCGCGTCCCTCGCGCCGTCGTCGTCGCCCCCCCCTCGTCCGTCTCTCGCATTTTTATACGCTCGAAACATTAATCGCGCGTTCGCGTCGCGCTCGACGTCCGCGCGCGTCGCGCTTCGCCCGTGCGTCGTCGAGAACGTCTCCCGCCACGTCTCGCACGCGTCGCGCATCGCGTCGACGCGCCGCGACATCGCGGTGCGTCGAGATGTGTCGCCGACAGCTCGGATTTAAATTTGAATTCGTCGCGACACATCGCGACGCCGCGCGCGATGAAGTTCCGCGCGACGCTCGGCGACGTCGGCGCGCGCTGGCTCGATCGCTTCGCCCCCGTGTTCGACCGGCTCGGCGGCGAGGCGACGCTGCTGCTGACGCCGACGACGGTTCGCGTCGTCCAAAGCTCGCGCGTCGCCGACGGCGTCGCCGCGCACGCCGACTTTCGCGTCGACGAGGTGTTCGAGCGGTGCAGGATCTCGTCCGCGTGCGACGATAAGATCGCGGTGAAGCTCGAGCCGAGCGCGCTGGCGGGGACGGTGCGAGGGATGATCGCGCTGGAGGCGACGCGGGCGGAGTGCAGGCTGATCAAACGGCGACGAAGCGCGGCGAGCGCGAGCGCGCCGTGCGTAAACTTTAAGACGACGGAGGCGAGCGTGGAGGTGGAGCGGGACGTGCCGGTGGTGGGACCGCTGAGGGGGGAGGAGGTCAGGGCGTGCGAGGCGGCGGTGGAGGCGAGCGTGCGGGACGTGGGGTATTGGTTGGAGTGCGACCGGTTCGCGTTGGAATCGCTGCGGGAGTGCGTGGAGCGGTTCGCGCGGGTGAGCGATGTGGTGGAGGTGACGACGACGCGGCAGGGGGGGCTGTACATGAATGCGAGCGGGGGGAGCGTGCGAGCGCTCGGGATGGAGTATCGCGGTCTGCGCGTGCTGCCGGAGGAGGCGGACGAGTACGACGAGGGCGCGCCCGAGGCGGGGGGGGTGGCGGCGAGATTAGCGGAGATTAAGAGCGCGGCGATCGGGACGAGCGTGACGCTGAGCGTGAAACATCTTCAGCGCGGGTTTTTGGGGTGCGCGAGCCATCCGAGCACGCTGTTGTTGGGGATTTCGCACAACGCGAATTTCTTCGAGCTCGTGTTTCGGTACGGCGCGCAGACGGAACGCGAGGGCGACAGCGTCGGATTCATGGTGCGCATCCCGGTCGTGGACGCGGCCGATGGCATCGAGTGAGACGAACGCGAGACGACGAACGAACGATGACGACGAACGAAACGACGATTAGACTACTAGGAATATTTTTCACGCATCGAACGACGCTCGACGAACCAAACTCGTCAATCCTTCTTCCCGCTCACGAACGTGTCTTCCGCGCGCAAGTACTCCCCCACGTCCGCGAGATGATACGCCACGATCGCGCTCGGGTCTAATTTACGACAATCCTGCGTGCTCTTCGCCGCGACGCCGAATCCCACCGGCACGTCCGCCATCGAGTAAATCACCACCCCCGCGTTCGCCGGCGTGTTCTCCGATATCCTCCCCAACCCGCTCTTCAGCAGGTGATTCCCGTACATGAACCCCATCTCGCTCGTCGGTTTCACCCACATCTTATACTTGGCGTGCGCCGCCAGCACGTCCAGCGCCCCGATCGTCAACCGAAACTTATCGCTGTGCGTAAACTTCCCCAGGCACGTCCCCAGCGCCACCAACTGCTCCCGTCCGACGCTCGTCGCCCGCCGCATCACCTCGTCCCGCACGTAGTACACCCGCTTCTTGTGCAATCGCAGCGAGTGCGGCGCGTCCGCGCGCCGCAGCACCCGCTCGATGTTCTTCCCGACGAACTGGAACAGCTTCGCGAGCACCTGCTCGAGCTCGGACTCCTCGAGCGGGCGCATGGCGCGCGCGCGCGGCGCGTCGAGCGCGCGAACCGACGCGAGGCGCGCGCGAGGCGACCGCGACGCGGCGTTTCGCGCGCTCGACGCGCGCGGCTCGGCGACGGGGCGTCGACGCGCGCGCGGCGAGGCGCGAAATGCGGCGCCGAGCGGCGGCGGCGCGACCGGGACGCGGCGCGATTCGCGTCCCGGTCGCCGCACAGCGCCGCGCGACGCTCGAAAAAGCGCTCCGAGCGCGCGCGAACGCGCGAAAGAAGCGCGTCGACCGTCTCGCGCGCGCGCGCGCGCGCGAGGGCGCGACGCGCGACGGCGCGAACGAGAAGGCGCGACACCGCGCGAGGCGTCGACGACGATGGCGAGCGTCGGTGGGAGCGCGGGTGCGTTCGCGCGCGATTCGACGGCGACGCGCGACGACGACGAACGCGAATCGCGCGACGAGCGACGCGCGCGGCGCGATGCGCGCGCGATGCGGCGACTGACGGACGAATGGCGCCGATCGCAGGCGGGCGAATCACCGCGGGCGCGGGCGTGAACTTGCTCGGGCAGCACGGCGCGGATAGGAACGCCGAGGCGACGGTGTACGTCGGGAATCTCGACCCGCAAGTCACGGAGGAGGTGCTGTGGGAGCTGTTCCTGCAGGCGGGACCGGTGACGAACGTGTACGTGCCGAAGGATAGGGTGACGAGCACGCACCAGGGGTACGGGTTCGTGGAGTTCAGAAACGAGGAAGACGCGGAATACGTGCGTCGAGCGACGCGACGCGACGCGACGCGACGCGATGGGATGCGAGATCGGTGACGATGATGATAAAAATATCCGCGCTTCTGATGAGTTCACGCTCGTGAGGTTAGACGATATTATGGTTGAATTTCTTCGGCTGAGTCACCGCGCGATGGGAGACGCGACGCGATCGAAGCTCGACGTGGAGACTGACGAGACGGTGCGATGGCGATGTGCGCGTGTAGGGTATTAAAATTTTGAACATGGTGAAACTGTTCGGGAAACCGATCAAGGTGAACAAGTCGGTGGGCGACAGACGCGACGAAGTCGGCGCCAACTTGTTCATCGGTAACCTCGATCCAGACATCGACGAAAAGCTGTTGTACGACACCTTCAGCGCGTTCGGGGTGGTGATTAACACTCCTAAAATCATGCGCGACCCGGATAACGGGGCGAGCAAGGGATTCGGATTCGTGGCGTACGATTCGTTTGAGGCCTCGGACGCCGCCATCGAGGCGATGAACGGACAGTTCTTGTGCAACAAGCAAATCAACGTTCAGTACGCGTACAAGAAGGATAGCAAAGGCGAGCGTCATGGGTCACAAGCCGAGCGTTTGCTCGCGCAATCGATCGAACGACCGACGATGGTTCGCCCGCACACGTTGTTCAGCGCCGGCCCCTCGAGCACGCCCGCGGCGATGGGCGGCATGATGGGTTTGCCGCCGCCTCCGCCCGGAATGGTCGGCATGCCGCCGCCGCCGCCGGGAATGATGGGTGGAATACCACCACCACCCATGATGGGCGGTTTCGCCCCCGTCGGTGGGTTCGCGATGCCGCCGCCCGGCGTCGCGCCGCCGCCCGGGACGATGAACGCGCCGCCGCCGCCCGGGATGATGAACGTGCCACCGCCGCCCGGGATGATGAACGTCCCGCCGCCGCCGCCGCAATAAAAAAAGCGGTAAAGAACGTTCGAGCGTTTGACCATAGCTAGCCGCCTAGTGATGTGATGATTACAACAAATTATTACAAAGGCTCGCCGCCGCGTCGCCCGCCTTCGTCGCGCGCGCGCGTCTTCGCGCGTCCCCGCACCCCCCGCTCGCCGAACGCGCGCAACCCGATCCCCAGCCCGGCGAAGAAAAACACCGCGCGCACCCAATCGATGTTCGCGCCCGTCGCTCGCGCGCCTTCCTCGAACCCTCTCCCGCGCCGCGTCGTCGCCCGCGCGTCGCCCTCTCGCGCCCCCCCCCGCACTCGTCGACGCTCGTCGACGCCCGCGCTCGACCGTCGCCCTCGCGCGCCGTCGCTCGACGTCATGCACGCCGCCCTCCGTCGCGTCGCGCATCGCGCGCTCGCGAACGCGCCCGCGCGCGCGCCGTCGACGATCGCGCGCCGGTCGTACGCGAGCGACCCGAACGCGCCGCCCAAGGTGCCCTACCCGTGGCACGACCCCATGAACCCGAGCAATTGGAAGGAGGAGCACGTGCGTCTCGCGACGCGTCGCGCGCGACCGCGACGCGCGATCGATCGCGCGACGCCGCGACGCGCGCGATCGATCGATCGATCCGAGACGCCCTCGACGCCGATGCGACGCGAATTCCACGACTGACGCGCGCGACGCGACGCAGGTGGTGTTCGCCGTGCTCGGTGGATGGGCGGTGGTGATCGCGGGCGCGAGAAGCGCGCTGTCGTAGCTCGTAGCGCGCGCGACGATCGATTGTAACGCGAAGAAGAAGACCGACGGCCCGCGCGACAGATCGCGGCGCGCGCATGCGCGACGCGAGCGACGCGCGCGACGCGAGACGAACGCGCGCGGTGGAATACGGAAACCTCTGGCCGATCGCGCTCGCGCCGGCGATACCGGCGCTCGGGATCGCGGTCAGGCGGTCGAGCGATTCGAGGATTAAGATCGGGGCGCCGGTGGGCGCGGCGCTGGCGGTGCTCGTGTTCGCGCACGGGTTCGCGCTGCGCGCGTCGACGGCGACGAAGTGAGCGGCGGACATGCGGGCGTCGGGACGCGCGCGCGGACGGCGTCGGACGACGGTGAGGTTGGTCGCGGCGTGCGCGTGCGCGTGCGCGTGCGCGCTCGCGGCGGGACGCGCGGAGGCGAACGAGGGCGTCGCGGAGTGCCAGAGGCACCTGAGCGCGATGCGGCGGGACGTCGGCGCGGCGAAATCGGAGGCGGCGAAGTTTCGAGGCGAGGCGATGCGGGAGCGAGCGCGGGCGAATTTCGAGGCGGCGGAGAAGAAGAAGGCGCGGGCGGAGGTGGCGAAACTGGAGGAGGCTCTGGAGGAAGCGCGCCGAGGCGCGGGTGCGGCGGAAGTGGTGCGAATGGCGAAGGATGCGGCGAATGAGGGTGTGAAACGCGCGAAGACGCTCGTTCGCGATGCGAAACCGTTGATTGAAGACGGGATGCGTAAGGCGGCGCCGGCGCTGAAGAACGCGGGCGAGCGCGCCAAGCGCGGGTACGCGCGGCAAATCAGAAACGTACAAAGCAATCTAGCGCCTGTGCGTCGAAAGATGAAGGCAAAGATGAAACAAATCGATCTTCTGAAGCCTTACGCGACGGATCGACACATAAACACTTTGTTTCAGGCGACGTACACGCTCATCTTGGCGCTCTGCGTGCATCGCACGCTGGGAGTGTTGTATCGATTCGCGTTCGGTCGGCGCTCGCGAAGCGTGCCGCGCCACGTGCGAAGCAAATCCGTCGAACTTAGACCTCTTTCGCCCGATCGTTAGTCAATCGTTAGTCGACCCATCGAAATTCAAGATTCATGAGTGCAACGCACAAAAATTCACTAAATATTAAAAACGTCTACCAATTGCGGTCCAAACCCCCTCGCACCGAAGCTCACTGGTATTATTTCGTAAGCGGTGTAAGTGGTATCCGATTTCGCGCTGTTATCATGGCATCCGCGTCGGAACGCGTGTGCGCGTGTAAGGACGCCGCGTTGCCGAATGCGGGACCGGATTCGTGCAAGCCGGCGAATTCCATGAAATTCGAAGCGCTCGCCGTGCCGGTGTTGGACAACCATTTGTTCTCCCGACCATCTTCCATGATTTGGTTGTCTTCGTCCACCTCGTACGGTTTTGCGCCCTTTGCGTCCAAGAGTTCGAGCCATTCCGGCGAAAACATGTTGAACTTCTTGAACAGTAAAATGCGAAGCGGCATCAACGCTAAAATAAAGATGGGAAACGTCAAGGCGATCGGCGAGCTTCGAATACCCCATAGCACACCGACACACGCGATTTGTACGCACGTAAATGCGTGCACGCGACTGAGCGGTACGTGCCTGACGTACGACGTCGGCGGATGCAAGCGCGGTTCCATGAACGCGATGGTGATCCGCTCCCAGAAATGGTTGTCGTACAATCCCATGATGCCGGTGTAGATGAACAATCCGAAGAGCACACTCATGGGGATTGATTTTAGCGCGGGTATCACGACGAAGCTCAGAGCTACGAGAACGTTGACAAGCAGCGGACTGAGTCGCTGTTCATGCACCTTGATGACTTTCGTGCGCGTCTCGCCGTCCACGGTGTACTCTTCTACGTCGCTGAGCGCCAACACGTACTGCGGCGAGTGCGGCAGCGATCCCGTGGGAGGTGGCAGTCCGAGCATCGAGGTGATGAAGACCAATATTGCGAGCACGGCAAAGTTGTAATGATAAGCCGCGCCCTTACGCATCTTCAGGCGCGGCGTGTTGCAAAGCAATGTCGCCACGTTCATGTCGACGTAGTACAACGCCGTGAGCATGAGAGCTGGGAAGATTGCAATCAAGGGGATGAACTTATCGCCTGAACCCAAATCAATCCACCAATCGCGCTGCATAGAAGGTTCAAAGTTGTTTGAAATTTGTAAGTGCTCCAGCCCCGAAATCTTCGACAGCTTCGCCGTGACGCTCGCGATGATGACGGCGGAGGCCAGACCAAAATCCGCGGTGAGTTCACGAATAGTCGCGTTCATATACGGCGAACTGCGAAGATGCACCGCCCACAGACCAAGTTGTAACGTCATGACACCTAACATCAAGCTAAACAAAGCGGCTGCGGTTGAGTATTTGTCGTCTGAAAAGTACGTGAACAAGTTTTTGAATCCTTCAAAGATGAAAATCGCGCACACAAAGAGACTGAATATATCTTGCGTAAACTTTGTGCACTTGTTCGCGACCCAAGCGCACGCGTCGAATGAGGCAATACATAGCATGAAAATCCCAGTCCAAACCCCGACCCACGCAGACGTGACGAGGAAGTCGATCCTCCACGCCTTGCATCGTTTGAACAGTTCTATGAGGAACACCGTCTGCGGACCCGCCGGGCGTAGCACGATCTCGGGCTGTCCCGAGAACACGGCCCATATTATCCCACTGAGCGCTTGGCTGCACAAATATTCCATCGCCCCGACGTGCCCGTCCGTTTCTTTATACGCCAACCCCCCGAACGCGATTGCAGGTCCGAGACAAGCAAAGTACATGAAGAGCGTCGCGCTCAAGCACTTCGTCGGCGCCTTGAATCCATCGACCCAATCACTCTTATACACCGCCCATCGTCGCTTGAAATCGCTCACAATACCCCCAGCAAATTTTCCTGTGAAATCGGCGCCTCGCTTGGACGCCATCTGCGCCTCCGCCTCGGCTCGGCGAAAATGTTGTCCGGTGAGCACCGAACACGCCTCCTCGTACGCGCTCACAACTTCCGAAGCCATCTTCGCCCCTCTGCAGTCCCGCACGAAATCTGTCTCAGCGATCAATTTTCTAAATCCCATTTTCATCGTCTTCAGCGCCTCCAACCGGCTCAGATCCTCCAGCGCCCCTCGCGGGTGCAACGACTGCGGCACCGTCACGAAGAGCACCACCTTCGTATTTCTCCCGTCCACCGCACCCAGGTTCACGTCCCGCTCCAGCGTGCTCACCGCCACTCGGCACGTCCTCGCTCGTAATCTCTTCGCCATCACGTCCCCATCCCTCGATATCTCGTCTTCACCGCCGAAATCTTCCATCTCCTCGCCCACGAGCGCCGCGCAGCCGCGCTCGTTCGCCGCCGTGAACACCCTTCCGATCTTCACCGTCCCCGTCGTCCGTCCCGCCACCTTGCGCACGAGCGAGGACACGATGTCGATCTCCCGCCACGTGTGCGAGCGCACCGCGATGGATTCCGCGCTCAATTCGCCGCGCAGTTCGCACAGAAAGCGCGTCCAGAGCGGCAACGCCGTTTCCTCATCCACGCCTTTCGCGCGCGCCGTCGACGCGTCGTCGCGCCCCGCGTCGTCCGCGCGATCGACGACATCGCGATCGACGCCCGCGTCGTCGGAGGCGCGCATCGCGCTCGCGGGCGCGCGTGAGTGCCGATGGATAACACGCGGCCGCGCCTCATACCGTGACGCGCGCGCCGTCTGCCCGTCGATGCTCGCCCAAGGCCTCACCGCGACCGCGCGAACGACCGTCGTCTCCAAAGCGCTCGACCGCTCCAAGCTCGCGCCCGCGCGACGCTTCGCCAAGGCGCGATCTTCGACGACGAAAACCATGGCGCTGAGCCAAGACGAACTGAAGAAACTCGTCGGATACAAGTCCGTGGACGACCACGTGACGAGCGGTATGGTCGTCGGCCTCGGTACGGGATCCACGGCGTACTACGCGGTCGAACGCGTCGGACAAAAGCTGGCGAGCGGGGAGCTCAAGGATGTGATTTGCATCCCGACGAGCGAGCGCACGCGCGAGCAAGCCGAGTCGCTGAACATTCCGTTGTGCACGCTGAATGAAAAGAGCGAATTGGACGTCGCGATCGATGGTGCGGATGAGGTTGATCCGGCGTTGGCGCTCGTGAAGGGCGGCGGTGGTGCGCTGCTGCGAGAAAAGATGGTTGAGGTCATGGCGAAGAAGTTTGTCGTCATCGTGGACGAGTCCAAGCTTTGCAAGGGTCTCGGACCGGGTTTCCCTTTGCCGGTGGAAATCACGCCGTTTTGCCACATGCACACGCTGCGAACGATCGGTAAGCTTCCGGCGTTGGCTGGGTGCGAACCGATCTTGCGCATGGGGTCGTCGTCGAACAATAAGAACGACGGCGATAACATCGCGGTGACGGATAACGGCAACTACATCGTGGATTTGCACTTCAAGACGCCGCTCGCGGACCCGGTGGCTGCGGCGAACCAGTTGAAGAACACCGTCGGCGTTGTCGATCACGGTTTGTTCGTTGGCATGGCGTACCAAGTCATCGTCGCCGGAAGCGACGGTATCCGCGTGGCGGGTACCGACGGCGAAAAGGCGTGGTGGTAGACGATTCTTCCCGCGGCGTTTTTTCCGTCGACGCCTCTGGACTCTTTCGAAGAGCGCGACACGCGATGACAAATCAGTTTTTAATAAACAACACGAGACGTTCTAATTTTTGATACATGATGGGCTACGTTTCTACGTTTTAACGTCGTCTACGAGCGCGCTTAGATTGCCTTGCGAAAGTCGTTTTCGAAGAATCTCGAACTCGCGCTCCTCCATGTGCACGAGATAACACAGCAAACGGTACAACGCGGACAGCTCTCCGAGCTGTTTAGCGGTACGTTCGTTGATTTTCGCCTCAATTTTGATTCCTGGTACGGCTTGGAGCAACACACGCGGCAACGGTTGGGAAAATGCCCGGCACCTGTGCCACAACTCAGTGCCCTGTCGACCGACTTTACCCGGAAAGATGCACGCCACCGTGGCGCCGACAAAGGCGACGAACGCTTGAACTACGAGCTCCATGTAAACGAGCAAACAGGCGGCAATTTTGAGAACCAATCTGAAGGGTATGATGGTACCCTTGCCGACGACGACAAACGCGTCTAAGGTGGCGTGCGCCGCGGCGTCGGCGCGCTCTGCGAAATTTCTGTCGTCCTTCATCTCGCTCACGCTTCGCGCCGCCGCGGACGCAACCTCGGCTGCTTTGAAACTCATGCGCGTCACGAGCTCGGCTTCGTGCTTCATGAAAGATCCAAACTCGTCGGCGTGTTTTGCCGCCGCACGACGCGCGGATTCAGCCGCAGCGGCCGCGCGGCGAGCCGCCGTCTCTGCGCTCTGGCTCGCCCACTCTTGACAGTCTGTCGCCCAGCTTCGCGGCGGTTCTTCGTCTTCCGCGGAAGCGCCGTCGTCGCTGCCCACCGCTCGCGTTTTGGGCGACGACTTCAATGTTTTCGCTAAGCCGTGCGTGCGCTCGTACCAATCGTGCGCGTCTGCGTATCCCATCTCGAAGAGCTGCTTCAATTTGTACGGCTCTGGCGGGTAAAAGCACCACCAAACCGGGATGTACTTGCTCGGCTTGATGTCCGCCCGCGACGAATAAAATGGATTGACGATGACGATGTTCGGGTTCGCCTCCTTGCAATGCAACTTGCTGAAGGTGCCATCTTTCTTAAACCCTTTCCAAACCTGCATGTCCGTCACAGCACCGTCCAGGCACAAACCGAAACCTCGCAACCACATCGGCAACCCGCTCAGCGGCACGATGCACGCCGAGCACAACAACGCCTGAATCAAAAAGTCATACGTCGGAAACGAACTGATTCGTAGATTCTTCCACGACGGCAGTATTCTCGTGATCGACACTTCAAACCTCCCGGACAGTAACTCATGCGCCTTGGGATCACAAAACTCCGTCATCGCGCCTCGACAGTACGCGCGCAGTTGAAACGCCCCCAACACCGACCGCCGCGCTCGCGCCGCGCAAATGTACACATACTGCGCCAACGCGTCCAAATCGCAGTCCATGAACAACAACGCCCCCGAAAGTGCCCCACCAGAGGTCCCGTACACCTTCGTTTTACTGCGCGCATCGTAAAATCGCCGCCGTTTCGTCAGTCATCCGTCGTCGCGCGAGACGCGTCGTCCGGCGTCGGCGTCCCCATCTTACGCCACCGAACCACCCTCTCGCGCGCCGTCGCGTTCCGAACCGCGCGCGCACCGCGCAAACATCTTCAACGCGCACCTCGCCATCCCTCGTTCGCGCATCGCCTTGACGACGCCGACGTAATACACGAACAACCATCCACTGCTCCCCAACGCGATCTCATATTCGTATCGCGCGTCGCGTTTCGCCGACGTCTCCGGCGTCGACGCGTCGTCGCGCGCGTCCGACGCGCGACTCGCGTCGTCCGTCGTCGTCTCGCGTCGCGCGCGCATCGAGTCGAGCGCGCGCGTCGCCGTGTGTCGACTCGACGCGCGAATTCCTCACGTCGATTTGATTTTGACGAGTCACGACTCAGCGAGATGGACTCGTCTCCAGTTCCGAGAGACTCGGCACTTCGCGCGAGGGGAAAGAGCGGTCCGCACACGACGACGCGCGTCGCGCGACGACGCGCGCGCGCGCGCGAACGAAAGAAATCATCGCGACGCGTCATGTACGCGCGTCCGCGTCGGGACGCGCTGCGCGCGACGACGGACATAGAACCTTTAGACACGGCCAGAGCGTTTGATTTCAAGTGCGTTCGCAACGGTCGCGCGGGAACGACGGTGTCGCGCGCGACGCGACGGACTGACGCGAAGGCGTCGCGACGACGCGCGCGTCGTAGGTATTTCAACAGCATTCAGAGCGAGATGCTCGAGTTTTTGGTGAACACGCGACGGAGCTTCGTGATGAGTGCGTGACGCGACGCGAACGCGAGACGCGCGGCGAGTGCCTCGTTTTGGAAAGGACTGACGAATGAACGCGTGATCGCGCGTCGAACGCGAACGCAGGCGCGCCGACGGGGAGCGGGAAAACGACGGTGTTTGAGTTGGCGATGTTGGCGGCGTTGCGAGGACCGAACGCGACGGAGGGGGGATTGAGCGCGGCGCGAGGGCGGAGAAAGGTGATTTATCTCGCGCCGAGTCGGGCTTTGGTGAGCGAAAAGGCGCGCGAATGGCGAGAACGATTAGGCCGGATCGGAATCACGTTTGCGGAGTTGACGGGAGATAACGATTTTGGTGGGGACGTGTGGGGGGAGATTGAGAATGTCGATGCGATTTTGGCCACGCCGGAAAAATTCGACCGCGTGACTCGTCTGGACGCGAACCGCGGCGGGATGTCGTTCTTCAGCGACGTCGCCGCGGTGTTGATTGATGAAGTGCATCTCATCGGTGACATTCGTGGAGGGTGTTTGGAAGCCATTGTTAGTCGTTTAAAGTTGCTGAGCAAGTCGTCGGCTCTATTGCAATCGCACTTGCGAAACGTTCGCTTTGGCGCCGTGAGTGCGACGATTCCGAACATTGAAAACCTCGCGAATTGGCTCGGCGCCAATCGCGATGGCACGTTTGTGTTCGGTGAAGAGTTTCGACCTGTCAAGTTACAGACGTACGTGCGCAGTTTTCCGGACACAACGAGCGATTTTTTATTCAACAAGTATCTCAAGCAAAAAGTGTTTGCGGTGATTCGGGAATTCTATCGCGGCAAGCAGACGCTCGTGTTTTTGGGCAGTCGCAATGACGCGCAGCAGACGGCGAAGCAGCTCGTGGTGGACTCTCGTAGACAGTTCGTAAACCCACAACTCTCCCAATTCTTGCTCGAAGCGTCCATGCAAGCGCAGAACAAACATCTTGCTGAGTGTATCACCGCCGGCGTAGCGTTTCATCACGCCGGGCTGGAACGAGGCGATCGCGAGTTGGTCGAGGGATTGTTTTGCTCTCGCGCTATTATGGTTTTGTGCAGTACGAGCACTTTAGCTGTGGGCGTTAATCTTCCAGCGTACTTGTGCGTCGTCGCTGGTACGGATATTTACGACGGTGGTGGCGCGTACAAGGAAATATCCATGGACACCCTACTTCAGATGATCGGCCGCGCGGGGCGACCTCAATTCGACACCGAGGGCGTGGCGGTGGTGATGACGAAGAACTCTTTGCGATCGCGCTACGAGGGATTAGTTCATGGCAAGTATCCGCTCGAGTCAAGTCTCGGTTCATCGCTGCCTGAGTACTTAAACGCTGAAATAAGCTGTCGAACTGTGAACACGGTGGACGACGTCCTGGAGTGGGTGCAAAGCACGTATTACTATATTCGCGTTTGCGCGGAACCAAGAAAGTACGGAATTAAGAACGATGATACGGTGACAGAACACGTGAAGCGGTTAATCAAGGCGACTTTGGATGAGCTTATTGCGTCAGGAATGTGCGCCGTGGTAGGAAATAGCGCGCTTCAACCGCTCAAAGCCGGAGACATCATGTCTCTTCGTTATTTGCGCTTCAAAACGATGAAGAACATCATGCGAAACGTCGCGACACCGTCGTACGCGGATCTTTTAAGAATGTTGTGTGAGAGTTACGAGTTCAAAGACATCAAGCTTCGCCGAGATGAAAGGAAGTTGTTGAAGCAGTTGAACACAGATCAAAAGATTATTCGCTTTCCCGTGCAAGAGACTACTGGAAAGTCGCAAAAGTTGTCCTTAGCGAAGGTAATTCGTACGCCGGGCGAAAAGCTGTATCTTTTGGCGCAGTATATTTTAACTGACGTGGTCGAACCGAGCATCACGCTCTCGCATCCGTCGATGCGAATGGAAGGTGATAAAGTTCTTCAGCTCGGAACTCGCATCATGCGCGCGGCGTCAGAGTACTATCAATCCACGTTGACGTTTACCGCTGCAGCGAACGCCTTTTCGCTCGCCAAAGGTCTCGACGTGCACATGTGGCCGGACACGAAAGTGCAAATTCGACAGCTCAAGCACTCGCGCATGAAAAAAGTTATCGAAAAGCTCATTGAAGCTAGAATTATGACGCTCGAAGACGTTGAAGACGCAGATCCGCGTCGCATCGAAATGAAGCTCGGCAAGTCGTTTCCGTTTGGCAACACCCTTCAAGGTGACGTAAAGGATTTTCCATCCGAGCTCAAGGTTGAAATGACGCATCACGCCATGTCGAAGGAGTCCTACAGCGTCGACGTCAAGCTGTCGTTTAAGAATACTTCTGAGAGCCGCTTGAGCACGAATCATCTACCGGCAAAATATCCGGGGATGCTCTTCATCGGCTCAGAGCACGACGACCGGTTGTTGTACGTTCAGCGTTTGCCGACGCGAGAGTTTGATTTGGATGCTAACATGGACGCATCCGCGAACATCGTCTTCCACGGCCGGTTCACGTGTACGAACGTGTCGAGCGGAAACGTCCCGCTTTGTTTCGTGGCGCGTGTGATTTTCGAACGTTGCATCGGTCGCGACGTCGTCGAATACCACGTTGTCAATCGCGGCGGCGCGAGTCCGCGAACTCCGGACAAATCAGGTGTTTCTCCCGCGAAGTCGCCCACGTCGACGACGCCCGCGTCAACGATGAAACAAACAAAGATTATCGCTGACGCGCACACCAAAAAATTCAGACTGATGAATTCGGACGACGAAGTTCGCCGGAAGGTGGCATTCGAAGACTTTAAGCTGTCTAACGAATCGTCGCCGAACTCGAGTCCGCGTGAACGCAAAGCTACGTCGCGTTCAGAAGATGTTTGCAATAGGTGCGGTGTCAAAGGCCATTGGGCAAAGGACTGCTTATATCCCGACAATCGACCCGAAGAGCTGCGACCAGGGCCGAAACCGACGGACAAATGTCGTAGATGCGGTGAGCTTGGGCACTTCGCTCGCGATTGTTCGTTCGACGAGGACACATGCAAAATTTGTCAGCAGCACGGCCATCGGGCTCGAGATTGTCCAAGCGTGGCCGACGTCTTTGCTTCGCTTGACGACACGACAACGACGGTGAACGACGCATCCGATTCGGACAAGGAAGAAAACTGGGAGTTCGTCTTTGGTTGAAACGCTTGATGGAACATGAATGAAGAAACGATTACTGGTAATGAAAGACATTCTATTTTTTTACACTGAACAGAGTATACACTACGGCGACGCGATCTCGTCCGTAGCTTCTTCGAACTCCAAGTCATTTTCCACTGATTCGATGCTTACGCGCAAATCTTGAATCGCGCTCTCGAACAACCGCTCCAAATGTTCCGCTTGCTCCAGCTTTTGGTGTGTCTCAAAAACTTTCACGCACGCTCGGTAAAGTTTCCAAAGCGCTTGCACTAACCCCAGGCTATCTGATCTCGATAGTGGTGGCGCCGGCGTGCTCGGTGATAGCGTTGTTGTAGAGATGGGCGTTATTAGCACTGATTTTGCGACCGAGGCTGGAGACGGTGGTGGTGCTTTTGCGCTCGGTGATGGCGTCGGATACGATGCGCTCGTCGGCGTGTCGAGCGGAATGCCGGCACCCATGGGGACGGCATTTTCACTCAAGCCTCGCTTGTGGTGAATCATCGGTAACCTCGGCGTCGAATGGCGCGATGATGGAGTCGGTGTTTCTGGCGAAACTTCGACAGCGCGCGCAGGCGTCAAAAATTCAGCCTCACGCATCGCTTCACCATGATACGCTACCGCGCTCGGCAATTCGGTTCGAAAAAATGAATGTATCAACGACGGTACGCCGCCGTTCACGCCAGCCGCAAGAGATCCTTGTAGTAACCTTTGTAAGAGCTCAGCGTGAGGTCTACGAGCGTGCGCCGCTGCTAATAACGCGATGGTTTGCTCCTCGAGCATTTGAATCGCGCTCTGACACGGGTTCATTTCTTCGACAGTGGTGTCAATAATGGGCGCACGGGGGAGAAGACTTGGGAACTGCCCATCGACCGTGATAATCGTACGGCGTCGTCCTTGATAACGAAGGGATGCGACGACTGCACCTTGCCCTTGACTGACCTCACCGTCTTCGGTGAACAAAACTGGAGTGTCAAACATGAACCGCCCACACCGTGTGAAACCAGTGCCGCCAACGCCGCCACCAATGGCGGCTTGATTAATCGACTCTAAGTCTCTCTGCACCGCTGTTATTTGCACACCGGCACATCCTTCTTCGATCACACTTTCTGCATTCGTTGACATTGCCGTGACGCGTGTACCTGAAGGAAGATACGGCGAAAGTTGCGAGATGATCTTTTTATTCATGTCGCCGAGCGTTCGATCTTGGCTCTCGCGATAGACCCACTCCAAACCTTGCATTTTATCCCACACATCACCGAGTAGACGTATACGCCAAAATGTCGCCGACTCAGGTGGTGGTTTACTCGTGATGTCCCATTCGTAGCGCTTGGGATCGCCAACGCCAGATGTCGCGTCGAGACGGCGGAAAAGTTCAGCCATCATGGCGTGTGATTCGCTCAGCGAATCAAACTGTCTGTGCGTCTCCCATGCGATTTGCGCGGTTTCGTTGACGCGGATTGCAGCTTCGAGGTGACCACCCTTGGTAAACAAGTCCACCGCTCGAGATAGATGAGTTAATATTTGTGCCTCGCTGATTTCTTCCGTGCCACAGCGGATGCCGGCGACAGCAGGAACTGGCGATGCGCCGTCGGGTAAAGCAAAGAATGAGTCTCGCAATGACTGCACATCGTGATCGAACCACACACACAACGTAGGAGCGGCAATTGAGAAAGCTTGCATAGCGATGATGCCAGCAGCCGTCGATGCTTCCGCGGCTTCCACCCAGTGCTCGTTCGCGGCGAGTCTATTTGACAACGAATGCAACACCTTGACGTGCGCCGCGGGAGAAGACTTGAGAGCGAGCGCAAGCGATGACTCGAGCTCAACCGCACACGATACATCGAACATCGAACTTGGATTCATCGTCGCGTTTGCTAATTTTCGAATGCAGATCTCCGCATACTGAAGCGTTTGCAGCGTTTCCTTGACCGAGTTGTTCCAACCCGCCGGGCTCACCTCGTTGCCGGATTTGAGAGCCTCCAAGGAAATTGCCACACCATCTGCGCATGAAATGGGTCTCAACGGAAAGAACGCGGCATGCATGGCGTAAATCAGCGTCGGACACAGTTGTTCACTCGTACCAAAGATATCCACAGCGGCCTCGAGCATCGTTCGTAAACTTGCCACTGCGAGATCACGCGTGGGCGGTGGACGCGCCGCGGCTTTGAACACCGCGATGGCGGCACCTTGTAAAAATGCGTACGGACTTACTCCTGGTGCCTTCGCGGGCTTCGGTGGATAATCTTCTATCGGAACATTATCCTTACGTTGGTGCAACGACGCCATGAGCACCTTTCTGTGTTCTCTTAAGAGTGAATTCAAAATTGGCGCCGACAATTTCCAAGCGGCAGCGCTCTGCGGCCTCGATAAAATAGCGAGCATCACGCCCAAGACGCCCTCCAACGCGTTGAACGATTCAACTTCACACTCCTCGTCGCCCTGCGTACCTTCTCTGGCAAAATCGTCGAACGATAACGACTCCGATGGAGATAATGACACAGACCTCGTGATCTGCACCGTCTCATTTGGATCTGGAACTTTGCTGCGATAGCCCATCGCTCGAGCCGCGACGCGTATGACGCCCCAGTTCGACTTCGAGCTACCACGCGCGTGCCATTCGCGTATCAGACGCAAAACGATCATGTACACGCATGTGTTTAGATGACCTGCGCCCATGCGTCTGTCCGAAACGATTTGAGAATCCAAGACGTCTACGGACACCGGGCCGGCGGGCGACCACGCTCCCTTTTCGTCGCGCTCGTAGGCAAAGTCTTTAGCCGCCATCGAAAGGATGCTCACGAAGTGTTTCATTCGTGAGGCGTCGTCACTGAGCCAAGTCCAAAGTTTATTCGCGTCGGAATCGCGAGCTAATGAGAGAATGCTCACCAAAGCGTCTCTGCGTGCCACTAGGGGTAGGGTTTCAATGGTTTGACATTGCGCGATGAGTAAGCGCAGGAGCGGCGCGTACGCGGCGGCGATGGATCGACGTGCGCCCGTGGACTGCCACGCGCGATCCCATGCATGCCTCGTGAGTGCTGACGCAATAATCCGAGTCGCGCATTCGGCTCTTTTGACGCCGTGCGGTCGCATGGGATCGATTGTCAGCAAATTTGACTCCATTGCATCAGTAAAGGCGTTGACGAGGACGTCACCGGCGCTAAACTTTGCCGTCTCTTGAGTCCAACCATTCTTACCTTCATAGACGGCAGATGCTGTGATGATGTCCAGTATCACCGGTGATGCGCACAGAGTATCGAAGAACTCGCGCAACAACGCTGTGTGCACAGCGTTGCCTTCGCCGAGACTCTTGACGTGCAACGCCGCGAGAGTCGTCGCCAACGGCGCAAGCGGACCAGCGCGTCCCAGAGTTTTGACGTCTTTCGCACCGTCCATTTGCTTCTTGATCCCGGGAACAGTGAATAACGCTGTTAAGAACATGGCGACCCCACAGTTCAGATTTCTCGCCTGCTCGAGATCGGCGTTCGAGGGCGACGTGCGCTCGCCGCGAGTCTTCACTTCATTCGACAGGATGTCGACAACTTGTCTTAGCGCCGCGTCGTCGTGTTCCATAGAAATCGTATCGCTCGGAGACTGAGCGCGGTCGAGCGCAATGGCACGGTATATCATACCGAGAAAGAACCACGACATAGACAACGCCTCTTCGTAAGGAATGTAAGACTCTCGTATTGCTCCCAACACGGCTGAATATCGCTTGGCAAGGACAGCGTGCACTGGGACGTTGCTTCGCGACGTCCCGAGCGTTTGTAACTTTGTCAACTGTTTGCTTGACGACCGTTCGAGAGAACCGAAGGCGAGTGTAATATAAGCTTCAAGAGGAGGACTATGACTCACGACACCGGCGACGGCAGGCTTCGGGCCAGGGTCGACGCGTTGAACCGCGGCCACGACACGCACAAGGGTGTGGAACGCCAAGGTTCCGATGTCTTGAGTTTCATCAACGCGTTCGTTCTTCGAAAGCGACGAAATGAGTGATTGCTGTTTGTTCGCGATAGTATCGATGCTGCCCGCCAAATCGTCGCTCAGTGCGGCTGAGGCGAGGGAAATTGCGTCGTCATCATCATCTCTTCGCGAATCCTTGCTCAAACGTGAGCTAAGTTGTTCCTCTGTTTGGTCCATCTCTACTTCTGGATCGGCGATTCGCAGCGTCAAACTCACCAACAAGTTCAATATCGCGGGCAAGTGTTGAATCAATGCGCGATCACTCGCGAGAGAGAGTTCGCTCACAGCGATTCGTAGCTTATCCTCCGTTTCGGGCGTTTGCGCGTTGCACCACGCCGCAGAGGCGGCAAAGAGAGCGCCTATGTGAACGTCCCCCGTGTGCATGGTAGATGCGAGTCGAAGTCTCACATGCACACACTCTTTTCGTTCTTCCCAGTACGGCATGTGCGTTCGGACGTTCGACTGCAAGTATTTCGGCAAGAGCTCGCGCACGGCGACGAGACTTAAATCGCCACCCGTGGGCGTCGTCGCACTTGCAATCTTCGACGCTAACGTCTCTGGTTGCGAGCAGAGATTGATGACCGAGTGTCCGAGCAATTCTTCTTCTCCAGCGCCAGCGCTAAAAAGGCCGGTCGAGGCACTCTGTGCTCCAAAAATACTCAACACTAGGTGATGTGACGGATTCAATCGCACCGGCAAACGCACTCGCGCCTCGTGGTAAAAAACACCCCCCTTTGATCGCAAGCGACTCATCGCCGTCCAACTTTCGCGACAAAGTCCGCGCCCGCAAGGTGATGGAAATGCGAGCAATCCTCTACCGTCTATGTCTAAATCATCGTCTCTGAGCTGCATGCGCACACGAAGATCTTGTCGTTTGCCGATGTCAATCGTCTTGACGTACACGTACAAATCTCTCGACAAACCGTCGTCTACGGCGCCACCCCATGCGGTTTCCCAATCGAGCTCACCATTTTGCGTGCGAGGACAAAACGAAAGCAATTCTTTGACGTGCACTAAACCAGGAGGGAATTTAAACGCGTTCGTCTCCGCGCCCGGCGCGGGCACGTCGAGCGGATTCAACAGACAAACCAGCTTGCATCTAATCGGTTTGTGAGACTTCAAAGAGTGGCTCGTCCCGCTCGAGATCGCCGCCTCCATGAGTGAGAATTCGGTGTAAGCCTCTTTCACACGGTACATCTCGCTACACTTCGTTTCGCTGAGTAGTGTGGCTCTGTCCGGCGCGGCGCCCGCGCGCGCGTCGAAAATCGGCAGCACGGCCCACGCGAGCGTGTTCCGCCTCTTGGAAATGTTCGGGTTCTCGACCTCATTCGCGGCTAACTGAGTGCTGCCGTCGGATGAGTGCACTGATGCAGCTGACTTTTGACTCGCTTGCGCTTCATGCTGACGAAGCGCTTCCATACCGAGCACGCGTTGCCGCTCCTTCTCGGCATGCACCTTGGCCTTGCGCAAATCCTTGTACGTGTACACCTTGTCCTCGATCCCACCCTCATCCGCGGCGAGATGAGTGAAATGTACGAGAAGACGAATGTTGAGCGTGAGCGACTCGGCGGGTACGGTGAACGCCGCGATCGTGCTCTGTTTTGCATTCGGCCAAGAGAAGTGGAAATTTTCGCTCACCTTTGTGCGCGTTTGTACGTCGTAAAGCGCCATCGTCCCTTCGATGGTCTCCAGCGCCCCGACTTCAAAGTAAATCTCCGCGATTTCCAACGTGAATCTCACGGTTTGCCTTTCGCGCGTCGCCGCGCTCAAGGAAACAGCGGGCATTTTCCCCAACGCGCTCGCCGGCGTCTTCGGAAGCGCGAGCGAACCGGGCAGCGGGTGCGTCCCTCGAATGCCCGTGTCGTACAAACGCATCAGCGACCCATCTTCGCTGACATCATCGTTCGCACCGGCATCACTCTCACCCTCACCCGACGTCGACGTCGACGCGGACGTCGTCTGTCTCGTCTCGTCCTCCTCCTCGTCGTATCGCTCCCTCGCGCGTTCGCTCGTCTCCGCCCCTCGCGCCCACCCATCGTTCGCTCCCATCTCCAGCGCCAACCACCGCGCGCGTTTCGACGCCACCAACGCTTCCACGTGCGGCGCGTCGATCTCGTTCGCATCGATCACCGCCGCTCGAAACCCTCCGCCGCCGTCGTTCGCCGCCGCGCCGCTCGTCCCGTTGAACGACCCGCCGTTGGACGACATCGACCCGTGCCGCGTCCCCGTCGCCGGCGCGTGCATCGATCCTCCCCGTCGTATCGCGCGCCACGTCGATCCCGACGTCGTCATCGATCCCGTCGCCCCCCCCGCGCGCGCGTCGTCGTCGTCGCGCGCGCGCGCGTCCCACAACTGTCGCGTCGATAATCACCGTCGCACCGCCGCGTCTCTCGCGTCCGCGCGCCCGTCTCGCCCGATCGCGCGCGTCTTGACCCCCGATCGACCCAAGCGATCGATCCACGATCGATCCGCGCGCGCGACGCGCGTCTCGCGCGTCCGCGCGCGCGAGATTGATCGCCGACGACGATGCGATTTAAGATTCCCTTCTTCACGAAAAACCCGTAATTTCCATCCCGCGCGGCGTCCGACGCGTCCGTCTAGATTTTTTAGCGCTCGATCGTCGTAGTGCGCGCCGAACGGCGCCATGAACGTTTCGCCGGGTCACGTCGCGGTGGCTTGTAACTCCGCGCGGAGGGCGAGCGCGCGTGCCGCGTCCGCGACGCGTCGACGGCCGCGGAATCCATCCGCGCGGATCGCGCGTCCGCCTTCGAGCTCGCGGTCCGCGTCGCGGCGTCCCTGACGGGGCGCCGCGGCGCGGTTGGAGCGCCGGACACCGCGCGAGGCGGGGAACCGAACTGCGTCACCGGCCGCCGCGAGCGGCGAGCGGGGAGCGCGCGAGAGCGGGCCGCGGCGCGGTCGGCGCGTCGCCGGCGCGAAGCGCGCGCTGTTTCTTTTGCGACCGGCGGCGCGCGTCGACGGTTGCGAAGCGAAACGGTTGCGTCGATCAATCAATCAATCAATCAATCAATCAGACATGACGACGAGGCACGCGTACGCGATCGCGAACGCGTTCCCGTCGGCGACGAAAGGCGACGACAGTGGGAATCCCGCGGCCGTGGTGCTTTTGCCGGACGATGGACCGTGGCCGCCGGACGCGGTGATGCAGGCGGCGGCGAGCGAATTAGGCTTGAGCGAGACGGCGTTCGCGAAGCGGGCAGACGTGGAGGTCGTCGGCGCGATGGTGCATCGGATGTACGACATACGGTGGTTTACGCCAAAGTGCGAGATCAATCTGTGCGGGCACGCGTCGATGGCGACGGCGCACGAGATTTTTCGAGCGCCGGGGAACGAGCACGTCACTAAGATTGGATTTTTATACGGCAAGCCGCGTGATGTGTGCGATGGAACACAAGTGAAAGCCGCTTACGAGTCGTTGTTCGTGTGGAAAGATTTGGACGGCGGTGTAGAGTCGTCCTACGCGATGGCACTTCCGGAGGAACGCGCGAGATCCTTTCCGGACGCGCTTGGTGAGGATGGGTTCTTACACCCTCAAGAAATCGTGAACATGATTCGAGGCTGCTTTGGCGACGACCACGAGCGCTCGAACTCGCAGAGCTCTGCGACTTCCAAGGCGAAGTACGAGCTTCGGTACAACTTCATCGGCGACTTGTTTTTCATAATCGACACGGATGATGCACCCGACGAGGTGTTTGAGGCGTGTTTCGACCGCTTCATGAATCACGCGCCCGATCTGAAGGCGATATCGGAAGTGGGGAGGTGCTTCATCGAGGAAATGAAGTACGACTTTGAAATGGTTCAAGGTTTTCGTGGTTTGTGCGTGCTCTTGACGGTGAAAAATCGGCCGAATCATTCGTACGATTTCTACACGCGATGGTTTGGGCCGGATGTCGGTATCGACGAAGATCCCGTGACGGGTAGCGCGGCGAGCGGCTATGCTAGATTTCTTGATGACAAGTTGCCCGAGGTCGTCGGTAAAAAGCGCGGTTGTCAAATGTCGAAACCCAGGGGCGACATCACGGTGAGTCTCTCGGACAACCCCTACCCCGACACGGATGTTCATGTCGAGGTTGTCGGCAAAGTTGCGACGAGATCGAGTGGTGTTCTCGAGGTTTCTGTTCTAAAGGATGGTGATATATCAGTCGTGAATCGACGAAACTCCTAGTTTGTAATTTTAATCGCTAAAACGGCTATCTATTGCGTCGTCGGATTGGCGCTCACCGCGCGATAGAAGTGCGGCGCGAGCTCGCGCAACCAATCGGCTTCGACGACGGTGACGTCGCGCATGTACTCGCGATCTGTGCGAACGGCGGAGCAATACGCCACGCATTGCGGTCGCGAGCGGAACAGCGCGGAGCTTGGATGTATTCGGAGCTCTCGAGCACGCGCGCGCGCACTCATCGCGCGGAGAGAATGAAAGACGGAACCATCGGGGCCGCCACCGTAGGGCGCGAGCGTTGCAGCGTTAGCAAAGAACCCAGCAGCAATCGCACGTCGAATTGGTACCGTATCATCGCCGCAAGACGAATTCGTGACGACTCCCAGTCTAGCGAGATGCTTTTTCAATTGACTGCGTACATCTCCAGCCCGAAGCAGCGCTCGATGATTGAGCATGTTGTTGCTCGCAAACTTTGCCTGGTTTCTCGCGTCACAGTACGCGTCGTGGATGTTCAACATCATCACTGCGTCTCCTTCTTCCACGGCAAAGCGGTCGCGCATCTCATCTAAGCGTTTCTTTTGCCCGCGATGCGTGACCCACAACGACTGCACTTGCATGTACGCCGCGACAGTCAACGCTTCCCTTACGCATCCCATCTCTCCACTCACGAGGAGCATCTTCCCTAGCTGCGGCTCGAGTGGGATTTCGGCTAAGTGCACGCCGAGCGGACTCGTGAGCTTGGCGTCGTCGTCCAAAGCCCTGAGCGCGTATAAAAGCTCGAGCGCCTTGATCATGTTCGCCGCGGGCGGCGGCGACACCCACTCAAAGTTCATGATATTATCAATACCCATCGCCTTGATCTGCAAAACCGTACTCGCGAGGTCACTTCGAACGATCTCCGGAGCCGTGACGTCGGCCAACGAGCGATAGTCAATCTCGGTGCACAAGCGAAAGCATTTACCCGGACGCACGCGACCGGCGCGACCGGCGCGTTGGTTCGTACTCGCCTTGCTCGCGGGTGCGACGAACAAACTCTCCATGCCGCGCTCTGGGTCGAACGCCTTTTGCTTCGCAAAGCATGAATCTATGACGTACACGACACCTTCAATCGTCACAGACGTTTCGGCAACGTTTGTCGCCACGACGACTTTGCGCGCGCCTCTGCGCGGCGGTCGAAACGCCTCCAACTGCGCCGCAGGATTTAATCCCGCATACAGTGGACAAACCACTAAATCCAGCGCATCGTGTGACCGTCTCGGATCGCGTTTCATCTCTCGCGCTTCCTCTTCGAGCAAGTTGACGGCGTCGTCGATCTCGCCCTCGCCTGTGAGAAAGATTAATATATCACCTGGTCCTTCGTTTCGATGCACTTCCAACGCCGTCTCTACCGCGCTCAACACGTAATCTCCGGTCGGTTCATCCAGATAATGAATCAACACACCGTGCGCTCGACCTTCGACGGACATGATGATGGGCTTTCTCGAAGGTCCATCGCCGTCGTCGTCCTCGCCGCTCGCGTCAAAGAACGCCGCGAATGATTCCGCCTGAATCGTCGCGCTCGACACGATCAACCGCAAATCCCTTCTCGCGCGCTGCACTTTCTTCAATAATCCTAACAACACGTCCGTCGCTAACGTGCGCTCGTGCGCCTCGTCCACTATCACCACCGAATACTTTGTCAACAACGGATCCTCCGCGAGCTCGCGCAACAGCGCTCCATCCGTGCAAAATTTAATCTCCGTCTTCCCCGGCGTGCACACGTCCTCAAATCGTATCGCGTACCCAACTGTATCCCCTATCACACACCCTACCTCCTCTGCGACGCGTTGCGCCACCGTCTGCGCCGCCACTCGTCTCGGCTGCGTCACCGCCACAGTCGCGCCGCCGCCGCACCAGCCGCCGTCTCGCAGGTACTGCGGTATCTGCGTCGTCTTTCCGCACCCCGTGTGCCCGACGATGACCGTGGTTTGATGTTTCTCGACGCAGTACATCAATTCGTCCGCGTGCGCCGCGATCGGGAGCGCGCGACGACGCGCGCTCAGCGACGCTTTCGGATTTTTCTCGAATTGAATCAACGTCCCCGTGGCGTCGGCATCGGCGTCGACGTCGAGAGTTAAGAGAGTCGACGGCGCGGACGTCGAGGGAGCGTCCGCGCCTGGGCGCCAGAACCCGGCCATGGCGCGGTTGCGCCGAGCGAGGACGCGCGGCGTCGAACTCTGGAGAAGAAAGAGGCGAGCGGGACGCGTCGAGCGCGCGCGAGCGGCAGAGAGACGCATTCTCTCGTCTTTACGTGTCTACGTCTCTACGTATTATTAATCAAGACTATGCCTGGTGCAGTCTATTCTACCGTCACCGATTTCGCGAGGTTGCGCGGTTGATCGACGTTGTGCCCGCGCAAGACGGTGAGGTGATACGAGAGCAACTGCAAGGGGACGATGTTGATCAAAGGTTGCAAGCAGTCGCACACCTCGGGAACCTTGATGATCATGTCTTCGTTCGAGGCGAATTTGTCCAAAGAATCATCGTCTTCGCTGACGATCAAGATGCAGCGCGCGTCGCGAGCGCGAAGCTGCTCGATGACGGACTTTTGCTTGAGGTAGGAGGAATCGCGCGTGGCGATGACGACCAAAGGAAGGGTCTCGTCGACCAACGCCAATGGACCGTGTTTCATCTCACCCGCCAAGATGCCTTCAGAGTGAAGAAGGGCGACTTCTTTCACCTTCAGGGCGCCTTCGAGGGCGGTGGCGTAGTTGTAACCACGACCGAATAACAGCAAAGAGTTCTCGTCCACGAGAGTGCGGGCGAGCGCGAGCATTTTCTGATCGAGCTCGAGCGCACGGCGCATGGTGTCTGGCAATGTGACGACGCCGCGCATGATGTCCATGCGGCGATCAGCGCGAGAGCGAGAATCTTCGCTGAGAGCCAAGGCGAGGAGCACCATGGAGGTGATTTGGCACGTGTAAGCCTTGGTGGAGGCAACGCCGATTTCGGCGCCGGCGTTGATGTGGAGACCGCAATCGGTGGCGCGGGAAATCGCCGAACCGACTACGTTGACGATCCCGATGCACAACGCCCCCTTGGACTTCGCGTACTCGAGAGCGCGCAAAGTATCCGCGGTTTCACCGGATTGCGAGATGAAAATAATGGAATCATCGCGGAAGAACGGGCACTGACGATCTAGGACGTCCGAGGCGAGCTCGAGCGTCACCGGCAACTCGGTCAGTTCTTCCATGAGCTGACGAACAGCGATGGCGCTGTTATAACTCGTCCCGCATCCACACAAGATTATTCTACGTGACCGTCGAATGGTGGACAAGTAATCAACCATGCCACCGAGGAACACGCGTTGCACGTTTCCGTCGGCGTCGAAGACGACGCGACCGCGCATCGTCTGCTGAATCGCGTCCGGTTGTTCGTGAATTTCCTTCTTCATAAAGTGATCAAAGTTTCCCTTCATGATTTGCTCAACCTCCATAGTCAGCGTCTCAATCGTACGCTCGACTTCAGCGGATTTCACCGTCGGAGCATACGCCAAACTCGGCGAATCTTCGCCCTCGGTGTGAATCTTCTCCATGCGATAGATGCCGTACCCTCCGTTGTGAATGTGCGCCACGTCGTCGTCCTCCAGGTGCAACACGCGCTTAGTGTGCTCTACCATGGCCGATGCGTCGGAAGCGAAGTAAAATTCCATCGACGTCCGCTTCGCGCGCTTAGACGTCGGCACGAAGCCTTCGCTCGTCACCAACGCGTGCTGCTCTCCCGGATGCGGTCCCTCGGCGATGCCCAAGAGCAACGGCGACCCGCGCTTCGCCGCCACCAACTCCCCCGGGTAATGCCTCGATTTAAACGCCAGCGCGTACGCCCCGTGCAACTGTCTCAACACCTCCATCACCAGCTGTCTGAACGAGCACTTATCGTGAAATTTATCGAATAAATACTTTGTCAACTTTGGAATGACCTCGGTATCCGTATCGCTCTCAAACATGTACCCCTTCCGCTGCAACGTCTCCCTGAGCGCCTGATGATTCGTTATGATCCCGTTATGCACCACCAAAAAATCATTCTCCTCATCGCTCGTGTGCGGGTGCGAATTCTTCGGCGCCGGCGGTCCGTGCGTCGCCCATCTCGTGTGCGCGATGCCGCAGTGCGACTCGAACACCAAATCCCCGTGCAGATCCTTCTCACTCGCCTCCAGCAACCCCTCCAGGTTCGCGATCTTCCCCGTCTCGCGAAACACCTTCGCCGTCGTCCGCGACACGTCCTCCCCGTCCTCGAGCGCCAGTCCCGCGCTGTCGTATCCGCGGTACTCCAATCGCTTCAGTCCCGTGAGCAGCTTCTCGACGATCTCCTTCTGGCTCTTCGGGCAGTTCCAATTACTGTACGCGAAGATCCCGCACATCGCGACGCGATCCGCGATCGAGCTCGCGTCGTCGTCGCGCGCGCGCGCGCGTCGCGTCGCGTCGTCGCGCGCGCGCGCGTCGGCGTCGGATCGCCTTTCGGAACGTCGACACACGGACCACGAGGTCGCGGCGACCGACCGCTTTACACTCGTATGCGCAAACAGTACGGAAACAGACGCGTCGGGCGACGGCCGGTCGCGCGCGCATCGCCGCGAATCGCCATCGCGCGACGCGCGACGCGACGCGACCCGCCGACGACGCGACGGAGGCGCGGTGACTCGCGACGTCGCGCGTCCATCGATCGACGGCGAACGCTCGGACCGATGGACGATACACGCGATGGGAAGCGGGCGACGATGGATGGGACGACGACGCCGCGTCAGCGCGCGCGAGGCGACGCGCGGAGGCGCGCGGGAGAACGCTGGGCGCGAAGCGACGCGCGAGGGGACGCGAGCGGACGCGGGAACGCGCGACGGAGGCGACGGGAGCGGTTCGACACGCCGGTGGGGTCGCCGGAGACGTCGGGGGGGGCGGGGGACGCGCGCGGGCGGGACGCGTTCGAACGCGCGGCGCGAGGACGACGGGAACGGGACGGACGACGACGGTGGGAGGGACGCGCGAGCGAGACGGCGCGGGATGTGAGTGGGAGGGAAGAGGTGCGCGCGGGAGGGGGGAGCGAGATCGAGAATTTGCCGCGGGATTGCTTGGCGCACGCGTGCTCGTTCGCGGACGCGGCGACGGTGGAGGCGCTCGGGTTGACGTCTCGGACGATGCGAGAGGCGACGCTCGATGATTCGCTGTGGAAGTCGCTGTGTGAAGCTCGATGGCGGTGGCGGGCGAGCGGGACGTGGGCTCGGAGCGCGCGGTTGCCTTTCGAGTCGGTGTTTGGCACGAGCGCCAACGCCGAAAAGCGCCGAGATATTTTCCGCGGGGGGGAGGGCTGGCGACGGGCTTATAAGGAGCGTTTGCAAACCCGAGGAATCGCACGAGTGGCGGGTAAGCGCGTGATTCGAGTTGAATGCGACGGAGGAGTCATGCAGGCGAGCGCGCTGCAGCGCGTTCTCAACGCCACCTTGCCGGGCGACGTCGTTTGCTTGGGCAAAGGCACGTACGAAGGATCGTTAACCATTCCTCGCGGGATCGAGATTGTGGGTGTCGACAAACGAGAGAACGTGCTCATCGTGAGCGACGAAACTCCAGCGATGATGACATCGACGGCGATGAACGCTTCCCGTTCCGTCGCGTCCGTGGTTACCAACGTCACGCTGTTGCGACGGGGCTCTGCGAAACGCAGCAGCTCGTCTGGATACGGCCACCAGGCGTGCGTGTACGTTTCCGACGGCTCGCGATTGCGACTTGACAGTTGCGATATCGTGAGCGCTGGTGAAGGCGTGGTGGCGACGGCGCAAGACTCCGCGGTGCACGTGCACGCGTGTAACATTCACTCAGTGCTGTCGTCGTTTTTAAGCACGTCGCGACGCGGCAGCTCGCTCACGGCGTGCAGAATCACCGCCGCCAAGTCTAGCGTCGAAGACGCGCACGAAGAGGAAGTCATCGATGAGATCGAAAGCTTACCTTCGTCTTTGGGGTACGATCGTTTGTTTGCCGCCGTCACGGCTTTGTCGGGCCCGGTGGAGATTTGCAACAATCGCATCGTAAACGGGTTCGCGCATGGCGTCGTCTTGTTTGATTGCGCGCACGGCAATATCCACGACAACCTCATCGCGAACAACGTTGGCGCGGGTATTTCCGTGGGTGTATCTTCCACGGCAAATATTTCTAACACGATAGTCGCGAACAACTCCAGTGTCGGTATCGCAATGTGCGGTCGGGGCACGATTCGGCACTCTGAAGTCCGAGGCAACGCATTCAACGGGATCGATATCGCGCAGCGGTACACGAACCGCGACTACCTTACTGCGAGATTTGACGCAGGTACTGACGAAGAGCTCGATCTTGAAGAAGAATTTTCCGCATTTCTCATGGATTTAGACTCGGATGACTTCGAAAACGAAAAATCTTCCGAGGAGATTGACGTCCTCGTCGAGGGGTGCCATGTTTCCAAAAACGCGAACGACGGCGTGTGCGTGTCTGGTGGCGCGAATGTTGACGTGATTCATTGTGAGATCAACGGAAATCTGTGCAACATCGCGATAGATCGTGGAAACGTGCGATGGAGCCGCGTGCTTGTGGAGGGAGAAAGTATGCACGCCGACGCGCCAAACGTGCGCGTCGCCGAGTCGCACTCGACGTTGATCCCGATGCCAACAAGCATCGAAGGACCGCAGTTCGTCGATGCGACAGTCATGCCTAAGCTCCGACGATTCATTCCGAATCCGTCTCCGCTTACTGTCGTGCTGTGAAAAGCTGTACACTTGTAAACACATATGTATGTTACATTACATCACTCGTCGTCCGCGCTCGAAATGGCCTTCGCCGCACTCATTCCTGCCAGTCTACCGCTACACCACGCCCATAGAAAATTAAATCCACCGATTCTGCCGAACACGTCACAAACTTCACCGCACATATAAATTCCCGGCGCCTTCAAGCTCGCCATCGACGCCGTGTCGAGTTCATCCAAAGCTACGCCGCCACCCGTGACTTCAGCCTTGCGATACCCTTGATGACCTTTCACCGCGATTTCGTATTCAGTCAACACGCGCAGAAGCTTCGCGCGATCGTCCTTTTTCAGTTCGGCAATTTTACATCGCGAATCAACGCCGGATTCAGCGACGAGGGCGTCGGCGAGGCGACTCGGAAGCGCTTCGCGTAGTCGGCTGACGACGAGCGCTCGGCCCGGCGGCGCTGTGAGGCGCTCTTGCCACTCTTCTCGTTTGATGCCGCTCCAATTAATCACCATTCTCGGCGACGACGACGTCGGAGCGTCAAAATCTTCGTCTCGTAAGCTTCCACCTTTGGATTCGTTCGCTCGCACCAGCGGCCGTACCAGGTGATGGCTCAGATCCAAAACGCTCGGTCCAGAATACCCGCGATGCGTGAAGAGAAACCCCTTGCGAATCGCTTGCGCCTTCTTCTTCCCACCGCCACCGTCGGCGTTCGCCGCCGCTACCTTCAGCTCGACTTCGACGGAGACCCCTGGTAAGGGTTCGCCGCCCGGATGCGGTCCCGTCAGCGGCACCAACGCGGGATACGGCTCGTGTAACGCGTGTCCTAAATCCCGCCTCGCGATGGCGTACCCGGTGCCATCCGTTCCGACGGCGGGAAAACTCAGCCCTCCCATCGCGAGCACGATCGCGCGCGCGCGTTCGTCTCCCGACCCTCGCACTCGAAGCGTCCATCCCATCCCATCGCTTCCTCGCACCACCCCATCGACGCTCGTCTCGTACTTGAATTCCACTCCCGCCTTCTCGCACGCGGCGACCAATCTATCCCGCACCTCCCTCGACGAGTTGCTCAGCGGAAAGTATTTATTCGACGCGATCTCAATCCCCAGCCCTAATCCAATCTCCGTCTCCAGCCACTCTCGACATCTTTCGACGGACCACGACGCGAGCACCGCCTTCAATCGTCGATTCGCGCTCTCCGTGGTGAAATCGTTCGCCGTCGCGCTCGTCGGCAGCACGTTGCACCGCGCGCCGCCAGACATCAAAATCTTCTTCCCGCACTCGCTCGTTCGTTCGTACACCGTGACCCGCGCGCCCGCGCGCGCGGCGAAGTACGCGGCGGTGAGTCCGGCGGCGCCGCCGCCGAGGACGGCGACGCGCGAGGCGTCGTCGGCGTCGCGCGCGAACGCTCGGGACGCGCCGGGACGCCGCCGGGACGGCGACGCGCGCGACGGCGCGCGGAGGACGGCGCGAGCGATCGCGCGCGAGAGCGACGCGCGCATCGTCGTCGTCGAACGCGCGGGCGTGAAATCGCGCGCGGGCGCGACGCGCATGTCAAAGAGTGCGGCGGTCGTTACGAAACGGTCGTTATGTATTCATGGTGCGGCGCGCCGAGGCGCGAACGTCGGCGATGCGTCGGATCAGTCCTCGAGGACGCTCGCGGGAAGGGGCGAACGGTCGTCGATATCGCGACCGACGCGCTTGCTCGGAGACGGTTGGTCGGTGCGCGGCGAGTTGCCGATGTCGTGCAGAGGCGCGGCGACTTGCGTCGGCTTCTCCGTCGGCGGGAACTCGACGTCGGCTAAGATGGAGTCGGAAAAGTGGTTGTCGACGTCCAATTGTTCGAGGGAATCGTCGTCTTTATCGTTGATGTCGTCGTCGTCGTCGTTATCGTTGATGTCGTCGTCGTCGTCCTTTGCGGGTTCGTCCTCGGCGGCGTCCTCGGCGGCTTTTTCGTCGGAGCCGTCTCGTCTTTGAGGCGTCGTCTCGTGCGTCATCTCGTCGTCGTCGCCGTGAGCGGCGTCCGCGTCGCTCGCGACCAATTGAACGCTTTCGTTGAGTTTGTCCAAGAGTTGCTTTGCTAAATCGCGCGATTCTCGCGCCGATGACGCGAACGCCTTGACGCGAGCTTCGGCTTCTTCAAGCTCCTCCTTGCGAACCGACTGGATTCGAGCGACGCGGGCGTTCAAATTTTCAATCTCCTCGGCGCATTCCTTTTGAACACTCGCGATGGCTTCCACGCGCTTCGTCTCGGCGGCGTCGAGCGCCGATTGCAACTCCGCGAGCTTGGTTTCCATCTCCTTCGTCGCGCTCGCCGCGCCTTCAACCACCGCCTGCGCCTCCTCGAGCTCAGCGTTGAGCTTTTCCGCGCGTGCTTCGGCTTGTTTCACTTTTTCCTCGGCTTCGCGAAGCGCTTCCGCGCGTACGTCATCGTTGTCGCCCTCCGCCGCCTCGGTCGGCGCCGCTGCCTCCTTTTCGCGGCGTCGCGCCTCTTCGAGCTCCTTCTCGAGCGCCTCCACGCGTTGACGCAACTCTCCGTTCTCCGTCGTCAACTCGCGCATGGCCTGGCCTTGTCCCTCGTTATCATCGCAGCTCTCGCGCGGTTTCTTCGCACCGCCGCCGTTCTCCACCGCCGCCGTCGCCGGCGACGCGCGCTTCTTTTGCAGCGGCGTCGGCGTCTCGTCCACGGGCACGCGCGTCGCCCTCGGCAACGTTCCGTCCGGATTCAGCTCAAACCTATACTCCAAATGAAACGGCATCGTCACCGCGTCCCCATCCTTGAGCTCGTAATACTCATCCTTATTGATCCGTTCGCCGTTCAGCATCACCCCATTTCGCGACAAGTCGATGATTTTAATCTCAAACTCGGGCGGCGACACCTTCGCGTCCTTCACCTCGCACGTAATCACCGCGTGCTTCGCGCTCACTACGATTTGGATTCCACGACGCGCGCGCGTCCGTCAGTCCCCCGCGCGTTCGATTCCCTCGATCTTTCGATCGTCCGTCCGCGCCATCGATCGCCCGCTCGCTCGCGCCCGAACCCTTCGCCCCTCGTCCTCGCGCGCGTTTGAATCCAAATTTCAAACGCGTCGCTCGCGCTCCCCCTCTCTCGCCTCGCCCTCGCCTCGCGCGCACCGCTCGCGACGTCCAGCGCCAGATCCGCCGGTTGCGTCTTCGCCCGCGCCGTGCCCTCCTTGTTCATGACGATCCGTCCGAGGACCGCGCTTCGCGTGCGCAGTCGCAGCGCGCCGTCGCGCGCCGTCGCCGTCGCCGCGTCGCGCGCGCGCGCGCATCCGTCCGCCGTCTTCGTCAGCGCCGCTCGATCGACGTGTTTCACGCGCGCGGACTCATCGACGATGGGCACCAGCCGCGCGTACCACCGCCGGTCGTCGTCGTCGTCGTCGTCGTCGCGCGCCATCGCGTCGCGCTCTGCCGGGCGCGCGGTCGGCGCGCGCGGTCGGGCCGTCGGTATTCGTACGCACACTGTTTACCCATACCGACCGACCGCGTCATATATCAGTCTCTCACTGTTTGCGCATACAGACCGACCGCGGACTGTTCCGTGTGTCGCCTCGAGCGTCTCAGGATAAGATGCGCGGCGCGGCGCGACGTCGCCGGCACGGCGGCGCGCGCGCGACGGCGCGCGCGCGACGATGCGGGCGACGATCGCGTCGACGCCGTCGACGTCGGCGTCGACGCGCGGCGACGCGATCGGACGCGCGCGCGCGCGATGGCGACGCGCGATGGATGCGCGCGCGATGGCGACGCGCGCGCGGGACGAGGACGCGGGCGCGCGCGCGAGGACGCGAACGCGCGGAATCGCGCGAGCGACGACGGCGGGTGACGCGGGAAACGCGCGGCGAGGCGAACGGGCGCGCGCGGCGGCGTGGGGCGAGCGGGGAAGGGACGAGGGAGGGGACGACGCGAGGGACGGGACGGCGACGCGCGGGAGACGCGGCGAACGCGGAGGGCGACGCGGACGTGGCGTCGAGCGCGGGTTCGACGCGTGGGAGCATCTCACGGCGACGGGGGGGACGATGGATCCGATGGTGGAGGCGCACGAGATCGAGGACGATGGGTGGGCGTCGCCGTTCGACGAGGAAAACGACGCGTTCGTGGGGACGCCGGAGCGGGCGGCGGCGCTGGACGAGGAGATTCGAAGCGTGAAGCCGCAAGGTTTTCAGTCGGTGGGGAGTCAGAGTCGAGATTCGGGTAAGGTGACGTACGGGTTGAGGCCGCTGTACGGGAAACTGCTGACGAAGAAGATCAAAGAGTTGGGCGACGCGAGACGACTGGACGCCGTGTTTGATTTGCTGGAGATGTCCGCGATACCGACCACGCCGAAGGGGAGGAAGATCACGATGGGTGCGGTGATCGGGGCGTGCGTGAAGTGCAACGAGCTAGATACGGCGTACAAGCTCCTGATGAAGCTCGACGGAGTGTCCGAGTGCGGGGCGGGGGCGCCAGCGTACAGCGCGCTCATGCTGGGATACGCCAGACAGGGGCGTCTCACCGAGGCGCTCGGATTGCTAGAGCAGTGGGAGAAGGGCCGCGGGCCGAAGGATGGGAAATTCGGCGTAGGTAAACGCGGAAACATCGTCTTGCGAGGTTCGTGGAAATGGTCAAAGGACGACGTGCCAAAGTACGGAAAGCGCGACGACATGGGAACGCAATGGCACCCCAAACGAACGGCGACGACGCGCATGCTCTTCGCCGCGCTCGATGCGTGTGCGACGAATGGTGATGTGCGACGGACGCGCACGTTTATGAAGCGCATCACGACGTGGGAAGGACGCGTTCGCGGCGGCGACAACTTTAACGAAGACGAGTATATTTGGAACGCGCTCGTCAAGGCGTGCGCCCGAAGCCAGGACGCGTTGGGATGCTTGAACATTCTTCCTGAAATGTCCAAGGCTGGCGTCGAGCCGACCAGAGTGACGTACAACATCACCATCTCAGCGTGCGCCAAGGCTGGTCGCCCCGATTGGTGCCGCGCGTTGCTGCGAAGAATGGATAGGATCAAAGACGCCAACGTGCATCCGAATGAAATTTCGTACACGACGACGTTGGTGGCGGAGACGGCGGCGGCTCGAGACATTGTCGGTGGTGAATTCGCGGGTGGCGTCGATGTGGTGAAGGATCTTTGGAGTCGTTTCATAGCAAAGGGTGTGAAGCAAGACGGCATCGTCGTCGGCGCCTTCGTGAACGCCTTTGTGGCGTACGGAGACATCGACACCGCTTTGACGGCGCTCGACTTTGGCTACGAGAAGAAGATGTACATCAGTCCGAGCGTGTACTTCTCCGCCATGCGACTGTTGGCGACGAACGGCGACGAGCAAGGGGTACGAAAACTGAGCAGTAAGCTTCAGCGGAAGAACAAGAGCGGCGAGATCAAAGCCGAGTGCGACATGTTTGAGGCCGAAGCGTGCGCCGCGGCCGGCAACGTCGAGGGTGCGCGCGCCGCGATTTTCCGCGTTCAGAATGGTAACGAAGAGGCTGCGGCTAGGGTATTTCGCGACCGATCGTCCGGTGTTCTCGTCGCGCTCTTTGTCCAGGAAGTCCTCGAGTGTGACGCCAACTTCGACAACGCGGCGCAATCGTTCGATGAAGAGGACGACGACGGCGCGCAAGAATTCGATCCCTTGGACGACGACGTCGTGTTAAATCACAATGGTTCGCTCTGTCGATGGGAAAAGCCGGACGTGTGGAGCGTCACGCAGGCGCTCGACTTACTCGACGGTGCGTGGTCGTACGACGAATTCGACGAGCAAGGCATCGGCGCCTCACCGGCGCCTCCACCGCGAGGCGGTTGGGCCAACGCCGTGCAAGTCGGCGCCGTGGAGCCTCTCCTGTTCAAGAAGGGCGTCGCGCCGGGCGAACCGATCGCATCCGTGCTTCCAAACGTGGGCGAGTGCATGCGCCGCGGCGACATCGTCCGTCGCAGCGACTCTGTCGCCGACGCGCTCGAGTCTTTAGGCGCCAACGTCAACGCCGTCGTCATCGACGACGAAACTGGCATCCCCGTCGGCACGTTTCGTCGGGCCGACGGCTGCGTCGGCACCGACATTACCGTCGGTCAGGTCATGAGCGCCGCCCCCGAGCGTCTTTCGCTCGACGAAACCACCGTCGGCGACGTCGCCATGATGTGCGTTCGCGACTCCGCCGCTTTAATCGCCGTCGTCGACGAGCAAGGCTGCATCGTCGGCGCGCTTCGTCAGGACGACGTTCTCACCAACGCGCGCGTCAACGGCGACGACGCCTCGCCCCGTTAGCTCCCGCGCGCTTGATCAACATTTTTTAATTTACTTACCCGCAGCGATCGCTTCCCGCAGCGCCTCCGCTTCTTTCGCCAGCGCCTCGTAGCGCTCTTCTTGCCACTTGATCTGTCGACGCGCCACCATCATCGCCGTCTCCACCCCGTTCGTCTTCTCCTCCAACTGTCGCTCGAGCGCGAAGATCTCTCGCTCTTGCCGCTCGCACCGCGTCTCGTACATCGCGCATCGCTCCTCCGCGACCGCGCGCGCGTCGTCCGCGATGCGTCGCTCGCGATGCAACCGCAGCGTCTCCGCCCGCTGCGTCTCGAGCTCGTGCCGCAGCGCGTTCATCTTCTGCGCGTCCGACCGCCAAAAGCGAGCGTCGCCGAACGCGCGCGCGATCGGCGCGTCTCGGCGGTTCGCGACGCGCGCCGGCGTCGTCGCGCGCGTCGCGAGCGTCGGCATCGGCATCGAAAGCGCGTCGTGATTTGACGACGCGCGCGCTCCGCATGTCGCGCGCGAGCGACACCGAGCGCGCGCGGACGCGCGCGGCGCGACTCCGCGACGCCCCGCGCTGGGACGCGTTCGTCCGCGGTCGGTTGCTTCGCGAGGAGGACGTCGCGCGGTTGATGAAGATCGCGGACGTCGCGCGGGACGCGATGGACGACGACGACGACGACGACGACGACGAGGGACGACGGCGACGCGCGATGGAGGCGAGGAAAACGATGCGAGCGACGATGCGACACCACGGACGGGCGGTGTGCGAGACGCTGCTGGGGACGCTGTCGAACGTCGGCGCGACGGCGGCGACGGAGCACGTGCTGGCGCTGGTGGAGGCGGCGACGCGGACGAACGGCGCGAGGGACGACGACGACCGCGCGGAGGACGAGTGGCTCGGCGTCGATGCGTTCGTGAATTACGATCCGGAGACGTGCGAGGACGAGACGATGGCGGCGATCGGAGGCGCGGCGGAGGCGGACGCGTATCGAGTGCTGGCGAAGACGCTCGCGAGACCGGAGGACGCGAACTCGCGGTTCATCAAGGAGACGGCGAGTCGAACGCTGAGGATGATGATAGGTCGACGGCCGAGGAACGGGGGGGGAGGGGCGAAGGCGGAGAGCGTGGCGCACGCGGTGCGGACGATCGTGTCGTGGTGCGGGAAGGAGCTGCGAGCGAGAGAGCGCGTGGAGGAGCGCGGAGACGACGTCGTGCCGTCGGTGGCGTCCGCGCTCGCGGGGGTGTTGGACATGCCCGAGGCGCGGGCGTTAGCGACGAACGAGGGGATTGTGGACGGGTTGACGCCGATTTTACGAGCGAGCGATCGGTTTAGCGTGCAAACGATGTACGAGGTGGCGTTATGTTTTTGGTTGATGAGTTTCTCCGCCGAAGGACGGAGGGAAATGTGCGCTCGAGGTGCGGCGAGCGTGAAGGCTTTGATGTCGTGCGCGGGCGCCGCGACGAAGGAAAAAGTCATTCGCGCGTGTATCTTGGCGTTGAAGAACATCACCGACCGGCATGGCGTCGATGGCGACGCTGTGGGTGATAATTTCACCGCCGTGGACGAGTCCCTTCGCAAGCTCGTGCACAACTTGTCCCTTCGCGGGTTCGAAGACGAAGAGCTCGCTTCGACGCTCGCTGAGTTGGACGAAGATTTGCGCGCTCGACGCAAAGAGGCGAGCAGCTGGGAGAGATACAGAGACGAAGTCATGAGCGGAAGTTTGGAGTGGAGCGCGGCGCACAAGGATGAAGGGTTCTGGCGAGAGTGCGCGACAAAGTTGACGGATAACAACTGTCAAATATTGCGCGTGCTGATCAAACTCATCGACGGTAGCGAGGCGATGGATCCGAAGACGCTCGCCGTGGCGTGCAACGACATCGGAGAATTTGCCGTTCACTATCCAGCCGGGCGATTCCTCGCGAATGATTTAGGGGGTAAAGAACATAGCATGCGATTGATGTCGCACGAAGACGACGAAGTTCGCAAATCTGCGCTACAGTGCGTGCAAAAACTGCTCGTCGCTAGTTGGCGCTCTCTTAGCGCGGCGAGCGAGTGACGGACGACGAACAAAACGAATTGCTTTGATGAATAAAATTACAACTGATTTAGAAGAATGAATATTAATGACCCCCCCCACTACCGCGCCATCACTTAAAGTTTGCCGCTCTCGTCGACGCGTTTCGCCGCCGCCGCCAGCAAGCGCTCACACTGTGCCCAATCCTCGTCTTTCGTCACCGGAGACTCGATGAAAGGCGTCGCGCCATGCCGAACCAGGCACGCCATCTGAGCGATCGTGATTTCTTCGGCGCGTTCGACGCTCGACAAGTATTCATCACTCAAGAAAACACCAGCCCACGGCCTGAATTTCATGCGCGCGAGAAGCTGCTTCGAAGGCAGAAAAACCGAGCCGTAAATTTCGGCATCCGGCGCCAAGTCGCGGACGCGCTCCAAACCTCGCTCCAACTTCTCCACATCGCTTCCAATTTGAAACCAAACCCCACGAACGAGCCCTCCGCGCATTTTTTTCTCCAACCGTTCAAACTCTCGCGCCGCCGCGTCGCTTCCTTCGTCAAAATGCGGATTATACGCCACGTCGAATCGAAAAGTCGACGCCCGCCTTTTCCACTCTCGATCCATCGCCAACCGACGCAGCACCTCGACGCTATCGCACTTTCGACTCCCACTTCCACTCACCAACAAGCACCGATCGATGTTCCGCGCCGTCATCGCGTCCGCGAACGCCTTCACCGCCTCGACGCTTTGGTTCGCGTCCCTCCTGTACTGATTCTTCATCGAGTAATGCGGCACCACATCGACATCATCGCTCAGCGTTCGCGCGGCGTCGATCCACGCGATCAAATCGTCTTTTTTATCCTTGTTCGGCACGTTCACGCGCGTCGTCGCCGACGACGTTCGGCGACGCAGCGCGCGCAGTTCCGTCTCGAGACACTTCACATCTTTGAAAAACAACTCGTACCGCGGCGCGATGCGCGTCGACATCGTCGCGCGCGCGCGGCGTCGCGCGAGTCTCTCGCGATGCGCGTCGCGGCGCGGCGCGAGACGCGCGCGCGCGTGTGACGCCGCGAAGTGCGTCGAACGCGACGCGCGGCGATTGGAGCGCGGCAGAGTCGCGCGCGCGGCGGCGCGATGCCGGACGAAGACGCGGCGGCGATCGAACGCGCGCGCGCGGACGATGCGAGCGTCGCGTCGACGCGCTCGGGGGACGATGCGGGCGCGATGGCGCCGCGATGGCGCTGCGTGGCGTCGAGCGCGGATTTGCGAGCCGTGAGCTCTAAACGCGTTCGGTTCACGTGCGTCGATGCCACGCGCGCGCTGGTGATTTTGGGGGCGAACACTGGGTCGGCGTACGTGTTCGCGCGATCGAGGGCGCGCGATGATGGCGCGGGAGGCGTGGAACGACGCGCGAGATTCGTCGCGGTGGTGTCGCCGGAATTGGTCGAGCCGAGCGCGAGACGACAGGGGAATGTGGGCGCGCGCGCGGCGCCGCAGAGCGTGCGGACGATCAGAGCGTCGCCATGCGGACGAATGTGCGCGCTGGGGTTCGCAGATGGACACGTGAGGGTGATTGAGCTCGATGGATTGACGCGGGAGGAGGCGCCGCGGAGAAGCGCGCTGGGATCGACGGTGGCGTTTCTGTCGAGCACGCATGAAGGACGAGCTGTCACGGCGCTGTCGTGGTCGAGCGATTCGCGGGTGTTGTATGCGGGAAGCGATCAAGGGGTGGTGACGGTGACGTCGTGCGCAGCGTTCGTGGAGTGGTGCGACGGTGGCCGCACGGGCGCGAGACCGGCGCCGGTGAATAAGACATCGTACACAGACGTGAGTAGTGCGGTGCATCAGCTCGATGCGTCACCGAGCGGTCGTCACGTGATAACAAGCGCACAATCTAGCGCACAACTCGTGATTGTGCAGGGAGCGCATAGCGGAACGACGTCGAATATAGGTAGCAAGCAGCGCGAAGGATCGTACGGAAGTTGCTTCCACGGGTACGCAAGTTTGAGCGTAGAAGATGACGATCCCGTGGAAGAGGAAGACGAATGGGACGAAGAATTAGAAGGTGTGAGGGTAGTAGAGCATGCTGTGGTGTCACGACCGGGGCGTAAGCTGTGGATTGCCAAAGTGGACAATGTTGACTCTGAGCGAGCCGACGTGGAAATCATGGCAACCATCAAACCCGAAGTGCCAGTGCCTTCCAGCGTACCAGGATGGGATCAATCGAGTGAATCCGCGGATGCGGTGAAACGCGCGTCAAAGAAACTAGAGTTTGGCCTCTTGCATCGTTTAGGACCTTGCGTGTTGTCGACGACGGAGCGCGCAGTCGCCATCATCGACGTCGCTACTCCAGCAATCGTTAGATGGTATCCCCTAAAAGAGCCAGGGAGCGAAAGTTTGAGCGCTGGTTTCGTCGATGCATGCACAGTTGATCATCGAGCGTTTTTCCTGACGCCATCTGAAGACAGTGGGAATTCGGTGTGGTGTTTGGAATCATTCGTCGACGCCAAGGCGCTTGCGCATGACGTCGTGAGCGAGACATCCTCTGCAAGTGCATTCATCCGTGCCCTAGACATTTGCCGCAAGACAAACTCGTACGACGACGGCTTATTCAGAAGGGCGAAAGAGGCGTTGGATTCGTCGGAAGCGGACGCCGCCGGAGTAAATAGTAGGCTTGCGTTTCTCGTGCAATGGGGCGAACAAGTGGGCTCGAAGTTGGCGCCGGCGAAGAAGGACACCGAAGTTGACCTGCGCGAGCTCGTGACCGAGGAAGAAGTATCATCACCGAAAGCACCAAAGACGCCGGACTTCGATCTCGGAAAACCACCTCTCGGTAGAGATCGTTCGACGATTGATCGACCATTGTCCGAATTGGCTGCCCCAGCTTCGAACGAGTTCCCGAAGGCGGAAACCGAAGGAGGCATCTTCTTTTACAATCCTCGTGGCGTTTCCAAGACATCCAAGGTAGATGGAGAATTCGCGCCGAAGGCAAATGGAAAGGTGAAGAAGCGACACGCGCTCATTCTGGACGATGTCGAATCAAACGAGCCTGCAGTCATACTACAAAGCAACGTGAAAGTAGTCTCGCCGACAAAATCCAAGAATTACGGGGTTGATTTACCAAACAATGACATCGAATGGGAAGAGTGTGACGCGTTCGATGCTCAAGAGTGGCAAAAGGCGATGGATAGCGTGAAGTGTTTGCTCCCAATTCGAGGGGCGCATTTTGAGCATTGGAGCTGTTACGAAGACATTAAGACGACGTCGACACTTGACTCCACTGACACTCCATTGCCCGAGCAAAACGCTCGGATTCAGTACAGATTTATGACGAATGTACGAGTCGCCGCGATCGTCGACTCCGTCACGAAACTTAAAGAGTGTCGAATGAGCCTCGACGCGTCGATTCTCCTGCCTTCGCTTCGGCGTTGGCGCAATATACGCGCCGAGTCGATTGAACTTCTGACACGCTTTGAAAAGGGCGAAGATGCACCACTCACCGCTAAGATAAAACTGCAATGGAGTTCGCTGTTAGAAAACGTTGAGAAAGAGCTTGACGCAGTGTGTGATGAACTCAAGCTCGACGTCGCAGCGGTGAAAAAGCAAACGCCGCCAAAGAATCGTGAGACTCAAACGTCTCTCGCGTCAGCGGAACATTCGACGGACTCAATGACAATGGCAAGTGTAACTGCAGCGTTGACGGAAGGAGGTGCGATTGATATGAGTCAATCTTTGGAGTCCGAATGTGTGGCATCGCTTCGATCAACCGATGTTGCAGAAGCGTCGGCTATCGTATCAGAATGTCTTAGGCGGGCGCTTCTCCAGACTTTAGAGTCGCTTGACGGCGCTGACACATCTGCGGCTCTCGAGCACGGCGTATCGCATCTTATGTTAGTCTCGCGCGTAGGTTCCGCCGCAGTTGGAGCGGCGGAAGTCATTCGAGCGCTTGCCAAGGCTTCAGAAGAGGAGAAGTTGTCGAAAGCGATATCACCGATGAACACGAACGAATCCATATCCAGAGCTCTCAGTCGTATTTTCACAAATGTCACCACATTCTTGACTTCCGAAAATTCTGTGGATTTGGACTTACGCCGTGGCGCTGCCAAGCTTCTCGAGCCACTTGACGCACACTTATCGCGGCCACCCATGCGGCAGTTTGGAAGATTTCCACAGCTCCAAGCCGCGCTCGCGGCGGAGATCGACGGTGTCGTGGACCAATTACCGTTTGTATGTCGCTCGTCTACCGATGCTGATGACGGAGTGTCACAATTTACTCTGAAAGTGCCTCACGAGAACCCAATCGCGCCCGCCATCGAAGATTTTGGCGACTGGGGCATCAAGATGGATCTTCGTCGCTGCCCCGCGTGTAGTCACTCCCTCCTGTGCCCCAACGACGGCGAGCTCATCACCTTTATGTGCGCGCACACGTATCACAAAGCGTGTTGCGCGGCGTCTATGGCTTGTTTCGCGTGTTGCGCCGACTCCCGCTGACGCGCGCGTCAGTTGTAATATAATCCCAATCGAACCGCCGCAGAAGGGGAGACGAACAGTCGCCATTTCTTCGGAAGAGAAAAACGCTCGCGCGCCTCACTTCGCGCGCGCGTCGCGCGATGGCTGACGCACACGGAGAGAAAGTCGATTCATCCAGGCGCGCGGCTTTGCAGACGCAGGCGCGACGCCGCGCGTCGTGCTTCGTGCAAAACTCGACGACGCTCGGGGAAGCCCACGCGGACATCGCCAACGATGCGAGATATCGATCGCGCGGTGAACGTGAGAGCGTGGATGAAGAGCGTGGTGAGGGAGTAAATGCGTGCAAAACGAGCGGGATATTTGACTCCGCGCGAGATAGGAGCTTCGCGTCCACTGTGCAAGGCCGCAAGAGCACCAAATTCGAGAAAGGCGAGAGGGGCTGGCGCGGCGAGGCGCTCAAGCGGCGCGTTCGAGGGGCGCTCGAAAGCGGGCACGTCTCCATGTGGATGGCAAACATCACGATTTGGAGCCTTTTCGGGGATGATTTGCGCTTGTTCGCAACCGACGCAGACGCAGATCTCGGGTTTTTGGTCCTGGTGTGGGTGTGCTTGGCGAGCTTCGCGATTGAACTCGCGCTGAGCGTCTTCGCCCTGGAAAAATATGCGGGAGGATTTTACTTTTGGCTCGATTCTGTGGCGACGTTAAGTCTGCTCGCAGACATTCCGGCTTTCATGCGAGCGCTTGGTATGGATCCGTGTCAAGGTGTCGACTCTTATGGGTCCACCTTTGATGAAGCTACTCGAACGGCGGGCGCGGGTGGCGGCGATAGTGGCGTCGCCGACGCCGGATTTGCAAAAGCCGGTCGAGCTTCCCGCGCGGCAACTCGAGCTGGTCGCATCGTTCGCATCATACGCCTGATACGATTGGTGAAGATATTTAAAACGTACGAAGTCAATCGAGAGCGTAACGAACGTCGCGACAGTTTGATCAAGCTCAAACGCGATAGTCTGGTGAAGCAAAGTGTCGTCGGAGGGATGGACGAGAACGCTGTAAATGCGTATGTAGAGGAAGACGAAGATTCTTTGTTGGACTTTGAGCAGTCTGAGTCTCGTGTTGGGCAGAAGCTTGGCGATTTGACGACGAAACGGGTCATTATCGGCGTTTTACTCATGCTCTTCATGCTCCCAGTGTTTGATGTCCGCTTGTACGCAGCCGGCGAGCGACAGGATTTCGCAGAGGGCGGACTCACTATGGCGCATGAAACCCTGATCAATAGCGTCGACGAAACGGATGGATTTTACCGGTCGCTAAATCAATACTACGCCGGCACTAAAGGAATGTATCGACTGGTGGTGAATGGCACAGATTACTCAAACAATGGCAATCTCTCATTCGCACTCGACGGTTACGCGCATAAGAAACTGCGTTGTACCGAATTTGAATTCTCCACGTTTTCTACACCAGATGCAAACGTGCCTAGTGGTTTCAGTTTCGCGTTCTTCGATCGACAGCGCGAGAGTCAATTGCAGGCTTTGCTCAACATCATGCGAACAATTTTTGTGTGCCTCATTCTCACCATCGGCGCCGTGCTGTTCAGCAAAGACACCAACGCTCTGGTCCTCCGACCACTAGACCGAATGGTGAATAAGATTCAAGCGATGAGTGAGAATCCACTGACACAATTTGAAATCACCGGTGGCGATGAAAATAATCAGATGGAGACACGACTGCTAGAGAATAGTATCTGTCGCATTTGCTCTCTCCTCGCCGTCGGATTCGGTGACGCGGGCTCCGAAATTATCGCTGAAAACATGAAGCGCGGCGGTGCGATTGATCCGATGATTCCTGGCAAAAAGATGGTTGCTATTTTCGGGTTTTGTGACATCCGGCAATTTACGGACACGACTGAGGTGTTACAGGAGGACATCATGGAGTTTGTGAACACGATCGCCAAGATTGTGCACGTGGAAGTACACGTGCACGGCGGGAGCGCGAATAAGAATATTGGCGATGCGTTTTTATTGGTGTGGAAGTTTCCTAAAGATATTTCTGCGGAGGATATATCGGATATATCGAATTGTGCGCATATAGACGAACACAAACGTCGAAAGATTCAGATGATTGCCGACAACGCGCTCGCCTCATTCGTCACAATCATCGGAGCGTTGCGGCGCAGCGCTCGGTTACAACGGTATCGCGGGAATGAGGCCCTGAACGAGCGAATTAAGAACTTCGAGGTGAAGATGGGTTTTGGTCTTCACGCGGGTTGGGCGATCGAAGGCGCCATTGGGAGCGAGCACAAGGTGGATGCTTCGTACTTGTCTCCGAATGTCAACATCAGCGCTCGTCTCGAAGCAGCGACGAAGCAATTCGGCGTTCCGCTTCTCTTTACCGGCCAATTCGCATCCTTGCTGTCATCAAGTGTTCAACACGAAAGCAGGCAAATCGATTGCGTCACCGTAAAGGGATCGCTGCATCCAGTCGAGCTCTACACCTTTGACGTGCGTCCAGAAAATATCGCGGCGCCCGCCGCCGACGTGAATTTACATCGCACGTTTGAGGAAGAGACGCTGAGCTTCATGGAATACTCTGACGAGTTTAAGCAGCATCCAGATATTTTAAAAATGCGCGAGGGTATTTCGGCGGACTTTTTGCAAGATTTCAAGCGAGGTTTACGTCATTACGTCGCCGGAGAATGGTCTCAAGCGAAGGAAATCTTGCACACGACGAGGACGTACGTCACCGCGCAAGGCGAGCGAGCGCTCGACGGCCCTAGCGAAAGTTTACTCGCGGTGATGAAAAAGCACGACTTCATCGCGCCCAAGACATGGAAAGGCTATCGCGAGCTCACCGAAAAGTAACCAACCACTGCATAAATATCACAACTCATCGCGCGCGCGCTGTACTGAATTTACGAAAGAACTTATAAAGACACTCTCGTCCAAATTCACCGTCGCGTGCCACCAATTCGGTGGAAAGTAAATCGATTCGCCTGCGTTCACCGTGCACTCTAAAATTCCACCCTCACCGTCGCGCACGTCCCCCCGGCGCAGCGCCTCCAGCGCCCACGCGTACGCCGTCACGTTGGGATCGAAATTCGGTGTCGCGTCCGGCGGCGCCAAGAACCAATGCTTCCTCCCGATCAAACTCTCCGACCACCCCGGCCCATGCGTGTGCATCGGCACTCCGCTAAACTGTCCCCCCACGCCGAACGAATACGCCACGTTCGCGTCGCCGACGTATTCTAAATCGTCGTACGCCCCGAAGAGCGTCTCGAATCCGTTCGACATCGTCCCATCGCTCTCCACGTGATCACCGAACCAGTACCATATCTCGCTCGCGTCTTCCTTTCCATCCGTTCTCCTCTTCGCCGCCACGTCCTCCTCGACGTATCCTCGCAGGCTCTTCCGAAGTTTTCCGCGCGAGTGCGCGTTCGCGCTGCTCAGCGTCACCGTCGCCGCGCCCAGCTCCCGAAGCAGCGCCCCTCTTTCGACGCGCTCGACGAACCCCGTTCGCCGCGCGCCGAGCCCGGTGACGACCACCGGCGTCTCCGCGCTCTCGAACGTGCGCGCGAACGTCTCGAGCGAGAGCTCGTCGACCGACGCGCGCGGGACGGTGCACGGTCGTCCATCGAACGGCGGCGAACGAAAGCGTCTCCAGTCGCGATCGCTCGCGCGCGCGCGCGCGATTCGCGTCAGAAGGACGCAGACGAACGCGAGCGCGCGCGTCGCCGCGCGGGCGGTGACGCGCGGCATGCGGCGCGACGCGACGGCGGATGACGCGAAAACGCGACGCATCTTAGATTCCGCAGACAAAGGCGCGGCGTCGCGATGGGGCGACGTCGAGGCGCGCGCGCGGCGTGGAGGCGCGCGAGCGCGGGCGCGATGGCGACCGCGGCGTTCGCGCGCGCGTGGACGCGCGCGATGGCGGACGCGGGGTCGATGACGTCGGGATTTCAACGACCCGAGGCTTCGCCCGCGGTGCCGCTGCGCGCGACGCGCGGACGCGCGACGGCGGACGCGGACGCGGTGACGCAGGTGCACTTGGCGCCGACGGGCGCGGGCGAGATGAGCGTGGTTTGGGCGACGCGCGAGGCGCTGGACGAGGACGCGGCGGTGGAGTACTACGCGAGCGCGAGCGACGGGAGACAAAGACGACGCGCGGAGGCGATGAGCGCGTCGTACACGACGCAGTTGTGCGTCGGATCGCCGACGGCATTCGTGCCGCGCATGGGAACGACACCGGCGGTGGATCCGGGGGTGCTGATGACGTTGGCGAACACGTCGGCGTGGGCGGACGCCGACGCTTCAAACTATCGCTCGGTGCGGACGTTCGAGGATGTGATTCCGAGCGCTTTCTGGACGGACGCGCCGATGTCTAAGGGGGTGTGTTTGGATTACGCCAATCCCGACGCCGTGTATCACTCGCCGATCGTGCACACGGCGAAGATGACGGGATTGATGGCTGGAGAGCGGTATTCGTACGCGCTGCCAGGGAGCGAGACGACGAGAAGCTTCAGGGCGCCGAAGACGCCGAAGAAGCACGGGAAGGAGACGACAAAAATAGCCGTTGTGGGCGATACGGGTCAGACGGACGTGACGCGGGAGGTGCTGACGCACGTTCGAGACGCTTTGGGGGACTCAGAGTTGTTGATACACACAGGAGACGTGTCGTACGCGGATGGCTTCGCGCCAAGATGGGATAGTTTCGGCACCCTGAGCGAATTCTTGCTGGATGGTATGCCGATGTTGACCGTGCCTGGAAATCACGACGTGGCGCAAAATGGAATGGATCTCGTGTCCTACATGGCGCGATATCCCTCCCCTTACACAGCATCGAAGAGTCCATCGCAACTGTTTTGGTCTCACGAAGTCGGTCAGGCGCACATCATTGGTTTGAATAGCTACGCCAACTCGCAGACTGGGGTGTACGATGGTGCTGATACGCCTCAGATGGCGTGGTTACGCAAAGATTTAGCCACCATCAATCGGCAGTATACCCCTTGGGTCGTCGTCGTGTTTCACGCGCCTTGGTACAATTCCAACCGAGGACACTTCAAAGAGGCTGAACGTATGAGAAAAGCGCTCGAGCAAATCCTTTTCGACGCGGGCGTTGATCTCGTGTTCAATGGCCACGTGCATGCCTACGAAAGGTCCCATCCGGTGCACGACTTTCACGTGCATGAGTGCGGTCCCGTGCACGTCGTCGTCGGCGACGGAGGAAATTACGAAGGCCCGTACGGTAATTCCTGGATGGAACCTCAGCCGTCGTATAGCGCGTTCAGGGAGGGTTCTTTCGGTGCGGGCTCGCTCACGATTCATAACGACACTCACGCGACCTGGGAGTGGCGCCGAACGACTTGCGTAGCGAACACGACGAGCGCGCAGACGTACTTTGAAAGAACTGGAGAGGCAAGCACATGCCGCACCATCCCAGACATCTCCGCCCAGGCGATGGAGCCCGTCGATGTGGCTATATTCCGTCGTGACGTGGATGTCTGTCCAAACAAATTGGCTGGAACCGCGGCGAGAACGGGCGCGTCACAGACACCTTACATACCGGAATCGAGCACTACTGCGCTCTCCATTGCCCTCGTCGCCATCCTCCTCCTTTGGCTCGCCACGAGCGTCGCCTTGATTCGCGCATTGAAGACCACGCGAGACTTAAGAATGCGAATTTATCGTTCGCCTCGATTGCTCTCTACCGATGAAGATGAATTCAACGATGGTGAATTTTCCGCCGTCGGCTTGAAGGATTTTAACACGTTGTAAATTGATGTAAAAATTGCGTTTAAATACAACAGTGCGCGTTCGCGTGATTTAATTCGGAGACCAATCGGAAGCATCGTCTCGTCCGCGACGCTCACCACCGCCTCCACCGTACTCGTCGCGAGCATCGCCTCTGCGGAGACCTCTTCCTTCGTCGCGTTCATCTCGGCGCGTGTACGAGTACCCGCCGGTCGTCCCTCGCCGATCCACCTGCCTATTCACAACGTCACGGTCGCGTCGCATCGCCGACGGCGACGCTCCTCGACGGCGTTCTTGAAACCAGTTGATAATCTTACTCGCCGGCAGCTTGGTTGCCTGTCGTACGCTCTCGATCAGGGCGTCGTCGGGATACTGCGTCATGGCGTACACCTTTTCCAGCGTCGCCACGTTCGACGATCCCAACCTCGTCTTCTTGTACGACTTATACGCCGGCATCCCACCCGGACCGCGCGCTCCAGATCCCTTCGCCTCATCCGCCGCGTCTCGCTTTGCCTTGGCTTGCGCGCGCGCCTCGCGCTCCGCCGCCGCCGCCGCCGCCGCCTCATCCTCCTGCACTAACTCTTCCGCAAACTTCTTCGCGAGCGTCTCGGCGCGATGTCCATTGCGCTTTAACCATCCCAGAACCTCGTGTCGCTCCAATTCCAGCTCGCGACACAGCTCTCGAACCTCAACCTTGCGCCGTCCCCGCGCGAGCGCGCGCTCGAGCGCCCTCGTCTTGTGCCGTGGGATCGCTTGCGCCGCCTCCGCGTCCGCGTTCTGCCGTTCAAACTGCTCGAACAGATCTTCCCAGTTCGAACTCGACCCTTCGTCGCGCTCTTCCGTCCCGCGCGTCATCACGCGCGTCGCACGCGTCGCATTCGTCGTCGAAAAAGCGAACGCGCCGCCGCCACCGGGACACCGCGCGCGCGTCGTCGTCGCCGTCGCGCACCGCGCGTCGCGCGTCGACCGAGCGAATCGCGCGTGCGCGATGCACGTCGCGCTTCGCACCGTCGTCGCGCATCGAGTCGTCGCCATCGCGCGCGTCGGACGTCGACCAATGCCGTCGCGGCACTCGACGACTCGATGCGCGGCGACGCCGGCGCGTGATGTCGAGCGCGAGCGCGACGGACGACGACGACGGCGACGGAAACGACGACGACGCGCGCGATCGCTCGAGCGAGTCCGACTCGGAACGCGACGCGCGGAGCGTCGAGCTCGGGACGGCGCCGTTGCTCGGGACGCCTCGCGAAGACGGAACGCGCGACGACTTGGACGCGTCGGGGCGGCGCGCGAGCGCGAGGGAGGTCGTGCGCGAGCACGGATGGGTGCTCGGGGCGTTCGCGCTGTCGCTGGTCGTGACGACGATGTCGATGTCGGTGCCGTTTCCATTTCTGAGCCAAGAGTTCGCGCGAGCGGGACTCGACGCGACGCGGGTGGGAGCGACGTTCGCGGCGTTGCCGTTCGGCGTGCTCGTGGTGTCGCCGACGATCGCACCGAGGGTACTGTGGCGGTTCGACGCGACGATGGTGGCGAAATATTCGCTCTTGGGGCAGGCGGCGTGCGTATTGGCGACGAGCGCGTTCGCGGGACGAGCGCGCTGGAGAGTTTGGTTGGTGTGTAGGTTGTTTCAGGGATTTTTCAACGCGTTGACGAGCGTGACAATGCTGTGCGTGGTGACGCGAGCGGCGCCAGATGCGGTGAGCATCACAAGCGGGTTGCAAGAAGTAGCCGCGGGCTTCGGGACTCTCTTTGGGCCGATTTTCGGTGGATTTTTGTACGACATTCATTCGTCGCCAAAGTTACCTCTGATGGCGAACGGCGCCGCCATTTTGCTGTCAATTCCTCCAGTGATGTACGCGATGCGTCGACTCGACGGTCGCGACGACCGTGGTCAAATGTCCGGGCCCTCGCAGGAGGAAAGGCCGAGTTATGCTCGCGTGCTTCGTCGGCCGACTTTCTTGGCCGCCGCCTTGGCCGAACTTGTCGTGTCCACGAGTTTCGGCGGGATTCCGACCACTCTTCCGCTATATCTTCATCAAACGCTGAACTTTTCACCAGCTACGATTGGCTTGGTGTACTCGTTACTCGCTGGGCTGTATGCGCTCGTGACGCCGATCGTTGGCATTGTTTCGCACACTCCGAACTCAAAAGTGGGCGACATCGTACTGTGCCTCATCGGCATGGCGTCCATGTCAGTCGCACACTTTTTCTTCGGCCCTTCGTCTTTGCTAGGATTGCCTGATCCACTGAGTGCGACGGCCCGAAGGCGGCTTTGCGTGTGGTTTCCAAGCGTTGTTTACGGGGTCGGAAGCGCCTTTGCGTTTGTACCGCTCTTGCCCTTGATGCAAGCGTCTGTCAGAAACGACGGACCAAAGTACGCAGATTTAGCAAACGGACTTTTCGTGAGCTGCTACTTTTTTGGAGAAATGCTCGGTCAGTTATTCGGTTCTTCCTTGGTGCACGAGCTCGGATACCCGGCCGCGAGCACGGCGTGGGCATTTGCCATCATCGCCAGCGCGAGCGGTTTCGTGCTGGTAGAGTTCGGAGCGGGCTTGGCGAAGCGTCTCCGCTCTTCCGTATCGCGCGTTCGCTCGATGAGCGATTCTTTGGATTCAATGTTGTAATGATTAGTGTAAAAAGGTTCTTGCTGTGGGTCTGCCGGGATGCGCGCGTTTCACCATTTTCGTCGGTCTGCGTCTCTCCTTTAATCACAAAACCTAAATTGTCTGTCCGTCTAATACTATGTCGACACTCACAAAGTCGTCCCCCGCCATAAAATTTCCACGATAACGCGAGAAATTTTAACGGTAAGACTTTTGGAAGCGCGCGCGGGCACCGCGACCGCCAGCCTTCTTCGGCTCCATGCGGCGCGGATCCGCGACGAGCAAGGTTCTGTCGTACGCCAACAAAAGGTCCTTGATCTCCTTCTTGCTCGCCTCATCGACATACTTCTGGTAATACGCCACGAGAGACTTCGCAATCGCCTGACGCACGGCGTACATTTGCGACACGTGTCCGCCACCCTTCACGCGAATGCGAATGTCCACGTTCGCGAATCGCTCCTTACCGAGCAACAGAATGGGTTCGACCGCCTTGAGTCGGAGCGTGTCCGGCTGCACGAGATCGATCGGGACACCGTTAAGGCGAATCAAGCCCTTGCCCCGCTTCGTGTGCGCCACGGCGACGGCAGTTTTCTGCGCGAGAAGAGCGTTTCGGCGTCAGTCGAGTCCAAACCCAAGCCCTAGCGGATCGCACGCCGCGAAACCATCCCGCACGAGCGCCTCCCACCGATGACGCCGCGTCGCGAACGACGCGCGATACGAGAGATGCGATTACGAGTCACCGATCGATGCGCGACGACGTACCTTGCGCCCGAAGGTTTGCACGCTCTGCGTCGAGAAAGATCGTCCGAGGACGTCGCGGTTAGGGTCAATACGCACGAGACGATGACGCGACGATGCGCGCGAGGCGAGTCGAAGCGCGCGCGCGCGAACGAACGAACGACGCGAAGGTTGTTTCTGTCGTTCGACGCGAGGTCGGGACGCACCATTTGGTCAGCCATGATGGACGGCGCGTCGGTGAAAGACGGATCGAAACGCGCGCGTCGCCGGATGGGCGAGACGCGAGCCCAAAACCCTAGATCGGTTTATCGCGATCGAGCGTAAATAATGCGTAAAGAACCTGAATGAGTGTCCATCAATGGACAGGTACCGAACGAGACGACGACGCCGCGGCGAGGCGCGGGAGGAACCAGCGGAGCTTGGGCGCGAGGGCGACGTCGTCGACGCGCGGGGCGGGCGCGAGGGCGAGGACGTTTTCGCCCGGATGGGAGACGCGGTGAAGGCGCGCGGATTGAGCGTTAGCGATGGCGGTGAAGTAGACGTCGAAGAAGTTTTCGGCGAGACGAGCGATGAGCTCGATGAACTCGTCGGCGTCGATCTCGCCGGCGTCGTCGCCGACGACTTGCAGCTGGCTGAGCGCGAAGGCGTGCTGCACGGCGAGCGGCGAGAGAAGGTGATGATCGGCGTCGTTGAAAGTGACGATGTCGATGTTGCGGCATAGTTGCATGAGCTCTTTGAGATCCATGGTCTCCAGACCGCCACCGATGGCGGATTTCGCCTCCGCGGCGGCGTATCGCACGAAGACGGATCGGATGTCGGCTTGAAACGCGTCGAGCGCGGCTCTTGCCGAGCGAAATCGCATTCGCGTGCGGAACTCTTCGACGTCCACCGAGTGTGCGCGTGGATAGACGATATCTTTGATGAAACGGCTCGCTGTGAGCCCGAAATTATCCATCCGCACGCCGCATTGCTTCGCCAAACGCAGTATGCCGCAAATGAACTCGGGCATGATCAACGTCCGGTCGCTGTTGGACAAATCTCGGTTCTTCACCTTTCTGCCGCGATCGTCGGTGACCCAGTTGAGTCTTATGAACAATAACTCCGCGCTCGATTTCACGAGCTGATGCCTGGGATGCGGTCCGATGAGTTTACAGTCCTTCACAAACGTCATCCAATCCGATAGCGTCATGCTCCCCAACTCGGCGGCGGTGATGTTCTCATCGAAAGGCTTCGTCATGCTCGAGTAGTACTTGAATATATTCCGTATTGCTGGATAGTGTTCAAGTAAGTGTTTCTCGACTTCTTTCATGTTAGTTCCTCCGGCCTCTCGTTTGAGGAGGTCTCTGGACTCGTGCGCCACCGCGCCGAAGACGGAGCCAAATTCTTCGGATATTTGCTCCGTCGGATCGTAATCTTCAACGGCGTCAACCTCAGACTCAGATCCTTCGTCATCGATGCCTGCACCATTTGCGCTCTCGTCGAGGCGATTCGACGCGTTCGCTCTCAACAACTCAGCCTCAATCAGCGCGCGCTGTGCTCGCATTAATTCTAGCGCGCCGCGAAACTTTTCGACGGACCTCGGACTGAGCGGTCGCGAGCGTAAAACCTCCAAAGCCTCTCGGGCGTCTCGAGCGCACTTAATCCGCACGCGAGTACGGGGTGGAAGCTCTAGATCGTCACCATCGTCTGCAAAGGCGCTGATATCACCGTTATCACTCGTCGAGGTCGATGACTCAGTCTCGCCGCGAGCGCCTTCGAACGAGTGCTCCGGAGACGCGGGTGCTGCTGGTTCAACAACCACTCGAGGCAACAATGCCTCTCGTGGCGCGCTCGGAGTGAACCTTTTACGGTGTAGCCCAGTATCGACTTTGGCGGTTACCGATTTCAATCGCTCACGCGTCCTCTTCCATCGTCTCCCACCGCTCGAGTCACGCTCTCCAGACAAGTTCTCTCGCCGTAGCAAAAGTTGTGGGTCACATTCGCGTCGCGCGCTGAGCTCACGAAGCAAGTCGTTCGTACGATTTTTTCGATGCCCGAGAATGAGCAGCTGTTTCGTTCTCGCGCTTTGCATCGAGAGTGCGGCGATAAGTGGGGAGTGTTTCTGTTTCTGTCGGCAAACTATCTATTTCCGTACTTCATTGACTGACAACAAGCTGCCTACTATACTCGCGTATGGTCACGAGCGTGACTGCTTGACTAATTCAAGCCAGCGTGACGACGTTTCCGACGACTAAAATGCACGGAGATAGAGACTCACCGGACGTTTTCTCGACGATATCCCGCAACGAGCCGAACCACGAACGCTCGTCCGGTTGCATCCCGTTTCGAATCACGCAGCACGGCGTCGTCGGTGACTTATTCCCTTCCCGCGTGAGCGATTCGACGACTATTGGAAGTGTCCTCCCAACCATCAGAAATACGCACGTGTCGATTCCAGCGAACGCGGCAAAATCGATCGAATTTGGATCGTGCGCGCTCGTCACGGAAAAGTGCCGTCCCAACTCTCGATCCGTCAACGGAATCCCCACGCTCAGCGGCGCGCTCAACGCCGACGATATTCCAGGAATCATAGTCGTGTGCACTCCATGCTTTCGCAGCGCCGCGATCTCGTCGCTGACGCGCGCAAACACGCTCGGACACCCACCTTTCAGTCGCGCCACGCGCTTACCGCTTCGCGCGAGCTCCACCAACAACTCGCATATATCGCTCTGCGTCCAAGACTTCGCCGACCCACCCCTCTTCCCTACGCTCACGAACTCCGCGTTCGCCTTCGTCGCGAGCGCCAGCACGTCCTCGGAAGACCCACCCAAATCGTCGTAGACGACGACGTCCGCGTTCGCGAGCGCCCTCGCCGCGCCCATCGTCAGCGCGTCCACGCCTCCCGGCCCCGCCCCGACGAGGCACACGCTTCCCATCGACGTCGACGCCTCGTTTTCGTCCCGCGCGCGCGCCCGCGCGTCGCCGTCGCGCGTCGCCGTCGGTCTCACCGTCGCCCGCCGTCCACCGTCCCGCGTTCGTCGACGCCTCGCGCGGACGTCGACCGCGCGCGGCGCCGACGCCGACGCGCTCGAGCGCGCCGGCATCGCCATCGCCGTCGCGAGGCGGCGCGATCGCCCCCGCGCGGCGGCGCGACGCGACGTGACGACGTCGTCACGTTTCGGCAGCACTTCGCGACGCCGTCGATGGCGACGGCGCGCGCGCGCGTCGTCGCGCGCGCGGCCGATCGCGGGCGCGGACGAGGCGGCCGAGGCGGTCGCGGACGCGGACGCGGCGGACGCGGGCGCGGACGGGCGTCGTACGTCGAGCGACGGCCGCGCGAGGCGAAACCGTTGACGAGCGCGCAACTGGAGAAACTCGCGGCGCGCGCGGCGGACGAGCGCGCGCACTGGATCGCGGAGTGCGAGGCGGCGCGAAGCGGCGTGGGTGGTGCGCGCTCGCACGGACGGTGCGCTGTGGACGCGGTGGAGACGCTGTTCGAACGACGGGACGAGCGGGACGGGGACGCGTCGGCGTACGAAGACGTCGGCGCGCGCGCGCTCGGCGTCGAGGAAGGATACGCCGGGATCGATGGCGATGTGGAGGCGTTGGAGACGACATTAGGGGTGCCGGGGATGGTGGTGGAGAATTTACGGCGGATGGGGATGCGGAAGCTGACCGTCGTGCAGCGATACGCGATGCCGCTCGCGGGACCGCGAGGAGTAGACGTGCTGTGTAACGCGCCGACGGGGAGCGGGAAGACGGCGGCTTTCATGCTTCCGCTCATCTCGAGATTGGTCAGAGAGAGCGCGGAGGCGCCGACGGAGGCAGAGGTTGTCGATGGAGAGTTTGGGGTGCCGGCGAGACCGAAGGTCCTCGTCTTGGCGCCGACGAGGGAGCTGGCGCTGCAAATTCATATGGAGACTCGAAAGTTTATCTTCGGGACGCCTCTGTGGTGCGCGTGCGCGTACGGGGGATCGTCTATTAAACCACAGCTGGAGGAACTGGCGTTTGCGCCGGAGATTATCGTCGCCACGCCGGGAAGATTGTTGTCCATGGTGCGAGAAGACGCGCGCTACGTGGATTTGTCGGGCGTCCAGACACTCGTGATGGACGAAGCCGATCGCATGCTCGACATGGGTTTCGAGCCACAGCTCAACGAACTTCTCGGGGACTACGGCATTCCGGCCAAGAACGAGCGTCAGACTCTAATGTTCTCCGCGACGTTTCCGCCGCAAGTTTTGCGGCTCGCGAGTTATTACATGCGCGCGCCTCCCCACGCTGCGCGGGTCATCTGCGGCCGCGTCGGATCGACCGTCGCAAACATTAAGCAGGTTCTCATCGAGACTCCACATTTGAGGGAACAAAAGTTGCCATATTTACTGCGCGTATTAGAAGCCGTCGAGGCAAAGCGCGAGAACGACGGCGAAGATGTCGGTTTGACGTTGATTTTCTGCAAGCAAAAAGGCACCGCCGAGTGGTTGCGGCAACAAATCGTCGAAGTCACTCCCTCGCTCGCGGTCGAAGAGCTGCACGGGTCGCTCACGCAAGGTGCGAGACTTCGCGCGTTGGATGCGTTCGCAACCGGCGCCGCGAAAATACTAGTCGCCACCGACGTCGCGGCCAGAGGCTTGGACATGCCGGATGTCAACCACGTCATAAATTTCGACATGCCGACGAAGAAGAGTGAATTCGACGATTACATTCACCGTATCGGTCGAACCGGTCGCGCAGGGCGCAAAGGCATCGCCACTTCTTTCTACATCCCCGGTTTCGCCGAGGACATAGGCAATGGACCCATTTACGAAAATTTAAAGCTCGTGTTTGAGGAAACGCAGAACGAACTTCCGGGATGGTTTCTGCAATCGCGTGATGCGCGAGGGTCTGTGGGAGGCATTAGCTCGGCTTACGATAGAGGATTCAAAGGCGGTCGCGCGCGTAGATTTTAAAAACTAGATGCTGATGTAACTACAAAGTCGTCGCCGGCTACAGAGGCGAAGTCGTCACGTTAAATCTCCTAAAACTTCCCGTTGTACTTCCCATCCGTCAGCTTTCCGACGACTGGATACTTATCCTCAAATTTCCCCACCCACTGATTCAGCGCATCTCGCTCGCTCGCCGCGAAATCCCCCACGTCGGCGCATAAATTTTCCTTCTCCAGGCTCACCTTGCCCAGCGCTCGCGAGCAGTCGATCCCAGTGAACGCGTTGTACGGTCCACCTTTTCCGTAAAAGTCCCTCCCACGCGTGACGTCGAACACGATGCCTTTCGCGGCGAGCAGTATTGGCTTCGCGGGGTCGCTCCCGTCGTACGCGCGCAACGCAGCCGTCGTCAAGTCGCCCTTTGGCATGGGCTCGGGAAAAGTCTCATCGTCCTCGTCCTCGTCTTCGTCGTCGCCGCGCGTCACCGCGCCGCGCTTGGGGATTAAGAAGAGGCGCAAGACGTATATACATGCGATGGTGACCGCTATGGAGGTCCACGAGGCCGAGATCGATCGCACGACGTCGGACCAGGGAGAATTCATGACGCCGCGACGGCTCGCGGCGCAGAGTGCGGCACCGACGCGAGGAACGAGTCGGAGAAGCATATTACCGTTCGTTATTTCAACACTAAGACTTGAGAGCCATCGCGAAGTTTCTTCATGACGAGCAAGTTTTTGATCGCTTCCTTGAGCTCCTCGGCACCGGCGGTGCTGTTCAACAAGCCTTTCTTGCGACACGTCTTCGTGATGAGCTTGACGGTGGTGCTGTCGGGATTTTTGCGCACGACGTCGATGATCACAGCCTGGATCGGAGATTGTTTCGGTGCCGTCGGTGGCGCGACGCGTGCTGTCTTGGCCAGTGGCGCGGCGGTGTCGACGTCGCTCGCGCTCCGCTTGACGCCGATGGAGGACGCCGACGCGGATTTCGCCATCGGTTGCGCAGCCGCTTCGGCTTTTTCCTCAGCCTCCAATTTTTTGCTTCTTTCGACGAAAGAGCCGACGACCTTGGCGGCGATATCGTCGTTGTCCGGGTTAAAATCTTCCTCGAGTTCGGAGTCTGAGTCGGAATCGCTAAACTGACCGGCTTGCATTTTTTCTTGCTTGCCGAGCAACTTTTTCACGGCTAAACCTTCTTCATCTAATCCCTCGTCCTCCGCATCGCTGTCTGCGTGCGTCTTCGTCGGGTCTTTCGGTGCCTCTTCGTCCTCTGGAATCGCGACGTCATCCTCGTCGTCGTCCCACTCCTCGTCGTGCTCCCAATCCTCGCCTCCTTCGTCCTGACTTTTGCGCGCCGGCTTGCCCGATTTCTTCCCGGTGTCGTCTTCGTCGTCGCTATCGAGACCGACGCCTTGAATCGCCTTTTTCTTCCCTTTCTTTGCCTTAAAAGCGTCCTCTTCATCGCTCGATTCGTCCCTCTGCTCACCTCTATCGCCGTCGCTCTCGTCGTCCGAGTACCCCGGTTCGTCCACCGTTCGATCCATGCGTCCCCACGCCTCGCCCACCGCGCGTTTCCCCGCCTCCATCCTCGCCTCCGCCTCTTCCAGCGTGAACACTCGCCGCTGTACGTTATGCGTGAACGTATACCAGTCCTCACACGGCATCGCCACGAATTCTCGCACCGTCGCCGTCGCTTCATCCCTGTGCGACATGAGCACAAAGTACGAAGCGCTCTGCGCGTCTCGCGTCCCCGTGTACGCGCCCTTGTTCCCCTTTTTCCCTCCCGTGAGCACCAACGCGTTCCCACTCGCATCGCTCTTCGCGTGTCGCATCTGCCACTCCACCGGCGCGCGCTCTCCCACGCTGAACACCGGCGTGCGTTCTCCCTTAAATCGTCCCACGACGTACTTGCGCGTCGGATGCGTCGTCGCTCGCAGCGCGTACGCTCGCGTCAACCGCGCGACGTACTCTTCGTCTTTCGCGCACGGCGCGTCTTCCCGCAGCGTCGCGCCGTCGTCGTTCGTTCCTCGCGCGCTCAGCGCGATCTCAAACCCGGCGTACGACGTCGACAGCGCGTCGCGCACGTCCCGACGCGCCTTCGTGAGCGCCTCGATCGCGGCGCGCACCGTCGGCGCGCGCGCGTCGATGGCGAGGCGCGTCGCGTCGCGTTCGCCGGGGAATCGCACGCGCACGTCGATCGTCGACGCGGGCGCGTCGTGCGCGCGCTTCGGCGGCATCGCGCGACGCAGACCGGGCGAACGCGGCGATGTGACGCGCGGATTCGCGCGGATTCGCTTTTTACGTCTCTCGTGCTCACAACGACGCTACGCGCTTCTAAGGGTGGTTGTTTGTTGACTGATCGGTGTACACATCGGGCGTAATCGTACGTCCGTTAAACGTCGTAGCTCAGTTTACGCCAAGTTCACCGGGATGTTCATGATGTTCGTCGCCATGTTGCAACCGAACGGGTTGGCGACGTGATCCTTGAGCGCGGCGACCGGGCCCTCGCGGTAGACGATGCCTTGCACGACGATGCCGACGAAGGCGATCATGGCGGCGCGGCCGTTCTTGATCTCCTTGAGCTTCATCTTCTCGTCCTTAGAGCCCATGCCCATCGGGTCGAACGGGAAGGTTTCGTTCACACCGCTCGAACCGGTGGCCAACCAACCTTGAATGCGCTTGTTCTCGAGGTACCCCATCACCGGAAGCTGCACCGCGAGGAGCGCTTGCGGCGGGAATCCGTAATCCTCGGTGCCGGCTTCCCACCATCGCGGTTCGATGCCCGCGATTTCGGTACCGACAATACCCGCAACAGCCATCATCGCCCATCGAGCGTTCATGAGCTCCGCCTCTTGGTAATACTTGAGGCGCGTCGGGTCGCTGCCCAAGCCGAGAGGATCGAAGCCGTAGTCCCCGGCGACGGTGCCGTCGAGGTGCGCCGGCGCCTTGTACGGTGCGGGCAACCTACATCGCGCGTAAGCATCGAATCATTCCGTCAGTATCATCATTCGCATCGCCACCCGCGCGTCACTCGCGCGTCGCGCGACCGATTCGCCCTCCCAACCGTCGTCGCCCGATCGCGCGCGGCGCGCCATATCAGATATCCCGTATCTCGGATACGTCCGATGCCATCGCGCGCGCATCGACGCGTCGCGCGACGCGTCGCGCGCGCGCGACGCTCGCGCGTTCGCCCGCGACGTAATTCTTCCTTCCGATTCCCCCATCCGCGCTTCCGTTCGTACGCACCACATCTTTCGGTCCGCCGCGTTCGCGACGACGCGCGCGCGTCGCGCTTCGGTCGCGCGCGTCGGCGTCGCGATCGTTCGCGTCGTGGACGCGCGTTGTGCGATCATGGCTGTGTTAAATGCGTGCGACGAACGAGACGGTGCGTGTCGTGCGCTGGGTGTGCGTGCGTGACGTGCGATGCGCGTCGACGTGTGCGGCGTCGTCGCGATCGTCGTCGCGCGCGAATCGAATCCTCCATCGCGACCGACCGACCGACCGCGCGCGCGTCGTATGTCACTCGACGCCCGGTCGTTCGCGCGTGCGATCTCGGACGGGTTTTATTTGAGTCGCACTAAATCCTCGTATTGTAATGCACGTAATTCCCATGTGTGAACAGATGACGTCCCCCACGCCGACGCCGACGCGAAACCCTCGCGGCGCGAGGGGCGTCGGCGCGCGCGTCGGCGCGCGGCGTCGTCACACGCGCGCGCACGCTCGTCGAGTCGTCAGAGAACGAACGAACGTCATGCCCGCGTTCACCATGTCCGCGCTCGCGCTCGCGCTTCCGCGAACGACGTCGACGTCGAGCGTCAAGGCCCCGTCCGCGGCGCGCCTCGCGGCGAAGAAATCCGTCGCCTCGGTCGTCGCGTTCGCGCCGCGCGCGACGGCGCCGATGCGCGCGCAGCGCGGGGCGTTGGTCGTGACCGCTGGGGGGAAATCTATCGGGTGCACGCTCGGCGGGACGCGACGTAAACGCGCGCGCACGAGCGGGTTTCGCACGCGCATCGCGAGCGCGTCGGGGCGCAAGGTGCTCAAGAACCGCCGGGCGAAGGGTCGGAAGGTTTTAGCGCCCGCGGGGGCGGTCAGGGGGTGGAACAAGGAGAAGAAGTAGAGCGAAAATGGCGCCCAAGGTTTCGCGCTTCGCGAGGCGCGTCGCGCGCCGACGCGTAGTCTTTGTCACATTAGATTTCATTCATCACATTCACACCCCCATTCGCCCTAGGTCTTTGAGGCTCGCGCGAGAGGGTCGAGTCGGTTCGGGTCGCCGCGTCGCGCGAAGACTCGACTCGAAGCGCGAAGAGCGAGCGTCGCGCCGAGAGTGAGGGTCACGCGAAATCGCCGTCGTCGCCGGCGTAGGCCCTGGCTTTGGATCTCAACGATTCCAAGAGCTCGGCGCTCTCGCACGCGTCGTCGAGCGACCACGCGCGCAAGATGGCTTTGCCGGCGGCGGAGGCGGAGGCGCGAAGGTAATCGCGAGCGGTGGCGTCTAAGACGCGAGCGGTGGCGGCGCTGGTGGTGAGACGGAACGTGGCGTCCAATGAGATCGGCGCGGGGGGACGGAAGAGCTTGGGGAAAGGTAGAGGGATGGGGATGTGGGCGTCGACGACGCATCGACGGCGAGGACAGCGATAGAGCGCGAGCGAGGACGCGGCGTCGAGGACGACGTTCGCGATGGCGGCGTCGCCGCGAGCGAGACCTCTCGAGATGAAATATTCTGCGAATGGTTCGTCGTCTGTCTCATCTTCGGCGTCGCTCGGCCGCACCGACGGCGTCATCGAGCGCTCCGACGCGACGAGCGCCGCGGCGTCGGCGGCGCCGCGAACATTCGGCGCGGGCACAGACGCGCGCGCGGAGGCGTGCGATCCGGGCGCTCGATTGGTCATGAATCGGACCATCTCATCCATGCTTACCGCGCCGTTCGCATTCTGACTCAGACGCCACGGCGTCGTGATGCCATCGACGGCGAGCGCGACGACGGCGGATGCGTGAAACCACTCGTTTCGACGCAAGCCGGGCATCGTCGGGTAGTCGTCGCACGCGGCGAGCGGGCAGTACAAGTCGCACATATCCGCGATTCTCGTCGACGCAAACGCAGCGTTGAGCATGTCGACTCTCTTACGCTCTTTGTTCGCCGGTGGACGAACGGAAAAAAAACACACGGCGCGGTTATCGTAGTCGTCTCGAATGTCTTCCAACGCCCGAGCGCACACGCCGCCGAACCCGCTCGAGTCATCGCACAGGACGCGAAACCCACCGAGGGTGTCACAATCTTCCGCCCAATATCGCACCGCGTCTCGAACGTCCTCTCGTCGGTCTTCGCTGTCCATCCACTCCAGACCTTCGCCGAACCCCTCGAACGCGTCGACGTCGGCCCGCTTTCCCGCGAGCGTAAACGCGTTTCGCGCGTGCAGTTCCACCTTCAGGTAATCGCTCCAGTGCTTCGCCTCGACGTCCAACTTACTCGCAGCCTCTATTAACGCTCTCGTGATCTCCTCTGGATCCTCCAACGTCGTTCGTTCGCCTCCCGTCCCGCCCGTCTCCAGCGCCCGACCGACGCCGCCGAGCTTTCCGCGTCGCGCGCGCTCCTCGTCGTCATCATCATCATCTCTCCCGTCCACGATCGCTCGCACCCGCGCCTCGTTCGCCCTCGCCCTCGCTTCGCGTTCGAGCGCCAAAACGTACCCACTCTTCCTCGTCGTCGGCGCTCGATACGTCGCGCGTCTCCCGCTCCACGTCGCCGTCGCCGCGCCGTCCTCCGTCGTCCCCGTCCTCGTCCTCGTCGTCGTCGTCGTCGTCTTCATCCCTCCCGAGACGTCGAACATCACCACTCTCGGCGCGCGCGTCGTCGTCGTCGTCCCCATCGCGCCTCGCGACGCGCGCTCGGCGCGCTCGACGCGCCAATCCAGCGCGCGCGTCCCGTCGTCGTCGTCGTCGCGCGCGTCGTCGTCGTCGCGCGCGTTCCAGTAGTGCGCGCCGACCGCGTTGGCGTACGCGCCGAACTGCACCGTCACCGCGCCGCGCGTCGGCGCCATCGCGCCGCGTCGCGCTCCGCCGTCGTCGCGCGCCGTCGACATCGCTTTTTCGCGTCGGCGTTGACCGCGCGCGGCCGATAGATGCGCGCCGCGCTCGCGTTCGTCGCGTCGCGATTGTTCGCGCGCGTCCCGAACGCGCCCGCGGACGTCGCGATGGACGTCGACGACGCGTCGGGCGTCGTCGTCGTGACGTGGACGCCGGGCCCGAGCGCGGGACGGCACAACCTCGAGGAGGAGGAGCACGTCGTGAGCGCGCGGTTTCGCGACGGGGCGTGCGAGGAGGCGCTGCGAGGGACGGCGTGCGATGGATGGATGGACGTGCACGTCGGGACGGGGCGACGGTTCGAGATGACGGTGCCGGAGGGGGCGAGGGGGACGCTGGAGGCGCGGTGCCGAGCGGAGAACGCGGCGGGCGCGAGCGCGTGGGTGACGGCGCGAAGGATCCGGGGAGAGGACGAGGGCGAACGCGAGTGGGGGGGGCAGTGGGGGAAAGGCGTCGATCGACGCGAGCGTTAGGTGATTGTGTTGTAGTGATTAGACGGCGCGCGTTCGAGTCGTGTCGGCGGCGCCGAAGCGCTTGAACGACGCGAACGAACGAATTTTAGTTCTTCTTTCCAGAAGTCCAGATGCCGGAGAAGAGTTCGTCGAACACGATTTCGCCCGCAGATTTGTAGTCGAGCGCTCGCTTTCGGAACGCGACGAGTCGCTGTTTGTCCTCCGCGGTGACGTTGAAATCTTTTTGCTCCAAAACCGTATCCGCCAAGTAGTGCAGCCACAGCGCGTTGGTCTTCGGGCAGTACTTGTTCCACTTGCCCTTGGTGACTCGTTTCATTCGACGGTACGTTTCCGATTGACAGTGACCTTTCGGTCCCGCGAAAAGCTCGGGGTCGGCGTTCAAGTCGCAAAACGCGTCGCCGTCTTCGGTGGTGAGGCGAGACAGGGTGAAGTCGATGATCGTGACGTCCAAGCCAGAGGTTTGGATGTTCAGCTCCACCCCGTTCAGTTTGGCGCGTTTTTGCTTCGTGCGAGTACGTTTGATGAGAACGTTACCCCAATGCAAATCTCTGTGCTCGAACTGACTCGCCTCTTCGGCCACGGACAAGGCGACGACGATTTGGAAGAGCATGGCGACTGTTTCCGTCATCGATCGAAGCTCGAAATGTTCCAAGTCTGTCCCACCATCGTCGCACGCGAACGAAATGTACAATTGATTACTCGGCAAATCATCGGGCTTTTCGTTCTCGCTCGCACCCGTGGATGCGTACTTGTCCCACGCCTCGAGTAGCTTTTTTGAATACGGACCTCGGCACACCGACGCGTCGAGAAGACGAATGAAACCGTCGGTGAAATTCTTCGCGTTTTCATCCGCTTCGTGGTCACGCAACGCCGTGAGTGCCTTTAAGATGGAAGTTTCCGAACGAATCTCGCCTGGACCCATCTGAACCTCGCCGTTGACCAAGGCATCGCCGCCCATCGGCACGATTTTCATCACGACGCCGTCTTCTCCTCGGTAAGCCTCGCCGTACGTCCCTTCGCCAATCTTTTTCACACCGTGCTTGACGTAAGACTTGATGAGAGACGACATCGAGCCGACGTTTTGTTCGTTCTGATCGCACGCGCGCAAAAGTGCGGCGAGTGGCGAGCATTCGTCGTCGATGACGAGTCGTTCGACGTCCTCGTTCAAGCTTTCCAGCTCGTCCTCGGTTTCGGCGATGGACTCTTCCTCGTCCTCTTCGTCCTTTCGGTTCTCCCCGCGCGACTCGACGGCGACGTCTTCCTTGAGTGGCGTAAACACGGGAAGCGACGACACCCAGTTGGACACTCGATCGAACGCGTTCTCGCGACCGCTCGGCAGCGTCTCGGCGCGCGGCGCCGACGCCGTAGGCTCCCTTCTCTTCGTCTCCATCTTCGCCCTGAGCTCGGGGGCGTTATCCACCAATCCCAATCCTTGCAACGCCTCTATCAATCCATTCGGGCTCATCACTAAACGATCTCCCATCGCCGCCCCTCGTTTCGGCGTCGCCTCCTCGCTCTCCTCCGCGAGCGATTCGTCATCCACGTCGTCGAAGAACGCTCTCGATTCCGCCAACTTCGCCAATCTCGCCCGATGCTCCCTCTCGGCCTTGGCGTTCCTGAATAATTTATTCCTCGACTTGAACACGAACGTGCGCTTCCCGACCGTCGCCGCCGTCGTCGTCGTCGTCGTCGGTTTCGCATCCGTCGCCGCGTCCGCCGCCTCCAGCGCCTCGCGCACGATCTCCAACCCTCGCGCGTTCGCCTCGCCTCGCGCGTCGTCGCGCGCCGTCGTCGTCGTCGCTCGCGCGTCGTTCGTCGTCGTCGCGTCCGTCGCGTCCCGCGCGTCGTCGCGCGCGCGCCCCGCGCGTCCGTCGTCTCGCGCCGTCGTCGCGTCGCGCTTCGTCCCCCCGTCGCTCTTCGCCGCCATCCCGCGCCGCGCGTCGCGCCGTTTCCGCGCGTACCTCACGGCGACGGGCGCGTCGCGCGCGTTGGCCTCGCGCAGCGCGCGCGGCGCGCCCGCGGCGGCGTCGTCGTCGCGCATCGTCGTCGAGATGTGACGTCGTCGCGGTGTCGATTCGTCTTCACAACGCGGCGCGGCGCGACGCGCGGCGCGGGCGCGCGACGACGCGCGCGCGATGACGGCGCGCGACGACGCGCGGGACGACGACGACGCGCGGCGCCTCGAGGCGGGCGCGCGCGCGCTCGAGGCGGCGCTGACGGTGGACGACGACCCGCTGCGGTCGGGGGCGTCGGACGTCGAGCGACGACGACCGGCGTCGGCGCGGCGCGGACGAGGCGCGAGAGCGCTCGACGCGAGCGAGTGGGTGGCAAAGTTCGGCGTCGCGCGCAGGGGAGGGTGCGATGGACGCGTCGGGACGCGGGCGACGGGGGCGACCGAGGCGACGAGGGCGGCGACGGCTGGAGGCGGCGGCGGCGAGGGAGGGACGACGACGACGAGCGGGAGGCTGGGATTGGTGGCGAAAGAACGCGTGCGGGCGTGTGAGGTGCTGATCAGAGAGCGAGTGACGTCGATTCAGGGGACGTTTCGGAGTCAAGGGGCGTGCCTGGCGAGACTCATGGAACGCTTGCGAGAACGCGGAGAGCAAGACGCGAGTCGAGCGTGCGCGCCGTCGAGGGAGATGGCGAAGAAACTGCTCTCGAACGCTGAAGAAAGAGAGGAGGTTTTAGCGCTCGGGGCGAAATTAGGCGTGGAGGACGAAGAGGAGTGGTTAAAGTTTGCGGCGTTTGTCAAATATAACGCCGTGACGAGAACGTGTCGACCGGCGACGACGAGCGCGGGCTCGATGATAGGCGCCGATGCCTACGTGCAGTGCTCAATGGTGATGTTTGACGCAATTAGCGCGTGCAACCACTCGTGTGACCCGAACGCGGAGGTGAGTCACGTGTCCGACGAGGGTGAGGTGTCGTTGTATTCGCTTCGCCCGATTGAGCGCGGAGAGGGGATAACAATTGCGTACGGAAAGCCTTCCCTCCGTTGGCTTCCAGCGCGCTGTCGAAAGAAAGCTTTACGCAGGGATTGGTATTTTGATTGCGCGTGCGCGCAGTGCAAGGCGGAAGTCGCCTCGGGATTAGCTGTAGATAAGCCTTTGGCGCGACCGTGGGACATACAAGATCCGCGATGGTTCTTTTGCACACACGACTACGTCACGGGATTCGAGTCGCACTTTGACGGCGAAGGCAACTTACTCTCGCTGAAATCGGCGACTGCGTCTCGATCGAATGTTTCACCGAGCGCGAGCGGGGCAAACACGTCTGAATCTGCCGCAGACGGCGTCGCCGCGGAATTCGGCGCCAAGTTGCACGTTGGCGGCTTGGGACTCGCAGCCGATGCGAGCGGTAGTAGTAGTGGCTTATGCGATTCATCTGATTCGTCTTCGTGCCAGTCGGTGGATTTAGACGAATACGACCGCGAATCGAGCGGAAGCGAGGACGAAGACGTCCTGCGATGGCACGAGCGCTGGCGCTCAAAACGCATCAAGGCATACAGCGTCAAGAACGTTGGATTGTATACCCCTTTGCAGCTTTATCACGCCATGCAGCGCTGTCAAATCAGACAGGATCATTGGCAACTTCTTGTCGTGCGTGAGGCTTTGATCAGTCAAATCATGAACGACGCGGCGATGAAAGGAAACGCGTCGTCTTCGCGCCCCAACGCTCCGAGTCTTGACGGCGGATGGGGCGAGCGCGGGAAGTTCCAAGCCTTCAAGCTCATCTTAAATCAGTGTAGAAGTCTGGCGCGTATGGCGCCGAACACAGGAAGTTTTGCAGAATTATTTGCGACGCTCGAAAACATCGTGTACTGGTGGAGCACCGACGGCTGGCACTACGTCTCGACGAAGCGCGAGCGCCGCGAGCAGGAGCGCGCTTTCTCGCGCGCTCGCGCGAGACGCGCGAGAAACGGCGCGGGAGAAACGGCGCGGGAATCCGATCGCTCCGATTCCGTCGATGACGATGAATTTTTCGAAATTCCCGTCCGTTCGCGATGGGCGTTTCGCTTGGAACGCCTGCGAGACGCCGCGCACGCCGACGTCTTGGCGTGGAACATGCAGTTTGGGAAGCTGCCGAGCGCGCCGTTTTAGCGATTTTCCCCTTTCGCGCTTTTAACATTGATGCGTTGTGTAATTCGAACTCATAGTCATATATTCTTGATTCACGAATCGTTAAATTTCTCAATTTACAAAATTGTTTTTTATTAAATGCGCGAAACGCGGAAATCGCGCATTTGACGAGTCGTGAACCGTTGTGAGTCCCTCGCCGATGAGAAATCGCCTCACGCGTCGCGCGAAGAAGCCGCGCGATCGCGGCGCGCGCGCGTCACAATTCCTCGCGAATCTCACAGTAAAAATGGCCCGTACGAAGCAAACTGCCCGTAAGTCCACCGGTGGCAAGGCCCCGCGCAAGCAACTCGCCACCAAGGCGGCCCGCAAGTCCGCCCCGGCGACCGGCGGCGTCAAGAAGCCGCACAGGTACCGCCCGGGTACCGTCGCGCTTCGGGAAATCCGCAAGTACCAAAAGTCCACCGAACTTTTGATCCGCAAGCTTCCGTTCCAACGCCTTGTCCGCGAAATCGCGCAAGACTTCAAGACGGACTTGCGATTCCAATCCTCCGCGGTCTTGGCGCTCCAAGAAGCGTCCGAAGCGTACTTGGTCGGCTTGTTCGAAGACACGAACTTGTGCGCCATCCACGCCAAGCGCGTCACCATCATGCCGAAGGACGTCCAACTCGCCCGCCGCATCCGAGGTGAGCGCGCGTAAGCGCCCGGTGACGTATCCTTTCTAAGGTGTATCACTCTCAAACAAACAAAAAACCAAAATGGTGTTCATTTCAACACCACCTCTCAGCGAAAGATTCAAACGAAAATTCTCTAACCCTAAACGCGCGCGCGAACAAGTTTTTGAATCTTCATTCACTTTCATGTTGTACAACAAACGATCTACCATCCTACTGCTCTACTGCTCTATATGTATCTATTCACTTCTTTCCCTTCTTCTTCTTTCGCTCCTTGCCTTCGTCGTAATTCACGACGCCCTGAACTATTTTTAACCACGCCTGTTCGAGCGCGTAACCTTTGCCCGCCCGCATCCACGCCTTGAGCTCTGGGTACAAGTACCGGTCGTTCCCACGAGTCATCCAGATTTGTCGTAATTGTGCCCGAGTACAAATGCCACCACCGACACGTTTCAGTGCGCCGAGTAAATCGACGACGCGCTTTTGAGCTCGTCCCTCAGGTCGAGACGCCAAGAGCGGCTTGGCGGCGAGCTTCTCTCGCAAATCCGCCATAGGTGGCGACACCGCCCCCGACAAAAGCGCGGTGGCGAAGACGGCGCATTTGGTATCCACATCATTAACAGCAATTGGATTCAGCGGCAAATCCCAGCGGTGCGGTCCGAATCTCGGCGCCGTCCAACCGACGACGCGGTCCTCCCGCGAGACGTATCTCGGCGCCGGGTCGGCGAGCATAGCGCCTTGATCCACGAGTGCGTCGCAGTGCTGAATCAACCACTCGGGCTCAATCCCGGTGGCGCCGACGATGTAGGCGCGCTTGTCCGTTTGTAGTAAGTCGGTGTAGACGACGTAATCCGGAGAGCTTCGATGCAACGAAGACGTTGGATGAAGAAACACCGCGGCGTCGAGGAGCGCCGGAACGTATCGCGTCGCCTTGGTCGATTTCTCGTTCGCTCGAGACGCTTGCTCCATCTCTTTGTGTTTTGATCGACGGGCAATTCTATCCGCCCAACCCGCACACAGCGCCTGTCTCAACGTGCGCTCGACATCGCCCCCGGGAGGAAGCGAAATCATCGACGAAGCAGCCTGGTTTGAATCGTCGAGTTCGTTCAGCACTGCGGCGTTGGGAAAGACGTCGTCGCCAAACTTGGATGTCGTCGCGAGATTGACGACGAGCCGTTTCAATTGTCGCCGCAAATCGGACATTTCTCGCATGGTCTTTTCGTGCAACCTATTCGTAGAGCAAAACGTCACCGCGTCCGAGCTCTTGCAGGCGTCGTACGCCAAGAGCGCCTGCGCCGCCGAGAGAGCGTCGCTCGCCGGGTGGTGAAATCGAACGTGCGGTGGCGGACCTTTGGGTGTCGCCTTCGCCTCTCCTTCTTCTTCGTCGTCTTCCACAGTTTCGCTGCTATTTCGCAGGAATGGGCTGTCGAGGCTCAACGCGGCAGCGATGGCAATCGCCGGTGAGAGGCAACCTCCCACGCCGCTTTGAGCGGCGGCGAACAACATTCTCGAGTGCCGTGGACTGATTGGCAAAACCGCCATAGCGCGCCCTAAATCGGTCAAAGGCCCGATCTCTTCGCCATGCCTACTCTTCTCTACCGCTCCGAGAATCTGTAAAGTCTTCTCCGCTGCCGCGAGAGCCGATCTTTCGGGAGGCGAAATAAAAGGAAAGTTGACCACTTTGTCGATGCCCATGGCACGCATTTGCAACACGACGCCTTCGACGGGTACACCCAGGATTTGTGGATCTGCGTGCGCTTTCATCTCATCCACGAAGTGTGCGCTACTAAACAGACGATAACAGTGCCCTGGACTCGTACGCCCGGCCCGCCCGGCGCGTTGATCGGCGCTAGCCTTGCTCACCCATCCGACTTGAAACCGCGACAAACTTGCGTCTCGCTCGTACACCCGCTCCTTTGCTCTCCCGGCGTCGACGACGTACCGTATCCCTGGAATCGTCAAAGATGTTTCCGCGACGTTTGTAGCGACGATGACCATTCTAGAGCCGTCGGGTGAAGCTTGAAACACGCGCTGCTGCAAATTCGGGGGCAGTAGCGCGTAGAGCGGAAGCACATTTAAACCTCCCGGTCCGTCCGCCGTCTTATCGGCGCCCAAACCCGTAGATGGAGCATTCGCTCGAGTCCAAGCTGCTTCGGCTTCTGCGGCTTCTTCTTCTCCAACGCCCTCACCACCCATGACTAGGACTTCGTCCTCTTCGCTGATGTCGCTCGCGGCGTCCGACATATCGTCCTCGCCGTCGAAATCGGGTTCGTCGTCGTCGCCGCCCAAATCTTCCCCCCCCGCGTCGATCGCGTCGACGTCGTATGTGTCATCCATCGCGTCGCCGCTATCTTCATCTTCATCATCCGAACTTTCCGCCGCGTTGACGCGCTTCCCGTGAAGCGGGTACGCGTCTCGAAGCTTGCGACAGACCATCTCCACCTCTCGCTGACCAGTCAGAAAGACGAGAATGCCGCCAGGTGGAAGCTTGCGATGGATCGCGAGTACCTTCTTCGTCGCCGCACCGACGTAATCAGCGTGTTCCGTTTTCCGTGAAAAGTGCACAGTGACTGGAAACTGACGCGTGGCGACTTGAAGCAACGCTGGAGGTGTCGGACATAGCTTCCTGTTCTCCACGAACTCTTCGACTCGCAACGTCGCGGACATCACGACCAATCGAAGCGGCGTCACAGCTTTCCCTTCAGCCGCGAGTGCGGCTCGAAGAGGAACGATTCGTGAGAGAAGACCCAACAGAATATCCGTATTTACGCTCCGTTCGTGCGCTTCATCGATGATCACCACCGAATATTTGCGTAAAAGGAAGTCTGCCTGTACTTCTCGAAGCAAGATGCCATCCGTCATAAATTTGATACGCGGGTTGTCGCCGACGTTCTTGTCGTAACGCACTTGATATCCGACATCACCACCGAGAGGAACGTTCAGCTCTTCTGCCACACGACGCGCCGTGGAGGTCACCGCCACACGTCGAGGCTGTGTCACCGCCACCGCCCCAGGGTGACTGTCGCAATCCGGATCGCCGTAACCAGCCTCGTACAAGAACTGCGGCACTTGCGTCGTCTTACCGCAACCCGTGGCGCCACAGATGACGGTCACGGGATTGGTATTAATCGCGTCTACGATTTCATGTTCCTCTTGAACGATCGGAAGCCCCTCGCGCGAATCGTTAATCTTCCCGGTCCGTTGAACGGGAACGACAAAGGAACATCCTCGAAACACTTCGTGATGCAAGCCTTTGTACTCGTTCGATTTCGGCTTATCTGAGTCATCCCCGACCCCAGCTCGCGCGCGCAATGATCTCACTAGTTCGCGCGTGGCGTCATCGAGTGACGCCATGCCCGCCGCCTCCGCCGCGCGAATGGCGGCTCGAGTCAACGCGTCGTCCTCCGCGCGTTCGTCGTCCTCCGAATCGACGTCGTCTTCCATCTTCCCCGTCGAGACATCTCGCACCCCTCCGACCTCAACCGCCGCTTCCCGTTCGCTCTCGCTCTCGTCCTCGCTCTGTTCTTCATCTTCTCTTCCCACAGCCTTCGGTCGCTTCGTCAACCGCGCGTCGTCCAAGTCGTCCAGCGTCACCCCCGCGCGTTCCGCCTTGAGCGCGCGCCGCATCTTCTCCTTCGCCGTCTCTCTCGCCCCCAACGACGTCGTCGCCCGCATCAGCCCCAGCGCGCGTTCATCCGCCACGTTTGCCTCCAGCATGGCCATCACGCTCGCCCTTTCGCTTCGTTTCCGCTCCTCCTCAGCCAGTTTCTTCAGTTTGCGCTTTTGCGAATTGCTCAGCTTGGTCACCCTGCGCGCGGCGTGCGCCTCGGCGCGTCGCCGATCGCGCGCCTCGATCGCGCTCGCGCCGTCCCGCCCGCTCGTGCCCTTGCGCTTGGGCAGGAACACGAGCGCGGCGCTCGCGTCCGACGCGCCGTCGCCGTTCGAGCGTCCCATCGCGACGCGTCGTCGAGTGCGGTGGCGGCGGCGGCGCGCTTCCGCACACCTCGTCGCGGCGCGCGCGACGATTCGAGCGGCGGTCGAAGCGCGATGCGAGCGATGACGGCGCGCGCGGAGACGCGCCGAAGCGCGCCGCGAGCTTCGGCGCGCGTGGACGCGCTTCGGCGCGGCGACGGACGCGCGCGAAGATTCGAGCGGCGCGCGACGGCGACGCGAACGACGCCGCGGACGCGCGCCGAGGCGTCGGCGTCGCGCGAGGCGTCGATGGACGACGCGAGCGCGTCGGAGTCGCTGATTCAAGTGGGCGCCATCGTGGGCGCGCACAGCTTGCGAGGAGAGGTGCGCGTGAAACCGATGACGGACTTTATCGAGGAGCGCCTCATGCGCACGGGATCGACGCTGCGGGTCGAGCTCGAAGCGCAGGGGAAATCGACCAAGAGCGGCGAGTTCGACGCGCCGCCGGGAGAAGTGAGAGCGGTGAAAGTGCGAAGCGGGCGATGGGTGACGAGCAAGGGAAGAAACGACGTGATTGTGAAATTGGCGGGGTGCGACGATAGAAACGCCGCCGAGGCGCTCGTGGGCACGCGATTGTTCGTGTTACCGAGCGATCGAGAGCCTTTGCGAAAAGATGAGGGCGCCGAAGGTAGTGATGGCGACGACGAGTTTTACGCCCAAGAGCTCGAGGGATTACGAGTTGTCGAGCGCGACACGGGGGAGGTGATCGGCGTGGTGGAGGATGTCGTTCGCGGCGCCGGAACGCAAGACTTGCTCAAAGTCGCATTCATCGCGCTCGATGAGGAGACTGGGATCGATGCGGAGTATTACGTATACGTTCCTTTCGTGAAAGAGATAGTCCCTCTCGTCGACGCGACGAATGGATTCATGGAAATCACTCCTCCGGGAGGTTTGCTCGATTTAAAAATTCCAAAAAAGACGAAAAAGCAGCGCGCTCGAGTCGCGGCCAAGCAAAAGGAAAAGAGAGACGCCGCAGCCGAGGCGTCCGCGGACGCGTAGACGATATCTGGCGATAATTTCGTCGATAGAGCGAGCGTTGTACTACTAAAATATAGAGCTGCTAAAGCGTAACTATTGACCTAACTTGATCGCTCGCAACGGAGAACGACTCGGCGCTGCGCACTTGTTCGTCAACGATAACGAGGCCAAGACGACGGAAATGCTGCTGGACGCCATCAATATACTCGCGAGCCATGGTGAAACTTTGATGCTCGGGTAAAACGCACCCGCCGCGAGGGGTAGCGTGACCGCGTTGTATCCCAGAGCCCAGACGTAGTTTTGGCGTATTTGTCGAAACGTTTTCTGCGCAATATCTATGGCTCGGACGACTGTGTACAAATCAGCGTGCATGAGCACGAAATCAGCCGCTTCGATCGCAATATCAGTTCCAGCACCGATTGCCATCCCAACATCCGCGGATGCTAACGATGGGGCGTCATTGACGCCGTCGCCGACCATCGCCACTGAAGTCGGTTTGAACTCGTCCTTCGCTCGAGGCGAACGTTTTGATTGTAATTCTTTGATGATGTTCACTTTATCCGTTGGTGAAGCCTCTGCATGGATAATCTCGATTCCGCACGCACGTGCAATCGCGCGCGCGGTCTTCAAGTTGTCGCCGGTGACCATGATGCTTTCGATGCCTCGCTCTCGCAAAGCAGTCACCGTCTCTCTGGCGTCGGATTTCAACTCGTCAGACACCGCGAAAGCTCCCTCGACGACACCTTGAACGCCCACGTAAACCACTGTCTTTCCACTCTCTTCGTGTTCTGTCACAAACTTTGAGATTTCTTCGGACAGTTGCCGCATGTTTCGCTCCTGCATCATCTTTTCGTTTCCCAGCGCCACGGATTTGCCGTTCACCACGCAACAGACGCCTTGGCCGGGGATGTTTTGAACGTCCGACTTTAAGTTCGAAGGTATTTCGGACGGACTTTGACGTCTGGCATAATCTCGCACGGCTTTTGCAATCGGATGCTCGCTGTCTTTCTCAACGCAAACCACCAAACTGATGATTTGATCGAGAGTCTCAACTTGCGACGCTATGAAGGCGGTGACAGTGGGCGAGCCCGTAGTCAACGTGCCAGTCTTATCGAACACAACTACGTCCAGCGCACCGGCTCGTTCCAGAGCATCAGCACCCTTAACCAAGATACCGCTAGTTGCCGCGACACTAGTTCCAACCATGATCGCCGTCGGTGTTGCGAGGCCGAGAGCGCAAGGACAAGCCGTAACGAGGACGGAGATGCCAAACATCATTGCAAAGAGGGTCTTGTTTTCGTTCGTCGGCACCCACACGGTGGGGAAAGAGTTCACCCACCCCGCGATCAACCAAGATAAAAACGTTATCGAGGCCAAAACCACAACAGCGGGTACAAAGATGTTCGAAATGCGATCCGCAAAGGCTTGAATCGGCGCCTTGACGAGTTGGGCGTTTTCGACGAGATGGACAATTTGGTGGAGCGTAGAGTCTGCGCCCACCTTTTCAGCACGTATGACAAAGGTGTTTCCTTCGTTAATTGTACCACCTATCACTCGTGCGCCGACTTTTCGCGTCACCGGCATCGTTTCTCCACTCACCATGGACTCGTCTATGAATGCCTCGCCTCGCACGACGACGCCGTCGGCGGGCACTCGCGCTCCCGGAAAAACCTTCAGCAGATCACCCACGTGTATGAGCTCGGTCGCGATGATTTTCTCACTAAACTCAGCATCGTCTTTCGTCGGCCTGAGCAAAGTCGCGTTGCGAGGCGTGAGCTCGAGTAGTTTGGTGACCGCCGCGCTCGTCTTCCCTCTCGCCGACGTTTCGAGATACTTGCCAATCAATATGAACGTGATCAACATGGCGCTCGTGTCGAAATAGTCTCGCGCAAACATAGAACCGAAGAAGAGACAGTATAACATACTGAATACGCTCACCCCGTACGCGACGTTCGTACTCAGAGAGACGAGGACATCCATGTTACTAGCGCCGCGTTTGAGCGAATTCAAAGCTCCGCGATGAAAGCGCATGCCGACGCCAAACTGCACGCGAGTGGCGAGCGCGCACTTGACGAACACCCAAAACGAGAGCCCGCGCATCACTTTAGGGCTCCAAATACGTTCGAGCATCAAGTTCGTCAGCACGATCGGTGCCGTGAGCGCGATGCTCACCTTCAAATCCTCTCTATATTTCGACTGCTCTCGATTCGACTTCGCGCGCTCGTCGCCGCCGCCGCGATACACGCTCGCCCCGAAACCGATCTCTTCCACCGCATCTATCAACGTTCGCGCCCCCGTGTGTTCGGGATCGTAATCCACCACCGCCACGCCCTCGGGAATCAAGCTCACGCTCGCCGAAGTCACCCCTTTCGCCGTTCGCAGCGCGCGTTCGACGCCTCCCGCGCACGCCGCGCACGTCATCCCATCTATCGCCAACTTGACCGTCTTCGTCCCTCTCGACGCGTCCTCGTCCCGCGCGCGCGTTCGCCCCGTCGATTCCGCGCGTGCGCTGTCTCTTTCATCCCACTCGTCATCTCCGCTCGCGATTCGTTCGCGCGCCGTCGTCCCCGTCCCATCGCTTCGCGTCCGTCCCAACAACTTTTCCTCGTCGTCGTCGTCGTCTCTCTCGTCGTCGTCGTCGTCGTCGCGCGGTGCGCGCGCGACCATCGACGACGGCGCTTCGACGCGATCGACGCGATCGACGCGCTCGATCGCGTCGTCGATGCGCCGATCGCGCTCGACGGACGCGCGACGCGTCCCGCGGCGTCGAGTGCCGCGCCGACCGTCCGGGACGCGAAAGTCGAGAAAGTCGATATGGGTCGTCTCAGAGGTCCAGGGTTTACGCGACTCGTCCGGGATGACGCCGCGCGCGACGCGCGACACGCGCGCGCGCGACTCGACTCGACGCCGACATCGCGCCGCTCGCGTCGCCGCTCGCGCCCTCTCTCGCGCGCGCCTCGACGACGACGATGGGCGCGCTCGCGCGGCGATACCTCGTGCTGTACAACGTCGCGCAGGCGTGCGGGTGGTTGACGGTGCTCGCGAAGGCGTCCCGGGCGTCGTTGGACGACGCCACGGGGGCGTACGACGCGTGCCGATCGACGCTGATGGTGTTTCAACTCGCCTCGTTCGCGGAAATCGCGCACGCGGTCGCGGGATTGACGCCGACGCCCGCGGCGGCGGCGCTCGCGCAGTGGAGCGGACGCACGCACTGCCTGAAGTGCGCGCTGGACGCGGTGAAGACGTCACACGCGAGCGTCGCGGCGACGGCGCTGGTGTTCGCGTGGGCGCTGACGGAAGTGGTGCGATATCCGTCCTACGTCGGCGGTTTGATCGGACGTTCGCCCAAGTGGTTGACGTGGTCGCGGTACACGGTGTTCGTGCCGCTGTACCCGCTCGGAGCGGCGGCGGAGATGAAACTCATGTACGACGCGCGAGCGCACGCGCGGAAGACTAAAATGTACGCGGTAACGATGCCAAATGCATACAACTTTGCGTTCGATTACGTCACGTTCCTGAACGCGCTCTTGGTGGCGTACCCGTTCCTGTTTTACACGCTCTATCGGTACATGTTCGCCCAACGAAGGAAAAAGCTCGGCAAGGCAAAGGAAAATTAGTGATTAGCTAGTCGTTGTAGCACTATTGACGTTTAGTCTATCTATGGTCTGCGTAGGGTTGCTTTCTATCTATTCCTACCTCCTCTCTTGAGTTCTTTCAAGCTGCGCTCGATGCGTTGTCGCGGCGTCGCTCCTCGCGCCGTCAACTCGTTGTGGCGTTCAATTTCTTCCTCCATCAAATCGCTCGCCAAAGTCTCAGACGCGGCGTTTTGACGCCTTCGTTCGAGTTCGAAAAAGTCTAATCCCGCCTCAGCGAGCACTTCGTCGTTGTGCGCCTTGATTTCGCTCGCCAGCATCTTCTGAGACCGTCGCTCGCCGTCGCGGTCAACGTCTCGTTTCGCGGCTTCTTCCTTGGCGCGACGCGCATCATTCGACCCGCGTTTCCGACGCTTCGCCGCGCGCTCAAGAAGTGCCTCGACGGCACGACTGGATGCTCCACGACGTGACTCTATGTCATCCTCGTCTTCTTCGACCGCGTGGGGCGGATCAGCGGCGGTCGGCGAAGACTCTTTCGCATTCGCGTTTGCGGGCTCGTCGCCGGTTTGACGACGCTTAATCAATCTCAGCGCCTCGCATCGCTCCACGAACGCAGAAAAGGTCTGCTTAAATTCGCTCACGGCGTTCACCACTCTCGAACGCTCAGTCTGAGTGATCACGACGTTTCCATCGTCGTCTTTGTTCTCGGGTTGAATTCGACCCAAAATTTGAAGCGTCTCTGTGAGACGCGGAAGATACCGAGCCTTGGTGGAGCGATACAGACCGCGGAGTTGCTCTATGATTGGTGCGTTTTCACTCGTCTCTCTCAACTCAATGCTCGTCACGGATGAAGACGCGGTGGTATGCTCGTCAGTACCTTGCGCGAACCGCCAATCCTTGACGGCGCCGTCGACGACGTCTTCCCAGTCGTCTTCGCATTCGTCTTCCCGCATCGATTGTATCGTGTCATTGACCGTTGTACTCGTCGAGGCACTTCGATCTTTAGACGCAAACGATGATTCGTCGTTGAATTCCGTCACGAATCGATCACCGAAGAGCAAACGAAAGCACTCGCAAGCGGCGTTTCGTGCGTCGTCGATTTCATCCAGCAACGCGGGCAGCTCTGTTTTTATCGCCAGCCATCGATTTTGAAGCTTCGACTGCACTTCGCGCTCTTTCTCAGCGGTGAGTCGCTGCGCGCGCTCCGCGCGCGCCTCCGGCGCGTCATCACCGAGGCGCTCGGTGACGAATTTGCGAGCCAACGTGAGCTGCTTGTATTGCGTCTTAAATTTTGCCTCCCACGCCTCTAAAACGTCGATCGCGTGTTGTCGCAATCGATCGCCCTCGCCCTTGGGAACGTCGGGAAGTGGAATATCATCATCCGTCCCTATCGTGTATTTCATCAGCACCTCCAATCGATCGAGCGTGAGCTCTCGAAACAGTCGCGAACGCTCGAAGAGTTCGCTCGTCGTCGTCACCGCTCGCGCTCGCGTCGCCGCGCTCGCCCTGGACGATTGCATCGTCTTCATCAGTATCTCGTGCGCGCACCGCAGACCGTCATCATTATTCCTCACCGTTCTCTTCAGCGTTTTCAGCGCCACCGCGTCCACGCTCGGTGCGCTCGCGTCGCAGCATCGCTTGATGAGCTTCTCCATCGCCGGTCTCGACGCCATGGTCGCACGAGTCGCCTCGTCCGCCCCGAGGTCGTCTCGTCGTCGCGTCGTCTCGTCTCGTCGTTCGGCTCACCCACGCCGCGCGCGCGCCATCGGTCGTCGTCGTCGTCGTCGACTGGGGCGCCGACCGACCGCACCGCCGACCGCCGGTCCGCCGTCGCGTCTCGTCTCTTCTTCTCGACGGGCGATACGCCGGCGATATTTTCCAACCGACGCGCGCGCGAGTCGCGACCGGCGAAATCGCGCGAAATCGGACTCGCGCCGAGGATCGGGCGATCGCGATGGCGCGCGCGGCGCATCGCGACGCGCGACGTTCGCGCCGTGACCATGCTCGTGATGTCGCGCGCGATGACGTGCGCGGCGACGTCGTCGTCGTCGTCGTCGTCCTCGCGCGTCAATCGCCACGCGCGGTGCCGCCGCGACGCCGGAGACGCGACCAAAGCGCACCGCGTCGAACGCCATCGCGGCAATCGCGCGCGACGCGCGTCGACGATCGCGGTGCGAGCGTCGAACGAGAACCCGAACCCGTCGGTGGGGATGGACGCGCAGCGCGCGAACGCGGTGCTCGGATTACGACCCGACGCGTCGAGCGATGAACTCGTGCGCGCGCACAAGGACATGCTCGAAAAATACGCGGAAGACGAAATCAAGCGAGGCGAAGTCGAGGCGGCGTACGACGTGCTGCTCATGAAGTCTTTCAACCGACGAACGAAGGGAGAGAGCGTGAAGAACGAAGTGAAATACGCCGATGTGGTGCCGGCGGTTGATAAGATCAAGGCGTCGTTACCGCCGTGGGCGCGCGAGGCTGGGAAGTCTCTTCCCGCGGGACCGCGGTTCGCGGCGCCGTCGCGAGAGACGACGACTCGAGCGGGCGCACTCTTTGGCGCTCTCGCGCTCGTGACGTTGTTGCAAGGTTTCGCGCAGCCGGAAGGCGTAGAGAACCCGACCGGGCTTGAAATAGCCGCCGCGCTCGGCGCCACGGTGTGGTTCATGAACCAGAAGCGCGTGAGCATAGGACGCGCCGCGGCTTTGGCGTTTGGCGCCCTCGTCGTCGGCTCCGTCGTCGGCGGCGCCGTGCAGGGGTGGCTACGCGTAGACATCGTTCCTTTCGCCGGGATCTCTTCTCCATCAACCATTGTCTCAGAGTTTGGCATTTTGTCGCTCTTTATCGCCGCCGCTTGCCTTGATTAAGTTACCGAGAGGACTCCGAACAAAACACGCTCGCTGTACACGCTGCCACCGGTCGCCGAGATCGCAAATCAGCACTGACACATGTAATACTTTAAAAGACGTTCTACGCGACACATTACACAATTTCTTGTCGTCATTTACAACTTGCTTAAGTACACATGCGCACTAATCGTACGCGATATAAGAGACTTCTAAATCACGGATGGGCGGATGCGCGACGGCTTCGTTCAGGTGTTGAAGAAGTCCTCCCATGCGGTTTTCGAGTTCACGATCATCTTCCTCGGTCGGATCTGGATTAAATCGCACGAATTTGATGGGCACGTCCAAAGCCTTTTGAAGTTCGCTCATTCTCGACTCCTCGTTAACGTAGCTCTTGCTACCTCTTCGATGACCGAACTCGTCGACCTCGACAATTAGGCCCCACGTGCTCGTCTGTTCATCCGTCACCGAGACAATCTCCAACAATATATCCGGCTTGAAGTTGACGTTCTTGCCAATCTTCAAACGATGATTTAAGCGCATCCCTCGTATGCTAGTTTGCGGGCTCAACTTCTCGGAAGCACCGTCTTTCCACCACTTCTCGATTTCATTGAACACAATTTGTTGCTTCTCTTCGTAGTTCACCGAAGCGCGCCCCCACGTGAACGTTTCATTGCTCGGTGGTTTCTTATCCTCACCGCCTATCCAGTTGATCTGCACGTTTGGACCCTTTCTTTGGGATGACATGCTCGATACAGTCCACGGAGAAACCTTGCTTCGCACACCGCGCGAAAGCGCCTTTTTTGGCTCCCATTCAAAGCCGACGGACGTGAGCGCCGAGATGCGCTCATCAGATAATTTGCCGGTGCGCTTGTACTTTCGCTGCGTGCCCACCCACGAACCTAATTCTTTATTGTGTCGCCATGTGGCAGGGACGTTGCAGTGACCGTGAATTCGCTTGAACTCGATGAGTTCCATCAGTCGCGCGTCCCAAGAGACGCGCTGCGTCATCTTGAGCGTCACACCCACGTCTCTCAGCGCCTGAATCTTATCTTTACTTAGCTTTCCCTCTCGAAAGCACCGTTGCTGATGATACAACCACGTTTTCATTCCTGGTTCATACTGATTTGTCCTCTTCACCTTGCCATCTGAAGCGACGAGCGCCTTGAGTTCATCAAGGCGAGACTCAAACGTTTCGTCGCTATGATTCTTCTTGGTAACGTTCGGCTCCCAAATCACTCCCAACTTATCTAATTCTTGTACAATGTCTTCAGCCAATTTGTCTTGGCGTTTGAGTGTGCGCATGCGTCTGACCCACCGCTCTAGCGAGCCGCCGACTGGAACTTGAACGTGGCCTTCCTTCGCCTTGAACGCTTGTAATTCTTCTAATCGAGCGAATCTCCGCTTCTGCAGCGGTTCCCAGTCCATTTCGAGCGCATTCAATGATAGTATGACGTCCTGCCCAAGCTCACCACGGCGTTTCATCGTGCGCATCTTTTTAACCCAGTTGGAGAGGGATGTTCCGGCGGGCGGCGTCGAATGCCCGTACAGCTCATAAAACGCGACCAGCTCCTCAAGTCTACCAACGGAGGCTTTTTTCTGAAATTCAGCGGGTTGACGAGTCGCAAGGATATCTTCGGCCGTCTCTATTGACTCCATCTCGACCAAATCGGTTATCGCGTGTTGTCTGCGAGGACGCCGCACGTTGATGATGCGCTTGATCCTTGCGCGCCTGTCGGGTGAATTTGATTTGTCGCCGTGCGCGGACGCAAGCGGAAGAAGCGCCACGCGAGTACGCGCTGATGCGACACATCTACGATCAAATCGCACGCCAGCGCAACGTCGAGGAAACATCACGCCGCTGAGCAGCGCTGCACTCATTCCCGCTAAATCTTTTCCCGCCAAATCTTTTCTACGTACGATTCACGCTTCGAATAGCCGACGTGTGTGCAGGAATGCAAGTTCAAAAGTCAACGGCGCGAGCAACCATGCTTGCCAAACAGTAGGGCGCGTTCACCACTCAACTCGCGCGTCTTTTGTCGCGCGCGAGGCTGTATCTGTAGTCGCCGATCGATCAGCACTTCATCTTCCTCTCGTGATAGTTTTTCTTTCGCCTTGGCCTCGAGGGGCACGTCGGAACGAAAACGACACGGCCGACGAAATCGGTCGAGAACACTCAAATCAACTTGAAATAAATACAGAAGTCGTTCGCATATCGAATCGCGCGCTCCTGAGGCGTCAACATTTCGCGTTGCGGCGCTCGCTCTGCAAAGCGAATGTCTATTTATTTCACCCGGGCAACATTGAAAAACAGCGATACACGCGCGCACGTTAAGAAATAGCATCGCAGAAGTGAGTGACTGATCAGTTATTTATTTTACGACGACCATACATTTGGAAAACGATTCAATCAACGCCTGTCTTGCTTCATGGTTCGTCACATAAACAATTAAATGAATATTGCAAAACTCGAACAAAGCTCAAGACTTCATCGTCAAAAAGCGCGTTAATCGCGCTCTGAGCACGTCAAGATTGACACAGACAGTACCATGCACGAACTCAGAGACTCTGGCGCGAATCGCACGCCATGACGCTAAGGAACACGTCCATGTCAGACGATGCGAAATATCTACTGATTTAATTATTTAATCCCAAATCACAAAAAAGAGCATTCGTCGAATAGTTTGGGCGAAATTCGACACGCGCGCGGTCGAGTCACGTAATCATCGGTGCACAAACATCATACGTCGATATCACGCGCGAAGTGTGCGAGAAACTTACGATAAATAATTTAATTTAATTTAATTCCACTCTCAGGCACGCTTACGATGTGTGTTAGTCGCAGCGCGTCGTAGAATGTTATCATTCGTCGCGGCGAGAAAAGCGTCGAATACGAACGACAAATGTCTCGAGCAGAGTACATCTATGTGGATGGACGCTTCGATGCTGTCCCATTTACGCACGCATGCTTTCATTTAATTACAAAATTGATATCCGTTCGCACAAGTAATTACTCCAGTGTCTCATTACCCCCAAAGTGTACCGTACGATGTGTACGCGAATATTAATAACCCGAGCGGGACGAGCACGAAGAGCGCAGCGACGAGGCTCAAAATATTGAAGGAACTGCCCTTGTATTCACTCCTGCAAAAAGATTTAATACCAAGTTTTATTTAATTGAACAAGCGCCGCGGCTGCAAGTGAATGCTGGCTGCCAAAGTTGTCTTACCCGTCCCAATTGTCTGTGTACAGATCTTTCCTATCTTTCCCGTTGTTCGCCCGTCGATTAGCAAATTGGCGTCGGCCTATCTCTTCCGAAACGGTTCTCGGTCGGCGTTCCATCGCATCCCAGTCAGGTTCCTGTTGTCAAGGTTGTTACGCTTCCAATCGCCGTGATGATCACAAATCGAGATAATGCGTACCTTATTCTTCTTGAAGATGTTCGCGACAACGCTTTGACGCCCCGCAACGTTCTTCGACGCCTCGCGCGATCCGGGGGCCAGGTTTCTCGGAGACAGTTTTGGAACGCGGTGAAGTGCTCCAGAGACGCTCGCCATGACGGCGACTTCTCGCGCGCGTCGACTCAACACTCGCGTCTGAGCGCAAATATGGCTGTAAAGAGGTTTGATTTAACGCCTGAGCGATCCGACGGATCGTTCGACCCCCACGAATCAAAGTTCGCGTTTTTGCACTGGGTGCGCTCGCCCACGCCGGGAGTGCGTCTCTGGGGCGAGCCGTGGTCCGATTTGTACAGTACCTCAGTCGTGCGCGCGCCGCACGGTTCCACTGCCCGCTGGGGCGCTCAAGAAGATTGATTCGTCGCCATGGCGAGTGAATACTTTTCATCGTCTCGCTCGGATTGGTGCGCGCTGTGCAAATGTTTCGTACAGCCGCACGGGAACGCCAAGCGCATGCACGAACGGAGCGAAAAGCACAAGAAGAACGTCGAAAGAAAGTTGAAGGATATCAGGCACAAAGAAGCGAATGAGAAGAAGGAATCAGATAAATTGCAAAAAGAGATGGCAGAGATCGAGGCAAAGGCGGCGGAGGCGTACGCAGCGGATCTTGCAGCGGCTGGTAGACTATCAGAAGCGGCGGCGTTGATGCCCAATTCGCTCACCCCAGCAGCGCGTGCAAGGGAGCAAGAGGCGAACGCAAAGAGAGAGCTAGAGACTGCAATTGAGCGCGAGCTTCATGCGCGCGAAGAAGCAGAATATCGCGCCACGCAAGTCCTGGGGGCTTGGAAGTTTGATGAAAGATCGAAGTATTACTGGCACGCAAAGTCGTCGTGTTACTTCGACCCAAAGACGAAGATGTACTTCAACAACGGAACGAAGGTGTGGTCAAAAACCGCGCCCGAAGGCGCGCCCCCACCTCCCTCTACAACTACTACTCCGGCCAAATCGACGGAACAGTACGCTCTTGGACCTTACGCGACAGGTAAAGTTGTGCCGACTGCGGCAACTCCTCAGGCGGCAACTCACGGGCAGCAAATGCCGACTGCGAAGCAAGCCATAGCGGCGGCGAAGGCGTTCAATCAAACGACGACGAGTTCAAAACCATCAACAGTGGTGGGCAAAGCTGCAGCGTCTACGAAGCCAACAACGACAACGAGTATATTTAATTTGGGTTTTGGAGCAAACCATCCAAACTTTGAGGCGGCGAAGGCGAAGACGCAAACCGCGGCGTCGAGGGCAATTGCAGCGTCTGGGGGTCGCAATTTTGAAGCTAAACTAGTAGGTGGGTATGTCACCGCTAGTTTGGGCGCCGATGCGACTCGTAAGCGTCCAGCTTCGTCGATTAGTAAGAAGGTTGACAAAGCGGAGGCGGAGGCGTTGAAGCGCCGAGAAGCTGCGCGGGCGCGCGTAGAGGAGAGAACGAAGAAATCGTTCGGATTGGGATAGCGAAATAGAAGAACAACGCCGATACGTATGCTAGGAACTTGTCATTATACATCACATTCATTTGAAGTCTTGGAACAAATCTTTCACGTCTTTGCGGAAAGCGTCGATCACCCTGGCCTCGACGACCATGCAGCAACGGTGTGGAAGGAAATCAGCGATGTCGTTTTCTTCGTTCTGCTTACCCCGCCAAAAGAAAGAATTCGTCGAGTGCTCGAGCAAGATTTCCTCTTCCAGTCGCGGGAAGATTTTTTGCCTGGTCGGTTGTCCCTTTTTTCGCTTCTTGCCCGCCGCCGGTTCGGCCTCTTCTTCGCCGTCTTCCTCGAATAAAGTACTCACTAAAATGTAGTGTTTGAATTCGTACGACTTCCGCGCCTCTTCAGTGGTTTCATCTTTTGTCGCCCAACGTATTTCGTCGAACACACCGTCGATGAGTGGCTCTCCGGCATCTTGTGGGACGTTGATGATGCGTTCGTTGATGAGCAAACCCGTCGCGGCGTCGTTGAGCACCTTTTCAAAGTCCTTCTTACTCTTACCCGGAACCTTGCCCAGCAGAAACTTTTTAATATCCTTCACGCACTTCTCATCCTTGTGTCGCGCCAAGCTCACCACCGAAGTCACGCCGAGCACGTTCTCCGAGTCTGCCTCCGTCTTCACCACGGTGCCGACGGCTTTTTGTTTAATGAGCAAGTCGCACAAGTCCGAGCACGCGTATTCGTTCCCATCGCAATATCCACTCAAAAGCGCCTTTAAGCCATGAAAATCACCCTCTTGAACGTCACAAAAATCAAAATCAACCTGTTTATCGATGCAAGAATCGCAGTCGTCGTCAGCTTTACGCGCCGCGCCTTCGTCGCCTTCGCGCGCGTCTTCGCGTCGTTCACCATCGCACCATTAACACGTCCTCGTCCCCATCGTCCCCGTCCAAATCCTCCTCATCTTCGTCTTCATCGTCGTCCGACGCCGCGTGTTCGTACTCGTCGTCGTCCCGCACCGCCTCGGTCGATTTCCCGTCGTCCTTCCTCTTCGTCGTGGTTCGTTTTCCCGGCGCCATGGGGTCGTTCGTCGGCGTCGTTCGTCGCGCGTCGTCGTCGGGTCGGTCGCGCGCGCGAAGATTCGTTCGTCGTTCGCTTCGCCCGTTCGCGCGTTTCACGCGCTTCGGCGTCTCGAACTGCCCTCCGTCGCGCGCGCTCGCCGCGCGACACCGCCGCCGGCGCGCATCCGGTCGAGCGGTGGTTCGGTTCGGTTCGGTTCGGTTCGGTTCGGTTCGGTTCGGTTCGGTTCGGTTCGGTTCGGTTCGGTTTGATTTGATTTCGTGGATGTCGATTTCGACCGATTCGACGTCGGCGGCGTCGCGTCGCACACGGCGACGCGCGCGCATCGCGAACGATCGCGATCGCGATCGTTCGCGATGACGCCCGCGCGCGCGGACGACGCGGACGACGCCGTGGACGCGGCGAGGACGCGCGGGGAATCGCTGCGCGCGCTGCAGCGCGAGCTGTCGCGATGGCGCGTGGACGAGGCGGCGACGGAAGGCGGGGGGGGGGAACGCGCGTCGCTCGAAGAGAGCGAGACGAGCGAGGAAGAGGACGAGGCGATGACGCCGCGCGCGAGCGCGAGCGCGAGCGCGAACGCGAGCGCGAGCGCGGTGGTCTCCGTCGCCGTGCGCGGCGTCGACGGCGTTGACCGGACGAGCGACGCGACGAGCGGCACGAGCGAGTACGCGCGCGTGCGAGTCGACGCGGACATGGAGGTGCGGCTACGTCGAGCGGAGCTGCGGAAGGTGGATTTAGAGCTGAAATTAGCGAACAGCTTTGAGAAGGTTGAGTTGGCGAGACGCGCGCTGGAGGAAGCGCGAGCGATTCACGAAATGTATAAAGTTGAATTCGAAGACGCCCAGAAAGAGTTTGAAGAGCAGCAAGAGCTGGTGTACGAAGAGCTCGAGCGAAGGGAAGAAGAAGCAAAAGCGTTACAAATGGCGTCGATGCAGGCGGCTGCGATCAAGCGTGCGGACGAGTGCCGCCAACGCGCAGACGCCGCGTTCAAACGCGGCGACATCGGCGAGGCAGAACAGTTGTATTCTCACGCCATCGCAGAGCTCGAAGTGAGCGGGATAACGTTGGTCGACCCATCTCATCTTTGGTTACGAATTAATCGCGCGACGGCTCTATTTGCGCTCGGTCACGTTCGTGAATCGCTTTCAGAATGCGAGCTCGTGCTGAAAGTTGACTCCAATCACATTCGAGCGCTTTCGCGCGCTGCGAAATGTTGTTTGAACCTTGAGGAGTTAGAGCGAGCGGAGCGCTACATAGAGTTCATATCGTTATCTCCGGCAGCAGACTCAGCAGATTTGAAAGACGCGTTGTCGCAAAAATCTACACTCATTCGCGCCTTCGTTGAGCGAGACAAAGTGGCTGGTAACGAAGCGTTTCGAGACGACGATTTCCACACCGCGGCGCGATTGTACTCTTCGGCGTTGGATTCCTTGGACTCGATGTATCTTTCAGACGTTGCAAAGGTCAAGGTTGGCTTGTTATCGAATAGAGTAGCGGCTTTGATGATGCTGGGTAACCCTCTTCAGGCCGCTGAAGACTGTTGTGCGGCGTTGAAGATCGACAAAGCGCACCTCAAAGCTCAAGTTCGTCTGGCGAGATGTTTGTTACAGCTCGGTCAATTCGACGAGGCGCGTCAAGAGGCGTCCGATATTCTTAGTAACGGCGTGTCCACTGCGGAGCAACAAGTTGATGCGCAGCAAGTGATAGATGACGTGGATCGCACGCAAGAGCTCGTCAACGATAGCGCAGAGCAACTGTGGCAGATTGAAGACAACGGCGACGAAAGTGTCGACGCACACAGCGTCTTGCGAGTCCTCGACGAAGCTAAAGTCTTCGCGCCGCATTCGACCATGATTAAAACTTTCAGAGCTGAAGGTTTGCGATTTATCGGAGAAATTGCCGCCGCCGCGATACTCGTCAAAGACGCTCCAATTCAAGATGTTCGCGGGCTGTGCGTACGGGCGAGAATCGCCTTTGAGTTGGCGAATGTATCCGATTGTTTAGATAGTTTGAAACCATTGATTCCCGCGCTTGACCTGTATGCTGGACGCGATGCTTCTCATTGCGTGACCTTCGAAGAAGTGTTGACGCCTGATGAAGTACTGAAGCAGATACCAAATCCGGCATCACTGCTTCAGATTCTAGAGCAGGTGTGTCAAATAAATGAATTGAAAGAGCGAGGAAAAGAAGCGTTTGGCGACGCGAATTACGACAAGGCAATTTCACTATACACCGAGGCGTTGGGTCTGTGTAAAAATTCAGACACGCTCCAAGCGCTGTTTTTATCAAACATTTGCGCATGCGAACAAGCCACGGAACGCTATGTCGATGCATTGGCTTCAGCAGGTGCGGCGTGTGCACTTGCACCAAAGTATGCCAAAGCGCACGCACGACTTGCTGCAATCTACACTGAACTCGACATGGTTTCCGACGCCCAACAAACTTACGAGGCACTTCTCATCATGGGATTATCAGAGGATGAGCGTGTGAAAGTTGAGTCGTACTTGATGACGATCACTGGGCGAGTGAACGCCGAGACGCCCGTAAATTGGCGCAAACTGCTCGGCGTAGGTCCAAAGCCGTCGAAAGACGTGTTAAAGAAGAAATACAGGCAGCTCGCACTGAATCATCATCCGGACAAAGCATCACGTGGATGTGCATCCGCAACACTTGCAAAGGCTCGTGTTGTTGTCTCCAGTAAGCTCTTCAACTTGATCAGCGAAGCATACAACATCCTGAACAATGACAACGCCGTCATTAAGTGGGAAAACGCGCGAGTGCGAGCGCAGTACAAATCGTCGCGGCCTTGCAACGAGTCGCCAACGTATGCACGTGCGCCTTTCGGTGACTCGAACGAATTTTACTCAAGATATTGATTGATCTTTTCTACAAATCTAGCTTTTAGTCCTAAATGTAGGTAAACGTAGTACCAATGAAAGACGATGCAGTGCTTCCGAGGATGGATACTCCCAAATTTACGTTTCCTTGCGCTCCTGCTGGAGATACGCACTCTATTTTCTTGCCATCAGTCGAATCTGACCACCACTGCGATGACTGCGATACCGACGCCTTGCCAATCGCACCGAAGCCGTCTCCGCCTCTACTCTGAACGGTTATCGTGCCAAAGCGACAGGATGTGTAGCCTTCAGGGACCCACTTGGCAACGGTGACGCCGACTACGTTTCCACCCTGTTGCCAACCGTCAGCGGCATCAATGGCGCTGATATCTCCTTGAGTAATGACATAGTGTGCTAACGTCGTCACATTCGGATTTGAATCGCCCGAACTCGTCGTGACAGCGACGCGCTGCTCTTCGACGTCGTCAGAGGTAATCGGCGAAGTATCGCCGCACTGTATCACAGCCGTAGAAACAACCTGAGCATCGACGGAGACAGATCCGAATCTGCACTTGACGGCGGATCCAGTTGGAAAGTTTGTGCCTAGCAAGGTGACAACACTTCCACTCCAACCAACCCAAGGCACGACCTCTGTGATCATTGGTGTCGGTTCAATCAGGTATGCAACGACGTACGGATCGGCGCCGTACGTCGTGGACAAGACCGATTGCGAAGTGGACACGGAAATATACTCAAATGTCAAAGCCGTCAACCCCAAATCGAGCGGAGGAACACTCACAGGAACGACACCCGCAGCATGCGCCGGTGTCACGCAATTTATCTCGCCCGTTCCAGTTACCGAAGTTCCCGCAACGGGATAGATTGTGCCAAATCTGCAGCTTGGCACGTTTGCGCCGAAACCTTTCACGGATGCAGAGTCAACGAGAACTGCAACATCGCCTCCTGCTTGCGTACCGTTCACTGGAAGTACTGAAGAAACTCCCAGCTTTTTCTCGTATCTCACGCGTGTTCCCGCGTAACTGGTGCAACTGCTCGCCGAAACTTCAGTCGAAGAACAAATACCGATGACAATCTCAAATCCACTCTGCCCAGAAACTATTAGCGTATCGAGGTCTGGTACGGTGCACTTCAGGATAGTTCCCGATACTCTACTCGCCGCACTCAAATATATTGACCCTCCATATATTCCAGCTTTTCCGAACACACACCAGAAATCGTCGTCTCCCGAATTGTCGCCGAGAAGAGATCCATCAGACGTCACAGCGTGTATGACTTCCTCCGCCTGTACCCAATTCGCGCCCGTTGGGAGGAAAACTTCCACCCCAGGCGTTCTGGTTTGAACTTCAAGGTCGAAGTACTGCCCAGCTGCTTCGTCTATAAACGCAGTGTTGTTCGTGCTAGCCGCAGATACGACGATCGCCATCGTTGCAAAGCCAATACCAGTCTGCGGCGAGGCGCACTTGAGCGTTCCCGAGGAATCGGCGAGAGAAGACTTTAATTTATCCCCGCCGCTGGTGACGAAAACGCAGTCAGCTGAATACGAAGACGAAAGTGCCGCATCCAAGTACACAGATATCGAGCCCCCATTCTGTGGAAGAGCTCCTGGTACTATGGCACTCACACCAATCTGTGCGACGTACTGAAATTCTATCGTCGACTCGACGTCAATGCCCACCGTCACGTTACGCGCGGCGTATGCAGGAGAGCTACACGCAACTCCACCTCCAGGGACGTGTATCGCCGACGTTACTATCGTGCCAAATCTGCACGTGGGTGTGTAATAAGATGAAGTTGGGATAGTTCCACCCGTGAGTTTCAGCACCGTTCGAGTGCCACCGCTCGTCGCTCCGACGTTTGGCGTGATGCTCTCTAAATCATTCGCTACTGGTAGCCAGCCCATGGTGGTTCCTCCGGCCCCCGGCGACGATAAATCAGAAAGCACGTCTATGGTTAGATCGTGCGCAGAACTAGAGGAACCCGAAGGCAGCTGATGATGGTACGGGACTGAGCATCGGATGAGCGCGCTCGACACCGCGTGCGCGACGAGAGCTATACCGTCGTGCCCACACCATGTTTGCCGAAACGGGTCCATGAGATTTTGTCCCGAAAATGTCGCGACAGTACCCGCACGAAGAAATCCCGGTACCACCGACGTAATTTGTGGTGGCGAGACAATCAGAAATTGCGCTGAGGCACTTGCACCGGCTCCTGCACTCACAGCGTGAAAGCCGTATCTGAGCGTGGACAGCGCCGCTGTCTCGGATGGTGTCGCCGGAAAATCACATTTGCTTTGGACCTGATTCGTCACTAAAACGGGAGATGTAACCGGGTTCAAGGCTTGGCAAATGCGTGCACCAACAGAACCCGAGCCAGCAATAAGGTTGCGGCCGAAAAAGTCGACCAGAGTCGAAGAATCGGCCACCGTATTTCGCATCGCATTGCCAACCGAAGGCAACACGACGTCGACAACTTCGTCTTTGCTCACGGTGAATGAGGTGAACCAACCAGTCTGAGTTGCATTCGTCGGAAACATTCTTTGAGCATACATATCCACGACACTCAGCGATGGAGTGCCGAATGACTGCAAAGGCGCTTTGCACACCAACTCTCTTTCGCTGCGCAGAGTCGCCGCCACCCAAATGCCGTCAAACCAGCATCCGATACGAATCGGACTCGCCGTGAACGATGCTATGGCGCCGCTCAGCGGAGTACTACTTGATGCTTGTATCACTACGTCACCACCAACTGCGGTGGTGGACACTAAAGGCCCATCTATGATGGGCGCGGTTTGGTACTCGACGCTCGCGCCGCCGCCTCCGACGGCGTGAGTTGGAGTGAGATTCAAATCCACCGTTCCTTCCGCTTCGCTCGACGCACGGGTCTCACACATGGCTAACGCAGAAGAAATGAATCTGTACTCGGATGTCAGCGAAGAGTCTTTGAACGTGCACAGCATTCCTGGACGAAAATGTGTCCCTGAAAGTCGCAGAACTTCGCCGCCGCTCTTGTACGCGTACTCTGGATTCACTTTGGATAGTTTCCAAGGCACGACGAATTCGAAAGAATGCTGCCCGTTGTCCACGACTAAATCATCTGACCCGGGAACGTATCTCTTTCCCGTCGCCTGCGCCAACCCAACGGCGACGAAACCCGCGAAGACGTTGGTCGGCGTCGCGCACACGACTTTCGAAGTCGTGCTCGCGGCCGAGTCCTTATTCGCGACAATCTCCCCGAACCGACACCCCATCGGCGGCAACGCGTTCGCGTATCCACTCCCATACAACGACACCACCGTCGACGCGTACACCGCTCCAGTATCCGGCCACACGTGCTCCAACGTCAGCGTCGTCGCCGTCGTCTGATACTGCGCCGTCGCCGTCCTCCCTCGCGCAATCGTCGCCAGCGTCCACACCACCGCCGTCCATAACCTTCCGCTCGTCCTCCATCGCATCGTCGTCACACTTTTTTCCCGTCTCGTCTCCCTCGCGCGTCCGTTTCCCCCGTCCGCGCGTCGCGCGCGCGCATCCATATCGCGCGTCGTCTCAAAACGATGCAATTCCTTCCCGTCCTCTTCTCGCGCGCGTCGACGCGACGCGCGTCGTCCGCGCGCGCATCGCACGCGCGTTCTCCACGCGCGCGTTCGCGCGCCGTCGACCCGTCGTCTCGCTCGCGTCGCGCGTCGTCGCTCGCGTCGCGCTTCGCCGTCGACGCCACCGCGGCATTCCGTTTCCCGCGCCGTTCGTGTTTTCGCCCGATCGATCGCCCGATCGATCGCCCGTTCGTTAGAATTAGGGTTGTGGGCGCTCGAGCGGTCGGTTGTTCGGGCGACGACGGATGCGCGGCACGTCGCGACGCGCGCGATGTCGCGCGCGCGAGGGATCGCGCGCGCGACGCGCGGCGGTGAGGTCGCGCGACGCGCCGTCGCGACGACGTCGACGGCGACGGCGACGGCGACGCGGGACGACGACGACGCGACGGGCGAGCGATTGAAGCGGGCGCTGCGGCGATGCGACGACGCGTGGGCGCTCGACGGGACGACGCACGGGGCGAGGCTGGCGCTGATGCCTCGAAGACGGTGCGTGGGGGTGAACGCACACTTTCCGCGAGCGCTGCTGGTGAGATACGTGCTGGCGATGGACGGGGAGAAGCGACGATGGGTGGCGCCGGACGCGCGGGGCGAACGCGAGGGACGAGGCGCGTACGCGAGCGCCGATCCGCGGGCGCTGGAGATGGCGATGAAGAAGAGAGGGTTCGAGATGGCGTTCAAAACGAAAGATATACACGTACCGGAGAAATTGGCCGAGATGACGCGACGACAACTCAGGGCGCACGTGCGAGAGTTGTTCGCGCGAGCGTGCGGGAGCGCGCGGGAGGCGCTCGCGGGAAACGCGGGAAACGGGGAAGAATCGAGGGCGCAAACGACGCCACGAACGGTCGAGGAAGAGATTGAAAAACTGATCGAGACGCAGAAAAGAATTGTTGCAGAAGATTGGATATTGATTCCGAGCGATTCGCGCGCGCGCGACGGTGCCGGTGACGATGAAACGCACGAAGAAAGGCGCGGAAGCGCCGAATCAGACGCGGTGCGCGGCGTCGGTTACAAGCTAGACGCGCTGAGCATGGATGAGCTGACGGCTTGTTTGGACGCAGCCGACGCAGATGAAAGCGTTTTGAAGCGCATTCGAGACGGCTTGAAGAAATTTCAAACGACTGGAAATTTATCCGACGCGCCGAAGCTCGTCGACGTAAACGAGGATGTTTCGTTGGGTCTACGCATCACGCAAATTAAAGTCAAGCTTTTCGAGCGCACATGATTCGTTTCTTGAAAGGGCCGACTGATACAAAAAGTAATAACACTAGCAGTTAGTATTAGCTTCGTTATAATCATAGCGGCGGCGGATTGAGTTGAAGCGCGACGACGACGACGACGACGACGACGACGACGACGACGACGCAATGCTCGAGCTTTACGTCTTCACAACGCGATGCTCGACGACCGTCTGACCGTGCACCAACTGCCTCAAATGGCAGGTTTCGACGAATCTCGGTTGACAGTCGTCGTTGCGTTCGATTTTGGATACCAAATTCACGACAAGGCGTGCTGGAGATGGCTGGAAAAATGGCTTCTTCTCGATCCAAGCTCCATCAACTTGACGCTGTTGCACATCGAAACAGTGCGAGACCCCGCGAAACTCGAGCTCACGTCGTATAGGTACATCAGCCTGGAAGATTCGTCTCGCTTTTTACCGTACGACGTTTGGCGTTCGTTGCGTCGGAACAAGTATCCGCACCACGAAGTCGTTCTGCTGCAAACCAACATTGGAATCTCAAAAAGCATTCTCGATTACATGAGATACGACGCCCCGAGACACGCCATGCTCGTGTTGGGATCGCGGCATCACACGCCGAGCATTATTCCTCGATTCTTGATGGGATCTGTAAGCAGTGATGTCACGGCGAAAATTGATTCTCATCCTGTGTTGTTGATACGCACGCGCTTGTTCAAAGACGTTTCCGATTTGCGCGAGGACACCGTAGGATCAGCGTATCTCGGGTTGCGAGAAGAAGGCAAGGAGTTCGGCTGCGGTCGATCGATATGCATCGCAGTCGACGGCGCGCACGTCAAATCGCTCGTACACTACGTCATGAGAGAAATAATGCGAAAGACCGATATCGTGCAAATCGTGCACTGCGCGGCTGACGAAAACGCCTCTACACTCGCTCGCGTCTCTGCAGAGCTGGAGGAGATTCGCGAGGAGCTCAAGACGTTTTTAGACGATGAAAATCAACTCGACAGCGTACTACTCGATTTCACCGGTGACATACGAGAAAAAGTTTTAGAGCACGTGGACGAGCGCATGTCTAGCAAGGCCATTGATTTACTCGTCATCGGCAACCGAACACGACGAGCAGTTCTGTCGAGGAACATCATTGGCAGCACGGCGCAATACATTCTTCAATACGCGCATGTTCCTGTCCTTATGGTTCCTGACGCGCTGATTGAGTACATGGAGGACGATGCGATGAGTACAGCTGCATGATTTAGAGTTTTTAGTAGATGATGAATGTCATGACAACGACAAATTTAGAGCTTCCAGCGCGAGGCAAGAGTAGAGAGCATATCTCCAATATCGGCGCCCGCTTCTTCATCATCCGCCTCACCCTCGGGATCGTTATCTTCCATCGGTGCGAGTGCGTGTTCGATACCGGCCGCCGACAAAATAGCGCGAATTTCTTCCACGGTGTCTTCAGGAATCATGTTACCGTCGAGGTTGAGATGCTCAAATCCTGGCTTGCTCGCCGCGAGTTGCGCCGCCGCGATGGCGCCTGACTTTTGGAGTTCGTTGCAGCTCGCATCGAGTCTCACGAGAGGCGCGTTCGATTGACTCAAAGCCATGCACACTTGCGTAAACCCATAGTCACCAAGTATGTTATCACCGATTGTCAAAACCTTGAGGTTTTTCATCTCTGCGATGGCGTGGGCGACGGCTTCTGCGCCTTCTCGCTCAAAGTCATTACTGCTAACGTGGAGAACTTCGAGCTTCGGGCAACCCTTGGCTACGGCCATGAGAAGAGTTCCACCCATGTCCGGTCCTAATGCCGTCGCTTCGAGGTTCAAGAACTGAAGGTTCGGATGCTTTGGCAACACTTTGACGAGCGCTTCTGCGCCCTCCTCGTTGACGTTGTTATCGTTCAAGTCGAGTCTCTCCAGAGAATTCCCGTGCGAAAGCGCCTCAGCAAGCATAATCGCGCCCTCGCAGAAGAAACGAGAACCCGCCATCTTGAAATCCTTCATACCTGTCGCTTTCGCGACGATGGCGGCGATGTGCACGGTGCCTTCGTTGCCCGTCATGTTCTTGTCTAAATGGAAACGAGTGAGCTTTTCTGGGCACGCAAGCAGTTCAAGAATGGCACGCGCAGCCTGTTCAGAGATTCCGTTGTTCAAAAACGCGATAGAAGTCAACTCGGTTTGTCCTTGAAGAAGCTTCGTGCACGCACGAACACCCTTTTCACCAAACGCGTTATCGCTCAAATCCACCGACGTCAACTTGGCCGCGAGCAAGCCCTCGCTGAAAATTTCCATTGCCTTCAATGCTTCGACTTCGGGACGCCCCGCGATGGTGTCGCTTAAGTCCACTTCCTTCAACGTTGACGCCAAATTCACAAAAGCTCGGCTCGCCACCTTGGCGGCATCGATACCGAAACTCTTCGTGCTCAGTCGAACCTTGGAGTACGAAGCGCCTTTATTCAACAACGGCGCCAACACTTGTTCCGCGCGCTGTTGGGTGTAGAATTCCCGATCCTTACTCGTTTTACCGACGTCGAATTCATCACCATCCATCTCCACGTCACCAGCGGCGTCGCCGTCGCCTTCCTGCGCTCCAGATTCGACGACTTCCTTCATGAGCTCAGCCGCCTTCTTGACGTACAAGCGCATGACTTCGATCAGAGGTCTGTCCCCACTCGTCGTGCTCGAAGACACGTCCGCGGCGCTGAACGCGCGCTGTTCGATCTCCTCGGCCTTCGCTCGAGCGTTTAATTGATCCGTCTTTCCGTGACAATGGAATCCAATCGCGCTCAGCGACGCATCCACGCGCGCGACGAGATCTTCTCGCTGGGCGGCGGTCAGGGTGAAAACCATGACGCTCGCGTTCTTTTATCGAGCGTTCGGCGCGTTCGTCGACGTCCTCGCGCGTTCGTCCGCGTCCACGCGTTCGTCCGCGTCGTCCGAGCTCGCGGTCGCTCGCGCGCGCGGGCGTGTGGCGCCGTCGTCCTCGCCTCGCCGCGCCTCGCCGCGCATCGCTATCCGCGCTGGGAACGACACTTTATGCGCCGAGCCGCACTCGTCAGCGCGCGTCGTGGACACGCGCCCGTTCGCGAACGCCGTCGAGCATGGCGAGCTTGGAAGACCTCTACGCCGTCTCCCGTCGCCTGTGCTTCGACGTCACCGAGGGATTGTCCAAGCTCGAGCGCGACGAGGGACGCGGACACGGCGTGAACGATGGATTGGCGAGAGAGATGCGGACGCGCATGGGAGAGCTGAAGAAGATTACGAGCGAAATGGAGCGACAGTGGAGAGCGATGGCGATGACGGCGTCGATCGCGAAGAGCGATACGTGGAAGGTGCGACGGTGATGTGGATGAGAGACGAGACGTTGGTGTAATTCTCGGCGACGTCGCAAACGCTTGGTGCCCCTCGCGACGAACGACGGCGCGCCGATGCGAACATAACGACTGACGGGAATATCGCGCGACTCGAAACGTAAACAGAGAAAAGTTGAACACGTGATCGAGGAAACGGATCATCTGGAGATGTCGTTGCATAGATTTGGGTCGCGAGAGGAGCGTCGGTTAAACGAACAAAAGGAGCGCGAAGATTTAATGCGCAGAGTGACCGACGACGAGGGGTTTCGTTCGCTCGTGGGAGAGTACGACGCGGAATCTGGCTCGATGAAATCAGTTCGGCGGTCGGGTTCGATGGTGGATGAATTGCTCGAGCAAGGGGCGAGCGTGCTTGGCAATTTGAGCGAACAAAGCGCCACCTTGCGAAACGTCAAGCGCAAGGTCTTCAGTTTGCTCGACAAAATGGGCGTGTCATCGAGTTTGTTGCGAGTCATTGATCGGCGACAGAGACTGGATGCCATCTTAGTGTATGGAGGGATGTTCGCAACGGTGCTCATTCTTTTCATCGTTTGGATGTTCTTCTCGCGTTGAGGACACTCGTCTATCATCTAGGGGTAGCATTAAATAGCGGTAGTAGTAGTTTGAGAACGTCGCCCGCGATTCTCTCGCTATTGTAGTATTCTAGCCGAACCGATAAAATTCACTCATCCTCCAATTTTGCCTTTTTGTTCGATTCGTCTTTTGGCGTCGCCGTCTCCGCCGTCTTCGCTGTCTCCGCCATCTCTGCCTCTGGCTTGGAGTTTTCGTGTACTGAATTGCCAACACCGACGTAGGTGCCGCTCAAAATCCACCCGCCTGAGCCAGCATCAGTAGTCATCACGGGATGCGTCCGCCCAGGCAGTACTTGCTGGGCTCGCATGAATGGTTCGACCAAGGAAAGATTAATCGCAGTGTTCGTGTTTCTCAGATGATGCAACGCCTCGGCTAAAGGTTGGGCGGCGTTGAACCATATAGCGAACGACGCTGAGGACGCGCACAGCGGTAGCAATTGTTCAAGCGTAGATTTTGGCTCGATTGAAAGGGAGGAGACGATGAGTGAGCTGAAGCCCTGGCGGGCAAAGTTGGCAAAGTCGTCTTCGGCGGCGTACTTGACTTTCATGTGCTTTCGCTCCTGTTTCTCCGTCGTCGACAGTTTTTCGCCATCCTTTGACCCATTCGCTTCATCCATCTTCGAATCTTCATCCATTCTTCCCTCTCGCCTCTCGATAAGCTTCGAAAGCGCCGCGTGTCGCATGCAATCGAAGTGTGCGTCTTCCAAATTCATCTGCAGCAACACATCCATCGCGGTTGGATTTTGGCCTATAAATCCGTTGCAAATGCGCCCCATACCTCCCATGCGGTGGGTGACGGCTCCGAGGACGATGCCACCACACGTGTCTAACACTAAAGTTTGCGCGTGTGCGCCCACGTTCCCCGCGTTGAGCAACATCGAGAGCGCGTCGAAGCGCATGTGCGATGTCTTGTACGGATTGCTGTAAAAGTACTGCTCGCAAACTTGCCTCGGCGACGGAAATCTCACCAAAATTCTCGTCATGTGCTTCTTCATCTTTCTCGCTCGATACTTTTCTTGCGCGAACGCCGTCTTTTCGTCGAAAGTCTTGCTATTGGCCGCTATGATTTCCACCATCTCCTCGCCGGTAAACTCTCTCCTCAACGCCGCGATGTCGGCGTCCGTGAGCCGTTGCGCGCCTTCGTGTTTATTCGACACGTGCTTATTCGACCGCTCGTCCTCCACCGGCGCCGAACCATGCGCGACATCATCATCCACCCCCTCCGCGCCCAATCGCACGCACGCGCCGGTGTTATGCACGATCTCGTACCGCGACCCGAACGGCGCCCCCAACAGCGCCTCGACGGGTACTTTTTGTCTCTTCCCTACGTCCACGCTCTTCCCCTCCTTGAGCGTCGCGAACGTCGCTCGCTCGCCTTCGTTGATCTCAATCAACACCACATCACCCACTCGCATCGTCCGCGCCCCTCGTCGTCGCGCCGTCGCGCCGTCGTCCGTCTCGCCCGTCGTCGCCATGGCGGAGCCGCCGCGCGCGCGCGCGTTCGTTCGCTCGCCGCGCGGCGTCGTCGGACTCGCTCGAGCTCGACCGCGCGCCGGGTCGCCGCGACCGCTCGCGTTCGCTCGCGTTCGCTCGCGCGCGCGCCGGCGTCGTCGCGGTGTGCGTCGAATCCCGCGTTCGTCCGCGGACCGCGTCCCGCACACCGCGACGACGCCCGCGCGCGATCGCGTCGAATCGCGTCGAATCATGAGCGCGTTCCCGATCGTCGTGCCCGAGCGCGCGCCGACGACCGTGCACGTCGCGAAAGCGAACGCCGCGGACGTCGCCGAACGCGCGCGAACGACGGAGACGACGACGCACGCGAGCTTTCCGTCGTCGCGACCGGGACGAGGACCGGCGGAGCTGGAGGACGAGCGGGAACACGAGGGCGAGGACGAGGCGTTCACGAGGAAGCGCGGCGCGTTCGCGAAAGATTGTGCGTGGTGAATGCGAGCGATGACGGGCCGATCGAGCGAGCGCGCGGCGAGGGGTGGTCGATGGACTCGAACGAACGCTCGAAGCGCGAAACGAACGCGAGACTGACGCGCGGGCGACCGTCGACGCGACAGTGGCGTACATGATGTACGGATTCGGTGACGCGAAGGAACCCGATCCAGATTCGATCGAGCTCATGGAGGACATGCTGGTGGATTATCTCACCAACGTCGCGCATCGAGCGATGGAGGTGGCGGAACGACGCGGTCGCATGCAGACGGAAGACTTGCTGTACGTCATCAGAAACGATCGGAAAAAGTTTGCTCGCGTGGATGAGTTGTTGGAGATGAACGCTAAATTGAAGGACGCGCGAAGGAATTTCGAGTTGCACGATCCCCAGGCTGTGCTCGCGCAGCAACGCGCGGAGGAAGAAGCGAGGCGAGCAAAGGCGGACGCCGACAAAACAAAAAAGTAGCCAAAGACTTCGTCCTCACCGCGCGGGGCATCGGAGACACTAGTCAATCATCGATCCGCGGTAGTTTTCCTTAGTTCTCAGTGTCGACACTGGTAATAGATCTCCAAATCACGCTTTGAACCGCTTCGACGCGCGCGCGAACGCCAATCCAAACAAATGACACGTAATCCAACAATTCGCGTCCGAGTGCCGCACACTGCGCCGTCGTGACACGCCCCGCGGCGACGTCATGGACGACGCGCGCGAAGATCGATCGACGACGTCGTCCGTGGGTGCCCCATCGCCGTCGAAATCCTTTCTGCCGAGCGCGCCGAGGACGCCGAGACGCGCGTCGCGACCGACGGCTGGCGATGCCGCGTCGCAGCGTTCGTCGTCGCCGAGCGCGATGTCCACGCGAAGCGCGACGAGTGATTGCGTCAAAGTCATCGCTGTCGTTCGACCGCTCATAGCGCGCGAACTCGCGTTGGGATCGAGCGAGGCTCTGGTCATCGCCGAGGACAGCGTGGCGACGAAGAGCGGGCATCAGTTTACGTACGACGGCGTCTCGAGAGGAAACGAAGACGAGCTGGCGGTGACGTACGACGCGCACGTAAAAGAAATAGTGGGTGGGGTATTGCAAGGGTATAATGGGAGCGTCATGGCGTACGGACAGACGGGTTCGGGGAAGACGCACACGATGGGCATGGGTGGCGACAACGCCGGCGCGGGCATGGCTCGAAGAGTTTTTGACACGATCTTCGCGAGCATCGCCGACTGCGAGGCGATGACGACGGTTAAGGTGTGTACTTCGTTCATAGAGATTTATAAGGACGAAATTCGGGATTTATTGCTCGATAGTGAGGATCCAGAAGCGACGGCGACGGCGACGGCGGTGACGATTCGGGAAAATCCCAAAGAGGGAGGTGTGTACTTGAACGGAGCTCGAATCGTACAAGTGAGCGATGTTCAAGGTTGTTTAGACGTGCTAGAGGAAGGTATTCTTCGCAGAGCAACGGCGGAGAGTACGATGAATGTGCGGTCGAGTCGCTCACACGCGATATTGACAATAAACGTCGAGACAAAAGTTGGCGATGCCAAGGCGACACTGGCAAAACTTCACCTGGTGGATCTCGCCGGCTCTGAGCGCGTGACACTCAATGAAAGTAGAGGTCAACGTTTCAAAGAAGGCGTACAGATTAATATGGGGTTGCTCGCGCTTTCAAACTGCATATCTGCGTTGACGGATGCGAATAGGCGCGAGTGGGGTCACGTGCCGTACCGAGATTCAAAGCTCACGAGGTTACTGCAAGATTCGCTCGGAGGTAACAGTCGAACGGTGATGTTTGCTTGCGTATCACCAGCCGACACGAACGCGGACGAGACGCTAAACACGCTCAAGTATGCCAATCGGGCCAGAAGCATTCGGAACAGAGTTGCAGTTAACTTTGAAAAATCCACCAAAGCTGAGCTCAAGCTTAAGAGACAGTTGGACGCAGCGACGGAGAGGATCGCACAGTTGGAAATGTTAGTGAACGTTCTCCATGGAGAAAACGAAGCTTTGAAACAAGCGACGCCTGAATCACACGCGTTTTCGCAGCTGGCGATGACTCCGGATATAGGGAGCACTCCTCGGACGCCCATGCACACGCCCGTGCTCGGCAACACCCCGATGAGCGAGCTGTTGGAGAGCTGTCGAAAGGCACGACAACGCGCTGTCATCCTCCTCTCGACGAACTCACCCGCGAAATCACCTTTGACGACACCGAGAGGAAGTATTGATCTCGGTGGGTGGTAGTTTTTAGCGACTGTTAGCGTTAGATTTAACTGAATTAACTTCGAATTCAACTGCTATACTACATTGCGGGCGTTGGAGAAGCCTTGGCAGCTTGCTTGCCTCGGCCCTTTTTCCCTCGATTGCCGCGTTTTTTTGTTTGTGCTACATTCGCCGTGACCGGCGCCTTGTCTTCGTCTTCGCCCTCATCGCTCTCGCTCGCGGCGCCTTTTCTATTGTCGCACGCTTGCAAAATCGCGTCCAAACGTGCCCGGACCTTTTTCGCCCCCGAAACGATCTTCCTTCGACGACTGTCCGGCAAACTACCGCAATACTCAACGAAGAAATCAAAAAACTCATCCCGGAGCTCGTTATCGATCCCGACTTGCTTCAGCAAAAATTGATGGTGGATGGCATTGACTTCGGTAGTCTCCATCACCGCCCACCGCGACAGGTAATCCTCCGCCGCGTTCCTACCCACCCGAGCCGGTCTCGCGGCTTTGCACTTATGACACGCCAGCTTATTTTTCGAATAATTCAGAAATCCACACGCACACGTCCAATCCTTCTTCGTGAACAACTTCTTCTTCGCCTCCGCGCCGGCGGCTTGACCATCCTTGTCTTTACGCTTGCGCTTCTTCTTCCCCATCCCCGCGTTCGACGGTGCGCGCGTCCCGTTCGCGTTCGCGTTCGCGTTCGCGTTCGCGTTCGACGGTTTAGCACCCGTCGGTTTCGGCTTCGCTTCCGTCGGTTTCGCCTTCGCTTTCGCTTCCGTCGTCGTCGGTTTCGCCGCCGGTTTCGCCGCCGCCGGTTTCGTCACCGGTACAGGTGTCGTCGCGGCGTCGTTCGCGGCGAACGGCGAGACGTACGTGGGCGTGATTTTCATGCTCGTCGTCGTCGCCGTCGTCGTCGTCGCCATCGACCTCGCCCGCGCGTCGTCGTCGCGCGCGTGCGAGTAAGTGCGACGCCGCACTCGCGCGCGCTCCACGACGCGATGGCGGCGGCCACCGCGCGCGCCGTCGCGAAGGATTTGCTCGGAATGTCCGCGCGCGCGCTTAAATCGATCGTCGTCGACGAGTGCGGGCAACCTTTGTATCGAGCGACGCAGATTCGCGAACACCTGTACGGCGCGCGGCGGTGTCGAAGGATTGAAGATTTCTCGCTGATACCGCGTGAAATGCGGGACGCGCTCGTCGCGGGGGGGTATCGAACCGGAAGATTGGCGGTGGAGTCGGCGAGCGTGAGTGGGTGCGGCACTGGGAAGGTCTCCTTGCGCGTGGGCGAGCGAGAGGTGATCGAGGCGGTGGGGATTCCAGACGCGAGTTGTTGGCGCGCGAGCGCGGAGGCTGAGGTGGAGGTAGAGAACGCATCTGAGGTGTTCAAAAGCGTGCAGGGATGGGATAAGAATCGGTTGACGGCGTGTGTGAGCAGTCAAGTCGGATGCGCGATGAAGTGCACGTTTTGCGCGACAGGGATGCAAGGATACAAGCGAAATTTGACGCCGGCGGAAATCACGGCTCAGGTGATCGAACTCGAGGAGCTGTACGGTAAACGCGTCTCGCAGGTGGTCTTTATGGGCATGGGTGAACCGATGCTGAATATCAAATCCGTGGTTCAAGCGATAAGGTGCCTGAACGAAGATGTTGGGATTGGTGGACGGCACATAACAGTTTCAACCGTTGGCATCCCGAATTCGTTGAAGAAACTGGCGAAGGAAAAGCTCGCAATCACGCTTGCAATCTCTTTGCACGCCCCTGATCAACACACGCGGGCAAAAATAGTGCCATCCGCGAAGTACTATCCAATGGAGGACTTATTGAATGACGCACGCGCTTACTTTAAGGAGACAGGGAGACGCGTGACGTTCGAGTACACCTTGCTCGCCGGCGTCAACGATTCCCCATCTCAAGCAAAAGCGCTGAGCCGAATGTTAAAACGGAAGTTTGGTACCGGCGCACACGTCAACATCATTCCTTGGAATAACATCGATGGTATTAATCACACAAGGCCATCCGGAAACGCCATTCATCGATTCTGTGCGCAGTTAGAGGGCGGTGTGACGCATACCATACGACGCACGCGTGGCTTGGACACAAACGCCGCATGCGGAATGCTCACTGGAGCGTTCGAAAGACGAACGCTTCGTGCCAACGCGTGAGCATACAGCAAAAAAAAGATGTACAGGATGTACGGTAACGCTAGTAACTGTAGCCTATATTCTAGAAAAGTCTAGGAAGTCTAGGTAGCTAATGTATAGATATTGTAAGCTCAATCTGCCCGTTGCGACATGACTTCGTCGTATACGCCGTAATCTTCGGCGACTATTTGGCGGAGCTGCGCGCTCGTGACGATGGTGACGATTGTCTCAGTGAGTGCCCTCAGGCTCACTTGCCTTCGTCCACGAAGCCAAATATTTTTGATTCGAATGAGCGTTGATACGCGCCGCGCCAATTGTACAAATTGTGCGCAAGGCGCGGAGACATCCTCTTCGTCTTCGTTTTCATCGTTGTGCACCACTACACCAGCTGGGATGTATAATCCACGATCTCCAACATAGTCATGAACGTAATGCCGCTTCACTCGCTGCTTGATTCCCTCCGCACTCTCGATGTATTCTTCACACACTCCTGATTGTATGACGAAAAGTTCGTGTGCTCTATCGCCTCGATGACACAAAACTTCACCTTTGGCGTACGTCCGCTCTTTGAATGTTCCTTTCGGTTGCTTCCTGATATATCGAGCCAGTCGAAATCGTCCTAGATCGTCCTGATGCACGGTATCGTTCCCTTTGAACCATGGATGCAACAAGGCTTCTTCCGCCGTCAACCGCTTTGCGGGATCGATGATAAGCAAGCGATCGATGAGATCCAACGCCTCGTCCGATACGTCACACGACATCGGCGCGATGCGTCGAAGACTAATTTGCGCAAAAAGTTGCTGCTCATCGTTTTCATCTTCGACGTAAAACGGTAACTCGCCGCACAAAAGGAGGTACATTATGACGCCCGCCGACCACATGTCCACGGCGGCGTTATAATTTTTACTGCCCAAAATTTCCGGCGCGACGTATGAAGACGAGCCACAATTGCACTGGCACTTGTTACTCCCGTCTCCTAATCTCTGTGCAAGCCCGAAATCTACCAGTCGCAATGAATTCAGATCGCCCTTGCGTGCGAAAGACATGTTCTCCAGCTTTACGTCTCTGTGCACGATGTGTTTTGCGTGACACGCTCGCAACGCTTGTAAAATTTGTCGCATGAGAACCCTAGCGTCTTCTTCTTCGTATTCACCTCGCGCGAGCAAATCATCCAATAATTCTTCACCCTCTAACAACTCCATCACCACGTACGCGCTCGGCGCATCGTAATAAAAATCGTACACCTTTACCACGCTCGAATGTTCCGCCTCTAGCGCGAGCTCGTACTCCGCGCGCGCCTCTCGTAACCGCATGCTCCGCTTCGGTTGTCTCACGACATTCTTGGAGCTCACAGAACTCACATCCTCGTCATCATCTTCTTCATCGCTCCCGAATCGCGTCCCACTACTCTCCCCGCTCTCGTCGCTCCGTTCGCTCCCCGTCTCGTCCTCGCGCTCGTCCACGCTCTCCTCGTCCCTGATGCGAATCACCTTCACCGCTCGCACCTGTCCGTCGACGCGCGATCGCGCGCGATGCACCAAACTAAACCCTCCGCTCGACATCTCGTCCAGGAGTTCGTACGCGTCCTCGAACCGCGTCGGTTTCGCGTTCGCGTTCGCGTTCGCGTTCGCAACCGCGCGCGCGTTCGGTGACGACGCCTCCGGCGTCTCTCGCCGCGCCACATCGCCGTCCGCGCGCGTCGCCGTCGACGGTTCCGAACCCAACGGCGCGCCGTCGACCGCCTTGGACGACGCGCACCCCATCGATCCGCGCGCGTCGGTGTCCCGAGCGGCTCGACGACGCGATGATGAATGAATGACTGATTGATTTGATTGATTGATTGATGTCGACACCGCAGAGCGCGACGATGCGAACGACGCGCGCGAGCGGACGACGCGCGCGACGGATCGGTGGCGCGGCGCTCGTCGCGTGCGTCATCGCCGCGCTCGCGTCGCGCGGTCGCGCGGATGACGGGGACGTCGTCGTCGACGATGACCAGCGTCTCATCGGATGGCTCGGCGAAGTCGCGCGACCGCCCGCGCCGGACGTCGCGGACGGCGCCGGTGCGGGACGCGCGAGCGTCGATGACGACGATGCGTCGTCGTCGTCGTCGATGACGACGTTCGCGACGACGACGACGACGTCCGGGGAAGAAGCGCCGCGGACGAGCACGAGCGGCGGCGGCGGCGACGAAGACGACGTCGAAAGGTCGAAAGTAGTGGAGACGCTGAGCTGGTCGCCGAGGGTGTTTTTGCTTAAAAACTTTCTCAGCGACGAAGAGTGTGAGCATTTGATCGAGCTCGGGGAGAAAAAATTAGAGCGATCGACGGTGGTGAACTCCGATGAGTCGGGGGCGGTGTCGACGGCGCGCACGTCGTTTGGGACGTTTGTGACGCGGCGGTTGACAGAGACGCTGCAAAGGGTGGAAGATCGCGTGGCTAAATACAGTGGAATTCCGTGGGAGCATCAAGAACAGTTACAGTTACTGAGATATCGGGATGGACAAGAATACGTGGCGCATCACGATGGGATTATTAGTGAGAACGGAGGCAAGCGCATCGCGACGGTGTTGATGTTTCTACGAGAGCCAACATCCGGTGGTGAGACGTCTTTTCCACAAGGAACGCCGCTCCCGGAGACAAAAGCAGCATTTTTAGCAAACAAAGATAAGCTGAGCGAGTGTGGTTGGAACGATGGAAACGGTTTCAGCGTGATACCGAAGAAAGGCGAAGCCGTGTTGTTCTTTTCGTTTCACATCAACGGTACGAATGATCCATTCGCCAATCACGCGTCGTGTCCGACGCTTGGGGGCACGAAATACACAGCGACGAAGTGGATTCACGAAAATCCGTTCGAAACTGGCACGGCTAAAACGCCGACTTGCACGGATGAAACAGAATTGTGCCCCGTCTGGGCGCAAGGTCACGAGTGCGAGCGCAATCCCGTGTTCATGATGGGAGAAGAAAGCGTCGGCGCGTGCTCGAAATCTTGTTGCGCGCGAGATCGTTCAAAGTTGACCGACATTCAAAAGTCATTCTGCGTGCCGTGCGACAAAGTCACGGTTTAGATAACAGTATTACAAACATTCAACATTCACCTTTGGCGCGAAAAGATGCGTTTCGACAATCCATCGCATCACGCCCTCCCGAACACGCGAAGCGCCTCGTAATGTCCAGCGCCATGGAACAACACCGCCAAATCGTCGTACTGAGCGCTATCCGCATAGTCTTCGCCGTACACCCCTATGGAACGCATGCCCACGCCTTCGGCCATATACACGCTTATCGGGCTCGCGAGCACATGCGTGAGCATAATAATCTCTGGTTCACCTCCCCACGCCATCGGCTGCTGCATGCGCGCGACGTAATCATCGAAATCGCCTTCGATGAACCACTCTGTCTCCTCGCGTCGTTCGAGGAGCTCATTTACCGCCGCTGCGCGCAATTCGTCGGCGCTCGCAAGCTCGTCGACTTCACTCTGACGTCGACCGCTCTTTGACAGCGCCCGTGCGACAGAAACTGAACGAAACAAGCATCGACCGTCCCCTTTCACTTCGTGCACCTCCCACTGTACGGCTCCCGCGTCGTCGTCTCCGTGCAACGCCTTCGGTCCGTCGCAACTGTATCCGACGTTTAGTCGCGGCGATGCGACGCATCGGCGCGCGCGGACGACGAGCGGCGTCGGTGACGATCGAAAAGCACTCGCGCGATTCGCGGTACTGGCGACGACGGATAAGGCGAGCGTCGCCATGCGTAACATGATGACTCACGGCGCGAAGTGGCGTGTTTCTGAACGGGTTTCTACGTATTAAAATCTCGTCCTGTCTCACGTTCCTTTCAAGCGTTTGGAAGATGACGCTTTTTTGAACTTTTTATCCTTCTTGTGCTTCTTTTCGCTCTTGTTATCCTTGACTTCGGAAGACTTGTCGGTGTTTGGCTTCGACGGCGTGAACGCGTGTTTGTCCTTGGAACCGGCTTTTCTCTTCACGCTAAGCAGTTTGTTGGAGCGATTGGCCGCGCCTTTCAGAGCACCGGCCCACTCTTCGTCCGTACCAGCGATGGCGAATCGCTCGAGTGCAGCATCCTATTAAAGTGATAAAAACAGTTCGGGGTCAGTGTTTGAATTACGACCGCGTCGCGAGAAACCGATTCGCGCAGAAACCACCTCGCTCGGCTCGGTAAGAACGCAGCGATATTTTTCTCAACATGGAGATGTTCTGCTACCTGGTTGATATTCGATTCGTCATCGCCGAACGAGGTGGTATCGCGCACGAGTGGGTCGCGAAAAGGACGCACCTCTAAGAGTTCTTTACGCTTGGCGGCCATTTCGGCGTTCACCGCGGCGGCACTGTCATCAAAAAAGTAATGTTAGGTCAGTCGTGCGGTCATCGCCTTGCTCGGTCGTCTCCAGTCTTGAAGTGCGCTCCAAAGTGATGGATCAGGCCTGTTGAGCTTAGTTACCAACATAGAACTCTATGACTTATAACCCCGCCTAAACGGTGGCGCCAAAGAGCGTGAAATTCTGGAACTATATTGTTTTCGATCACTTCCATCATCTTTGGAGCGAGACACGAGTCGGGCGAACGCGAAAAAAAGTTGAAGTCGACGTACCCTTCATCTAATTCTTCATCTAATCCAACCGCATGGGGTCTCAAATCTGGCATACTCACAGAACGCAGCGAGTTCTCGATATCGGCTTCGCGTGCCTTGAGAAGTGAGCCGTGTATCCGACGAATAGCTTTGTTGAATAATGCCATTATTTGTTGTCCGGGCAAGTCCAAAGTTTTCATTCCGTCGTCGATGGTCTTCAGTTGCAGACCAAGGATGAGCAAAATCACAGCTTGCGTGTACGAAAGCGTCACGGGAATGCGTTTTGCAAAGTATGCGCGCGCGAGTGGGGGGACCAAATCACCAATCAAATGATGGTCCACCAAAGCGGCTGAGTATTTCTGGATGCGTCGTAAATCGTGCGGGCTCAAAATCTCATTGTCCGCCTTCAAGACGGAGTCGCGCCCCGCGCCTTGTTTTTCGTCCCAGTTTAGCTTTGGCGCCATCAAAGACAAACATAGACCTGGAGCAAGGTCTCTAAAAGCAGATCCCATCAAAGAAGTGAATCTCACGCGGAAATCTTCGTAGAACGCATCCACCCAGTGACCATCCGGGCTTTCCTCCTCGCCAACTGGAAAGCAAGGGCGTAACATGATGCACGAGTGTTCGCCCGTAGTCTCGCTTGACGTTTGTCTCAGGTACACAGGCTTATAGCCACCCTTGCTCCAGTAGCTGTAAAGTTCGGACGTGAGTCCGAATGCGGTGCCGATCCAGTTCACCCTCTCTGGCTTGCGCTCTGAGAGGTTTGTCAAAAGCGGCGGCAAATTCTCGCGAGGCTTGAGTGTCTCCTCTGTGAGCTTGCCTGTGTGCTGCCAGTGCTCAGTATTCGTCTTGGCGTCGATGTTCGACACTTCTTCTTCGCGTAAATCAGCCAATTTTCCTTCGTAATAATCGTGGATGAGCTGCAACGCACGAGAACCGTAACCTTGACGAGGCAAGTCCGGATGCACGGCGATGCGAACAATGCGCACCCCCGTGAAGGAAGGAAAGCCTTCATCCTGAAATTGCGATGCCATGGTCCACGGAATGAGGTCACCTTGTGGAGATAACCCCGCAGCCAGTGTTGCGTGCGCACTCTTCTGCGAGATCGCACCCTCTAAAGCTACCTGAATGACGCAAAGAATCTCTGGCAACATGTTTCGTGTTTCATCCACCGGCGCCAAGAGAACAAAGAGGCGGTGAGCCGGCGCATCAGACATGAGCTGCAAATCGTTCGGCGTGTTGCGGTAGTGACTAGAAACATATAGTGCCATCATTTTCTTTAAGAACTGCTCGCTTGCGGCGTGCGCACTGAATAAGGTATCACGCGACACCTCATAAAGTTCGCATGCACTGGGCGGAGGCAGCGCGTGGATGAGCGGCGTTAATGCATCCGCCGCATCGAGACACAACAAATCATTCAACCATTTTTCGATCCTATCTCCAGCAGCGTAACGAACAGGTTCAGCAAGAGCTACTTCTCTGAGCAATCGAGATCCACCTGTCGCCAGCTTCCCATCCTTGTTCGCCTGTTGTGACGTTGCCGCTTCCCTTCGCAAATTACCGATGAGTTTGATGCTCAACGCCCTCCCTGTGCCTTCGTAACCGTTGATTGTAGAACAAAGGAACACGAGATACGGCCCGAGCAACGCTTTTACCGTAGGCAGCGGAATGGCGGCTGCTTCATCGATGACGAGTAACTCGGCTTGCGTCGCACGCTCTGCGTGTTGAGGCAAAATGTACTGAATCGTTTGTCGATGACGTCTCGTGACGTTGACACGCACAATACACTTTCCAAACGCGGGGTTGGTGGACTCTACGAGATCGTAATCCAAGTGCTCTTTGTATCCAAGCGCATCGAAGCCTTTGAGAATGAATTCAAAGAATGTCTTCAAGTTTTCAGGACTGGGAGAAGTGACAAAAATGTTTGCATAACCCATTTCGACGGCTCCTGCGACAGCTATACCCATGGCAGCAGATTTACCGCGACCGCGCGCGGCGGTGAGCGCAACTGTTGATCGGAGGGTCTTCTCACTCGCAGCGTCGAGAAACGTCACCACTGCTTTGGCTTGATCCATAGTCTTACAGCACTTCACAAGCGGGCCAGCCGGCTCAACTTCCTCCATGCTCTCCTTCAGATCGGTAAGCTCTTGGGCCTCTCCCGCATGCTTTTCTTCAACTGGTTCTATGCCTCTAATATGCGAACTCGTTGGCAAAATATTCAACTCATCATCCATCATGATGCACGTCTGACACGCCCCTAAACTCAACGTGAATCGCTCATTAAATCTAGCGACCACGTCTTGGTGGCCCTCTGTGCGAAAACGCGAGTGCACGTCCATCGTCATGTTATACAGCTGCGTCAAGCTTTCCATGTTCGACAACAGCAGCACAATCAACCCTCCACCCTCCACGGTCTCGATCGTTCGTGCCAGTAAGTTCGGTGTCAGCGCCTCGAAATCTTGCAACACTGCCATCCCGTACGTGTTCCCCAAAATTTTCTGCGTATCCGCGTAATAACAGTACCGAATATTCGTCGACGCCACGAACAGTGAGAACGGATCCTCGTTCTCCGAATCCATCAAGCCAGAGTTTTGCATCTTCTTGATCTGTTTCGCTCGTTTCTTTTTATGCGAAGACAGGTACAAATCCTTCTTATAGCACCACAGCACGTTCGGCCTCGACTTCACCACCGCTTTACTCAGCATGTAATGCAAGTTGACGATTTGATCTCGTCCTCGATCGCCCACGAGCACGAACATCGTGCGTTCGTTGTTCTTCACCCCATTCTCCACGAGCGTGCGTATGCGCGCGTCCACTTTCTTCCGCATCGCGCGCGCGTTCGATGGCACCACTCGGTCGAGTCGCAATCGACGCGGTCGTCCCCGCGCCTCCTCGCGCGCGTCGCGTGCGCTTCGACCGTCGCGCACCGCGCGGACGATTACCGATCGCGCGGTTCCCTCGCTCGCGCGCGCGCGGTCCGTGCGTCGATCGCGCGCGTCGTCCTCTGCCGAGTCGCGTCGCGCCGTCGGCGGCGGCGGCGACGCTTTTACGCCAGCGCGCGACGCGACGCGACGCGACGCGACGCGACCGATCGATCGCGCGCGGCGCGGCGCGCGCGATGGGGAAGTCGAGCAAGGATAAGCGCGATATATACTACCGCAAGGCGAAAGAGGAGGGATGGCGCGCGAGGTCGGCGTTCAAGTTGCTGCAAATTGACGAGTCGTTCGATATTTTTCGAGACGTGCGACACGTCGTGGATCTGTGCGCGGCGCCCGGGTCGTGGTCGCAGGTTTTGAGTCGAAAGTTGTACCTACCCGCGTTGGCGCGAGGGGTCGAGGAGGAAGAGCTGCCGAAGATTGTCGCCATCGACTTGCAACCGATGGCGCCGATCGAGGGCGTGACGACGATACAGGGCGATATCACGTCGATGGACAAAGTGCGCGAGGTCCTGTCGCATTTCGATGGGAAACACGCGGATTTGATCGTCGGCGATGGAGCGCCCGACGTCACGGGTTTGCACGATTTGGATGAGTTTATGCAGGCGCAGCTCATACTCGCCGGCTTGACGGTGGCGACGCACATATTGAAACCAGGCGGAACGTTCATAGCGAAGATATTTCGGGGGAAAGACATCAGTTTGCTCTACTCACAACTGAAAATTTTCTTCCCCGAAGTCACGTGCGCCAAGCCGAAAAGTAGCCGGAATTCTAGCATAGGTACGACGATGATGGAGCCGCGCGCACGTTTTGGAGAAACTAACCATGTCTCGTTTTGCACCGCTCGCAGAAGCATTCATAGTGTGTCAGGGTTACTCCCCTCCAGAGGGATTCGAACCACATCAATTGACTCGTATTTTAGAAGCGCGTGCGACGTCTCACGCCGCTGGAGACGAGGGCGCGGCCGTGGGAACCAAGTCCTGGCCGAACAATGTGCTCGTGCCGTTTTTGGCGTGCGGCGATTTGTCGGGATACGACGCCGATCAGAGCTATGCGTTGGATGACACCAAAGTCAGACTAAAACCGGTGCAACCGCCGACAACACCGGCGTATATGAACGCAATCAAGCTCTTAAAGAGAAAGTGAAGAGAAATTGTAATTGAAAAGTAAGCAAAGACGACTTGTAAAAGTAGTTGGACGCGACGCGTCTTCATCTCTCGCCTCGCATGTCGCCGTCGACCTCGGGCGCGCACAACGTGTTCGTCTACGGCACGCTCAAGCGAGGCTTGTACAACCATCGCCTTCTCGAGCGCGGCAACGCGCGCTTCATGGGTGAAGTGCGCACGAAACGCGCGCAGCACGTGATGCTCCTGGCCGACGCTGGGTATCCATACCTCGTCAAATCGACGACGGATGACGCGCGCGTGATCGACGGCGAACTGTATTCCGTCGACGATGACACGTTGACACTTTTGGACGAACTCGAGGAGGTGTCGACCGGCATGTATACGCGAGAAACAATAGAGGTGGAGCGCCGCGAGGAACCGCGCGCGACAGAGGAGGCGTATTACTATTTAGCTGGTGACCGCGAGGACCTCGCGCGACTTCCGCGCATCGACGCGTACGACAAAGCACTCCACGACGACGTGTACTTACCCAAAGATCAGCGCGGGCGATGATGAAACCACGGCGCGCCGACGCGGCGCGCGCGCGCGACGCGCCGTCGCCCGAGTCTGAGAATTAAATAAATTAGTCTACTGTACACTTCATCAATTCGTCCGCTAATCGCTGTCGCTATCGCCCACGTATCCCGGCATCACCCCCACGCGCGTCGCTCGCATGATGTACTCCCCATTCACGTACTTGTGATACTTGTCGAACAGCGCCGTGGCGTCCTTCCCGAACGCCTCCTCCAGCACCGCCGCGCCGCCCGGGTGATACTCCACGTACGCCGTCAAGTTATACACCTTCCCGCGCAACCCGATCCAACAATCATTCACCGTCGCGTGCGTCGCGAGCTCCTCGAGCGAGATCACGCGCGACGCGTCCAGCGGTTTCGCGTCCGCGTCACCGCCGTCCACGCGCTCGCGCTTGGTGCGTCGCAACCAATCCATCTGCGAGTACCCGGGTCGCACGACGATCCGCGACGACGCCTGCGCGCTCGTCATCGCGTGCGTGCCCGCGCTCGCGGGGCGCTCGTCCGGCATCGCGCGCGTCAGTGAGGACGGTGGCGTCATCGAGCGCACGCAGAGATGGCGATGTGAAGCCGACACAGCGCGACGCCGCGATGGCGACGGCATCGGGACGCGTCGTCGCGCCGCGCGCGCGCGTCGACGGAGGTCGCGCGACGACGCGCGTCGGGCGTCGAACGCGCGGCGCGGCGACGCGCGCGCGCGCGGACGCGGATAAAGAAGACGACTCGGACTCGGCCGGCGCGGTCGTGACGTCGGCGCGGAAAGCGTCGTTCGGGCCGTCGCGGAAGGACGCGGACGCGGTGCGACGAGACTTGCTGGAAAAGTCGCTAGCTTCGGCGGGATGGGACGACGCGCGAATGTTCTTGGCGAAGCGCGCGTCGACGGCGCTGGGGAAGGCGGCGTGCGAGACGCTGGAGGCGTCGACGACGTCGAGAGAGGCGCGGAAGGCGCTGGATGAGACCGAAGCGGCGATGGCGATGGAGAGTAAACACGGCGTATCGCTCGAGTTCGGAGGCATGCTCACGGCGGAGGTGCGACGAGGATTTTATAAAACGAGGCAAGGGTCGCCGCTGGGCGGGGACGAACTCGCGGCGACGGCGGCGTTCTTGGAGAGCGCGAAGAGATTGAAGACATCCATAGAAGGCGTGACGGAGAGTGGGCGACGACCGCGGGCCTTGGTACCGTTGCGTGCGATTTCGGGCGAGATGATCACGCACTCCGAACTAGCGGAGAAGATTCGAGGCGCGGTGGAGGAGACGGGCGAATTTCGCGACAATGCGAGTCCGGAACTGCGTCGCGCGCGAGCGCAAAAGGGAGCGGCGGAAGGAAAGCTTAAGAAGGCAATGCAAGGAAAAGGAACGCCAACAACGCACCAAGGTCGTATGGTGCTCGCTATCCCGGCGCCGGCGCCGCCTGACGTGCTCGTCGTCGGTACGATGGCTGGCGGCGCGCTTGTGCTCATCGAGCCACCGGGGATTGTGACGTTGAATAGAGAGCTAGCACAAGCTGTGGACGCGGAAAAGAGTGCGATAGACGCCATCAAGCGCGAACTATCGAACGATATCGCGCTCGTGGTGGAGGAGTTGTTCGCGTGTTTAGAAATCGTCATCAAGTTGGACGTCATCGCGGCCAAGTGCAGATACAGTCAAGCTCTCAACGGTGTGCGCCCCGAGTTTTCTGTCTTTGCTGATGACGATGACGGCTTCTACGAAGCTTATGAAGATGAAGATGAAGATGAAGATGAGGACATTGAAGAGCAAGACGACGAAGGATTCGATGAAGCGCGAGAACAGACGAAGAAACCACCGATAGAAAAATCTTCTTTACTCCTCGAGCTTGTCGGTTTGCGACAGCCCGTATTGGCATCTCAAGCCATCGAAGCCGCCGCGGAGAGGCGCCAGGCCGCTGCAGAAGCCGTGGAGTCGCAAAATTCACGAGGCAGTAGTTCAACGGGGTACAAAGTCGCGACGCGAGGGTCCATCAAATCTTCAACCACGAAAGATGCTATTTTTGATGATTTCTTTGACGATTTTGACGAAGTCGAAGAAGATGGCGCGCCAAAGCTTAAGGGACCTATTCCTGTAGATATTTTCGCATCTAAGCGAACAAAGGTCGTCGTCATTACAGGTCCAAACACTGGTGGTAAAACAGCGGCGATGAAGGCCGTAGGCCTCGCCGCGCTCATGGCGAAATCCGGGATATTCATCCCTGCAGAGCGCGCCGTCATTCCATTCTTTGACAAGGTGCTCGTGGATATCGGTGACGATCAAAGCCTTTTGACGAGTCTCAGTACTTTTAGTGGGCGTCTCACTCGAGCTCAAGCAATTCTCGAGCAGAGCACGCCAGAATCACTCGTGTTGATGGACGAGGTCGGTACGGGCACGTCACCAGCCGAAGGCGCCGCGATTGGTTATGCGTTGCTCAAAGCGCTCGCTGGAATTATTCCCGGCCAACTGGGCGCTTGCCTCACTTTTGCGACGACGCATCACGGGCAGTTGAAAGCGCTCAAGTACGAACACGAGGAGTTCGAAAACGCTGCTGTCGAATTCGATGAAGCGGACTTACGACCGACTTACAAGCTCTTGTGGGGAGTGCCCGGGCGTTCAAGCGCGCTGCAAATCGCTACGAGATATAAATTGGATGCGGACGTCGTTCACGAAGCTCGAGAATTACTTGGAGAAGGTTTGGTGAGCTTAGATGATACAATATCTAAACTTGAAACCGCACGCCGCGATGCAGACGCGGATATTGCGACCGCAATCGGTATGCTTGATGAAATCGATGCCACTTTGCCACGAGTCGAAAACGCGATGGGCTTCATTCGCTCTGCGAGAGAGGCTGCCGCATATGCGCAAGCGAGTACGGTAATGACAATGATGCGAGATGCGAAGGCACGAGTTGCGGAAGTAGCGAGAGTAGAAAAGCAGAAAAACGCCATCGCACCGTCCAAGATTTCCGCAGCAGCGTCGGGTGAGACGGATCGCGAGCGCGCCGCGCGATTGGCGAGAGAGGCAGAGGAGCAACTGAAAGCGGAGCAGGATGCACTTCTCGCGAACTGGATTCCTTCCTCCGGAGAAGATGTGAAAATAGCGTCGACAGGCATGAGCGGTAAAGTTGTTTCCGTTGACGGATCGACGGTGACAGTTCAGGCTGGGATCATGCAAGTGAAGGTGGGCCTCGAAGACGTGTCGCAGGCCTTCGTTGCGACCACGGCGCCGCCAAAGATGAAGATTAAAAAGGTTCGTGGCGCATCCCAAGCCGCAAGACGCGCAGATGACTTACTCGCATCGTCTGCTCGCGTGTCAAAACCGACCCCGACTGGGAACACGAAAAGCTCCTTCGGAGACTTTGAGCTCTCAGAGGATGATATGCAAGCCACCGTCGGAGACGTCGTCGTCGTCAAAAAGTCGGGGTTCCGAGGCAAAGTCATCGACGACGAAGATGGTTTGCTCACCGTTCAAGCTGGAGCACAGAGAATATTGGCTCCAGCGCACACCGTGGAAATCAGTGGGTCGGCGAGCACGGGCAAGAAGACGGTGTCAAAGAAGAAGAAGGGCAAAAAACAAAGCTTTTTGCCCAGCGCCACGCCATCAGACTCAAAACCAGCAACGCCCGCGACTGATTCGTCTGCCTCGAGTCTCGCGGCTTTGCAAGCAAAGTTTGGGAAAAAAAATTAGCAACTTGTTTGATTGTATTGATTATTTGAGTAGATTTAGTGCGCGATAAGGAATCATTCGCGCGACGGCGGCGGCGGAGCCGAGCGAGAGTCCCGACGCCCGTCGTATCTATCGTCACGTCCTCGATGGTCGTCGTAGCCACGTCGGTCATCGTGACCCGAGTAACCGCTCCGTCTGCTATCGTCTCGTCGGTCTCTGTAATCGTCTCGTCGTCGATCTCTGTAATCGTCGCGTCGATCTCTGTAGTCGTCGCGACGGTCTCTGTAGTCGTCGCGACGGTCTCTGTAGTCGTCTCTGCGATAATCATCTCTGCGATAATCGTCTCTGCGATAATCGTCTCTGCGATAATCGTCTCTGCGATAATCGTCTCTGCGGTACCCGTCGCTGTCTCTGCGACGGTCTCTGTAATCGTCCCTTCTTCGATCGTCGTCGTACGGCCGTCTGGCTTCGTATCTACCGCGGTTATTGTTCGCTTGGTACCCTCCCTCCGGGCGTCCACGCTCCGCGATGGCGGCTCGAATGTGTCTCCCGCCCAACTCCGTCTCGTGCATCGCGCTCACCGCCGCCTCCGCGTGTTCTCTCGAGTGATACCTCACGAACGCGAACCCCCGCGCGCGATAGCTCCCGCGCTCCTTCGGAATGTACACGTCCCCGACGTCCCCAAACTTCTCGAACGCCTCGCGCAGATCCTCCTCCCGCAGCTCGTACGACACGTTATCGATCTTCACCGACACCAAGTTCGAGATGTCCGGCCTCTTCCCTCGCGGTCGCGCGTCCTCGCCGTCGTCGCCCTCGCGCGTCGCTCGCGCGCCGTCTCGCGCCGTCCGCCGATTGTCCCCGTCGCCGGCGTTCGCGTCTCCCGTCGCGTCTCCCGTCGCCTTCGCGTCGTCCGCGCCGTCGTTCGCGCGCGCGTCGTCGTCATCGCCGTTCGACATCGCTCAACCGCGCGTCGCCGTCTCGCGCGTCGCGAATCGCACCGCGCCGCATCCATCCATCGTTCGTGTCATCGCAAACTATCGAATCCCGTCCTCGTGTGCGCACCTCGCGCACCGCGCGATCGTCCGGCCGTTTGCGAGCCGCGGGGCGACGCGCGCGACCAGACGCGCGCGCGCGAGCGCGACGAGCGCGTCGACGACGACGCGGCGACGCGCGACGCGCGAACGAAACGCCGATGAACGCCGCGACGCGCGACGACGCGCGACGACGCGCGGAGACGCGAGCGGAGACGCGACGACGACGCGAAGGCGCGATTGATTGATTCGAGCGCGATGACGCGCGCGCGAAGCGTCGACGACGCGCGGGACGGCGGCGAAAGAGCGATGACGCGGTGGTGGACGTTGGAAACGTCGCGCGGGACGACGTCGAGGACGATCGAAACGGTCGACGACGATGGGGTGGGCGCGGGGACGACGTCGCGGCGTTTGAACGGGCGAGCGCGAGGGCGGGCGAGGACGACGACGGCGCGAGGACGGGGTGTGTGGGCGCTCGTCGCGCTCGTCGCGTCGGTGGCGCGAACGACGAACGCGGGAGTGGAGATGCTGGATCCCGCGGATTGGGGAGTGTGGCCTTCGTCGCAGTTGAATCAGAATAATTTAACCGTAGACGTGCACGGCGCGTCGTTCTTTTCGACGAACGTGTCGGCGTGTCGAGTCGGGGACTTTGTGGTGCCGCTCACGCACGTCAGCTCGACGTTAGTGCGGTGCACGGTGTCACCGAGTCTACGGTTGAGTAAAGGATATGCCTACGTCGAGGTTTCGATGAATGGATTAGATTTTACTAGCGATAGGATCACATTTACGCTGCACGAGCCGGTGAAGCTCGAGCAAGTGTTTCCGTACGGATGGGATATAGGTGGGGGCGGGGTGTTGCGAGTGAGCGGTTCAAACTTTGTGCCCGGATCGAGCAAATGCGCGTTTGGGGCCGGAAGTACCGGCACAGTGCCGGCTGTGAGCGGGTTAGCGCCCTCAGAGGTCGTTTCCAGTGCATTTATGAAGTGCGAGACGCCGGCTTTTTCGACAGTCGGGATGACCGACACGTCTTTGCGTTCCTGGGGAGACTCGGGATCTCTCAGCGGTAGTCGGGCATTCGAAGTTTGGCGAGAGCCATGCTCGATAGAAATTTTCACCACGTGGAATTCTACCAAGGCTGAATACGGAGGCGTCGCCGTCGTGCTTCAGGGAAGTGGGAACGAAGATCTCGTCGAGCCGAATAACATGTTTGGTTATTCATGTCATTTCGGCACAATCACGGTAAGCGCGGTGATGGACACGTTGACGATCAATAGGACTGTTACGTGCATCTCTCCGGCTTCGCAACATCCGAGCACGAGCGTTGAACTTTGGACCGGGCCAAATATAGACTCTTTCAAGCCTTGCACCACGTTCCCGACATTTGCGTATCCCGCAGACAGCGAAGACACGTACACAGAAGTGGTTGGCGATGAAACTACAGTGGTGTACACTGGGACAAATATTTCTGCCGTACCGACATACGTCACCACATCTGGAGGATCGGTGATATCACTCAGCGGTATCAGCCTCTCTACTGCATCGTTATGTAGAGTCGGCTCGGATGCATCCGCTCCGGTTCACTTTGTATCTTCCTCTCTCATTCAATGTGAGATTCCTCCGCATACTGAAGGCGAGGAGTATCTTTATAGTGCACCAAGCGCGAGTGTGGAAATCACTAGCGTGTATTTTACTGCACTCGCGGAGATTAGCTCCGTTTTACCGAGCACGGGAGGCCTCGAGGGCGGGACTGCGGTCAGAGTTCGTGGGGCAAATTTCAAGGATACAGATGACTTGCTTTGTAGATATGGATCAATATCCGTGTTGGCAAGTTATTACTCAACCACACAAGTACAGTGCGTCACCCCAGCGCACATGATAGGTAGTATTCCCGTAGGTGTCGGGCGCCGCGATGGTATATCGCATTCATTTTGGGGTGATAAGTTGTTCGTTTACGACTCAACCGATATTCTCGGCGCCGTCATGCCATCTGTCGTGAACAACGTCGGATCAACATCTCTGAGCCTGGTCTGGTCGGTTGTCTACAGCGGCGGTACAGGGTGCAAAGTCGGTGGTGTTCTACTCGACCCATGTACCGTTTCAGGTAGCACGACACCGGGTTTCGTTCAGGTTTACTCGTACACTTTTGCAAGCGACGAGCGCGTGAGCGAACCTGCGGCGTTTGCTTACTACACGTCTCCAATTGTGTCAGGCTCGATTCCCGTCGTTCTCCAGAACTTCATTCCAACTGTCGTTTATATGCTAGGCTCAGACTTTGTCGACGAGGCGAATGTACTCTGCTCCTTTGGTGACAAAGCCGTAGACGCGACTTTCGTGTCATCTGCTTTGGTCAAGTGCGCTTCCCATTTGGTGGGCGCCGTCGGCAATACGGATGCACAAGTCGGGTTTGGTAGCGCGAGTGACGACGGCGTGTGGAGTCGAACGGTAATGTCGCTGAGCGTGGTCGACATACTCACGATGAGTAGTGTCAGTCCGACACGAGGAGTATTGGCTGGCGGCACCGTCGTCACCGTCACGGGAACTGGTTTTGAGGGCGGCGGCGTTGTCTACTGTCGCATAGGTACGGTTTCGTACATCGAAGCACGAACTATACACGATAAGAAAGTGGAGTGTACCGCTCCGTCGTACTACGATGAAACGGTTGATATTCAAGTCGCTATCCTGGGCAATGTGTACGCGGACACGGCGCAGTCATTCGTGTACAGCACGGGTGTTGACGTAGTCGCCATCATTCCTCCTACAAGCCCTCTAGCTGGTGGTACTGCCATCAGCCTCTTTGGTTTGGCTGGCAGTGTAGGCGATAGCTATGATTGCGTGATGAGTGGTGCTGCGGTAGCTGGTACGATTAGCCGCTTTGGTGAAGTTGAATGCGCGAATCCCGCCGGTGAAGAAGGCTTCGCCGCTGTCGGCATTGGGAGCATCATCGATGACGAGATTGATCAGCAAACCATCGAATACGCGCGGGCACCGGTGATATCATCTGTTTACCCTCTGAACGGCCCAACGTCGGGTGGCACGTTGATTTACACTTCAGGCTCACACATGCGTGACTCTGCATACCTGTCTCTTGAAGCTAACGCCGGCGCTTCGAGTCACTTTGTCAGCTCAGCGCTAGTCGTTACAGAGCTCCCAATTTCGACCGCAGCCGTGTTCAGCGCTAGTGTGAAGCAAAATGGCAACTTGGTGAGTAACGCGCTGACGTTTGCGTCACGCGCTGCCGTCACGCTGAGCTCTGTGACTCCGACTGGGATTGCTATTTCGGGCGGGAGCGTCGTGTACGTGACGGGCTCGAACATGCCAAACGACAACACTCTATATTGTTCCTTCGGCACGATTCTTGTTTCGGCGCAGTGGTCATCAAGCACAGCGGCAAACTGTGTGAGTCCCGCTCATCTGGTCGATAGCACCAGTACGAAGTTTAGGGTGCACGCCGATGGCCTATCATCGACAACATCCAAAGACATAACGTACGTGTCCACTTCTGAAATCACCGAGACGCTGCCACCGAGCTTGAGTGCCACGGAGTTGCCAGCGTCGGTGACTATTCTCGGCGCTTGGTTGGCGAGCGCATCTTGCGATGGGATCGCTCTCTCGCTCAACTCTACTTGGGCGTCCGAGTTTGCGTGCACGCTCGACCCTGTTGGCGTTGGTTACACTGCCGTGAGCGTGATTTCGCGCGGCCAGACGATGAGCGTTTCGTATTTGATCAAAGAGACGCCACTATTGCTGAGCGTTTCCCCTCCTGGCGCGTCAACTATGCCTGGTGAGCTATTCACGTTGACCGTGCAGCACTTTATCGCTGATGATGCCGATCAATTCCACTGTTTATTTGACGCCACGAGCGCGGTTGCGCCACACATAATCTCCTCTAGTTTGATCCGGTGCGAGTCAGTCGCGACGACAAAAGTGTCGACGCGCTTGACCATCGAGGGTGGCGATGGCGCTTACCCACTGTCTCGACAAGCTGCTCCGGTGGTCTCGAGCATCGCGCCATCGTCGAGCGGTGATATTGGAGGGACGTTGGTTACGCTCACAGGCACGAACATTCCTCTCATAGACAACTCTGCCGTGTGTTCGTTTGGTTCAATTGGTCCCATCGCTGCGCAGTACGCCACTACTACGACAGTACAGTGTGTGTCTCCTGCAGGTGTGGTGAGTTCATCGGCAAATATCTGTGTGAGCGTTTTCAGCACTGCATCACCGTCCAGAAGCTGCAATACTACACACGCGCTTCAGCGATCGGACATTCTCGGCGCCGTCATGCCGTCTGTCGTGAACAACGTCGGATCAACATCTCTGAGCCTGGTCTGGTCGGTTGTCTACAGCGGCGGTACAGGGTGCAAAGTCGGTGGTGTTCTACTCGACCCATGTACCGTTTCAGGTAGCACGACACCGGGTTTCGTTCAGGTTTACTCGTACACTTTTGCAAGCGACGAGCGCGTGAGCGAACCTGCGGCGTTTGCTTACTACACGTCTCCAATTGTGTCAGGCTCGATTCCCGTCGTTCTCCAGAACTTCATTCCAACTGTCGTTTATATGCTAGGCTCAGACTTTGTCGACGAGGCGAATGTACTCTGCTCCTTTGGTGACAAAGCCGTAGACGCGACTTTCGTGTCATCTGCTTTGGTCAAGTGCGCTTCCCATTTGGTGGGCGCCGTCGGCAATACGGATGCACAAGTCGGGTTTGGTAGCGCGAGTGACGACGGCGTGTGGAGTCGAACGGTAATGTCGCTGAGCGTGGTCGACATACTCACGATGAGTAGTGTCAGTCCGACACGAGGAGTATTGGCTGGCGGCACCGTCGTCACCGTCACGGGAACTGGTTTTGAGGGCGGCGGCGTTGTCTACTGTCGCATAGGTACGGTTTCGTACATCGAAGCACGAACTATACACGATAAGAAAGTGGAGTGTACCGCTCCGTCGTACTACGATGAAACGGTTGATATTCAAGTCGCTATCCTGGGCAATGTGTACGCGGACACGGCGCAGTCATTCGTGTACAGCACGGGTGTTGACGTAGTCGCCATCATTCCTCCTACAAGCCCTCTAGCTGGTGGTACTGCCATCAGCCTCTTTGGTTTGGCTGGCAGTGTAGGCGATAGCTATGATTGCGTGATGAGTGGTGCTGCGGTAGCTGGTACGATTAGCCGCTTTGGTGAAGTTGAATGCGCGAATCCCGCCGGTGAAGAAGGCTTCGCCGCTGTCGGCATGCACAGCGGCAAACTGTGTGAGTCCCGCTCATCTGGTCGATAGCACCAGTACGAAGTTTAGGGTGCACGCCGATGGCCTATCATCGACAACATCCAAAGACATAACGTACGTGTCCACTTCTGAAATCACCGAGACGCTGCCACCGAGCTTGAGTGCCACGGAGTTGCCAGCGTCGGTGACTATTCTCGGCGCTTGGTTGGCGAGCGCATCTTGCGATGGGATCGCTCTCTCGCTCAACTCTACTTGGGCGTCCGAGTTTGCGTGCACGCTCGACCCTGTTGGCGTTGGTTACACTGCCGTGAGCGTGATTTCGCGCGGCCAGACGATGAGCGTTTCGTATTTGATCAAAGAGACGCCACTATTGCTGAGCGTTTCCCCTCCTGGCGCGTCAACTATGCCTGGTGAGCTATTCACGTTGACCGTGCAGCACTTTATCGCTGATGATGCCGATCAATTCCACTGTTTATTTGACGCCACGAGCGCGGTTGCGCCACACATAATCTCCTCTAGTTTGATCCGGTGCGAGTCAGTCGCGACGACAAAAGTGTCGACGCGCTTGACCATCGAGGGTGGCGATGGCGCTTACCCACTGTCTCGACAAGCTGCTCCGGTGGTCTCGAGCATCGCGCCATCGTCGAGCGGTGATATTGGAGGGACGTTGGTTACGCTCACAGGCACGAACATTCCTCTCATAGACAACTCTGCCGTGTGTTCGTTTGGTTCAATTGGTCCCATCGCTGCGCAGTACGTCAGTTCACTGGTTGTGACGTGCGTGTCCCCGGCTGGTGTTTCATCGGCGAGTTCGAGTGTATGCGCGAGTGTTTATAGCGCATTGTCGCCATCGAAAAGCTGTGCGTCAAGCCCCATGACTTACGTTGCGCCAGTAGATCCGCCAGTTATTTTGGATCACGGCGTTTCTAGCAAGCAAGGCGGTTACTTCTTCTTGTGGAGAAGCTCGGCGTCCTACTTGCTAGTTCCTACTTTGTCCTTCGTCGAATTCGGTCGAGGAAACGCGACAATGTCGAGCACCATAGTCAGCGTGTATATCGCGCCGCAACTACCTGGAGGCTTCACTACAGTCTCAGCCATAGACGAAGTTGGAGGTGTTTCTTTCGATCAAGTCATGGTGCAACCGGTGCCGACGATAACTGGTTTGAACCCACGAGTCACACCCGCTGCAGGAGGCAGCCAAGTGTGGATTTCAGGCACAGATTTAAAGAGTGAAGTTCTTAAACTCAGCGTTGATGATGCGAACGTCGACTACAACATTGTCTCGTCTGCTTTGATCGTCATTCAAACGCCGAACCACGCTTCTGGAGGCTCAATTATAAAAGCTCAACTTGGCAGTCGGACAGATTCCAGTGGCGTCGGCATCGGCCCTTTCACCTCGACTGGTCTTGATTATATCGATGGTATAGATCTGACGAGCATTAGCTCGAGCTTAGGACCCACTACGGGTACTATGAGCGTTTCTCTGGTTGGTGAAGGGTTCTCCGATACCTCTGAGCTCGGATGCAGATTTGGCACCTTGGGCCCCGTTACAGCGAGCTACGTGCACGGTCGTGAGATTCGATGCGCTGTTCCTAATCATATTGCTGGACAAGTGCCAGTTGAGGTGTCTGCAAATCGACGCGATTTTACGTTCAACTCGACTATACCTTCAAATGGAGCGGTGTGGGGTACTTCAACCTATTATTACTGGAGTGCCTCCCCGGGTGGTACACCGACAACATACAGAGGCGTCACGTACACTTATGCAAAGTCCCCATATAACGTCGATGCAGTCATACCAGCGCACGGACCAATGCATATCACGACTGAATACACAATATTCGGCGCGGGATTGGACTCTGCCGTTACAGACTTGTGCAGCTCGTTAAACGTCACCGCAAGACAAGTCTCATCGACCGACGGTTCCATCACGTGTTCCTGGGGTGCAAGCGCAGTGGCGGGTTTCGTACAGGTTGGAGTCTATGCAATCGTATCCACATACACGCAATATGATTCGACACAAACGCAGTTTGAGTACTATGATCCTCTATCGGTGACTAGTGTGGATCCACTGGTTGGACCCGTGGATGGTGGCACGGTTCTATTCATGTCTGGCGCAAATTTCCGCAAAGGCGACGTGAGCCGAGTCATGTTTGGAAGTACCGCCGTCGTTTCGCACGTCGTTTCTTCTGCTCTCGGCATTATCGAAACGCCCACATTCGCGACGAAAGGAACAAAAGCGCTTTACGCGTCGACGCATGAGCATTCGCCATCGACTGCCTTCACTGCGCTCGATCAGCTGTTACTTTCATCCGTCTCGCCCACGTTTTCCCCTATCGAAGGGGGGTCGACATTGATCGTCAGTGGTGATAAACTTTCAGCGCCGTCCACTATTTGGTGCCGTGCCGGCACAATTGGTCCTTTTTATGCACGTGCATACGATTCCAAAGTACTCAAGTGTATCTCTCCGGCTCACAGCAAAGAGAGCGTGCATCTTCAAATTTCCATGAACAAGCGAGACTGGCGTTATGAGCTCACGCTCAGTCTTGCGAACCCCGCGTTACCATCTGGTACGTCGGTGGATTCTATTTTGACGCTTGATTACGTTTTCCCAGCGAAAATCAAGGATGTCCTTCCTCGCGCTGGTCACGTGACGGATCAAGTTGCGACCGTTGAGGCCTTTTACGAAGCGCCGTATCCAGCTCAAAACGTCTCCTCACGAGGTTGCCTCACGGGAGGTACTACATTAACGAGTACTTACTCTGTGACGACGAATATCTACTCCATTCTATGCACGTTGGAACGAGATTCGTTCATCGAAGGAATGTATCCCATCATAATCACAGGACCTGATGCCGCCAATACGTCGTTCTCTGGTAGTTTCCATTATGTCACGTCGCCGACAATCGACGCGTGGGGGCCAGAGGTGATTCACACCGGCGGCGGCACATTAGTCTCTGTCATGCTGGTCGATGCGATTTCGGACGGATTAGTGTGCATGTTCTCGCCTTGGTATCAGAACGAGTTCACCGCGACGTTCGCCATCGATGCACACTTTGTGAGTTCATCGTTGATTATTTGCGAGTCACCGTACGCAGATCCCCTGATTGAAATTGGCCTGACGGCTGGCTTATTGGGTACGACACCGGAAGATGGGCAAGCCGAGCTTAACTCGATCATGCGACCAGCTATTACGAGTTTACAAGCGGATAGCTTATTCCTCGATGGCGGTAGCGCCATGAACATTTTCGGAACTGATTTGGGTATGCAAGTGTATGATCTGTATGCGTCACTTGGTACGATTTCGCCTCTCGCTTTGCGCTGGGTGACCGCTGCACAAGTCGAAGCAATCAGCCCCGCGACTGTCAGTGGAAATAAAATGCTGTTTTTGTCGCACGCCTTATCGGCGAGAAGTGATCCATACGAGGCAGAGTTGACGTTCTTCAAGCCATTCGAACCGAGTCCGCTCATCCCGAGTGTCGTACCGGCGAAGGACAACGTATTCGTTCGTTTGCACGCGCACATCGGTAGCCTGCCTTCGTCAGTACCGACGTGCAATCCAGCTGCGCCGCAGTACACGCTCTGTCAAGAAGCCAATAACATAGGCGGAATCCTCACGCAAATTCACTCGGTCAACTTTGCGATACTTCAACTCCCAGGAGGAGCAAATCTGACTGTGAATGTCCCGCAGCTCGCTTACGTGGATGGCGCATCATCCGCCACTGTTCAGCCAAACATTGCGGTGACGGGAGGTGGCACTGTCGCGGTCGTGTCAGGAGTGAACTTCGTCGAGGGCATGACGTCGATTCGTCTCGGCGATGTGGCACAGACGAACCCATACATTTCACAGAGCTTTTTGTCTTCGGCGTTGATTCGCTTCGAGGCCCCAGCGGGCGCCTCTGATGCGACTGCCAGCATCTACACATCCACAGGTTTCGTCGATTCCGATTCGTGGGGCTCGGCAGGAGCCGTTATGAAGTACCGCAGTTTGCCAAGCATGACGAATGCCGCCGCTTTGGAAACTCTGGAATCAGGAGGCAGGCTCGTCAAGTTAACTGGAAGTGGGTTCGTGTCGAACCGCGATTTATTTTGCAAGTTTGGTGAAATTCATGTTCGAGCTACTTATGTGAGCGCTACGATTTTGAATTGCGTCGCTCCTGGTCTTAAACCTCAGACTTATTCGGTCAGAGTGTCAAACAACATGCTGGATTACAGCAAATTTGTCAACTCTGCAAGTTCTGACAGCGACACCGACGCCACAGTCACTCCTGTACCAGACTTCACTGGTGGTATCAATTCCGCCACGAACCTCTTCGGACCCAACTCAGGAGGCACATTAATTTCATTCTCGTTCAGTGCTTCTGTACCCTCTTCGTTAGCGTGCAAGTTTTTTTCGAGATATGGAAACGGTTTCATCAGCGATTCGAGCACGGCCAAGTGCTTGACACCATCGAGTGACGCAGGCTTTGTGCCAGTGCAACTGTCGCCCAGTTCCGAAGCTGGGACTTCGTACACTGCAATTGGGATTCAGTTCGAGTTCCAAGAAGCACCAGAAATCGACATGGTATACCCGGAGATGGGCGTCTTCGGGGGTGGGACAGTCATCAATGTGCACGGAGACAACTTGATTCAATCCGTTTCTGTCGCCTCACATGGATCGCCGATGATGCCAGGAACGTCGGTGGACGGCTTATCTTGCCGCTTCGGCGGGATGTATACCGTTGGTGCCGTTCATGTGTCTTCCACGATCATGCGATGTGAGACTCCCACGTTCTCCATCGGTTTGATGGACGCGCCCCTTGTGGTTGATCTCTCCTTGAATGCGGACGATTGGACCGGTTCTCAAATCGTCTTTGAACCGATTGAAAATATGCCGCTCTCTTCGTTGTCACCACTTGCTGGGACTCGCGCTGGTGGTACCACACTCACTGTTGCGAGTAGTTATTTCCCTCCAGACACTCCAGTTTGGTGTAAATTCGGCACCACTGGTCCCATCCACGCGCTGTTCAACGGCGACGGAAGCGTGCGATGCAAATCTCCTGCAAAAGCAGAAGGAGACATTCCAATCGCGATTTCGCGCGGTAATCCGATCGATTTCGCATTCGACTACACAAAAATATTCAAAATGTAGCACTTTAGAATTAGTTCATAGTCTTTAGCGCGTGCGTTGTCGTTTGCAATAGTAATCGTCGACGTTCAAACGCTCGTCGCCACGCGCTGACGATCCCGAGACAGTCACCAAAACTATGTCGGTATCGAGGCGGGCTTCACTCCGAGCCGCAACCATGCGTTTCAAGTTTCTCATCGTATATCTGGTCGTCTCATCGCACTTCGTCATCGCTCTCGCGCAAAACACGTGCCCGATCGACGCTGGCCGAGTTGATCTGGTTGGGCTCGGCGAGGCGTGCTCCCTGTCGCTCGAAGACCTCTGCGAGAGCTGCGTGTGCTTCTTAGGCGAGAGATTGGCGCAAGCTGGGTATGACGTGTCGCAACTGGACCTGGACGCATGTGCGGTGCAGAATCTAGACGTACTATTACAAAACGGGGCGACCATCGCGGCGTTCCTTCGAGTTTCGCAGTGTCCTCGAGACGATTTGCCTTGTTTGACGACGCCACCGCCGCCTCGCGCTCCACCGATGCCGACGGAATGGCTTCGAAACACGAATGAATCGTACATTCGTCCGGATATTGAGGATGAATTTGGTGCGGTAGAAGCTCGAAACACGAATGAATCGTACATTCGTCCGGATATTGAGGATGCATTTGGTGCGGTAGAAGCTATGAATGGAACTGGAGGGATGGAGACTTCGGACAAGTCAGCGGCGACTGCAGGCATCGCACTCGGCGTTGTGGCTGGCGTTGTGGGCATGGCCGCGTTCGTCTTTGTCAGATTTAGATCTCAGCAGCGTTGGAAACTCCGTGAAATCTTTGCGCACAACGTAGTGCCACGTTATAAGTACCCTACTACGGTAGAGCTGAAAAACGTGACGTGCTCCGTGGATGATGATCGCATCATAATTGATGACGTAAGTGCGACGTTTCACCCAGGGGAAATCGTGGGCGTTCTGGGACCGAGCGGCTGTGGAAAGACGACGCTCATGAACGCGCTTGTTCACGGAAACTTTCTCAAAAGTGGAACGATATTGGTAAATGGAGAAGAGTTGGACGAAAAGCGACACAACCTCGCGTTTGTTGCGCAGCACACGCCTATGATCGCGCAGTTAAGCGTTTACGAAACGTGCTGGGTCGCAGCAAGCCTACGACTACCCTGGTTCTTGCACGCGAACGAGCTGCATGAGCGCACTCATGATGTCATAAATTCTCTCGGATTAACACACGTCTCCAACTCTCGCGTTGGCGGGACGCTGTCACAGAAACAAACATTGAGTGGAGGCGAATTGCGCAGGGTTGCGATCGCGCAGGAGCTGGTTGTGGATCCAACAACGATTATCTTAGATGAGCCGACTTCTGGACTAGATGCACACACGTCCTGGCGCGTATTCACACTCCTGCGTGATCTCGCATCTCACCAAGAAAAGGTCGTCGTCGCAACCGTGCATCAACCGTCGAGGCGTGTCCTGGATAATTTTCACAAAATTCTTGTTCTCACGCAGAACGGCCGCTTGCTGTGGACGGGTTCGCCGGCCGAGCTTGATAATACGTTGACTATGATTGACATGGAAGCTCCGCCTGGAGTGAGCACTGCGGAGTGGTTGTTGGATATCGCATGCGATGAAGCCAAGCAGAATCGTTTCATCTGTGCAGTACAAGCGACGCGCGACGAAAAGCCATCGTCGGTGGCGTCGAAACAACACTCCAGACTTCAAGTTCCAGCCGCCGAATGTATGTACGATGAGTACACATCTGCCATAAAAACAGCACGCGTGCTCTTGTGGCGTGCGTTTGCGGTCATCAGTAGAGAGCGAAGAGTGCTAGTCTCGCACTATTTTACGCCAATCGTGATCGGTTTGATTTTAGGTCTTCTGACTGACGCGACTAACGATCTCGAGGGCTTCCAGAATCGAATGGGATCTACGTTCTTTCTTCTGGTGTACTTTGCATTGTCAGCGATGACTCTTATCGATGGGATAAACAACGAACGGGAAATTGCGAGGCGACAAGTCCGCGCCAAGTTCTACGGAAGCGAGCTGTACTTTTTCACCAAACTCGCAATCGATTGGCTGTTTTTGAGAATCCCACCGGCCTGTCTCGCAATTGTGGTTTTCTACTTTTTGATGGGTCTTAGACTTTCGTTCACCGCGTTCTTTACCTTTCTTGCCTTCATTCTGCTTTTTATTTTATGTCAGTCGGCTCAGTGCGCCACGATGACGTTTGTTTCTACTTCAACGGCTGCCACAACTTTGGCCAACACTGTCGTCTTACTCGTCGATGCAGTGTTTGCTGGATTCTTGATAAACGTCAAATTACTCCCCCGCGGAAGTGCGTGGGTGCGTTACCTATCGCCTTTCTATTTCTCATGGGGAGGCATTCTTGCCTCCGAGATGCGAGGCGGTCCGTACTTGTTCAATGCTGACTTCGATGGCCAGCAAGTCAAGGTCCCAGTACGCGGCGCAACTTACTTGAATGTCATTGGCGTCGAATATGATCACGTTGGACGCAATCTTTTCGGACTGACTGGTTTACTTTGTGCGTGCACGCTCTGCGGACTGTTCGCAATAAAGTTTGGCGATAGAATCAGACAGAGGCATTTACATTAATTTTACAAAAGTCTCAGTCGCTATCTTCGTCCTGTGGCGCGATTCGTTCAGCCCAAAACACCATTGAGTCAAAAATATCATTATCATCGCTTTCGTCGTCGTCGTCGTTCTCCGCAGCGTCTTCTTTTGCCTCGAACTCGATTTGACACACGCTTTGCCAGCGAATAACAACTTCCGCAGCGTCTTTTGCGCCCTCAAGAACGTCCATAGGTAAAGTTGCCAAAGTTTTTGCCTTATCTAATAACTCGCTGATGCCTTGGATCGCGGCTAACACCACGGCGGCGTCCGGATCGAATCTGACGCGCTCGCAAAGAAGCTTAATCGTCGCCGTACTGAGAGCGAGAAACGCGACGTCGCCCTTCTCTGCACTCGACCACGGAGAGAATATGAACTCCAAGGCGCGAATTGCCGCCAACCGAAGCGGTGTCGGTCGAGTCGTATCAGATGCGAACGCAAGCGCTTCGAGCGTGGTCGGTAAGAAGGGCCGGAGACACACCACGCCGCTGTTGAAGTACTGGCCCAAAGCCTCCGCCGCAGCCATCTGCTCTTCGACGACGCCAGTGGTGATGGCTGTTCTATGCGAAGCTGACTCTGTTTGAGCGAGAGCCGCGACTGCCGCAGATGCCGCATCGATCGCATACGGCTCAAACTTGTCCTCCAGTGCGACGGCTAATCTACCCAAGCACTCGTGCGCGCACTCGCGAGCAATAGTGTCTGCGGACGTTAGCGCCGATGCCGCGGTCTGGAGCAGCAACTCAAGCAATCCATTCGGAGCGCGCTCGATGCCTACGACACCCAAGATGGTCGCCATCGTCGCCACTGATCTCGCTTGCAACTCCGTACCGTTTCCGGTTTGTTCCGCCGATTTAGCGCGAGCAAGCAAAAGTGACAAAATATCACTAGCGTACGGAGTGAAGTAATCAAGAGAGCATTGCGCCACTGCACCAAATGAATGCGTCGCACGCGCGGCTGTACGCCAAGAAAGGTCCATCGTCTGCGCCTTTAAAGCCTCTATGAGCGGCACTATAAGCGGCGCGATTGCCTCACCGAGGGAGTTTTCGCACATCTTCGATAACGCACCGTGCACAGCCCACTGGCAACTTCGAGGCGCGTGTGTCAACATGCTCGCGATGAGCGAGAAAGTCGTACCCGCGTATTCATCCGCCATCTCTGGCTGACAGTGCGTCGCCATCATGCACATGGCCTCCATCGCGGCAACTCTGAGATTCACATCGACGCATTTCATGGTCTCAGTGAGCTCGGGAATGAGCACCGGGAGATGTGATGTCACGCCCTCACCTTGGGTACCTTCTGTGATCGCCGCAAACACTCTCCACGCCGCGGGTGCGTTCGCGCCGCCTCGCAGCCGCTCGAGAAGATTCAGCGCCGGGGCGACGACGAAGTGGTTGGGAATCGTACTCGCAAGCGCGCGAAGAGCACCTCGAGCTAACGCCGCGGGCGACGAACTCTGTTCGTCCAAACCTTCGCCCTCGACATCTTCGTCATCAAATGAACGCTCTTCGGCTTCCAAAGAAATCGTCAGCAACGGCGGCACGAGCGCGGCGGAAATTGGACCGCCCTGACCCAAAACGTGCGGGTCGTACTGTAAATCAATCTGACCAGCCATCGTTTCCGTCAACAGCTCGGCGTGCTTCTTCGCCATCTTTGTCAAAATCAGCAGTGCTGGCGCACGAATAGAGCCGGCGTCTAGCTTTGGATTGGTGCCGAGGCGTAGCGCGAGCTCCAAGATTTGAATCAGCGCGGCGTTGTGCGCGCCGTAAACGTCCTCTCGCGCCCCGACTAAAGCCGACATCGCTTCGAGCGACGCGCCGAGCAGCCTGCCGTCTCCTATTTCTAGCGATCGTTCCGCACATCGTACCAACTCGACTGCGCACGCGGACAGCGCGGGTCCGAGCGTCGGCGCGACGCACCAACTTCCCGCCAACTTGCCGACGCCGTCCAAAGCCGCGTACCTCACGTTCGCGTCTTCATCCGACGACACCATTCGCACGAACATCACCAGTAACCTCTCATGTTCGCTCACCATGCGCGCACCGAGCGATTCACAAAGCACCGCGTACGTCCGCGCGCTCGCCTCTCGATGACTCGCCTCGCCGCTCGCGCTCGCCGCGTCGAGCGCCGTCCACAACTCGCGCCATTCCCACCCCTCTCCTCCCTCCGCGCACCCGCACTGCGCCAGAACATCCACGCAATTCACGAACGCTCGCATCGACGCTCGCCCTCCGCGTCCACCATCCTCGCCTCCCGCGTTCGCCGGAAACAACGCGCGAAGCGTCTCCGCTCGGCACGCCTCGCGCGTCGTCGCCTCCGTCCCGCGCCAAGACGTCCCCAGCGCGTTCGCCGCCAGCACCCCGCACGTCTGCCGCTCCGCCGCCGTCAGCGCTTCGCCCTCGCCGTCGTCGCTCGTCGTCACCGCGCGCAGCAGCTCGAGCGCGCACGCGCCGTCGCGCGTCGCCGCCGCGAGCTCGCGCTCCGCCGCCTCGCGTCGCTCGCGCGTCGCGCGCGCGTCCGCGACGACGCGCGCGCACTCGACGCACGACGTCGCGCGCATTCGTGCGCGCCGCGCGCCGCGCGCCGCGGCGTCGTCGTCCGCCGTCGCGCACGAATGCGCGCGCCGGCGGGACGCGATGCGTCGCGATTCGAACCACCGCGCGCGAGGTTCGCGCGCGCGCGATCGATCGACGGCGCGAGGTTGGACGACGCGCGCGCGCGATCGATCGCGAACCGATCGACCGCGCGTCGACCGCGCGAGACGACGACGCGGCCGGCGCGCGCGACGATGACGACGACGACGACGGCGACGGCGACGCCGCGCGCGACGGCGCCGACGCGCGCGACGCCGCGCGCGACGCGACGCGCGCGCGCGACGCCGCGCGCGACGACGGCGATGCGTCCGGGCGCGACGCGGACGACGACGCGGACGACGACGTCGCGCGTCGCGACGGGCGCGACGCCGCTCGGTGACGTCGCGGACGCGGAGACGGTGATGCTGACGTACGGCTCTATAGGCGTGTTCGTCGCGACTATCGCGTTCTTCGTGTACCGCGCGTTCGGGTCGATGATGTTCGGGCCGACGGCGACGGCGTCGCACGTGCTCGTGAAGGATCGAGCGCGCGCGGAGGCGCTCAAGGCGGAGATCGAAGCCGACGTCGCCGGAGGCGCACCGTTACGAGCGAAATTCGCGCGCGTGGCGGAGCAGCACTCGACGTGTCCGAGCGCCAAGAAGGGCGGCGAGCTCGGCGCGTTCAAGCCGGGACAAATGGTCAAGGAGTTCGACGCCGTCGTCTTCAGCGGCGAGATCGGCGCCGTCCTAGGGCCGGTGGACACGCAGTTCGGCAGTCATTTAATCTTGGTCACCGATCGCGAGGAGGCGAAGAAGTGAGCGCCGTCGAGGAGGCGAAGAAGTGCGCGACCGCGACCGCCTCGACGACCGTGTAATCCAGTCTCGCCCGCGCTCACTGACTCCCATACGACATCGATCGCGCCACGCGGTCGGTCGGACATTCGCCGCGGCGTGGATAGGATCGACGCTTTCCGCGGCGCGCGCGCGCGGGATTGCGACGCGCGCGCGCACGCGACGACGCGCGACGCGAGCGCCGATCCGAGCGACGATCGCGGAAAGCGTCGATCCGAGCGACGACGACGCGCGCGATGGCGACGCGCGCGATGGCGAACGCGACGCGAGGCGCGCGCGGGACGGCGGCGATAGGACGGGGACGAACGACGACGACGGCGGCGACGACGGCGACGGCGGCGACGCGAGGACGCGCGCGGGAACGCGCGGTGGTGACGATGGCGGTGTCATCGAACGCGTCGACGGGGAAAACGTCGAGTGGGACGCGAGTGATGCGGAATAAGAATCGCGCGGTGGTGGATGGATCGTTGCTGAGCGCCCCGGCGAGCGCGAGACGACGTCCGGAGGACGTCGTCGGGGATGGGGCGAGTGGGTACGAGGTGGAACAGCGCGCGTTGGAGGCGTGCGTGGCGAGACAAACGGCGAACGAGCGAGCGCCGAAGATTAACGTGCCGATCGAGAGTTTGGACGCGGCGTACGAACGCTGCAGAGAAGTGACGGCTGAGTACGCGAAGACGTTTTATCTCGGCACAAAGCTCATGACACCGGAGAAGCAACGAGCGATTTGGGCGATTTATGTGTGGTGCCGGAGAACGGATGAGCTAGTCGACGGACCGAATGCGTCGCACATCACCCCGGAAGCGCTCGATCGATGGGAAGAACGCCTCGAGGGTATCTTTGACGGGAAGCCGGTGGATATGATCGACGCGACGCTGTGCGATACCCTCTCGCGATTTCCGGTCGATATTCAGCCGTTCAGAGACATGATTGATGGTATGCGAATGGATCTCGTTAAGCCGCGGTACGAGACTTTCGACGAGCTTTACGAGTATTGCTACCGCGTCGCCGGCACGGTGGGTTTGATGTCCATGCCCATCATGGGATGCGACGAGAATTTCCAGGGCGACGTCAAGAAGGTGTACAAAGCTGCGTTGGCGCTTGGGCTCGCGAATCAATTGACAAACATTTTGCGCGACGTCGGCGAAGATGCGCAAACGCGCAACCGCATTTACGTCCCGATCGAGGATTTGAACAGATTCGGCATCACCGAGCAAGAGGTTTTGCGAGGTATGTTCAGCCCGTCCACGGGCAAGGTTGACGACCGCTGGGTGGCGTTTATGAAGTTTCAAATCGAACGCGCGCGCCAAGTGTTTAAAGACGCCGAAGATGGCGTCAACTGCTTGCACAAGGACGCTCGCTGGCCCGTCTGGAGTGCGTTGGATGTGTACAGAAACATTTTAGATGCGATCGAGGCAAATGGGTACAACAACTTCAATCAGCGCGCTTACGTGCCCAAGGTTGAGAAGTTTCTCATGCTCCCGCAATCGTACTTGAAAGCTCAAAAAGCGCAAATGCACTAAGTTTACATACGGCTCGCTTCGCTCAGCTTTATCCTTGTATTCTCAACATTCATTCAATTCTTATTATTCATTTTATTACTGTCGGGTCGCTAAAAGACAACTTCTAAAAAGCATGTCTTACTCGCGTCGTCTTCGAGGCGCAGGTCTCGGTGCCTTGGGGGCGACGTCGACTGCCACCGCTGGAGTAGGCGCGCATTTAGGACAAATCCAATTGCTAGGCGCCTTGGCGCTATCCTTGATGCCGACGCAGCGAGTGTGCATCCAAATACCGCACTCGTCGCACGCGATCATTCGTTCGCCGTCGTCGTCTCCTGTGCCGCACATGCACTTGACCGTCCACTGTTCCAAGCCGCCCTGGTAACGGAATTCACTTTCTAAATCAGCGCCCTCGCCATGGACTTCGACGAACGCACCGTGCATTTTACGCCAACCCAAGCGAGTCTTGTCGCTCACGCCCTCGTACCCTTTCACTCGAGTCACTTTGAAGTCGGACAAGACGACGTACAAATCTCGAAACGCCTTGGACGCAACGCGCTTCAAATCACCGAGCGTAGGATCACTTGGAAGCCAAACCATCTCAGGGGGTGGCCGCGTGATCGTTCCGATGCGTTGACGCGACTTGCCGTTGTTTGCGCCCAATCCACTGAGCAGGGGACCTTGATTGCGAGTGTCGATGACCGCCGTGACGATGATTCGAATAGCCTTTTGAGCATTCGGTGCCGGCTTGACCAGCTTACTCGCTGGCGTGGAATCGAGCAAATCTTCGACTGGGGTGTAAATTTTGACGAATTGTTTCGTATCGAGAAGCGTACGAGCTGCTTCGATGAGCGGAGCACCTTTGACGGTGACGCGTTGACCCGCATTCTTTTGCAACCGCGCCGGTTTGTAGCTTTCCAGCACATCGTGGTACAACGTGAGCAAATCCCGATCCACCTCTGCCGCGGTGAGCTCATCCACAGTGCGAGCTACGCGACCGTTCTTGAACTTTTGCGCGAGCATTTTCGCTGGCGTAACTTCCGATCGCGGCTCAACTTTCACTGGCGTCGGCGCTTCGTCCTTGATGGCGACGAGTTGCAGCGGCTTCGAGCGTGTCACCTCTAACGTGAACTCCATCTGATTCTTACCCTGACGACGACGAACGATACATTGTTTTCCACTCGGAAGCGTCACTTGACGGTCATTGAGCGTCTTCAAGATGTGATCCAAGAGTCCCGTGTCGCCAATGCCCTTTTCTCTCGCACCGGCGCGAACTTCTTGTCTAGAAATCCATCGGTCTCGCTGATCGTTCAGGGCGAGTACGCACGCATTGGCCGCGACGTTAAGTCTCGCCTGACTCCATCTTGACGTCGTGCTCGGCGCATGGTGCGAGTCCCGACCGCGCGAATCCCAGTGTACCATCGGATCACTCGGCAAGTTGATTTTAATATCCTCTGGCGCAACGGCGGGACTTTCTTCGTCGCGACGCCGAAGCGCGCGAGCTCGCTCGGTCCGCGGCGGCGGCGGAGCTGCACTCGTCTTTGCCTTCTTTGACACTTGTTGTGAATTCGGTGGCGGACGTCTGGCTAATTTCGGAGAATCTGTGATATTGCGCTTGTACTCGCCCTTCTTGTCGACAATCTTTGTGCCCGCTAATACTGCAGCCACGCCGTGCAGGGCCAATCGCTCGGGCGGTCGACGACCTTCCTTAACGGCCAGACGAATATCTCTTTGCAACATCATGACGTTGTTGACCAAATCACCCACAGTGTTGATCCCGATATCCTCGTTGTTGAAGATTTTCACATACTTGTCCACCAATGCCACGACGTCCACGGCGTCTTCGTTTCCTTCCTTATCTAAAAGATCCTTGACGTACGAAAAATCGTTACGAAGTTGTCGCACTGGAAACTTGCGTAAAAGCTCGCTCGCTCGCTTGTGCGTCATCAGGGTGTTCCCGAAGCTTCCCTTGCCGAAGATGTAGCCGTACGTCCCGTACCACGTCGCGCCGCGCGAAACCGGATTCAACAAACGAAGCTCTACACCGTATTTCTGACTCACATCCTCCACACTCACCTCTCTCGCGCGAAGCTGGTAGCAAATTGTTTCCCATAAACCCATCAATTGCGTTCCACTCAGCGCCATGCTCCCCGCTTCGCGCCCATTGATGCGTTTCAGGTGACCGAAACCGTTTGCGTGAATCATGCCGTGTAAAAGATGTGTCTGGTGATCTAAAATGGAACATTCTTTGTCCACTTCGTCGCATACCGAGCACTTACGTTCGCTCGAGCTCACGGCGCAGCAGCAAAGCTGACAAATGCGCTTACCCGTGAGTTCGGGTTTGTTCCGAGCTTTGAAATCGGTGTGCACGATGAAATGATACTGCTTCTTGTTCACCGGATGATGCACCCAACCGATGCATCGACAGCAATCGCAGTGCGCGCGCTCGGATTCCTCCACGACTTCTTCGTAAATGCGCAGCGTCGTCGCGTGGGGCTGACCTTTAGAGAGTACCACGGAGTATCCCATAATCCCGACCTCGGTGTATCTTCCGTCGCACTCGGCGTATCGATTCAGAAATGATTTGATGTTGTCCCGAAACGGTCCACCGTACGCGGTATCGCGATTTAACCAAGGCGTCGGCTCTATCGGCGCGCTTTTCCGCGCCCAACTCGGTCGAGATTTCCTCGGGGACGACCGTTCGTCGTCTTCCTCGTCCGCCTTCTTCGTCGTCGCCTCGCCGCCGCTCGTCCGTCGCCTCGCGTCCGTCTCCTCCTCGCTCGACCCTTCGCTCGTCGCGCTCTCGCGTTCACCACTCTCAGACGCCTCACCTACCGCACCACACGAGTCCTCGTCGTCGGAATCGCTCTCGCTCTCGCTCTCGCTCGCCGCCCTCTCGCGTCTCGCGCCCTCGTCTCGGCCGCTCCGCATGAATCCCCAATTCGCCGGCGTCAGCGCCCCCACGACGCGTCCGACGAACCCCCGCTCGCGCGTCCCACTCTCGCGCTCGCCCTCGCCCTCGCGCTCGCTCTCGCTCTCGCTCGTCTCCGTCGCGTCGCTCGTCGTCCCGCTCGTCCCCGTCGCCGTCCCGCTCGAGCTCTCCGACGCCGTCGACGACGCCGACGCGCGCCCGCCTCGCGCCCGCGCGCCCCCTCCGCGCGCGCGCCGCGCCGTCGACGTCCATCCGTCGCCCCTCGAGGCGCGCGCGCGCGCTCGCGACGCGCGATCGCGCGCCATCGCGCGCGACGCGGCGTCGCGCAATGCGACGCGGAATAACGAACGACCGAAATCGGAGTCCCTCGTTCTCGAGTCACGACTCGTCGAGAGGACCGAGGGTTTCCGGGGACGCGTCGCGCGGGTCGGTCGGTCGATCGACCGCGCGAGGGTCGACGCGTCCGCGCGATCGACGGCGCGAGGGTCGACGCGCGATCGAAATGTCGATCGACGTCGACCGATCGCGACGCGGCGACGCGACGACGCGCAGACGCGCGCGCGGGGCGGATGACGGCGACGGCGCGCGCGACGGTGACGGCGACGGCGACGGCGCGCGCGACGACGACGCGGGCGCGGCGCGCGCGGACGACGACGCGCGCGCGGCGTCGACGCGCGGACGCGACGACGACGCGGGCGACGACGGCGACGACGGCGTGGGAGGAAAAAGCGCGGAAAAGCGCGACGGGACGGACGCGCGACGGGCGACGGCGCGCGGCGGGACGGGCGGGGGCGATATATAACGCGTCGTGGGACGGGTTCGACGCGGGCGAGGACGAGGCGGAGGACGAGGCGGAGGACGCGACGGCGGCGAGGCGATGGGCGGGGTACGCGGGCGCGCTCGGGTTGAACTTGGGACTCGGGACGCTGTTTTGTTGGTCGATTTACTTGGTGCCGCTCGAACAAGGGCTGGGGGTGGGGCGAGCGGTGCTGTCGAGCGTGTTTTCGCTCTGCACGGTGGCCACGGTGAGCGCGATGTCGTTCGCGGGGCCGTGGGTGTACGCGACGTACTCGGCGTCTCGCGTGGCGGCGTTCGCGGCGGCGTTCGCGGGGTGCGGGCTGTGGACGGCGGCGCTGGCGGTGCCGCTCAGGGCGGTATGGCCGCTGTTTTTGGGGTATGGGGTGATGTTTGGGTTCGCGAGTGGACTCGGGTACGGACTGTCGGTGCAGATGTCGCCGTACGCGCCCCTGAGCGCGGGGCTCGCCACGGGGCTGGTGACGTCGGCGCGCGCGTTCGGGGCGTTTTTGTTCGCGCCGATGGTGAAGGCGATGGTGTTTTCGGGAGGGCCGCAATACGCTCTTAATACGCTCGGAAATTACATCGCGTTCTCTGCCGTGCCTATATTCCTTCTCTTTCGCGCGTGCGGGTTGGCGGCGCCGCTGGCGAAGATGCGCGACAAGGATAACGTCATGCTCGACGAGATGGAACGCGACATCAAGCTCGCACCGCTCATACGCGTGCTGTGGGTGTGCATGGCGACTGGATTGTTTTCTGGACTCATGGTCATGTCACACGGCGCCACCTTGCTGTCGTCTCGCGGTCTTTCCGCGCAAACGCTCATCATCGGCGGCGTGTCCATCGTCTCCTTTACGACATCCGCCGGTCGCATCTTTGGCGGATGGCTTTGCGATCGAGTGTCGCCGAAGCGCGTGCTCGTGCTCACACCACTTCTCGCGGTTGGACCGCTAATGTGGGCTGCCATGGATAAGACGAGCATTCTCGCCGGTAAACTCGCCCTCGCCGCCGCGGGCGTCGTGTACGGCATGTTCGCGAGCACCATACCGGTGGAGGTTCGCCGCGTCGCCGGCGCGGGCGATTTTGCGCGCACTTACGGGCGCATTTTTACCGCTTGGGGGCTCTCCGGTCTCGCCGCGCCTTACGTCGCGGGTTTATTCTATGATTCGTACGGCGATTATTCCTTCGCCCTGTACGTCGCCGCCGCGTTGAGTTGCGTCTCCGCTCTCGTCGCTCAGCTCTTGGAATCGCCTCGCACGGCCGAGCGCGAGCGCGTCGACGACGAGACCTCCCGCGCTCAGGCCGCGGCCAAGCGCGGCGAGCGCTTCATCGACTGCACCACCGACGGTTTAGCGTCCGGTTGAAACTCTTCTTGTACCTTCGCTCGCGCTTGTCCTTGTAATTTGTTGTCTGTCTCAACGCGTTTCGCGCGACCGAATCCGCGCGCGCGCGCGCACTCGTCGACGCGCGCGATGGTCGCCCGCGACGACGCCGAAAACGACCGCGAGCAACGCGATCCGTTCGAGCTGTTGGCGCCGATCGCGCGCCGCGCGCCGCGCGAGCGCGAACGCGCGACGGTGAAGGCTGACGAGGACGCCGAGCGAATCTCGACGACGAAAACGAACGCGCGACGCGCCGAGACGACGACGGAGGGGGTGAAAACGCGCGCGGACGAGGAGATCGAAGATGTCACGGCGCGCGTGCGGGCGCTGGAGGCGATCGCGCGCGAGGGGTTCGCGGAGATGAGCGCGGCGTTGAAAACGTTGACGGGACAGGTGGCGGCGTTGAGCGAACGCGTCGAGACGCTGTCGACGACGTCGGAAAGGTTCGAGGCGACGGAGGAAGACGACGGCTCGGGGTCGTACGATGATGATTACGAGGAGCACTACGAGGAGTGCCCGCCGCCGCCGCCGCCGCGAAGGGGGGATCGGGGACCGACGCCGCGACGCCACGGTCCGCCGCCTCGAGGCGGACACGGTCCTCCGCCGCACGAGCGTGGACCTCCGCCGCACGAGCGTGGGCCTCCGCCGCACGAGCGTGGGCCTCCGCCGCACGAGCGTGGACCTCCGCCGCACGAGCGTGGACCTCCGCCGCATCGTCACCCGCCACCACACGAGCGCGGACCACCGCATCGCGGTCCTCCGCCACCGCACGGTCCTCCTCACGGATACGGCGCGCCGCCACCGCACGGTTCTCCCCACGGGTACGGTGCGCCGCCGCCGCCATTCGAGCAGCCGCGACCGGAATCTCCAGCCTATCCGACGGCGTACCCCGCGTACACTCCGATCGAGTCTTCGCCGCCGCCGCCGCCGCCTGCGAGCGCGGTGCAAACATCCGGAGCGGTGCCGCTCGAGCACATGATCGCCGACTTCGGCAACATGGGCTTTAGCCGCGAACAGGTGTTGGGCGTCGTCGGCGAGATGGCGGCCACAGGAAAGAAAATCGAAGTGAACAGCGTGTTGGATAAACTCATGCGCGGCGTTTAGGACATGTTTTACAGATTGTACCGATACCATCAATACGACTTGCGCGATTCTTCATCTAACTCGTCGAATATACCAATCTCGTGTTGGCGAGAGACGGCGTAACACTTGTGCGTGGTGAATAACCACTCCGAAAACGCCTCCATGGTAGTTATCCTAGACGCGTTGTCCCGTAACGCCGCCGCCGACGCGGCCTCGCGCTTCGCGCGAGCACGCAAGGCGGATTCCGAAACGCCGGCGTCCTCCGTGCTCACGAACCGCATGTCCACAACCCCGTGCGGGGCGAGACCCCACACCCACTCGAACGCCGCGCGCGTGCGTTCCATGTGAAACGCACTCGTCACCACCTCCACGCGCGTCCACGCGCGCGGAATCGCGTGCAAGCACAAAGAATAGTACGCGTTGCCGATGGTATCCATAGACGCCGTATCCTTCAGCATCGAATCCGCGGGCACGCCCTTATCCATTAAATACGACGCCATAGACGTCGACTCGTGAAGATTAAACCCACCTTTCGCCATCGGCGGCGGTTTATGCGGCGTCATCGATCCTGAAAGCAGGATCCGCGGCTTGGCGTCCGCCGTCGCGTTCGCGTACGCCGTCGCCGCGTAATCCAATCGCGGCGTCACCCACGCCGGCAGCGTCCCATCGTCTTCGATTCCGCCCGCTACGACGACGATGGCGTCTAAGCCACCATTCGCGCGCGCGACGACCGCCATCGCGCGTGCACGGCGCGTCTCTCCCGCCCCCGCGCGCGCATCGCTCCAACTCGACGGTTGTCCCGACGCTCGCGCGCGTCGCTCACCGCGCGCGCGTCGCGCGCCGACCGCGACCGCGCGCGCGCGATGACACGCCGTCGTCGCCGCCGTCGCGACGCGCGCGGTCGACGTCGCGATCATGACGCGCGGCGCCGCCGCCGTCTGGCGCTGCATTCGACGTCGCTCGCCGCGCGTCTCGTCGTCCCGGACCGCTCGCGCTCGCGCGCGCTGGAAACATGCGCAAGAGTCTCCGATCTATCGCGTCGTGCGCCTCGCGCGTCGTCGCGCGCGCGACGCCGCGCGCGTCGTCGACGAATGCGTCGCCTCGAACGTTGCCGAGGTTAACGACTCGCGCGAGTGCCGCGGCGCCGCGGATCGCGCTCGACGCGCGTTTCTGCGCGCGTGGATTCGCGAGCGATGCGTCTGCGCCGGTGAGCGCGCGCACGCTGAGCGAAGCGCTGCTGGAGGAGCGCGCGCACGAGAGCGCGGCGTACGAGCCGAGCGCGGCGGCGGCGAGCGGACCGCCGGAACCGTTCGAGTTACACGAGACGGATGGTGACGCCGAGGTGACGTTGACGAAGACGTACGGTGACGACGAGGAAATCGCGGTGACGTTTGTGGCGCAAGAAGAGCCGTACGACGATGATATGCTCGATGAGGATGATTTCGACGAGGAGGAGGACGGGTTGGATGAGGAATTGGAACTCGAAGAAGATGAGAGTATCGCGATCGACTTTAACGTGGTCGTCAGTAAGACGGATGGGAGCGCACACCTCGATTTCGACTGCGTGACGGATGGAGAAATCATCGAGATCAGGCACGTGTCTTACGAACAGTACGACGAGAACAATCCAATTTTAGGCACGGCGTACTCGGGGCCAAACTTTGAAGACTTGGAAGAAACCGTGCAGGACAAGTTCCACGACTACTTGGAAGTCAGAGGCATCAACTCCGATCTCGCGTCGTACATAGTCGAGGCTCATCTCGATAAAGAGCAAAGAGAGTACACGAATTGGCTCGGAAACGTCTCCAAGTTTGTCGCGGACAAGAAGGAAACAAAATAAAATAAGCGAGAGCGGAATTTAGCTACTAAACTTGTGTATGTTACTGCAAAATACCTTTTCACCGGAGTGAAATCACGCTATCATAGACGTGCTAAACACCTGAAACACGCGCTTGGAGGACTTTTTGCTACGGACGATGTATTGCATGACGCACAAATCGATCCACGGCGCCGATTCTTCGACGGATTCGTGTACAGTCAACTTTGCCATCATATTCGTCAACCTCTCGCGCGCCGTGGATGGTTTGCTCAGATCAGTCGGCGTTACGTTATGGAAGAACTGTGCCGCCTCATCGCCGTAAAGGTTGACGTCGACGGAATCGGTGCCGTCAATGACGCGAAAACGGCAACCAAACTCGTACTTTTTGGAACCTTTCGCGAGCTGGCACATCTCCACGATGTCTGGGCTAAATCCTCTAACTATGACGCGCAACTTGTGACGCATCGGTGGCTTGGTCATTAACATCTCACGAATCGTACTGTATCGCATGTTTGGATGCTTTGTGACGGTGATCGTGGTGGAGTGCCCGGGGGCGCCCCAGCTTGAGACCAAATTTTGTTGCTTGCGCAAACGGTACGCCTCCATAATCGCGGGAAGCGGCTGTTTGTTTCGAATGAACGCCGTCTCACGGCGCACAAATCCCTGCAGTTGGCCACGCACCACTTGTGTGTTCAAGTTGCGAATCTTCACCCACTCTCCGGGTTGCGGAACTTCATCCATGTCGAGCTTTGCGCCGTGCATGAAGACTGGGAGCGCCGATCCGATGAGCGGTACAGTTGAGTTGATCTCGTTTTCTGGCACCGCATCTTGGCCTCTGAAATCAAACCCGTGTGCATAGAACTGTCTCTTGTCTAATGCACTTTCCAACTCGAAATCTGTTTCGTCTAAGCGCATCTCTTCTCGCTGTTGCGAAAGCGACGTCGTCATCGACGGCGGCAAAGGCGGCGCGTCCGTGCCGTCCCACACGAGCATGACGTACGAACCATCCGTGCCCTCCACGAAATGCGCGTCCAAGATCAAGCAATACAAGTCGAAAAACTCTTCTTGCTTGATTTCACAAAGCCTTCTCTGCTTGCTCTGCCCCGAGGCGCCGTTGAACTCGTTCAAAAACGGCATCGACGTCGCCCGCTTCGCGTATCGGCGCAACTCTTGCACGCGCTTCAAATCCGCCGGCGTCAGATTCACCGAGCTCTGCGCGTACGGCGTTTCGCTATCATCCCGTCCGCTAAACAAACACCACGCCGTCTTAGAGTGTCCATAACTCATCATCGATCCAGTCTTCGCGATGAATTGCGGCCTTCCTTGAAACGTTTGCGCCTGCACGCGATGAATTCGAATCACATCCCCATCCGCCGGTCTCGGCAATTCGTACGGATTCTGATCGAAGAACGTCAACGACAATTCACTCGGCACCGTTTCCAAGTCATCCGCGCTTCCGTACACCACCGCATCCGTCGTCGTCGTCTCGTCGTAGATTTTCAACGTCATCTTCGAATCGCTCCCGCGCGTCTTGGACACCGCCGTCGCATCCTTGACGATCCCGTACACGTTCACGTACTGCTTCTCCGCGCCCAGCTCCCGCGCGCGATCGTGCCACATCTCCGCGCACGTTTTATACGCGTAGTCCGGCATCACGCGCGTCTCTCGCGCCGAACGCGCTCGACGATGAATTCAAACGTCCAACGTCCACACCCAACCGTCGCGCGTCGCGTCGCGTTCGCGCGCGTCGCGCCGCGTTCGCGCGCCGTCGCGGTTCGCGCGCGCAAACGCGCGGCGTTCGCGCGCGCGCCTCTCTCGCTCTCTCTCTCGCGCGCTCGCGCGTCGCTCGCGCGTCGTCTCTCGCGCGTCGCGATGTTCGGTCGCGTCCGCGCGCGCGCGACGCGACGCGCGACTTCGCGACGCGCCGCGCGCCGATCGCCGATCGCCGCGCGAAGATCGATGCGCGACGCCGACGGCGCGCGCGACGACGCGCGCGCCGTCGCGCGCGCGCGGACGCGGACGCGAACGGAGAGTCGGTACCTGAGCGCGGACGCGGACGCGTTCGCGAGCGCGATGGACGACGCCGCGCGATCGGAGGAACCGTCGCCGAGCGGGTGCGCGAGAGAGCGATGCGATGCGATCGGACGTCGACGCGCGGGCGCGAACGCGCGCGATGGACGGTGGGGGAAGACGATGGGAGCGATCGCGTCGACCGGAGAAGGTCGCGTCGGCGGCGAGACGGGACGCGCGCGCGCGGGAGGACGCGACGACGTCGACGCGCGATGATTGGACGATCGAGGCGAAGGTGACTGACGCGCGCGCGAACGTTGGGTGATCCGTAGGACGAGCGACACCGGGGGTGGATTTCATTCGCCGATGACGTCGCCGCGCGCGCTCGTGGGCGGCGACGAGCAGCTCGGAGGCTCGCGAAGGCGAACGCAGTGGGGAGGAGACGTCTCCGACGGATCGAGTGGGTCCGTGGCCGATCGAAACGCGATGGAACCGGGTGATTTAAGACAACGGGGCGTTGAGAAGACGCGCGAGGGCGACGTGCGATCGAAAAAGGCGCTCGAGAAGGCGGGGACGCTGAAAATCAAAGACGTGGACACGGGGGAGGAGTTTATCATGCACAAGTCCGAAGCGAGCGCATTTTTGACCGCGCATCATTCGTCGCGTAAAATCGTAAAAGACGCCGCGACTGGGACGTCGCTGACGGTGAATGAGTTCGGTTCGCGCGCTGGGTTGCCAGATCAAGCACCGCCGGTGACGGTGCACGCGCGCGGAACGGAGAAATCGTTAAAAAATCTTCGACGCATTCAAGCGCTGGGTTCGCAAGAAGGCGCGGTTTGGGCGATGCAATTCAACGCAAACGGTAGCTATCTTGCGACAGCGGGGCAAGACAGAGTGGTGAGGGTATGGAAAACGTTTCGCTCGGGCAAGCTGCGAGGGGAGGCGCTGTTCGAGGACGCTCCGGTTCGCGCGTACACAGGACATCGCGGCGATATTTTGGATCTCTGTTGGTCGCACACCGATTGGTTGCTGTCGAGTTCGATGGATAAGACGGTACGACTGTGGTACACGACGATGGATGAATGCTTACGAATCTTCACACATCAAGACTTCGTGACGTCGATAAAATTTAATCCCGTCAACGACAAATTCTTCATCTCCGGCTCGCTCGATGGAAAATTGCGTATGTGGAACATCCCTGATTTAAAGGTGGTTGATTGGGTTGATATTGGTGAAATGGTGACCTCGTGCACGTTCTCGTCTTGCGGTCGTCGCGCCGTCGTCGGGACGCACAAGGGAAAATGTCACTTTTATGGCACGGATAGTTTCAAGTTTAAGTACTCGCATCAAATCCAAGTTAAGAACGCGCGCGGCTCCAAACTCTTGGGCAGAAAGATCACGGGACTGAATTTCATGCCCGCGGATGATGAACAAGACGAATTACTCGTCACCGCAAACGATAGCAGACTTCGCCTGTACGATGGTAGCGCCGTCTTACAATGCAAGTATAAAGGGCACTCAAATCAAAACGCACAAATTCAAGCGAGTTATTCTACGAACGGCGAGTACATCGTTAGTGGTAGCGAGAGCCCGGATGTGTTCATCTGGCGCGCACATTGTACGACGCTACCCGCCTGCGCGTGCGGTGGAGGTGCGACAGCAAAGCAGAGCACTTACGAAAAGTTCACGACGAGCGAACAGCACGTAACCGTAGCGCGATTCGGACCAGACGATCTTCGCACCACGAGAGCGTTTCCTTTAGAGGAACTCAGTGGTACCACCGGCCAGATCATTCTGGCCGCCGGGTATTCGGGGAAGGTACACGTATACGAAAACGTTTAACCTTTTGATGCGACGAGACCAAGCGAGATTCGTGTCAATGTCATGCGCGGACGTCCGATATAGCTAATGTGATAAGAAATTGTGTACAATCTGACACTGCCGGTTATCGGCAACGGTCAAACGGTCATCTAGCTAACTAGTTGTGTCCTACTCTTGCCGGCGACGTAAAAACGAAAACAATCCGCCGCGTCTCGGTTTCTCTTCTTCTTCGCTACTCCAACCGTCGCCACCGTCGGCGAGTCGATTCAAAACCTTCGCCAGCTGTGACTCTAGCAATGTGTTACGCTCAGAGAGTTGCTGTTTTGCCTCATTCGCACTGTTAAGTTGCCGCGATAAAGTCTTCTTTTCGATCTCGAGCTGCTCGAGCAGTTCGTGAATCGATGATAGTAACTCGATTTGCTCGTCGTCCGTTTCCGTGGTATTTGCCGATAACTCGGCCTGCTCTCGTTGCTTCTCCATGGATGACGCTTTTTCTCTAGCTTCTCGTTCGACGTCTGCATCCTTCTTCTTTAACCACGCACAAAGAAACACGGCTTCGTCCTCGTCGAGTTTCTCGAGCGTCTTCATAAAGTTTGATTCGCGAATGCGCTCTTTGAACAAACGATCTTGCTCTCGCGTGGCCTCGAGTACGAGCTCGAGTTCGGAAGCGTGCGAATTTGATCGTTTCGCCTCCGCGCGTAGTCGATCGTTCTCATCCTCGATCCGAGCCATGTCTTGCAAGCGTTCCTCCAGAGCGACGACTTCCGCCGCGAGCGATTGCACTCGCTCGCTCGTGTCTGGATTGCCCATCATTAAACCATCGTTATCACCACCCATGGCTGAACGCTCTTGATACTGCAACCATAAACGATCGAGTTCGTCGCGCGTGTGCGAGAGCTGCGACTTAGTTTCGTTGTATCTCTGCATCAGCGCATCGTTTTCATTCGCCAGTTTGTCCACCATGGCTTGAGACTTTTGCAAACCGCGCATGAGCCCGAGCTTTTCGGTCGTCATATCGTCAATGACTTCCTGCAACATCGAGATCTCGCTTTGGTCGTCCCGCACGACGCGCGAGGACGCGTCACTGATGACACCACTCACGCGTACTTGTTCGATTATTGCGTCCAATTCTGGAAACGTCTCAGTCGACGATTTCTCCGCTTCATCCGTCGCATCATTCGCGCCATCATCCGCGCGTTCGGGATCATCGAACAGCCTCGCATCGATCTCAGCACCCCCGCCGATCGCGCGCATCACCCGTTCGTACTGTTCCCGCGCGCGATCCGTCGACGTCGTCACGCCCAACACGCCCGTCTTCGCGTCTCGCGCGTCCTCTCGCGTCGCCGCGTCCGATCTCGTCACCACCGTCTCCACGTACGCGTCCGCCAAATCCGCGTACGCATTTCGCACCCCCATCGTCGTCTCCCCCGCGTTCGCCACCTCGCGAGCGTCGTCGTCTTCGACGTCGAACGGCGTCGCCGCTTCGAACGCCGCGGCGTCCCGCGCGCCGCCGCGCGCGTTCTCCTCCGCGACGACGTCCACCCCCGTCGTCGTCCTCGCGCTCGACGCCTCGGCGCGTGAGCTCATCGCTCCATCCCGCGACGCGTCGCCGACGCTCGTCTCGACGCGCGCGCGCGTCGCGTCGCGCGCGTTCGCGTTCGCGTCTGCGTGATTAATCTTCAATCCATCGCCTTCGCGCGCCTCCACCGCGTCCGCCGCTTTCTCCGCGCTCGCGCGACGCGCGCGAAACGCATCGAGTCGCGCGCGTCCTCGCGCCGCGGCGGCGGACATCGCGCTGTGCCGTCGCGCGCGAAGAAACTCGACGACACAATCCGACGCGCATTCGGCATTCGCCCGCGACGATGCCGTCCGAGGCCGAGCCGCGCTCGCCGAGCCGCGCGAACGCGGACGATGCGTCCGCCGACGTCGCCGAGGGCGCCATGGCGCGTCGTCGCGCGTCGCTCGACGGGAAAGTGCTCGTCGGTGGTGAGGGGCAAGATTACATCGCCGCGACGCTGAGCCGCGCTGACGACGTCGCGGCGGCGATGGAGCGCGTGCGCAAGCACGGAGCGTTGCTCGATACCGACACCGAACCCGTGCTTGGATTGCTGAGCGCGCTCGGAGTGAAACGAGGGGAGGCGTACAGGGAGATGCTGGAGCGAGCGGTGGCGGAGCTGACGCGCCGCGCGCCGACGCTGCCGCAGGGGACGCTGCTGAGCCTGCTGGATGCGTCGTTTCCGTACATCGGGATCGAGGAATTGAAAGCGGTGCCGTTGACGGTATTCGCGCACATGACACCGGTGCCGAGCTCGTACTTGAAGCAGGTGAGCCGAGACATGGGAATGTTTCGACAACTGCCGGTGGAGGTGCAGCGACAGTGCTGGGTGAAGGACGCGGCGTTGCTGCGAAGGCACGTCTCGCCGTCGATGATGGCGTACGGCGAGGAGACGGAGGCGGTTAGGATGAATATGAATCAGGATATGACGCTGGCGGAGTTGAACGCGAGTGATGATTGGTCGCCCACGAGCGCGGCGCGGGGGACGAGCGACGGCGGCGCGGGCGGCGCGAAGAGCAGAAAGGCGTTGCGCACCGAGAGCGCCAGCGTCAATAGATTGAGGAACATCATCGGTACGACGAAAAACAGCATGAACCCATCCTTGTACATTGAAGTGATTCGTCTGTGCCGCGCGCACTTCGCGAACAGCGGGGACGACTCCGCGTGCTCGCTGCGATCGCAGTTGCTCATGTCGTATCACGACGCGGGTGAAAATGAATTGTGCTCGATGGATAAGTGTCATCGCTTAGCGTGGCTCATGGATGCGTGCATTCGAGACAGATACCTGGATGGAAGACGTCTCAAAGAGATGGGGAGCTTGATTGATAATGCGGTGAAGAAAGCCAAAAGCAAAACCGTGAAGAAACCAACAAAAACAAAGCCAACGCGATTCCGAATCGTCGGTTTTGGCGCGAAGAAGGCTGAAGCAAAGAAAGATGGGAACGAGAGCGACGACGGCGGTAGTATCAGTCGTGTGCACGACGTGCACGAAAGGGATGACACACTAGAACAAGTACCGGGAGATATGGGGATGATTTTACAAGATCCTCCGGTATTACACCTGCTGTTGCACGAAACCATTCGCACGCTCGAAGCCGTCATCGAGGCGGAGGGCGTACCGAAGAAGGAGCCGCGCTTGCATGATTTGACCAAGTTCATCTGTCTCGCGCTCACATCTCAGGCATGTTTGCGTGAGAACTTTTCAGAGGTCCCAGCTACACCAGAGCCAATTGTCAAAGACTTCTACACGCTCTTGGGTAAGCTCATGTTGGACGTGATGCTGAGAGACAACGACGACGATATGGAGACGGATGGCGCGCACGAGCCCGACATAGATGTTGAAACTCGCGGCAAGTTCAAAGAGTTGATGATCTGGTCTCCTGCCATACGTAAAATTATGTTGACGTACGCATTGATTTGTTTACAGCGCAACAACATCCGAACGGCGACGGAGGTTTTAGAAATTGCCGCCGACGTGCTCATCGACGACGTCATCATTTACGAAGGCGCGTTCGCCTTGACTTTGGCAAATCGCATGTCAACGATGCTGAAAAAGAAGCAGACTACCGTAGACAGCGCGCTTTGGAAGTATGCTGTCGATGGTATTTTGATCCGCTCGACGTCGGCGAGCTTAGAAGTGCACGAAGAAGTCCTGCGAATGCTCATGCTCGCCGCAGATGAGCTCACCACTGAGGCGTTGGCGACCGCCGTCGAGGCGACGCTGATAAATACGAAGAAGAGTCGTAAGCAACGCAAAAAACGGGCAAAACAGATCGTATACGAATACGAACCGATCGATACTTCGAAGCACGCTCGTCATGGTAGTTCACACAACTTTGGCGCCACGGCAGACGTGCACGGAATCGCAGCGAGCAGCACAAGCGCGGCGAGCGTGGATAGCATCCGAGCGGCGTGCGAGCTCTTCGCGTCGACGAAGAAGTTGAGCAAAGAAAGTGCACCCATTCTTTTCGACTGGCTCAATAAGCGTAGCAAATGCGCGAATGATGGCGACAACGCCGGAATCGCGGGTACGGGAGGATATTTCGACGACGAAGGCGACGAGGGAGGGTCGATTTTGGACTTTGGACTCTCGCGCGACGTAAAATCGCCGAGCGTCGTGCGCGACTCACCGTTAATGAGTCCTCGACGAGCTTAGGATTGTAAATACGCTCACGTTACATCAAAGCATCTATTTGCGTCTGTATCTTCTCCACGTCGCGGAAGAAATCCACGAGCCCGGCGCGATCAAACTCGCAGTTAAACGTCTCGCGTTTCATCACCCCGCTCGGCGTCGGTTCGCTCAATTCTATGTCTAAACTCCCTAATAACTCTTGCTCCGATCCCGTGAGCGGCAGACTCAGCTCCCACTGCACGTCCGTCATTATTTTCGGCGCCCCGAACGGGGTCGATTTCACCCGCTTCAGCGCCTCTTCTCCCTTCGACGCCCACGCGCCGCCGCACGCGCTCGCCAACGCCGCGCTCGCCCCGCGTTCGATCAACATCGCCACCAACGTCTCCCCGCTCGCGCCCGACGACGCCGCGAACGCGAAGACATCCTTCGCGCTCGAGCTCACGCGCGCGCACTCGCGTTCGTTCGCGTCGAACGCCTCGCGAAGCGCGAGCGCGTCCTCGGAGTCGTTTTCGAATGCCTCGGGCAGCGCGCGCAGCGCGGGTTCGAGCACGCGCGCGGTGAGCGCGCGAAGATCTTTTTGAGCGTATCGATCGAGGTGTTGAATCGCGCGCGCGATGGACATCGCGCGCGAGGCGGCGCGAGTCGAGGTGTGAGGCGACGGTTGGGCGAGGTGTGAGGCGACGGTCGGGCGGTTGGGCGACGCCGAGCGCGCGTCGACGTTTCAATCCATTCGATCGTATTGAGTGCATCGAGTAAACGCGGTTCGGAGCGAAGTGAGTGATTTTAAGGGGTGCGCGAGTACGGCTCGCCGTTGTCGTCGTCGGCGTCGTCGACGACGTCGGCGTCGGCGTCGGCCGAGAAGAATTCAGCGCTTCCTTCGTCATCGGCCAACGCATCCTCTTCGTCTTTTTCGTCTTTGAGCATGCCCATGTGTTCTTCACGCTCGACTTCCTCACCGTGCGTACGAATGTCTTCAGCAGTGTTCAGTATCGGAGTCAGGATGTCCGAGCGGCACAATACGCCAACGAGTTGCTTCGACACTGGATCGACCACGGGCAGCCGCCAGACCTTCCACTGCAGCATTTCAGCCCAGACTTGGGCGAGATTCGCACCACTCGTCACGACGTGTGCTGGTTTGCTCATGACATCTTTCACCTTGCTCTTCTCGAGCACTTCGACGGCCGATATGTCCTTGTGCGAGAGCACTCCAATGACGTGTCGCGATTTATCGAGCACCGGAACGCCAGAGTAGGAACGCAGAAGCTTTTTGACGATCGGGTCGCCCAGTTCAAGCTCTGGCGTTACGAAGGCTGCGGGAGTTGACATGTAATCCGATGCCTTCGCGCTGAACGGGTCCGGATCCGAGATCTGAACGCGGTCCATGGCATCGTCGCCACCGCTAGGCCGGTGCACGTTGAGGTGCGCCGAAGTGACTCCTGAGATGCCTCCGCGCCGTGGCGACGCGCGCGAGACGATACCGCGACGGTGGAAGTCAAGCGTGGGAACAGTTGAACGTGGCGACGCGCGCGAGACGATACCGCGACGGTGGAAGTCAAGCGTGGGAATGATTGAACTAAAACGACTCGCGTACATGGTGGCGGCGTGTTGTGGTGTGTATGGTATTATCGTGTATTCCAACATTGTATTCCAACGCGCGACGACGCGATTCAGTCCTTCTTGTGGCATCTCGCATATATCGCGCTCGCAGTGAGCGCGATTCCTGATAAGTAAACCGCGGAGTAAATCGCCTCTCCGCGGGTTTCGAACGATGGAACGAAGATGCGTCGCAAGAGCGATCGCTGCGGCTTGAGAACGACGGTAACGGAATTATTCATGCTCATGACGCATTGTAAATGCTCGCGAATCACCGCCGGGGAGAGGGACTCGATAACTTCCTCTCGCACTTCTTCAGTCATTCGATATAGCGCTTCGATATCGCCGTTCAGAATACTCTTGTGCATCATCCGCGATTTATAGAGTTCGGTGATATACTCGCGCCAAAATGTGTTCTCTTGTCGACTGACTTCAAAGTCTCGAATTTCGCATTCGCGAACGGCGTGCACGTCTTCCTCCGTCGGACCGTGTTCGCGAAGATGTCTCACGACTTCTCGGGCGTGTGCCGCGAGGTGAGCGCCTCGCTCCGGAGCGCACGAGAATGATACCATGATATCGCCCGAGTACATTTCACCAGCGACATCCGGGTCTTGGTAGCCGAACGATGCATCCGCGTGGCAGGTGTAAATCTCGCCGTATTCAAATCTCAGCAAAGCCAGCAATCGTCTCTCGATGATTGCCGCCGTCATGACCGTCTTAAACTTTGCCACGGTCAACTCTTTTCCGCCCAAGAGCGTCGAACGTCCGCGACTGTTGTGAAAGTCCGGATTTTGTATGCGCACGGGAAACGTAATCGACGCCTTAGACATCCCTTCCCGCATGTGCGCTCGCACAGTGCGCGAGATGACGCGCGTCGGGAACTTCAGCAGGAACGGTGTCAAGCTGCGTTTGCGTTGACTAATACCTTCAAAGGCCTTGAGAACCTTGGTGGGTGACGCCGGCGGAATCGAGCCGAGATACTTTTCGATGAGCGGAACGAGTGTCTTCGAATCGATCGCTCCGACGAAAACCATGGTAAATTCAGACGGATCCAAGAAGCAAGCGTCGAAGAACGCGCAAGCCTTTTTGCTGTCCATCTCACGCAACGACTTGACGGTAATTCGCTGACTATGGTACGACTCGCCGTAGACGAGCGAGCGAACGACCTCGCTATATTTACTTTCGGGGTCTCGACTTTGATTTCTAATTTTTTCCTCCTGCATCTGCATCAGTGTCTCTAAAACTTCCGGATCATTCGTCGTGCTCACGTCGTGCGTGAACAAAAGATGAATGCACTGCAGCGCGCTTTCGATGTCCACTGGTGATGTTTCACCTTCAATATTACGGCGATACATGGTTACGTTGGCGTGCACGTCCGATCTTAGACCCGCTATGATACCGTCGTAGACATCCGGTCGATGGCCGTAGATGCCAAGTTCGCTGGCGACCATGTTTGAGCACATCGCATCGATGTAATCAATCTGCGCTACCTCCGAAAGGCCACCTCGTGCGACACCACGTATGAGGACTTGATCGTCAAGAAAATCAGTCACGCGAATGGCGATGCGCATACCGTTATTCAGGGTGATCTCATTCACCTCCAACGCCGGTAACTCTCGCGAGCCGACGATGGTGCCAGAAGTCAATGAAGTCGCGTCCATCAATACCTCGGGAATATCAAACACTTCGCTTTGGTCAATTGCACCCTCAATTTCCCTCAAGCGGACATTCTCGATCGCTTCTCGCAAATCATCTTCACTTGTACGCTTTCTACCTTCTTGTACGCGAATCACGCACGAGTTACGCACGTTCAATTGACGCGCAAACGCCAACACGTCTTCTTGTGACACGCGCTCAATGCACGCCTTGGCAAGAGCCGCCTCGTCTTCAGCTCCGATGACGAGATCACCGCGCAAGAAATGGCACACTAGCTCATCGCGAACAGACTCACAATATGTCTGCTCGCGTTCTGCGTACAATTGCTCTGTATCGGCGAGCATGCGCGACTTGGCGATTTTCAACTCTTGCTCCGAAATTCCGTGCAATCGAATACGCGCGAGTTCGCGAAGTAACGCCTCTAAACCTGTGCTCGCACGGCTCTCCGCGCACGTCGCCTGCACGCTGAGTAAAGTCGTCGTCCTCGTCGCGTCCTCGATGATGCCACCCGCGCTGAAAAATGGGGGCTTTGGTTGACGCATCATGCGATACAATCGATTATCGAGCGCCGTCTTGTAAATATCCTCGACCGTCTTCAAATAATACCCGCGCGGAGTGTCCACCGGAATACTCGCGTACTTGAACGTCACTGTCACCGCCGTCTGCTTCAACTCGCGATCGACGTGCGTCACGACGCGCGGTTCGGAATGCTCCATCGCGGAGTTTTTTGGTCGTTCCATGACTGGATTCTCCGCGGGCTGCCCTTCTTTCGGCTTCAAGTCTTGAAACGTGCTCTCGATCAGGCTCACGACGTCGTCCAGGTCTTGAAAATCTCCAACCGCAATCACCGCCATGCGTTCAGGTCGGTACCATTTGGCGTAAAAGTCTCGCAAAACCTGCGGGTCGGCGTTTTGTATAAAGTCCTCCAATCCGATGGGCGAGCGTTCGGCGTACAACGACCCCTCCATCAACGTCTTCCAATACGCCTCCGCCGCGCGTCCTCGCGCGTCCCGTCCTAAACGCCATTCTTCCATCACGGACCCTCGTTCGCACGCCACATCCTCGTTCGATATCCGCACCGCGCTCGCGAATTCGCTCAAAATATGCATCGACGTCGCCAACACTTCCGCCTTTTGCGTCGGAATCGTCAACTCGTACACCGTCTCATCCATGCTCGTGTACGCGTTCGAGCACGCACCGAATTCCGCCCCGATCGACTCTAAAAAGTTCACAATCGCAAAGTGTTCGTACGATTCCGTGCATCGAAACGCCAGGTGTTCCACCACGTGCGCCGCCCCTCGCTCGCCCTCGCCCTCGAACACCGACCCCGCGTCCACCGCCAGCGCCAGCGCCGCGTGTTCCCTCGGCTTCTGGCTCTCCGCCACGTAGTACGCCATCCCATTTCGCAGCTTTCCGCTCCGCGTGCGCTCGCTCGGTCCGATCGGCAGTCTCTCGCGCGCCGCGGCCGCGTCCCGGACGTCGTACGGAAACTTAAAGTCGCGCGATTCTTGCAAGCCCGCGCTCGACGCGCTCGCGCTCGCCGTCGCCGCGCGTTCGCGCGACGCGTCGTCGTCGTCGTCGTCGTCGTCGTCGTCGTCGCGCGTCGCGTTCGCGCGCGCGTCGGCGTCGTCGCGCGGCATCGGCACTGCGCGACGCCGAGTGATGTCGACGCGTCTCGCGGGCGCGCGCGACGCGCGTCTCGGGCGCGCGCGTCTCGCGGGCGCGCGCGGACGGCGCGCGCGGGACGGCGCGCGTCTCGCGGGCGTCGCGCGCGCGACGCGCGGGCGCGCGGACGGCGGCGCGGACGCGGCGGGACGACGCGCGCGCGAGGACGAGGACGGCGACGGCGACGACGACGACGGGCGCGATGCGCGCGCGCGCGCGGCGATGGACGGTGGACGCGGACGCGCGGTGACGCGACGCGTGCGGCGCGGCGCGCGGCGGGTCGTGCCCGATCGCGCGCGCGCGAGCGGCGGCGCGGACGCGGCGGCGGTTGAGACGTCGAGCGGGACGCGGGACGAGGGACGAGGCGAGACGCCGACGACGCGAGCGACGCCGATGACGGCGGAGAAGAAGAAAATGGGAAAGAAGGAGCGACGAGCGGCGTTCGGACCGAGCGTGGCGTTGAATAAAGAGCTGATGTCGTGTGAGACGTTGGAGGCGTTGGCGGAGACGTCGCGTCGCGTCGCGCGGGACATGTCGGCGGTAAACGTCGCGACGACGTACGGAAAATTGGCCAGGTTCGCGCGAGGGGGACGAGGGAAAGTTAGTGAAGAGATCAAGCGGTCGGAATGGTTCGCCGAACTCGAAGAGCGCGCGATGGAGAAGCTGGGGGAGTGCGAAACCAAGGCGCGCGCCGTCGCGCAAATTGCGTGGGCGTGCGGGTACTTGGATAGGGGTCGACATCTGCATGGTGAAGATGCGTTTTGGGATGAATTAGAGCGGGCTATTGAGAGAGAAATTAGTAAATGCGAGCCACAAGGTGCGAGTAACGTCGCGTGGGCGTACGCAAAGCTTGAGATGCGCATGCCGAACGGCATTCGCAACGCCATAGAAAAGCACATTGTGCAAAATGCGAGTGCGTACAAACCGTTCGAATTGAGCATCACGTTTTGGGCGCTCACGAAGTTTGGAGACATTCCGACGGAGGAAATGCTAGATGTATTCGAGCGCGAGATGCGACTTCAATCGTGTGGTTCACAAGAGCTTACGAACATCGCTTCGGCGTACGCGCGCATCAGCGGACGGAGAGTGCGTCAGGGGACTCAAGGTTTCCTGAAAGAGTTAGCCTCGAATGCTTTCACCATTCTGCACGAATTCGACAACACGGAACTTGCGATGTTTCTCTGGGGGTTGTCAAACGCGGGTTACTACCTGGACGACGACGATGCGATGGAGATATTCAAAGTAGTTGAGAGGCGAGCGAGCGGCGCCAAACGATTGGAGCCACAACAAATTGCCTTGATCACGGGATCGTTTGCGACGTTCACGGACGACGTCACGGTGACGCACTACAATTGCGAGACCGGAAGTCCGCTTTCGCATCTTCGAATGAGTGCGCAAACACGAGCGGCGCTCAAATCCGCGATCGTAGCTCTGGAGAACACCTTTCTGGCCTCCATCGCGAAGTGCAACATGGACGATTTGAGCTACGTAATGTGGGCGTTCGCGCACCTGGAGCATCGGCCCAGTGACGAGTTTGTTCGACGGCTCGAGGAAGAAGCGATCGATAAAATCGAAGAAGCGAGCGCAAAAAATCTATCAAACCTATTGTACGGATTTGGAACGCTAAACTTGGCAGGACTCGGAGTGTTTACGCACGCCATGTTTTGCGTCTCGCAAAAACTGGAAGAGTTTACACCAGTTGGAATCTTCATGGTTTGCTCGGCTTTGGCGAGTAGTAACTACGATCCGGGACCACAGATGATGTTACAGTTCGAAAACAAGCTCATGAAATCGGCGCATGCGTTTGAATCGCAAGATTTCACCGAATTCTTGCGCGTATTCGCGAGGCTTAGGTACATGCTCGCGGACGAAACTTTCGATTTCATCGGCGTAAGCTCGGCGAAGACGCTTGATCGCTTCGACTCATACAGGATAAGCATGACTTTATGGTCGCACGCGACGCTGTGCGCACAGCCTCATGATGCTTTACTCGCGCGGATTGAAGACGAGATTCGAGGTTCTGCGTCCCAGTTCAAACCGCAAAACTTTGTGTTGGCTTTGTGGTCGCTCGTTTTGCTCGGCTCACTGGAAGACGCGCGAGACAGTGTCGTGCGTGTCTTGCACGCGCTCGTCAAACTTCAAGGTGGTGCTTTGACGAGTTCGGAAGACTTGGAGGATGCGCAACTATGCTCTCTCTACATGGCGCGTCTCACTTCTATGGGAAAGCCGTTCGAAGAGCTCATCCTTGGCGTCACGGATGGCGTCGCCGACGAATGCGAGCGTGCCTGGCTCCGCGCAAAGGCTCAAGATCCGACGATTAGCAAAGTTCAGCATCACATCGGCGAAGTACTCCGCGAAATTGGCGCGCAAGATTTTGAGGTTGAAGCGCTCGTGGAGGGCGGCAAGATTCGTTCTGATATCGTATTCCCGAACTCGCGAATCGTCGTTGAAGTCGACGGTCCGCATCACTACAGCCGCGACGCATCCGGTCGTCTTCGCGAGCTCGGTCAAACCGTCATGCGCAACAATCTTTTAAAATCATGGGGTTGGCGTGTCGTCATCGTTCCCTACGCCGATTGGGGCGACATGCTCACCATTGAAGAGAAAGCGTCGTATTTACGTTCTCTCCTCGGCGACGAAGTCTTCGTCGCGTAGCGAAGAGCGAGTTGTTATAGTTGATTCTTCATAGACGTCACTTCGCTCACCGCGCCGCGCGTCGGCGCGCGCGCCGCCGACGCCATCGCGTGCGATGTCGCACCAATCTCGCTCGGGCGCGAAACGCCGCAAAATCGCCGTCGGCGACGATCCGCTGCTTCGAGCGTTTCTCAATCAGTACGCCGGCTGCGCCGTCCCCGACCACGGAAACCCACCTCAGATCGATCGCGTGCGCTACGCCTCGCTCGACGCCGACGCGTTCGAGACGAAATACGTCCTCGGTCGTCGTCCGGTGATCCTCACGGACGCCCTGAGCGACGAGAGCGATCTCGCGGGGGCGAACATGTGGACAAACGCTTTTCTGCGGGACGCGTGCGGCGGCGACGCGTCGACGTCGCGCGTAGAATCGCGCGATGAAGGCGCGAACGAACGGTTCGGACGAGGAAAATATAAATCCATGACGTTCGATGCGTTCATGGATAAGTACGAGGCGCGAGACGGGGGATGGTATCTCTCAGCGGGAGGGAAGGCGGAACCGTTTGCGGCGCCGGGACGGTTGTTGGCGAGCGAGACGGCGAAGTCGAGCAAAGGGAAGCTGCCGTTACGTCCGAAAGGAGTGCCTCGCTCGCTCGTGCCGGCGGATGTGAATTTATGGATGGGTAGGAATTCGACCTCGACGTCGAGCGGTCTGCATCACGATTATCACGACAATTTGTACGTGTTGGTGCGAGGCGAGAAGACTTTCAAAGTGTTTTCTCCGCGCGACGCTGGACGCATGTACACGACTGGGAAGATATGTTGGGTGCACGAGAACGGGCTCATTAATTACAAAGGCGCGAGCACGCTTCAGGATGGCGATGTGGCATTAGCCACGGGGGAGTCCGCGTTGGAGTTTAGATTGCGCAAGGCTCGCGGCGACGAAGATGAAGACGAACCGGCGATCGGCAGTAGCGACGACGATTTCGCCGACTTTGACGGCGTCGATGATTACGATGAACTCAATCAAACTCCAGAACCTTCCGACGACGATTCGGCCGAAGAGGAAAAACGAAAAGACGATGATGACGAAGAGGACCCACCGAGTTTTAGCCGGATCGATTACGACCGTCTCGATGAATTTCCTCTCTTCAAAACCGCGTCGGCGATGGAGTTCACCGTGAAAGCTGGCGAAGCGCTGTACTTACCCACGGGATGGTTCCACGACGTCTCGAGCCGAGATGCAGGCGAAGGACACGTTGCATTCAATTATTGGTTTCATCCACCGCCTCTCGGTGAGGCGTGGGAAGGTCGCCGCGCGCTCTGGGAAGAAGATTTTCAGCGCTCGGTGCTGCCAAAGTTCCAATAGCTCTTAATAGAATTTACAACACATTTTCTACACCGTTTTCACGCCGCGTGCCAGCCTTTTACGCACCCCCTCTCGATCGACGTCATAATGCCAAAGGATTTGATCCTCGTAATATCGCTCTTTCGCAAACGCACCACCACCCATCGCGTCTCGCGCGGCGAGCCACAACCGCCACTGCTCGGGATCTTTCCCGTCGGTCGCGTTGAATCGCTCAACGGCGACGTCGAACGCCGCCTTTGCGTTCGCCAGTGTCTCATCGCTCACCGGACACTTCTCTATCTTCGGCTGCAAGTCCTCTTCGTCCGGCTCTTCGACGTCGTCAAAGACCACCGCCGCTCGAAACGCGCACCACGGCCCGTGCAGCGGATGAATCGACTGATGCGTGTTCTCATCCAACCACGCGCAGTTTGCGACGTGCGCCAAGCGTTGAATGGCGATCACCTTTCCTTCCTCGACGTCCGACGCCCAAAAAATTCGCACTCTACTCGACGAATCCTCCCCCGAACGTCGCTTAAATCCGCGCGCCACCTCAATCGCGTCCGCCGCGGCGTCGCGAACGACGCGTTCGCAATATTCATCCAGCGTCATCGTCCCATCCCTCGCCAACGCGTCCGCGAACGCCGGCCACAGCGCTTTCGAATTTCCAATCAACGCGACCAACGGCGACGTCGCGCGTCCGTCTTCCCTCGCGCCGATCCTCGCCGTCTCCGGCGCCGCCGCGTCGTAATCCGCCGCCGAGCACGCCGCGACGACGTCCAAACCTCTCGCCGCGCACGCGCGCGCCAGCGTCTCCACCACCTCCACCGCGTCGATGTTTTCCATCGCTTCGCGCTCGCGCGTCTCCAGCCGCGCGCGCGCGAGCGTCAGCGCGCCGGCGCCCGCGCCCGCGGCGGCGACCGCGCGCACCGTCCCGCGTCCGCGCGTCGCGAACCACGCGCGCGCCGCGCGATGCCGCGCGACGTGCCGATCGCGCCAACGCCTCGACGCGCGACATCGCGACGCCGCGGCGCGCCGTCGCGACGCGCTGCCGATCGTCGAGCGCGGCGCGCGCGCGACATCGATCGACGCGGCGCGCGAACGCGCGATGGCGCTCGAACGACGCGCGGGCGCGCGCGCGGCGCGTCGGAAATCATCGAAGGCGCGATTGGACGACGGCGAAGCGTCGGCGCCGAGACGACGCGCGCGAGGGGGCGATCGAGGGTCGGCGCGAACGATCGCGACGATCGTCGCGATCGCGCTCTGCGGCGTCGTCGCGGGAACGGCGCGGGCGGCGCGACCGATGACGGGGGGGGGGGGCGAGACGCCGAGGAGGACGCGCGCGGAGCGCGCGCTCGAGGCGTGGGAGACGAAGACGGCGCTTGAACGCGCGCTGCGACACCCGCAGAATGATTTGGAGGTGGACGGTGCGTGTGGGATGGTGCTGAAGAAGCAGTGCTCGCACGTGCGACAGGCGAGGGACCTGGCGGCGGAGGCGTGGCGAAGGGTGCGGTACGAGGAGGAGTTGGCGGCGAAGGCGGCGCGGCGAAGGGAGAAGAAACGAACGATGACGGGCGCGGAGGCGAAGGAAGCGAGCGTTGACGCTGCGGCGGCGTCTATGGAGTCGATCGGGTCCGTGGGTGGGACGAGATCGCTCTTGGCGCGACGCGGCGGCTCGCGCGCGAGCCCGAGCCGAGGCTCCAGAGGATCGCTGAGCGACAGAATGAACAGAGGGCGCGCAGAGCGCGAGTCAAAAGAAGAAGCGAAACGAGAGAAAGAGGAAGCAGAAGCGCAAGCGAAACAAGAAGTCATAGAGAGGGCTGAACAAATGAAGTTTGATGCGCTGAAAAGCTTTCCCAAAGGCACGCTCGCGAACGATCCGGAGAAGCTCGAGAACGACATCGCCGCGGTGGAGGCAAAGCTGAAAGAAGAGCCTGACAATGTCATGTATCAAAAACGCTTGCAAAAGCTGAACGGTGATAAAAAAAGGATGATCAACGCGGCGGGGGATTTGGGCTTCAGAGGTGGCGCCTTGGAAGCAGGCGAACAGAAGGAAGATCACTGGTTCATGAACGACGATCGTGGCGGACGCACGAGCTACCGTAATCGAAACGGTCGACGACACCGCGCGCCGCAACAAAACGCGAAGGATATGTACGACCACCTCATGAAAAAGATTCCAGTAATTTCGAGAAGTTATTTTGATTGCGTCGAATACGTCATCAAGTCTGAAGAGAAGGTTGCGCTGGAAACATTCATGGAGTTCGGAAAACCGGGCGGGCGCAAGAGCATCATAACGAAGGAGTGTCATCAAGAGTATAAGGCTGCGCAAGCTCGAGTGTATGAGTTCTGGCACGCGGAAGAAAAAGTCAAGGACGTGTGCGAGGCGGATATCAAAGAAAATTGCGGAGGAGTGCAGAGTGGATACGGATTGATCACGTCCTGTCTCTGGGACGTCAAGAGCATGCCGTCCGCATCGTTGGCGAAACCGTGCGAAGAATCCCTCAACATACTTCATGTGCCACTGCCGTCTGCACAACCCATCAAGGCGATGAAGAGCAAACAGACCGAGGAAGAGACACACGTCGAAGAAGAAAAGGTGCACGTCGAAGCAAAAAAGGTGCACGTCGAGGAGGAGCGCCCGCACGCTGCAGAAGTGGCGCGTGAGGAAGCGAAGCGAGACGGGGCTAAAGTGATCGAAAAGCCGCAACTCACGCGATCAAATCGACCCACTTCTCAAAAATCTGGCGAAGAACCCGAAAAGGTCGACCAGGACGTCAAACTGAAGCTTCGCGAAGCGGAAGCCAAGATTCAACTCGCTGAGGACGCTGCGGCGCACTCCGCGCAGCAGTCTCGTAATCTCGTCATCGTCATGCTTCTCGCGTGCGCACTGTACGCCGCGAGCCGGAAAACTGTACGCAAGAAATTTTCCAACGCTATTCGTAAATTGCGCCGCGATTCGAAAGGCGAACACCTCGGCTAAGTTGTAGAGTTGTTACACGTTGTACTGTAATACAAGAAACCACGGCTCGCTATTTTTCTCATAGGTCCATCTCGTCAAAGACCATCGAGTCATCGTTACCGAATGATTCTCGGTACGATCCATCGTAGGAATTGTACCCCGTTCCGCCTGTTTGGTCATTCGACTCGTCCAAGTCGAGTTCGTCGTCGGAGTCTAAGTCTAACATCGTCTTTGAAGTCGCGTGCATCGTGAAGTAGAGAATTCTCTTCAGCTTTTTGTTGTAGAAGAAGTAATTGAACGACCACAGATTACCGTCGTCTGTGAACGGATCACCCTCGGCCACGGCTTTGTAAGAATACACGTCGCAATCAAACACTTCGATCGCGGCATCGATCGTCTTCCACAAAACCTCGAGAAAAGGCTCCTCGTTCCCGTACCGCGCCGCCCAAACTTTACTACTCTCCATGAGCAACGTATCTATGTCCGTCTTCACGTCGCTCAGCGTCCCTTCCTTGGTGAAATGCTCCGCGCGCAAACTACTGAAGTCGTAATCCGGATAGATGTGATTCAGAGTCAGTATAAGATAAATTAACGTCTTCCGACTGTTTTGATCCGTCAACGGCCCCACCGGCGACGTGCTCAGGTTCGTCGGCGAGCAGCTCGACACAATCTCCGTCACCACCTCCGCATCGAGCGAGCGCGACAATTTCTTATCAGTGCCCGCTAATTTACCTGCATCACATCACCGTCCATTCGCGTTTCCATCGTCAGTCATCCCGTCCCGCGCCGTCGCGTCGTCCCGTTCGCCCCCTCGCGCTCGCGCGTCCCCTCGCCTCGCCTCGCTTCGCGCACGCACAGCTGTAACTCTCCACCTGTCCGCTCACGACGTAGTCTCCGACGTTCACGTTCGTCAGGAACGCGTTCAACGCCGCCACGTCCGGCTCGACGAGCAATTTCATCCGCGGAGAATGGAACGAAGGCGTTTGGATAACTCGAACGACGACGCGTTCGCGACTTTGGCGTCGCGCGCGCGCGTGACGCCGCTTCGAACGACCGGGCGCTTCGCCGCGGTGACGGTTTCGCTCGTTTCGCGACGGACGACGCCGACGAGAGGCGGCGCGCGCGCGAGTGACGACGGTCGGGTGGGTTGGATAACGACCACCAACGGCACCGGTCGCTCGGCCACCGGGTCGCGCGGGCGCGGGACGGAGCGGTGCGATGTGATGCGACGCGTGTTACAAGGAGGTCAGCGACGACCTCGGTTGGAAGGCTTAGTCTTAGTGTCGTCCGTGGTGAACCGCGCGGCGCCGCGACGACCGCGGTTGGAAGGTTTGGAATCGCGCACGGTGCTCGGCTTGGCGCGAGAACGGCCTCCGGTGCGCCTGTCGCGAGCGTCGGCGATGGATTTTTTCTTGCGAGCTTCGCTCACGGCGCGTGAGCTCGTGGCGTTGTCGATCGGCAGACCGAGCTTGACGGCGTTGTCGATCTCGCTCGCGAGAACGCGGTCCTTTTTGGCGACGAGGTTGGTGACTTTACCGCCGGCGCCCGCGCGAGCGGTGCGACCGGAGCGGTGAATGTAGTCGAGCGAGTTCATGGGGAAGTCAAAGTTCACCACGTGATCGACCTTGACGCGACCAAAATCCAAACCTCTAGCGGCGAGGTCGGTGCACACCATGGTGAGGTTTTCGTCGGCGTCGGCGTCGATGAATTCGCGCATGGCGTCGGCGCGAGCGTCGCTCGTCATGTCGCCGTGGTACTGCACGGTGCGAATATCTGCCTCGAACATGGTGCGCTCGACCGCGATGCACGAGGGAAGCGTGTTGCAAAAGATCATCAGCTTTTTCCCCTGTTTGTGCTCGGGCGCGACGATTTGCTCGAGCACCGTCATCTTGTCCACGTCGCCCGGACAGTCGACGAAGCGGTGCTTGAGCCCTGGCGCGGAGCGATGCAATGAATCCGTCTTAATGTACTGCAAAGCCGGAAGCTCCTCGTCCACGAGCTTCTTTAGTCGATCCGGCATGGTGGCCGAGACGAGGACGCACGTCTTTCCCTCTGGACGCGCCTTGAGTGGTCGTAACAACCGCTTTACCTCGTCGCCAAATCCGGCTTCAAAGAGCGTGTCCGCCTCGTCCAACACCATCGCGTCCACGCTCCCCAAGAATAAGTTCCCCTGATCGACGTGCTTGATCAATCGACCCGGAGTCCCGATCACGACATCGATCGCGGAGTCTAACCGCTCCTTTTGCGTCCCTAAACGTCTACCTCCGACGACTAAATACGAACTAAATTTCGCCACGTGACTCAACGCCTTCGCCACCTCCGCGACTTGTTCCGCCAGCTCTCGCGTCGGGCACGCCACGACCACTTTCGGTCTCTTCGGTTTCGCCAACCGATCCCCCGCCGCGATCTCCGCCGCCTTCATGCGTTGAATCACCGGCAACAAGTACGCCAACGTCTTCCCGCTCCCCGTGTGCGACGCGACGAACGCGTTCCCCGCCCCTCGACCGATGACATCGATCGCCTTCGTCTGTATCTCCGTAGGTTCCACGATGTTCATGTTCTCCAGCGCCCGTCGCAGGCTCTCGTCCGTCAATCCCGCGTCCTCGAACGTCCCTCGCGTCGTCGTCGCCGTCCCTCGCGCCGTCCCTCGCGCCTCCCCGCGCCGCGTCCCGACCGTCGTCGCGCTCGCGCCCGCGTCCGCGCGCGTCCACGCCACCGCGCCGCGCGTCCACGTCCGCGCGCGTCCGCGCGTCGCCGTTCGCGCCGTCGCCGTCGCCGTCGCCGTCGCCGTCGCCGTCGGTCGCGCCGCCGCCGCCGCCGCGCGCATTCGTCGCGTCGCGCCGCACGCGCGACGCGCGAGCGCGAGCATGCGCGGTCGCGCGAGCGATGCGCGCGTCGTCGTCGTCGTCGTCGTCGTCGTCGTCGTCGTCGCGGCGCGCGCGCGAGTGGCGCCACTCCGCGGCGCCGAAGATTGGATTCGTTTCGTCATGACGGCGCGCGCGCGCGACGGTGACCTGGACACCGCGCGCGCGCGGTCGACGCGCGACGACGATGACGACGACGATCGCGCGCGACGCGCGGGGTCGTGCTCGGTCGCGGGACGCGCGCGAGGTCGAGACGAACGCTCGCGGGAGGCGGACGACGACGATTCGAACGCGCGGACGACGCGGCGACGACGCGATGACTCGCGCGATCGCGACGCGCGAGACGGCGCTCGCGACGACGCGCGCGCGGGCGCGGGCGCGCGGGCGGCGCTCGCGAGACCGGGCGATGGAGGGACGTACGGCGGCGTCGGCGCGGCGGCGGCGGAGGACGCGCCGAAGGTTCCGAAGGAGGAAGCGAACTTTGCGCTGAGCGGATTGCTCGCCGCGGAGACGAACTCGGTGCGAGGGGTGGCGCTGAAACATAGCGAGCCGCTGGGGGAGGCAAAACCGCCGAGCGCGGCGTGGCGGTTGTATTGCTTCAAGGGGGACGTCGAGTGCGAGCCGCCGTACAAGTTGTCCGGTTCGAAGACGAGTTATCTGATTGGACGCGATCGAGCGGTGGTGGATATTCCGAGCGACCACCCGAGCTGTTCGAAGCAGCACTGCGTGATTCAGTTTCGAGATTTAGACGACGGGCGCGGGAGCGAACCGTACGCGTACGATTTGGGAAGCGCGAACGGGACGCGCGTGAACAAGCGCGCGATCGAAGCCAAAGCGTACGTGCGGTTAAAGTCCAAGGACGTCATCAAGTTTGCTCACAGCTCGAGAGATTACGTATTACTGCGTGAAGACGTCGTGGAATCTTGAGACCGCGCCGCGCGCGCGCGCGCGCTCGTAGTATTAGTCGAGCGTCGCGTCCGCCGGAAACGAAACGTAATTCATCCTTCGTCCTCCTCCTCCGCGTCGTCGCGATACGCCTCGTCCTCACCCTCGCGCGCCTCCTCGTCTTCTCCGACGTACGCCTCGTCGTCTTCCTCGTCGACGTATTCTTCCTCCTCCTCCTCCTCCTCCTCCTCCTCCTCCGCGAACGCCTCGCCGTCTTCGTCCTCGTAGTAATAATACGCCTCCGTCTCCTCGTCGTACCACACCGCGCGCCCGTCTTCGTCCACCAGCGTCTCCTCCTCCTCCTCCTCCTCCTCCTCGTCCTCGTCCTCGTCCGAGGACCGGTCGAACAGCGCGAGCACGCCGAACGTCGTCAGCGCGTTCACGAACTCTCGTCGACGAAACCCAAACGTCGCCTTCGCGCGCGGCGTCGCGCGCGTCGCGCGCGTCGCGCGCGTCGACGCGCGCGCCTTCGCCTCGGCGCGCGTCCGAGCGCGCGCGGGCGTCGCGCGCGCGCGCGCGACGACGAACATGCCGCGCGTCCGCGTCTGACGCGTCGGCTAACGAACTCTCTCTCTCGCGCGCGGCACTGCGCCGCGATCGCGTCGCGCGCGCTCGAGCGCGGACGACGCGATGCGCGCGAACGCCGCGCGCGCGACGCGCGACGCGACGGCGCGCGACGACGGCTGGCACGACGTCTGCGGCGTCGAAGAGGTGTCCCGGTCGAACGCGCGGCGCGCGGTGTGCGTCGCGGGACGACACCTCGCGCTCGTGCGCGCGCCGGCGCCGAGCGCGCGCTTGCACGCGATCGACGCGACGTGCTATCACATGGGCGGACCGCTGCTGTGGGCGGAGATCGAGGAGGTGCCGGGGCGAGGGGCGTGCGCGGTGTGCCCGTGGCACCGGTATCACGTCGCGCTGACGACGGGCGAACGCGTGTACAGAGATTTGAACGGTGAATACGTCGGGATCGCGCGAAAACAGCGCGTGCACGAAGTGAGGGAAGATGATGCGTCGGGACGGGTGTTGGTGCGGCTGAGTCGAGACGAGGAGGCGTGGGAGAGCGATCGGTACGCGATGAAGGCGCCGCCGCCGGCGTCGGCGGGGACGGGCGCGGGACCGAGGTCTGGGCACGTGTTCGCGGCAGGACGAGGACGCGGAGGGATTATAGGAGGTGGGTTCGATCGAGGAGAGTGCGGACCGGGGGCGAGGACGAGCGGCGTGCGGTCGATGGTGGCGCAGACGATGCGCGGCGGCGACGGCGTCGCGCCGTGGGCGATGACGGGGAGCGGCGGCGATTCGTCGTTGGGCGCGTTCGGTGCGAGCGCGATGAGCGTGCGACGTGTTCGTAAAAAGGTGACGTTCAGCGGGGAAGGCGACGGCGCGAGCGAAGACGATGGCGATGGAATCGAAGAAAGTTAAGGCGGCTGACGTTTGCGTCGGCGAGGTCGCCTCGAATGTAACGGTTCGCCATCTCGAGCGGGTCTCGTCGTGACATGCTCGCGCGCGCAGATGAAGAAATGTCATCGGGGTTATGTCTCGGTACGGATAATTGTAGGCGCCCTCGGCGCGCTCGTCTTGCCTATACGGAGCAGCTTGGCGCAAACTTGTCGCGAGTGCGACGACTCGACGCGACCTTGCGCGAGGTGCAGCATAGATGTCGCGTACGCCACGGAGCTCTCGGCAGAGAGCGACGACGATGATTTAAATCTATTCACCGGTACGTTTACAATGACGAGTGTTCATCCAGAGGCACTGGCGAGCTGGCAAGTCGCTTGGATCTTTCCGAACGGGCAGGGCGTGCACGAAGGCAGAGTCGAGGACGCGTTGCTCATCAATCCAGGCGGGCCTTCAGGGCAGCCAGCACGCGTCGTAAATCAACTTGGCATCCCTCGAAGACAATTTTCATTCACTGGCTACGTCACAAATGGCGACATTCCCTCGAACATCCTTCGAGTCGCCGTGAACGGTGTCTGGTGCAACTCGCCGGTCTTTATGGAGAACTCCGCCGTGAGCTTCATCGATGACGGAACGTGTGCTCGGAGAGAGTACCAGTTCTGCTGTGGACGAGTAGTCCCATCGCCTCCACCGTTTCCTCCACCAGCGCCACCGGCGCCGCCAAAACCACCGACAGTCGTCGCGCAGGGTGGACCAACAGTCGTCGCGCAGGGTGGCGTCATCGCACAAGCGGCGGCGGGCGGCACGGCGTGGTTAAGAAACGGAAGCACGATGAGCGCGCTTCTCGTCGCTTGTCTGGTCGTCTTAGTATTCATGATTGAAATTATCCGTCAGTTGATATCGTGCATGTTTGGTAAAGACGACGATGTGCCGCTCGCAAACGTCGACGTCGATGAAATCATCGCGCCGGCGAAGCGTAAAAATACACTCATGTTACCGGGTCAATGCTTCAGAACAAAAGATTACGATTTGGAGGGCGTGGTCGCTCGCGCTGGTGATGATACGGCTCGTATAAACACTGGCTCACATCCATCGCGTCGAGGCGCAAAGAAAACTACCAACGGTGATTTATTCGAAGCGTCGCTCGCGACGTACGCGGAGAGCGCAAAGGATGCGAATACGGTTTCCGACGACGACGACGACGTCGTTGAAATTCATCTCAGCAACATCAAACTCGGAAGACTAATTGGTCAGGGCGCTTACGGTGCGGTGTACGTGGGAAAGTGGAACAAACGCGTCGTCGCGGTGAAAAAGTTACACGGTGTCCCACCCGGTGCTGGAAAGAGCGATTTGAAGACGTTCGTGAGAGAAGTCGCCGTGTTGAGCGCGGTGCGACATCCAAAAATCGTGCGCATGTTTGGAGCGTGTCTCAAGCTGCCGCATCTTTGTATAGTCGAGGAAATGATGGACGGAGGAAGCTTGCACGCGCTTCTTCACCAAGACAAGCAGTACGACGTGAGTCTAGACGACGTCGTGAGGATAGCGCTCGACGTAGCGCAGGCGATGGCGTATTTGCACTCCAGATGCATCGTTCACCGAGACTTGAAATCGCACAACGTGCTTCTCAACGGCCGTGGCGCCAAAGTTGCGGATTTCGGCATCGCGCGCGCGCTTGAGCGGACGTTGCTCAGCGCCGGCGGTTCGGCGACGAGCGCCGGCGGCGCGTCCGCCGGAACCGCCGGAACGCCCGCGTACATGGCTCCAGAGCTTTTTCACGGCGACGCCGACGCGGTGACGACCAAATGCGACGTCTTCTCCTTCTCCGTCCTTCTGTGGGAATCACTCGCGCGGTCGATCCCCTGGGAGTGGTTCGCGAACCACATGCAAATCATCTTCGCCGTCGCCATCCAATCGCAGCGTCTACCGCTGGACGCGCCGCCGTTCGCGCGCGACGACGTCGTCGTCCGCGCGTTGGTCGACGACGTCATCGTGCCCGCTTGGCAAACCGCCCCCGACGCTCGACCGGATTTCACCGAGCTCATCGTCGTCTTAAACCGAGCCCTGCGCGAGCTGCTAGCCGAAAGTCGCGTCGCCGTAGATTCGCGCTAGAGCTCTGCAAGCGCGCAACCAACCGAACCGAACCATCACATCGCGCCGTCGCGCGCGCGATGCCGTCGCGCCCGCGCCGCGCACGCCGCGCGCGGCGATGGTGCGTCGTCGCGCTCGCCGCGGCGTGCGCGTGCGCGCTCGTCGTCGCGCGCGCGCGCGTTGTCGACGCGAGCGCGTCGTCGAACGTCGAGCGCGCGCGCGCGCGCCTGCGCGAGGCGCGCGAGGCGGCGGCGGCGCGCGGGGACGTCGAGGCGGCGCGCGAAGGCGACGATGACGGCGAGGAGGACGACGAGGAAGAACCGGGATTTCGCTCGGACGACGACGGCGAGGACGAGGACGAAGGCGGATTCGTCGGGACGTACGACGCGTGCGATACGTGCGAGGCGTGCGCGCTCGGCGACGCGCCAGACGGCGTGGCGTTGAACGCGCCGACGAAGAAGACGAAGCGGAAAGTGCACTGTAAGACGTGTTACGGATGTAACGTGTTGATCGGGCGCATGGAACAACGGGCGACGTTTAGGGATGACGCGGTCGACGTACCGCACGGCGCGAGCGGCGCGCCGGTGTGGAAAGGGAAAATCATGGATGGCGATTTCTTCAGCGGCGGCGGCGACGGCGAGAACGGTGAGGTGCTCGATGTGTTCGTCAAGGCGTGGTGTGGGGTGAGAGGCGATTACAAGCGACTCATATGGACGAAAGATACGGTGAGCGAAACGTGCAGCGACAGGGTGACGAGTCATCCGACGTTTACGAAGGGGCCGTTTTGTTCAGCGGAGCGCGGCATGGCTAAGAGGACGTTTTGTAACGGAGCGTTTCTGGGCGCCCTGGATAAGATATCACACGAAGCGGGGTTGAGCGATGTGATTCCACGCGCTAAGTATATGCGGGCCAAAACTTTCGCACCCTGGGATGAGGGGAAGGAGACGTCGTCGGGTGTGAAGCAAGACATGGACGTCATGGTCTTTGGCGCGGCGCCAGGCGTCGGATTTGAATCTCTTGGTCCAAGGATAACGCCAACGCTGTTGGAGTTACTTCGCAAAATAGACCCAGATAGGATACTCAAATTGGCACTTTTTGATTTGCTGACCTCACAAGGCGATAGGCACGGTCAGAACATATTCATCACGGAGGATGGTCTAATTCACGGCATCGATAACGAGAGCTCGATGCGTAACCAATTGAATTCGATGCTTATTCCTGGAGGCCAAAAGTTCGAAACCTACCGGGTTGGCTTCATACATACGGTCTGTTCGTTGCGGAACAACTGTGATACCGCGCGGCCCTCCCCTTCAACTCTCGGTGCGATGCTCGATTATCGATGCTACGTCGACGGAGGGTCGATCGGTAAAAAGTATCCAAAGCAGTTTGAAGAATTCTTGCGAAAAGTGGACGCAATGGAAGAAGAAGAAGTGTACGAGTACTTTGGTATGGCTACTCCCGAGTTTGCCACGAAATTCAAGGCGCGCGTGCACGACTTGTTGGACCTCGGATTCGAGCGCACGGCGAAAAAATTGTACGCCGGCATGCTCCCAGGCGATGGACGTTTTGGAAACTTTCAATACGTCATTCAACCCCCGTGCTGCGGTCCGTCGATGTGTAAGCTGGACATCATCGGTTTCTCTCAGGAAGAATCACAGTCGTGCATTCACTCGTGCGACGTACCAATCGATCCAGATTTTGTCGGAGCGAACACCCCCAACGCTTCGAACGCGTCCGCAGCGGCGAACGTCGGCGGCATAGATCCCACCCCGAGCGCCGAGCTCACGTCTTCACCACCACCATCGCTGTCGACCGCGTCCCGCGACGACGCCATCGCTGCGCTCAAATCCAAAATCGACGACCTCACGAAGACGCTCGAAAAGCTTCGACAAGTCGACGACACGATCGAAAAATCGTAGCGCGCGCCTCGCTGTAACACAATTCCCGATTTCCCTCCGCGCGCGACGATCGCGTCCGCGCGCCGACGACGTTCGCCGACGAACGACGATGGACGCGCGACCTCGAGCGGCGACGCTCGCTCGAGGGACCAACCCTCGCGCGCGACGTCGTCAGTTCGTCGCGCGCGGTGCGATGCGCGCGATTTCGCCGCACCGCGCGACGACAACGTCGGCATCCGCACCGTCGACGCGTCGTCGCGCGCCGCGGGTCGCGCGCGCGTCGGCGCGCTCGCGCGTCGGCGCCGTCGGTGGGGCTGTCGCGCGTGACGAAAGCATTGAACGCGGCGCGAGCGCGCGCGCGCGCGCGCGCGAGGCGGACGACGACGAGAGCAAAGACGATGCGTGGGACGACGGTGCGTGGGACGACGACCCCGACGTGGACGCGAAGCGGAAGGAATTGCTCGTCGATACGTCGTCGTCGCCGCTGCGGGAAATCTTCAGCGTCGAGGCGCTGCGAGACGCGAGCGAGAGTGGAACTCGACTCGAACGAGTCGTCGGCGCTGAATTCGTGCCACAAGCGATCATAGAGGCGGAGCGGAAGTCGTCGCCGCTGAGACGGCCGAGGTTGGTGGTGTACGCGCTGAGCGCGAGCGCGGCGGCGGCGCAGGCGGTGATGATTGCGATGGAGCCGGGGAGTTTTGAGTCGCCCGTGGCGAGCGCGCTGAGCGATGCGTGCGTGATGATCATAGGGAGTTTATTATGGCGCGTGGAGTTGCAGCAGAGGGCGGATACGTTGAGGTTGATTTGGGAAAAGGCGAAGGAGAGAGAGGAGAGCTTGACGCGAGCGGAGGCGGGGATGGGCGATACCATTTGGACGGCGAGAGTGCGGAGAAAGGCGAAAAAGAGGGCGGAGGAACGAAGAGACGCCGACGACGCGGATTCGTCGCCACCTTGAGATCGATTAGCACGGATTTTATCGCACGCAACGCCGCAGATCATTAGCCGAGATTTTTGTTATTGGATGACGACTTTATGAAACTTGATTTGACTTTATTAAACTTCAAAAAACTTGCGTCACACGGCTTTCGCGAGCGCCTTACATTTGCAGCGTCGGTTCTTGGCCCGGGATAAGTTGGAAAGACGGCGTCGACTTCGCGATCTCGAGCTCTTCCTCGTTCATGTCCGCCTCGATCGAGTCGTAAAGTGGCGTGCTCATGTAACGCTCAGACGTATCCGGCAACATCGCCAAGATCACCGAGCCCTTCGGCGCCTTTTCGGCAACCTTGAGCGCACCGGCGAACGTGGCGCCACCAGAAATACCGGTGAAGATACCTTCGCTTCTCGCCAACGCTTGCGCCGTCTTGACGGCGTCGCCGCCTTCGATCTTCACGAGTTCGTCGTAGAGGTTCATGTTCAAACCATTTTCGAGAACCAAAGGGATGAAATCGGGCGTCCAACCTTGCACAGGGTGCGCCGCGAACGCCGGATGAGACCCATTCGGGGCGCCCGTGGGCTTACGCTCGGTCTTGATGCCGGAAGTCACCAACGCCGCGGCTTCGGGTTCGAGCAAAATCACCTTGGTGTCCGGACGAGATTCCTTGAGCGTTCGCGCGACGCCCTGGAACGTACCGCCGGTGCCGTAACCGGTGACGAAATAGTCGAGCTTCTTACCCGCGAAGTCTCGCAAGATTTCCGGCCCCGTAGTCGAGGCGTGGTACGCGGGATTGGCTTCGTTCTCGAATTGTCGGCACAAAAACCAACCATTCTTTTCCGCCAATTCCTCCGCCTTGGCCACCATCCCCGTACCTTTACCCCCCTTCGGCGTCACGATGACTTTCGCGCCGAGCATGCGCATGATCTTCCGACGTTCCACAGAAAACGGCTCGGCCATGCAGATGACGCATCTGTAGCCGCGTTGAGCGCACGCCATTGCCACCGCGATCCCGGTGTTGCCCGAAGTCGCCTCCACCACCGTATCCCCCGGCTTCAACAACCCCCGTCGTTCGGCATCCGTGATCACCGCCACCGCCAATCGATCCTTCACGCTGCTCAACGGATTAAAATACTCGCACTTGACGTACATATCGATCCCCGCCGGCGCCAGTCGGTTGACCTTGATCACCGGCGTGTCCCCGACCGTCTCGAGAATATTTTCATAAATCCGCGCCCGCGGCGTCGTTCGCGCCCTATCGCGTCGCTCGCATCGCCCTCTCTTCGTCGTCGTCACCGTCGCGCGCGCGTGATGCGCTCGCATCGTCATCCCGCGCGTCGTCGTCATCCTTCGATCGCGACGCGCGTCGATTGCGTTACTTTTTACGTCGCTTTAATTCACCGAACGCTCGCGTCGAAAACCGCGCGTGTCGCGTCGCTTCACGTCGCGTCGTCCGTCGCGCGGCGTCGCCGAGCGTCGCCGTGTGCGCGCGCGTCGCGCAGTCTTCCATCGATCGAGCGATCGCGTCCGATATCCGTGTGTGAGATTCAGTCTTAAAATACATACGACTCCGTGTGTGAGATTCAGTCTCACTCGTCGACCGCCCGCGCGCGCCCGTTTGAATTCGAATTCGAATCGCGCGACGACGACACACGCGGACGACCGCGCGCGCAAGGCGATGTCGGACGACGAGCGGGACGAGGAGATGACGGCGATGGAGCTGGCGAAACGATTGGCGCCGGCGTTCGCGAAGATGGCGGAGGCGGCGCACGAAGCGTCGGGAATGCTGTCGAAATTCGCAAAGATTCCGAACGAATCGACGCTCGTGAAGCGCGGACGCGGGATGGACAGCGAGGGAAAGCGGCTGACGAAGGCGCAGAAGCGCGAATTGAAACCGCCGCGCGCGCCGACGGCGTTCAACATGTTCATGAAGGATGAGGTGCAACGCGTGCGGGTGGAGCGAGGAGACCTGAGCCCGAAGGAGGTGTTCACGGAGTGCGCGCGACGCTGGAGAGAGAAAAAGTCGAGGACGCAGGGAAGCCTGCAGGGCGGTGGGTCGCTGAACCCGGTGTCCACGCCCCCGGCGATGAAGGACAAGCACAAGAAGGACAAGTCGCACAAAAAGGATAAGAAGAATAAGGACAAGTGAGCGAATTGAAGCATTCTTCGCGCCGACGCGCGACGTCGGCGACGCGACGATCGACGTCGACGCCGCGCGGGTTCGGCGAACGAGGGAAATAAATTTTGAACAATTAGTGACGATCGCCTAGGCCTCGTTTTAATCGATGTGTACGCAGTAAAGTTTCGAATCGAATCCTCGCCGTCGGCGTCGCGCGCTCGAGGTTTGGTCGAAGTCGCGCGCGAGACGCGCCGCAGTTCGCGCCGCATCTCGCGCGCGCGCGTCGTCGCGACTCGGCGTCGGGCGTCTCAAACGCCATCAGGCGTGTCAAACGTCGATCGTCGTCTCGCGCGCGCCGAGCGACGCGGTGAAAGCGTCGTTTCCGCCGTCATGGATTTCGTACAAGACGTCACCCCCGAACTCGCGTCGTCGCGGTTCGGCGTCGCGAGCGCGTCGAACGCGAGCGCGGGCGCGAGCGCGGGTGGCGCGCTCGGTGGCGCGTCCGCGGACGGGGCGCGAAAGAGCGGACGGGCGCGGAAGATCAGTAAGGCGCTGCGAAGGGTGGACGCGGCGACGCGCGCCGAGGTGGCGGCGGCGCGCTTGGACTCGTTCGAATCCGACGTCGCCATCGTTCCCGGCACCACCGGCGAGGGCGAGGGGGAAGACGAAGACGACGATGAATTCGTGTTCAACGAAAACGCACGCGATGGGGAGGCGGTGATCGTGAAAGGAAAAAAGAAGGCGGGCAAACGCACGACGCGAGGCGTGGCGGAGAACAGACGGGCGGTGGCGGCGCGCACCTTCAACGCCCTGCTCGAGCAGAGCTTCATCGATCGCGCGCCTGAGGGTACGCCGACGTATCTCACCGCCGCGGCGGGACCGTCGAAGGCGGGCGCGCCGAGGAAGTTTTGTAGCGTGTGCGGGTTTCAAGCGCCGTACGGCTGCGCTCGCTGCGGGATGCGCTTTTGCTCGAAAAAGTGCTCCGCCGTGCACGCGGAGACGCGGTGCTTGAAAATGGTGGGATAGCTCTAGCGATGTGCACGTAATAGACAGATACGCGTGGATTCAACACGACTACGAACACCACGCACCGACGCCGCGTCGACCCGAAAGAAAAGAGGATGCGGCGGGGAAAAAACGCTCGATAAAACGCACGACGCACGACGCGACGTCAGTGTGAAGCGCGACGACGCGGGCTCGCGCGAGGCCGGGATGCAGAGCTTGACGGATGCGAGCGTGGTGCGTGCGATGCGTGCGCGCGTTCGTTCGATCGCGACGCGCGCGCGGCGTCGGTGCGACTGACGCGATTCGATTTCGACTCGCCGCGCGCCGCGCAGGTTGGGCTGCCGAACGATGAGTTGTTTCGTCGCGCGAAACGCATCAAGTTTCGAGGAGTGTACAAGACGCCGTCTCAAGTCACGGACGGGGAGTGTCATCTGTACGTTTTGTGCGAGGCGCAGAGGTTCAACGCGCAGCTGCCGCTGACGGCGACGAGCGACGGAGGCGGTGAGGACGCCGCTGGGCAATCGAAATCGAGGACGCGGATGTTTGCGAGCGAGGACTTTCACTTGTTAGGACACATCGACGCGTTTACGAATCTGCGATCTTTGCAGCTGCACGCAAACGCGCGCCTGCGGCGGAAGAAAGGGATGTATTACGTCATACAGATTGACGGTGCCAAGTTGACCGACGTGTCAGACATCACCGTGGTGGAGGACGAAGACGAACCGAGCGCGGCGCCGGACGAAAAGGTGCTCGCGCACGATCGATGGGGGTCTACGTCGGATACTGGTGATCGCGTGCGCGTGCACGGGCTGATAAACGCCGAGGCAATCGATAGAATCTGGGTCGCCGATCGCGCGGGCGAATTCGGCGACGCCGGCGCCTTTATCGATTGCACTCCGCCCGGAGGACACAACGTTCCGCAAGGAATGCGACTGGACGATCGATGTGATGATAAACAACAATAGACTACTACCTCCCCTCTTCGTCTGCCACGGGAAACGGCCACGCGTGCAAAAGCGCGTCTTCGGATCGTCCGGGGTGGTACGTCCATCGTCCAAGCTTCGTCAACGCACGCTGCTCATCCATGCGCACCACAGCGGCGGCCCACGCACGATAGATACTCTCATGCTTCTGCACATGCGGCGACACACTGGCGTACATTTTATACGTCAAACGAGACGCCTTCATGGACTCGGCGTAACGCGATTTGGCATACATGCCCAAAAATTGCAACGACGCGCCGACCATGTATGACTGCTCTGTTCGTTCTTCATCGTTTCCTTCTAAAAGCATCAACTGCTCTTCGTCATCAAAGTCGGCTTCTATGAGCGCCGTCATCTCTTCCGGCTTAAGCGTGAGCAAACGCATCGCGATTAAAAGTTTATCGCTCGGGCGTCCAGTCCGGTGCACGAAGAATCTCGTGCTGAGCTCCTCGTCCGCCAAACCGCGAGACTCGAGCCATGCTAAACGAAGCGGCAGCTCGTCCACAACGAGCGGATTTGCCCCCATGGCAGCCTGAATCACCTCGGCCAAGCCTACCGTGGTACCACCGTGCGGGTTCCGCGGCAAAACGAAGCCGTATCGTCGCAACAGCTCGGCGTTTCGCAGCGGCCCGTACGTGTTGAACACTTCCTCGCCCTTCTTCACTCCACGCACGGTAATCATTTGCAAGCATCCATTCTTTTGATCGTGATGCAGCCGCACCGAAGCCTCGCACGGTGGCGCGTGATTGAGCATGTCCCAGAACGGAACCATGGCCTGAATCTCGTCGTCGCCAAGGGTGAACGAGTACCCCGCCACCATCGCCGTCGCCGCGAAATGAAGTTCGCGCAGCGCTTCCACAGAAAGTCCGCTCGCCAGTTTTGGAAAGAGCTTGAAAAACAGTGTAACAACGTTTTCAAAATGCTCCTCCGTCATCATCGGAAGGTCGAGCGTCTCGTCGTCGTTTTCGTACGCGTCTCGCCACGCGTCCGTGCCGAAGAGCGCCGTCACCTGTTCGTCGTCCCACGCCAACACGGAGTGTCCGACGCGCACGGCCTCGTGCACGGTCTCCAAATACTCACACCACGCGCTCGACTTACCCGCGCACATCTCGCACATCACCGCGATGACCAACAGCTCTTTATCCAGCCGCGGCGACGGCGCCTCGTCGTCCCCGTCGCCGACGAACTCCCCCAATTCCTTCTTCACCGCGCACGCATCCACCGTGAGCACGGCATCGTCCGGAACGCTCACGACGACTTCACCGACGCGCAAATCACGCGTCGCTCGCACGCCGCGCCCCGTGCGCGCGAATCGCGCCACCTCCACGCCGTCGAGCTCAACTTTGTTGTCCCGAAGCCACTTCGCAAAGGCGCCGCCGCCGCCGCCGCCCGCGTCGCGCCCGCGCGCTTCCGCCGCGCGCTTCCCCGCGGACTTCGAAGACGCGGGTTTGGACGTCATCACCGCGTCGTCTCGGCGGTCGCCGCGGTCGCTCGCGCGCGCGTGTGACGCGGAGTTTTTATGCGCAAAAAGTGACACTTTTTGACGTCACTTCGCGGTCGTCATGACGCGCGTCGTCGCGTCGCCAGCCGTCGCCGCGCGCGCGGCGTCGAGCGATCGCGTCTCGCGGTCGCGGCGCGCGTCGACGAGCGCCGCGACGTCGCGACGCGATAGGACGATGACGCGGACGAATGTATGGAGACGAATCAGTGACTTTGTCACCGCCGTCGTCGATCCGGCGCTCGACGCCGTGGACGGCGGTGAAGACGACGGACTCGGACCTTCATCGCCCGAAGTCGCGCTCGCGACGTACCTGAGAGTGGAGAGCGCGGCGCAGCGCGAGGCGATGGTGCGAGGCGGGGCGCTCGCGGCGGCGCCGGCGGCGCGAAGGATAATTACGAATGACGACGCGCGCGACGCCGCGGCGGTGTTGAAGCGCGATGGGGCGGTATTTTTGAAAGATGTCGTCCCGCACGATGCGTGTGATGCGGTGCTCGGGGAGTTGAACGTGATTTGTGATTCCGTCAAGGCGACGTACGGGGACGCGTTGCGGCGCACCGACGTCAAGCTCGGATTCGATGGGGCCACGCGTGATTTGCTGTTGCGAGCGTGCGGTCGAGGAGGGGTGAATTCGATATTAGAGCACGTCGAAGACGCAACTGCGGAGGCGATGATGGTGGAGATGAGCGTGCTGGCGACAGAACGAGGGGCGGATAGACAAGTTTTGCATCCGGATGTGGCGTTCGACGCGCCGCACGCGCCGCTGTATTCTTTGTTCATAGCGCTACAAGACGTCATCCCGGAGATGGGACCGACGTGTTTTGTGCTCGGCACGCAAGACAAGGCGTCACACGACGCGTTTCCGGTGACGAAGTGGAACGAAGAACAGTTTGCGCGACTCGCCAAATCGAGGTGTTGCGACGCCGAGTTGCGTAAAGGCGATGCCGTGTTGTACGATGCGCGCACATTTCACCAAGGCGGTGCGAACGAATACGGGCGTCGCGCGTTGATGACGCTGACGTTTTTGAAACCTCCCATTCCTGACGCCCCGACGCGTAGAAATGCGGGCGCGGAGTGGAGCATACGAAGCGACGTCTTCGACATGCGCCTCACGGCGGGACGCATGGCGTCCATGGATTCGTCGTCGTATAATCATTAAACATCTTAAGCCAATAAATCTGCGAGCGTGTACTTGTCACGCAACTCGGTTCTAATCGTGCTAATCGCGGCGTTTGGATTGTCGCCGTCCGCTCGTTGAAACGAAAAGTAAAACAACACTCGTCGTCGCGAGCTGTCGTTTTCCGTTCCGCAGTGCAACGTTCTGCTATCAAACAAAGTCGCATCGCCGCGAGAGATGACGCCGAGCTCGTACGGTCGACGAAACACTGGCCCTTCGCGTTCGTTACCCTCCCTAAATTCGACGTGCGCCTGCGCGTTGTTCGTTCCTGGGATGAACAGCGTCGGACCCATGTCTCGCTCGACGTCCTGCAGCGCCACGAAGCACGTGAACACGGAGGGATCTCTCCTGTACGCCGTGTCCGGGTGCACCGGCTGTCGCGTCGACCCCGGGTCGCTCACCAACGCCGCGAGCTCGACGAGTTTCGCATCCGCGCCGCACACCGCCGTCAGCGCTTCCCCCATCGACGCCACGCACTCCCGCAGCGCCGCGCGCACGGGCGCGTCGTACGCGAGTTTCAAATCCCACCTATTCTTCTTGCAATACACGTTCCCGAACGACTCCACGGATAAATTCCTCCCATCCCCTCCCGCGTCGTTCGTCCGCAGCGTCTCGCGCACGTACGCCTCCGTCGCCCTCGCCGTGTCCTCCCGCATCACTCCGTTCACTCGCGCCACCCCTCGCGCGGCGACGTCGCGCCTCACCGCCTCCGCGCTCGCCTCGCTCGCCTCGATCTTCTCCCACGCCGCGTCCGCCATCGCGTCCGCCTGCGCGCGCACTTTATCCGCGAGCGCCGCCTCGCGCGCGTCCGTCTCGCGCTCCAGGCTCATCGCCATCCCCGCCGCGCCCGCGACGAGCGCCACCGCGCTCGCCACCGCGCTCGCGACGCCGTCGTCCGGCGCGCGCGCCTCGAACCGTTCCGCCGCGCTCGCGCCGAGCGTCCCGACGAGCGCGACGACGCGCGCGACGTCCGCGAGCGCGCGCGCGCCGGCGTCGCGACGCGTCGCGGCGCGTCCATCGCGCGCCGCGCGCCGCGCGCGCGCGCGCCGTCGCGCGCGCGGCGGCGCGCGCGACGCCGACGCCGACGATCGCATCGCGACGACCGCGCGCGCGCGAATCGACGAGCGCGCGGTGCAGTGATGGATTGGCGACCGGAGACGCGCGCTTTACACATACCGACGCGCGGCGCGCTCGCTCGGGCCCGTCCGAGCGCTCGCGAACGGCGCGGGAAGCGATTTCGAAGACGCGACGAACGCGCCGTCGTGTCCGCCGCACGCGGCGCGCGTCGAGATTCGTTTCGCGGTGAAGTCGACGCCGATGTGCTCGATGAATGACTCGATGGATCTGTCGCGCCCGGCGCCGTAGGCGCGCGTGAAACGCACGGGATCGTCCCGGGAGGTCTGCGAGCTGTCGTCCGCGGCGGCGACCAACTGCAGGACGCGCCGGCGCGAGAGTAAATTGAGAAATTCTCGCCGCGCCGCGTCGGATTCGTTACCGACGCCGAAACGCGCGTCGGCGTACAGCATTTTACCCGAACGGTGATCTTCCATCCACATCGCGCGCGGCGCGTTCGAGTAGCAGCGTAACACGGGAACGCGCGCGGGCGTGCACAAGTTCCAGCCGCGCGTGTACAGCCTCGCGCTCGCGCTCAAGTCTTCCCCTAGATGTAAGAACGGCGCGTGGGCGTCGGGCGGGGCGTCTCTGACGAAAGCCTCGGCGCGCGCGAACGCAAAACTACTGTTGAAGAAGAGCGCCGGCGTCGGCTCGCTCGGAACCTCCGCGAGTTGCCTGGCGTGCGTGCGGAACAACGACTCGCCGAATTCGCGCGCGCACGTAATCGCGGGCGCGCGCGCGGGATCGATTTCACCGAGAGCACTCACGGCTGGCAGCCGATCTTTGATCGTGCCGTACACGTCGGTCTGATACATTTGTCTGAACGTCTCTTCTTCGACGACCGGTTGAGTTTTAAGCTCGTATCCTAACGGCGCAGCCGTGAGTACGCGTTTGTCGTCGCCGCAGCGTTCGAGTTCAGACACCAAGATTTCATCCCATCCCTTGTCGACGACCGTCATGGCGTCAATGTGCAAAACATACTTTTCCCCACCCCATTTGCGCATCGCTAAATGTCGCGCGTACGATGGACCTTCCGAAGCGTCCCACGGCATGTGAGTCTCTCGCACGTGATCTCGGAAACGAGCTTCGAGCACCCTTGCTGAGTGACACCTCTTTTCCTCCGCGTCTTCCGTTCGCTGAGCTTTGAGTTGCAAGCGTCGCATTTTAGTCAAATATTTCTCCTGCTCTACCGGATCTTTCACGTCCGCCGCGCGCTTTTGGATTTCCTCTGTCAGTACGTAGACGTTCGTGTGCAAGCGGTCGATGCGCGCGCCGAGCGCGTCGGGCGGCGGCGTCGTGGACTTGTATTGCCATGTAACGCCGACGTAGACGCGCGAAGGATCGGAAGCTTCGCTGAATAACCGTTTCAACGTGTGCTCTGCTTCTCTGTTTCTGTAAACTTCGAGTACGACGAATATGTCTTCATTCGCCGAGTCGAAGAATTCAATCGATCCGTCGGCGAGCCTTCGAGACTGCAAACGCAATCGCGCTGCGCCTTCATCATGTCGCCAAAAGTCGAGAGATATCGCGTCATAAGCTCTCGCTACCACGTCTAGCTCCTTTGCGGATCCGCCGGCGTCGGGGTGCGCTCGCGCGAGCGCGTTTCTAAACGCCGCGCGCACAGTGACTTCGTCGCTCCCCGGCGCAACGTCGAGCGCGGCGTAACTCGATCGAAGCGCCGGGTCCAAACCACGTGAGTGCGTCGGCTCGGTCAGCGCCGAGCGGGTGTAATATCTCACCCACCAAGGATCAGAGTCGAGATACGACGGCTCAGCGTCTTTCTCAGCGCTCGTCGTCGTCGCGTTCTCCTCACCGTCGTCAGAATCGCTCTCGTAAATCGCCTCAGCGCCCGCGCGCGGCAAAGTCGCCGGCTCGTAAGAATCCACCGATACAAGCGGCAAGCAGCACGACGAACACGCGGTGAGTTTTGCGTGACACACGTTGCCGCACATCTTACATCGCTTGTGCTCGAAGCCTCCCTCGACTCTAGCTTCGACGACGGCGCGTTGCATCTCGATCGCCTTTTCCACCGCCAACACGCCTAGATCCATCAGCATGGGCTTCGACGACGAACGCCGACTCGGCGGTTGAGACGCTCGCGAATCGAACACATCCTCGTCGCAATCTATGTCGAGCTTTGGATCGAAAGTCACCACCTTCTTCGCCTTCGTCGTCGCCGCTGAAAAGTTTGGTTTCGCCTGCGCCTTCGATCCCATCTTTACTTGCATCCCCACGCGTGCAGCTTGTTCTCCTCGCGCCTCGTCCGCGTCTATCTCCGCCACCATCGCGTCCACGTCACGAATCATCTTCGTCTCCCCCTCCCGCGCGAGCAACGCGCGACACACCTTCAAACTCTCCCTCGCGCGCGCGTACTCCCGCTTCCCTCGCAGCGCCGCCGCCCGTCTCGCGTGCGCCTTCGCGTACCCCTCATCGCACGCGATCGCCCGCTCCGCGCGCTCCATCGCGTCGTCCCACGCCTCGACCGCCAGCGCGCACGCGCTCTGATTCGCCATCACCTCCGCGCGCCGTCGTCGCCCCTCCCGCTCGTCCCTCGCCTCGTCCGTCGCGTCTTCCGTCATCATCGCCAGCGCGTCGTCGTAAAACGCCCGCGCGAGCGCGTGTTCCCCCATCGCGAGCGCGCGTCGTCCCGCGTCGCTCGCCTCGCGCGCGCTCGACGCGCGCGCCGCGCGCTCGACGTCGACGCGCGCCATGGCGTCGTCGTCTGGCGTTCGAAACGCTCGCGAAACGCTCGCGCCGGTCGACGTTCGTCGCACACGGGCCTTCGCGCGTCTTTATACGGACACAGCGCGCACACGGGCCTTCGCGCGTCTTTATACGGACACAGCGCGCACACGGGCCTTCGCGCGTCTTTATACGGACACAGCGCGCACATGGGTCCTTCGCGCGTCTTTATACGGACACAGCGCGCACACGGGCCTTCGCGCGTCTTTATACGGACACAGCGCGCACACGGGCCTTCGCGCGTCTTTATACGGACACAGCGCGCACATGGGTCCTTCGCGCGTCTTTATACGGACACAGCGCGCACATGGGTCCTTCGCGCGTCTTTATACGGACACAGCGCGCACATGGGTCCTTCGCGCGTCTTTATACGGACACAGCGCGCACATGGGTCCTTCGCGCGTCTTTATACGGACACAGCGCGCACGGGCCGCCAGCGCTGGCGCGTGATCCGCATCTCGGGCGTGCGCGTTGATAGTACTTCCGGGTGTTTCAATACGACCCCCGATCGCGCGCGCGCGCGCTCTTCGCGCGCTTTTCCCGCCGCGCGCGCGCCGCCGGTCGACGCTCCGCGACGCGCGACGCGACGCGCGACGCGCGCGAAGAGCGCGCGATCGACTCGAGCGCGCGCGTCTCGCGACGCTCGACGCGCGCGCGCGACGCGCGACGGCGCGCGACGCGCGACGCGCGCGAACGCGGACCGGCGGCGCGGCATCGTGAACGTTCGAATCCGCGCGCGCGACGCGCGTCGCGACGGCGGCGGCGGGAGACGCGCTCGGCGCGGGACGACGATCGATGATGGTTCGCGCGGACGCGAGCGAAAGCGGAGCGATGGAGGACGCCGGACGAGGACGGGAGGGGGTGATGAGGGATGAGGGCGCGAGGGACGGGGCGAAGGCGACGCGCGAACGCCGAGGCGCGGGGTCGTCGAGCGAGGAGGAGGCGCGCGAGACGAATGAAGCGCGCGCGGTGGGTCAGGAGAAGAGACGGGGGGAGGCGAACGCGGCGGCGGAGGCGTGGGAGGCGCGAGAGAAACGCCGGAGGAAGGGGAAGCACGGGAAGAGTCGACGAGAGCGACGCGAAAAGGCGCGCGCGACGACGGATGAGAGCGCGAAAGCGCGCGAGGATGTCGATATGGGATCGGAATCTACGAGTTCTGGGGGAGCGAGAGATTTAGATTCCGCGCGCGCGAGTCCGCCGTTGTCCGATGAAGTGAGCGAGGCGGCGACGGCGACGGCGGATGGCGAGGCGAATATTCCTTTGGTGGGCGCCCAGGTCGTCGTCGGCGTGGCTTTCGAACAAGGACAGCGGGCGTACATGGAGGACAGGTACAGCGCCGTGACTGAGCTGAAACCTTTTGGGTTGACGGGTTGCGATGGCGTTCGTCGTTCGTTTTTGGGCGTGTACGATGGTCACAACGGTGACTGGGCGGCGCAGTTTGCAAGCGAACGCATGCACACTTTTCTCGCGCCAGACGTGCTCTTACAAGATTCGTCGCCGTCGTGCCCGGAAAGACTCACGCGGTTCAACGTTGATATGGAAACGTCTTTGAAGAAAATGTACATGGATTGCGACGACGAAATTCTCAACAGCACCGCCGCGGAGGGCAGGCGAGACGGGAGCACGGCGGTGTGCGTCTTGCAAATCGGCGGCGCGCTCTTCACAGCGCATGCTGGCGACTCTAGAGCAGTCGTCAGCTACGCTGATGGACGCACTCGCGCCATGACCGAAGACCACAAGCCGTCGATGTCGAATGAACGGCGCAGAATAACCGCAGTGGGGGGCAAGATTGAATTTTGCGGCTGCTGGCGAGTCATCGCGGATCATCCGTACAAACCCGTGCGAGCGGCTTTGGCCGTCTCGCGTTCGCTCGGGGACATCGATTTCAAGCGACCGAAAGACTCTGGCGTCACCGCAGAACCAGACGTGTCGCGTTACGAGCTCACCGAAGATATCAATTTCATTATTCTCGCCTCTGACGGCATGTGGGACGTCATTCGAGATCAAGAGGCGGGTGACATTGCTCGCAAAATACTCGCCACGCGCGGCGTCTTGAGCGAAGGCAAGTGTACATCGACCGACAAGAAAGCCATCGAAGCGGCCTGTACGGCCGCGTCCCAGGAACTTCTGGATACGAGTATGCATCGAGGATCGAGCGACAACGTCACCGTCGTCGTCGCCATGTACCTTCACTGACTTCACTTGCCAAAAATATTACAGCCAAACAACATGTATTGAGTGGTTTCGCTGAACCACTTTTTCCCGAACGATACACACCATCATCATATAGGTTACACTCTATTACACAATAGATCTAGGTGATTATTTCCGCACTTTGCAACAATATCCAACGATTCTTTGCGAAAGCCCTACAACCAAGTAGCCGATTTCCACCACGAGGCCGCGTCGGCGCGCGTCGGCGACGAGGCGCGAGGCGACGTTGCGCCGCTCGCACCTCGACTCGCGCGCGGCAACAAACGCTCGCTCTGCACGCGTTCCTCATCCGGTTCGTTCGCATCGTCCGCGTCACGATCTCGCCGGGCGGCGCCCGCGCCGAGGCGCGCTTTGTCGTTGATTGCGTTCATCCCGAGCACGTACGCCTCCAGGGAATGCAGTATCAGCGGTGGTAGCCACGTGGACACGCGCTCATTCGTCACGAGCAACTTTTGCAAGAACGCCACCAACCCACCGCACAAATCCGCGCCGTACGTCAGGTACGACAGCGACCCACTGCCTTTGTTTTCGTACGATTCTTTCACCTGCGGTATAAACTTTAAGCAAATAATCATCGCCACCACCACGCCGATGGCGTTGCCGTACCACGCCATCGGCGCGCACTCCCCCGCCCGATGCAACACGATCAACGCCGGCGCCCACGCGCACGCCACGATCACCATTTGCAACAGCACTCCCGCTCTCACCGCCTTTTTCATCGACCAGTCCACGCCGCCGAGCGGCGTCGTCACCGCGAACGCGTGTTCGCTATCCTCCACGTACGCGTACGCCATCGGCGTCACGATCAGCATCGACAGCGTGTTCGCCAATTCAACCCATATGAACAGCAGGCTCGGCTGTCCGCGCGCCCAGCCCTTAAAATCCGCGAACGCGTTCCCGCTCAGTTTGATCTGGTCGTAGTGCAGCACGTACAGATTCAGCACGCACAGAAATCCACCGACGTTCCCGAGCGCGAGCGTCCAGAACGACACCCCGCGCGAGCTCTTGCGCGCGTAAATCTTGTACGCCTGCGGCGCCCCGATCAGCGCGCTCACGACGAAGGACATCGCGCCGAGGACTCGGAGCGACGGGGACACGTCCTCGAGCGCGGTCAGGCATCCCGCGGCGTCCGACGTCGACGGCGTGAACGACGGCATGCCGATCGTCGCGTCGTCGTCGTCGTCGTCGTCGCGTCCGCGCGCGCGTCCTCGCGCGCGCGCGCGCGCGCGTCCGTCGGTCGTTCCGTCGACACCGCGCGCGGGACTGACGACGCGTCGCGACACCGCGACGCCGCGCGTCGTCGCCGGCGGTCGCTCGACGTCGGCGCGCCATGGCGCGCGCGCGCGCGTCGTCGGTCGCGCGACCGCGCGCGGGCGTCGCGCGCGCGCGCGCGCGGGCGCCGCGCGCGCGGTGTCGACACCGCGGGTGGCGGCCGGAACGAAACTCGACGACGACGACGACGACGACGACGGCGCGGGCGACGGACGAGGACGCCGGCGGAGACGACGACGCGAGCGGCGTCGCGTCGGGAAGCGTGTCGAGGTCGGAGATCGTGCGAGCGGCGATCGCGAGCGGGGCGGTGGTGGCGGGGACGAATCGCGCGCGCGACGCGGCGGCGCCGCGACGAGACGACGTCGGGACGACGACGCTGGCGATCGATGACGCGAAGGCGTACGTCGGAAGAACGTGGCGCGTGCGAAGCGGCGCGAGCGCGCTGGACGTGCGGGAAAATGGGACGATGCTGCTGTGGAGGGTGGACGGGACGAGAGAGACGCGGGCGCAGACGTTGGCGGTGCCGCTCGGACGAGGGACGACGGCGACCGGAGACGGGGTTAAGGTTATTCGAATCGACGCGAAAGAGGACGAGGGGGAGTTGACAGCGCTGTGGAGCGATGGAACGGTGCTCCGGGTGAGGAAAACGAACGATGCGGATGGGGAGAGCGACGCGTGGTGTCGAAACATCGCGGACGGGTTATTGCTCGAGGTGAGCGCGCCGATGGAGGATTCGGGAGCGGCGGAGTTGACGGTGAAGCTGTGCGATGGAGCGGACGAAGACCACTGGTACGGTGGGTCGCATTTGCTGAAGCAGCTCTGGCCGCTCGAGCGAGCGAAAATCGAAATGGGACCGTTTTACCCGTTCGACCACGGTCCGAACGGCGTCGGCAACGTTCTCGGCACTCACTGGGTGTCGAGCGGTGGGACGTTGATATTCGCCGATCCAAATAGTGATTTATTACACGTCGGCTTGAACGCACCGGCATTCGTCCCGCGAGGTCAAGCGCCGCGGTATTTCGGTGTCGGTATTCAAAACGCTTCCCGGCCGTCGTTGCCGCTGGAAGAGGCTCTGACGTCGGAACGCGGCGACGGACTACTTCGATTGCAATCACGGGCGAATTACGCGGACGCGAACATGTTGCATCCGTGGCAAAGCATCAATACGAATGACGCGCGAACGCGCTTGCAGCTACGCGTCGCCGTATCTGCGCAGGAAGACGCGAGGAGCGCGACGAGAGTCGCCTTGGCGCAGCTTCCAAAGCCGAGCGCCGCGCCGGACAAGTCTCTGATGTTCTATCCAATCTGGACGACTTGGGCGACGTCGCACGCTGATGTCACGCAAGAGTCAACACTTGCAGTAGCTAAGGACATCGCAAAAGCCAAATCTGACTCGGGATTACCGAACGGTTCGATCATCGAAATCGACGACCGCTGGCAAGCGCGATATGGCGAACTTCATTTCGATCCCGTGAAGTTTCCGGATCCGAAAGGCATGATCAAGGAGCTTCACGACATGGGATTTTTAGTAACGGCGTGGGTGATGCCGTTCTTGCAAGAGAGTTCAGCGGCGTGCGAGGAGGCAAAGCGATTAGGGTACTTACTTGAAGGCTCGCAACCGCCGAACGAAGTCGTCGAGGTGCTCACGGGAGGCGTCGGTCAAGTCCTCGGGACTACTGTGAAAGTGTTCGTCGATCGCTACGACTGGCCACCCGGTCACTGGGAAGGCGGCGGTGGTGGGGGCAACCTTGAGCCTGGACAGTTCCGATGGTGGGGCACGCAGCCCGTCCGCGGCATCGATTTCACCAATGACGAGGCGTGCGAATGGTTCGTGCGTCGACTCAAGAAACTGCAAGAAGAAGTCGGACTCGACGGTTTCAAGTTTGACGCCGGCGAGCCTTGTTTCATGCCTTACGGCGCCCGCCCGCACACGCCCCTGAAACATCCACAAGAGTACAGTCAGGCATACGTGGAAAAAGTTTGTTCTAAATTTGCCTTGAGCGAAGTGCGCGTGGCGATGGGAACGAACAATTACAACGGCTTAATTCGCATGGGCGATAAAGATACCGTGTGGGGCGTCGATAACGGTCTACAGAGTCTCATTCCGAGCTTACTCACGTCCGCAGTTATCGGGTTCCCGTTCACGCTTCCGGACATCATCGGCGGCAACGCGTATTGGAATCAAACGCCCGATACCGAGTTGATGATTCGCTGGGCGCAAGTCAGCGCGTTCATGCCCGCGGTGCAATGGTCGATTCCACCGTGGGAAGTGAGCTCAGTGGCGTACGAGGCGAGTGTCAAGGTGATGCACATGCGCGAACGGCTGCTCTTACCCAAGCTCGCCGCGCTCGCGGAGGACGCCAAAGCCTCCCTCGAACCCATCTGTCGTCCAATGTGGTGGCTCGACCCCAACGACGCCCAAACGTTCGCCATCGACGACCAGTTTGCCGTCGGTACCGACATGATCGTCGCCCCTGTGGTCGAAAAAGGTGCGACATCGCGCACGGTTTACCTCCCCGCCGGGTCTTGGCGGCGATACGACGAATCGAACGCCGTCGCCGGCGGTCGCCGCGTCGTCGTCGACGCCCCGCTCGACGTCCTCCCCGTGTTCATCCGCGCCGACTAGCGGCATAAATATTCATTATTTTTTCCATTCGACGCCGCGACGGCGCGGCGTCGTCGATTCACCATTTATTTTTGTATTGACAATTTATTGTACAACTTGTTACATCCGCGCGCCGCGCGCCGCCACATCGCGTCGCGCGGGCGCTCGAGAGATGGATCGCGGCGTCGGCGTCGGCGTCGGCGAGGCGCTCGCGCTCGAAGTCCAAGCCCCGTTCGCGCGTCTGTTGGTCGACGGCGAAAAGTCTATCGACGTTCGAGGCTACGCGCTGTCGACGGCGAAATTGACGCCGAACGCGCGCGTGTACGTCCTGGAGACCACGCGCGGGACGCCCGGTAAGAGCGTGCTCGCCGACGCGTGGACGAAGGGCGGATTCAACCCGCGGTCGCGCGCGGACGTCGCGCGAAGGCTTCGCGAACCGTGGTTCGGCGGCGACGCTCGCGAGCGGAACGACGATCCGTGTCCGGGCGGCACGCCGGGCGCGTCGACGGCAAAAATAATCGGATGGGTCGCGTTCGATGGCGCGGAGGTAAAGTACGCGTCGGCGGAGGCGTTCGCGAGGGATGCGGACAAACATTTGGTCGTCGACGCGGCGTCGGCGTATCATCCGGCGTCGACGCCGGACTCCGACGCTCCGACGCGCTACGGCTGGCGCGTCACCGCGTCCGGCGCCGTGGGCGAGAACGAATTGGTATCGTATAGACGAATTTATCGCAGCGTGTTCGCCGTGAAATTCGCGGCGCGCGCGTCGTAGTCGTAGAAATTAGTGTAAACGCGCTTAGCGAAACAGTTGAAACTCGCGCGTCGAGTCGCGCGCCGCAGTGTCGCGCACGATTTTCGAGCGTCGCCGTCGCGCGCGCGGCGCGCTTGCGAGCGCGCGCATCGCGTCGCCATGTCGCGTCGCGTCTGGCGCCTCGCGCGCGCGCTGCCGCGCGTCGAACCACCGCGCGCCTGTCCCAGCGCGTCGACCCATCGCGCGCGCTCTACGCGCGCGCGGGAGATGGAGTACGTCTCCGACGGCGGCGTCGAAACGCTGAGCATTCTTCGTTCGTCGTCCACGCCGCGTGAAATTTATCTGGTCGGCACCGCGCACGTGAGCGAGCGAAGCGCGAGGGAGGTTCGCGAACTCATCAGACTGGTCAAGCCGAGCGTAGTCCACGTCGAGCTCTGCGAGCAGCGATTGCGGACGATGCGCGAGCGCATCGTGGACGACGAAGAGAAGAAACCGGGTGAATCGGCGTCGAACGGCAAATCGGCGTTCGTTCAACAGGCGGTCAAAGATTTTCTCGGGGCGTTCGCGGGCGGCAACGTCGGCGACGGTTTGCTGCAGGCGGCGTTTAAAACATTCTATAGCTTCTTCAAATTGAGCGGACTCGACCCCGGCGCTGAGTTTAAGGAAGCAGTAAAAGAGGCGGGTTGCATTGGGGCGAAGATCGTGTGCGCGGACAGAGACGTGACGATGACTTTGCGCCGGCTACGCGAAAGCGTGACAACGATGGACGTCATGGCCATCGTGATGGGTCGTACGCGACCGGGCGGTCCTCCGCCGCCGAGCGCTATGGGTGGATCCATGGATAACATCGAACACATCGTTGAAAATCTCAAGACGCGGAGGCACATTCGTGAGATGCGCGAATATTTGGCATATCAGATGCCCAAAATCGCGCGAGTCTTTGTGGACGAACGCGACGAAATAATGGTCGAAGCTTTACTTCGGTGCAAAGGCGAGCGCGTCGTCGCCGTCGTCGGCATGGCTCATATGGATGGCATCGAGCGACGATGGGAAGAAGCGCAGAAACGCCTTCGTTTGAAAGTTGGTTAGCGTCGCTGTCTCGTCACGTCTTGTCAATTTCGAGGCGCGAGTCAACGAGCGTCGAGACAACGAGACAGCGCGCCGCATCACAAAAAGTCACGCTCGCCTCGTCATGAAGTCAAAAATGCCGCGATGTTGGTGGCCTATCGGCCACTTGCGAGGATGGCTCGGACCTTCGGGCTTCGGCTCCAAATCGTCCTGGCGCGACGTCATCGCGGACCTCGACCCTGGATCTGCCAGCCGAAATTGCGTTCTCATAACCGGCGCCACGGCTGGCATAGGCTTCGAGACGCTCAAAGCATTTTGTAGCACGGGTGCGACGGTAGTGGTCGGTGCGCGTGACGAAGCGCGAGCAAAGGCGCTCGCGTGCGAGCTCATGTCTAAGACGACGTCCATCGTTCGCGTCCTTCGTCTCGACTTGTCGTGTTCAAAGTCGGTTCACGCCTTTGTTGACGCATTTCTCGCGCTCAATCTCAAGCTCACCGTCCTCGTGAACAACGCTGGTATAATGCCTTGTCCGTTTGACGCAGATTCACACCGAGACCTCGCGTTTCACGTGAAGTTTCTCAACCACTTTGTTTTAACGCAGTTGCTCCTGGAATCGTTTGATCCGGCGGGCGCGCGCGTGGTGAACGTCACCAGCGAAGTCTATCGCTTCTCTTATCCGGAAGGTATTCGGTTCGGCAAAATAGACGACGACCGAGCGTACGACAGCGTGAAATCCTACGCCCAATCGAAACTCGCGCTGCTCTTGTGGACTCGGTACCAAGGCGAAGCGCTTCGCGAGCGCGGCGTGCAATTTTTCGCCGTGCATCCGGGCTCGGTCGCCACGCAAGGCAGCGCGCGCGCGCGAAAATCCAGCGGTTGGCGCGGAGCCTTGCTCCACTGCGTCGGCGCACCGTTCGTCAAATCCGTCGAGTGCGGCGCGGCGACGACGATTTATTGCGCGCTTCATCCCGGCGCGTCGATGTACAACAGATTCGGCGAGTATTATTTCGCGTCGTGCAATCCGAGAGGCGTGCGCGAGATTTCGCGCGACGCAACGCTCGCTCGACGTCTCGTCGAGTACGCCGCGCGCGAGCTCGACGCGAGCGCGTGAATATCACACCCCATCATTCGTCTTCTTCCGACCAAAACACTTCGGCGTACCCAAACCGTCTCGCGAACGCGTCCACGACTCTCGTCTCCACGTCTCTCATCGCCACCGCCCGCCCCAACTCCTTCACCACGCTCGTGACTTCGTACCCCTCGAGTCCGCACGGCACGATGTGCTCGAAGTGCGTCAAATCCGGATCGACGTTGATCGCCACGCCGTGCGAGCTCGTCCCCGCCGATATTTTCACCCCCACCGCCGCGATCTTCCCATCTTTCACCCACACCCCCTCTCGGCCCTTACGCCCCCCCCTGGCGTCGACGCCGATCCCTCTCAGCGCCTCTTCGACGCACGCCTCCAATCCCTCGACGTACGCCCTCGCGCCGACCCTCGCGCGCCGCAGCGACACCACCGGGTACGCCACCAACTGCCCCGGCCCGTGGTACGTCGCGTCCCCCCCCCGGTCCGTCCGTCGCACCGCGATCCCCGCCCGCGCGAGCGCCGCCCTCGAGCTCTTCACGTGCGTCTCTCCCAGCGCCGCGCGCTTCCCCACCGTCACCGTCGGCGCGTGTTCGCTCAGCAGCAGCGCGTCCGCCGCGCCGTCCCGCACCGCCGCGTGCGTCGCCCGCATCCGCGCCGCCACGTCGTCGTACATACGCGCGCCGCGCAGGATTCGCACGCGCAGCGCGCGCCGCATCTCGCGCGCGCGCGCGCGTCGCGACGCGTCGCGTCGTCGCGTCGGCGTCACTTCGCGATGCGTCGCGTCGTGACGACGGTGTGCGTCGTCGGCGGCGGCCCGACCGGGCTCGCGCTGAGCGCGCTGCTGTCGCGACACGGCGTCGCGAGCGCGACGCTCGAGCGTCGCGATGCGCCGTCGACGCACCCGCGCGCGCACTTCGTGAACGCGCGCACGATGGAGGTGTTTCGAGGCGTCGACGGGGACCTCGCGCGCGCGTGCGTCGACGACGCGCCGGCGCTGGCGCAGTGGCGGTGGTTCAGGTACGCGACGTCGCTGACGAACGGCGCGGCGCTCGGCGCGGTGGATCAGTTCGACGGCGCGACGACGGCGAGGACGAAGGCGTCGCCGACGCATTCGACGCACTTTTCGCAACATAAATTGACGCGAGCGTTGATGCGACGCGCGAGGGAAGCGCACGCGGAGGGCGCGTCGGGGGTGATCGAGGACGCGCGCGTGGAAGAGGTGCGAGCGGACGCGGAGGGCGTGACGGTGCGCGCGGAGGTCGGGGCGGGGGGGGGGACGCTGGAGATTCGAGCCGAGTATTGCGTCGTCGCCGACGGCGCGAATAGCGAGACGCGGACGCGATTGGGGATCGCGATGCGAGGGAAACGGGATCTGCAGCGACTCGTGAACGTACACTTTAAATCGCGGGATTTGGCGAACGATCTCGTCGACGATCCCGCGATGTTGTACTTTGTGTTCAATCCGGACGCCGTCGTCGTCGTCGTCGCGCACGATTTGCGCGAAGGCGAGTTCGTGGCGCAGATTCCGTACTTACCGCCGGTTCAGGACGCGAGCGACTTCACGCGCGCGGTGTGCGAACGGATCCTGCGTTCGGCGATCGGTTGGCGCGACGGAGAGACGTCGAAAAAGCTCGAGATTCTCGACGTGCGCGCGTGGACAATGTCCGCCGAAGTGAGCGAGACGTTTCGCGCGGGCGAAAGAGTTTTTCTCGCCGGTGACGCCGCGCATCGATTCCCACCCTCGGGGGGATTCGGAATGAACACTGGAATTCAAGACGCGCATAATCTGGCGTGGAAGCTCGCCGCGGTGACGCGCGGGCTTTCCTCGCCGAAGCTGTTGCAAACGTACGAATCCGAACGTCGGCCGGTGGCTCTGCGAAACACGGCACTGAGCGTCGAGAACTTTGAAGCCGTGCTGAAGATTCCGACCGCTCTGGGCCTACCACCGATAGCGGCGAACGCGTTGAGAGACGTCGTGTCGGGATTGCCTTCGGTCATCCCGAGTTCGATGCGAAAGACCATCTTAGAAGCCGGATTAGCCGTAGGCCGCGCGCAGTGCGGATCTCTGCTCACCGCGGATAACCCGATCGGCGCCGCGCGTCGCGCAGCCGTGAAACGTATGTGCGACGACCCGCAAGGCACGTTGAGGCTTCAGTTCCCGAAAGAAGACGTGGGGTTCTCCTACGAGCCCGCCGACGCCGACGGTCTCGCCAGATTGCACGAGCCCGGCACGCTGCGCGTCGGCGTTCGCGTGCCCCACGCCTGGATGCAAACGACGCGGGGCGAGCTTTCGACCCTTGACCTCGTCGATGAAGACGTCACGGGCCCGCGTTTCACTGTGTTCGCGCGAGGGTTCGATGATATTCAAGAGGACACTCTCTCCGAGCCAGGGGGGTTCCCGATGAGATTGGTGCGAATCGTGGACTCACCCACCGACTCGCCCTCGGCCGCGTTCGACGCTTACGGTGCATGGTTCAAAAAGACCAACCACTTAGGCACGAAGTCATTAGTATTAGTTCGACCTGACGCGCACGTTGCGTGCATCACGAGCGATCCATCTGAAGTGGTAGTCGCTTTGCGCGAGGCGTCGTCGAGTCCCGCTAAAAACCATTAGAACGTAGAACGTAGAACGTTGCATATTTATTTTACAAATTCATCCTCACGTCGTGCACTGTCTTTTTGTACAGAACGCTGCTTCCGCGCTGATTCGGAAAGACAACAAAACCATGAGCTTATTCGGAGACACGTCGCGAACTTCGCTCACCGCGGCGTCGACGATTTCCGCGCCGAGATGGCCCGCACCACGTTTAATGACGTCCGCGTCGGTCTCGTCCGCCCCTTTGAACGTGTAACAGTGTATCATAGGTAACTCTCTGTGCTCCCAAACCTTTCGATCAAACGAACCCCTCAGACAATCTAAAAATTCTATCCCAGACGCCGGCAAATTCGTAACCAAATGATCGAACGTCGCCCCTGCGGGGGGCGCGCCGTCGTCATCAGCCGCCGCCCACGTGAGCTTGGGCCTCGCCTCGCGATAATTAATCTTTTTGGCCTTCGCGTCTCGCTTCTTGGCGTTATAATCGGCGAGTTCCGCGTCGTACGTCGCTTTGGTGGCCGTCCACTCTCGCTCGACGTCGACGTCACGGTTCTCTGGCGCCGCTAAAAGTGCCTTGATGAACGCGCGCGCATCCATGTTGTAGCACTTGACGAGATTCTTCACTCGATTCTCTTTGGCGTTGATTTTCAAATATTTGGCGCAATCCGGATTCAAGTCGCTGGCGTAGCAACGTATACCCTTTTGCGCCGCCGGTACCGAAAACGGCCCGACGCCGCTCGTCGCGTCGCAAATGACTTCATTCGCCTTGAACGAGTCCACCAACCGTTTATGCTCCGTCTCTAACCTTGAATTCCAATACACGCTTCCGAAATCTAGCTTAAACGTCATCCCGTGCTGCTTCACTTCCGTCACGAGACTCGGTTCGCCCGCCAGCAACTCCCACTCCGGCACGCGAAACTCGCTCTCGATGCTCCCGACTTTATTCACCACCGTCCGCAACCGCTCGTTCTTCTCCAAAATCACCTTCCCTATCAAATACTTGTGCGATTCGTGCTCATCCCTCAAATTCATGTGCGCGATGTGCCCGACCGTCTCGAACGAGCTCGGCACCTCCACCGCCGAAGGCAACAATTTCCTCAGCACTTGCGCGGCGTTGAAATATTCGTACGTCAACGGCACGTCGTACTCCGTCACCTCGATCTCACCTCCGACGCGCTCGCGCACGACGCTTAACCTTTCTTCCGGTACCACCGCGCGAAGATCGTCGTCGACGACTTTATCGTTGAGGAGGATTAAATTCCCGTCGCGTTCGCCCTCGGCGTCTCGCGTCACCGCCTTCACCCTGGGCAAGTCCAGCGCGAATCCTCGCAGCGCTTTCAGCACCGCATCCGTCTCGCGCGTGGGCACTCGAATCGCGCGCACGCGCAGAGATGTTTTGAACTGCTCGCGATCGACGTGCACCGCCGGAGGCGGCGATAACGGTCCGTTCAGCGCGGTCGCGACCATTCTGCGCAGCGCCGGCGGCGGAAGTTTCGGGGCGACACCGCGCGATTGGCGCGGGAGTCGACGCCGCGCGAAGAGCGCGCGGATGGTGATTGACGACGCCGTCGCGTCCGTCGTTCCCGCGGCGAAAAGCGCGTTTGCGAACGCGGGGACGGCGCAGAGTGGAGCGCGGCGCTCGAGACGCGGCGAGCGCGAGCGTTGCTTGTACAAACATCGGAATTACAGCGCTAATAGTGTCCCGCTAGTCATCGGAGTTATTAGAAACCGCGTCGCGAGAGACTGCAATGCCACTGTCGCGGTGCCCGGCGCCGGTGAGCGGGTCGGCGATGCGAGCCTTCTTGCCGCTCTTAATGTCGCCCGTCGCGCGCGCGTCTTTCTCTCCGAGCGGCCATCGCGGGAGTAGATTGACGTGAACGTCGCGCGGATCCATCATCGCGTGCTTTGCTTCAAGCTCGGCGTCAACGGGCGCCTCGGCGAGACCGAGAGCGAGGCGTTCGCATCCAGTCCAGGCGACCATGACGCCGTTGTCCGTGCACCACTTGGGCGGCGGAAAGACGAGGGGAAGCCCGGTTTCTTCCACCACTTTTACCAGGGTCGATCGAACCGTGGCGTTCGCCGCGACGCCGCCGGCGACGACGACGCACGATAAATCTGGGGTGTCCTCGAGCGCCCACGTGAGAGCGCGACGCATGCGCTCTTCGAGATGTTTCACCGCTTTGGCTTGGAAACTCGCCGCGATGTCGGCTCGCGTCTGACGCTTGTCCACGCCGTCCCACTCCACGTCTTCGCCTCCGATTTCGGCGTCGATCGCCATACGCGCCGCGGTTTTCAATCCAGCGTAGGAAAAATCGCAATTCTTACGCTGACGCAGCGGCACGGGAAACTTGAATCGCTTCTCGTCGCCCTCGAGCGCGAGTTTCTCCAACGCCGGTCCGCCGCCGCCGCCGACGGGCAACCCCAACAGCCTCGCCGTCTTGTCGTACGCCTCGCCCAAGGCATCATCTAATGTTGTTCCTAATATCGTATAATCCCCCACCCCGCGCGCTTTGATCAACAAATTGTGCCCTCCGCTCACCAACAGCGCCAGAAACGGAAATTTAACCGTCTCCGTCCCCGCGCAAAGCCGCGAAACGAGCGCGTGCGCCTCCACGTGATGCACGGGCGCGATCGGAATCCCATACTCTGCACTCATCCGCTGCGCTTTACGCACGCCCACGCGCAGGCACATGGACAAACCGGGTCCGCACGTCACCGCCACCGCGCTCAAATCCGCCGCCGACACCCCCGCCTCCGTCAGCGCTCGTCGCACGACGTCATCGATCACCTCCTCGTGCGCCGCGCGCGCGAGATTCGGCACGACGCCTCCCCACGGTCCGTGTATCGCCGCCTGCGACGCGATCGCCTCGCCCAGGACGACGCCATCGCCTCGCACCACCGCCGCCGCCGTGTCGTCGCACGACGTCTCGATCCCCAGCACCACCGTGTTCGCGTCCACCGCGCGCGGCGCGCCCTCGTCCAGGCGTCCAGAGCCGAGGAATATTCCCGACGACACGTCCGCGACGCGATCTCTCCCCGCGGCGACGACCGCGCGACGGCGACGCGAGGCGAAACCGAACGAACCGGCGGCGGCGTGCGACGTCTCGGACGCCGCGGCGACGCGCGCGCGGACGCGCGGCGCGCGACGACACGCCGCTCGATGGCCGACCGCAAGCGTCGTCATCGCGCGCGTCGTGCGCGCGAGCATCGCGCGCGCGTGTGCGGCGCCGAAGCTCTGACGCGAGCGTACTATTGCAAAACGCGCTACTACGCGCGGACGCGCGATCGACCCGATCGCGCGCCCGCGCCACACCTTAATGAGTCTACTAAATATCAACGCAAAAACCACCCCCGCGCGGTCGCCGCCGCCGCCGAACGCCTCGCCCCCGTCACGGCCCGCGTCGCCGCGTCTTCGCGCCGCCGAATTCCTCGAGCGCGAAAATCAACAGAAACACGCAAAACGCCGAAGCCGCGATCGGCCATCCGAAGGCGCCGAGGAACGTTCGCACGTCCCGTCCGTAATCCTCTCCCGCCGCCATCGCCGCCTCTCGCGCGCGCAGCACCAACGGCACGCGATCGCTCGGCAGCCACGCGCCGTCGGCGTCGCCGAAGTACCCGTCCTCGTTGATCCCTCCGATCGGCGCCCGTCCCGGGGACGCCGCGTCGCGCGCGTCGTCGTCGTCGTCGCGCGTCGTCGCGTCGCGCGCGTCGTCGTCGCCGTCGCGCGTCGTCGCGTCGTCGTCGCGCGCGGCGTCGCTCGTCGACGCCTCGGCGCGATGGCCGAGCTCGACGTCGTGCGGCGTCGTCGCGCGCGCGTCCCGCATCGCGCGCCGCGCGCGCGCGCGCCGCGGTCGTTCGTCGCGCGCCGCGCGCGCGCGTCGCGCGCTCGTCGCGCGCGTCGGTGTCGCGACGCGCGACCCGGTCGCGCGCGCGACCGATCGATCCGATCGATCCGTTCGCCGCACACGCGCGCGCGACGCTCGAGCGCGCGACGACGCGCGAGCGAACGCGCGGCGAACGATCGCGACGACGAAGGCGCGCGTCGCGACGACGACGACGCGCCGAACGCGATGATTCCGCGAAGAGTCGCGCACAATCCAATCATCGGCCCGGGCGTGGTGCCGCGCGGCGTCGACGCCGAGTACGACGCGGCGTGCGCGCGGGACGACGCGCGCGATGGACCGGCGACGACGACGCACGCGCCGGCGAGCGGACGCGCGTTCACGCTGGATGGGAAGGCGCGGGAGAAGGCGCCGACGACGCGAACGCAGACGCCGTACGTGACGGGGACGAGCGCGCTGGGGCTGAAGTACGGCGACGGCGTGCTGTTGGCGTGCGACACGCTGGCGTGCTACGGAAGCACGAAGAGGTATAAAAACGTTGAACGGGTGAAGAAGGTGAACGAACGGTGCGCGATCGCGTTCACGGGGGAGCTGAGCGATTTTACGTACGTGTGTAATCTGTTGGAGGAGTTGACCACGGAGGACTTTTGCGAGGACGATGGAATGACGCGAGACGCGGAGGAGATTTATCAATATCTCACGCGAGTGATGTATAATCGGAGGAATAAGTTCGATCCGCTCTGGAACTCGCTCGTCGTCGCGGGATTGAAGACAAACGGGGAGACGTTTTTGGGCACGGTGGGGATGATCGGAACGCACTACGAAGACGATCACGTCTGCGCTGGGTTTGGCAATCACATCGCGAGACCGATTTTCAGAGAGTTTTACAAGGCTGATATGACGGAGGAGCAGGCGGTGGAGGTGATGCGATCGGCGCTGTACGCGTGCGTGATGCGCGACAAGCAGATGATGAACAAGTTTCAAATTTGTAAAGTCACGAAGGATGGGGTGACGATCAGCGAACCGTTCGCCGTGCCCACGGAATGGGGCTATGAAAAGTTTTACAACCCCACGAAGTTCTCCGAGACGGGTTGGTAGAGGGCGCCGCTTCGCGCGCGAAAAATTTCAGTTGTGAGCGATTTACTAAGCTTTCCGTTTTACGTGCGTCGTCGTTATATTACATCGTCATTCCCCGCTATATTCGTGCGGCTTGATCTTCATCGCAATTCAGCCGCCTTGAGAAATCTAAACGCACACGATCCGCTTCGAATCTCGGGAAGGTACTCGTGCTCGGGCGTCTTGGGCACCAAGTACATGAGTTCGCTTAAGCCATCCTTGTTGTTTTGCATGGCAAATTCCAGCGCTTGTTCGTGATCACTTCGTTGCACGTGCTCTTCAAGCTTTGCCCTGAGCACGGCTTCACTCACTTCACCTTCTCTCGCCCGCTCCAAAACGTCCGTCTCCCACTTTTCGTCCACCTTCCATAACGCGGCGCCGACGCGAGCGCGTTTCGATGGCGGCTCGTCCGCGTCCGCGGCGGCCGCAAGCATCGCGAAGACTGCGCGCGCCACATCAGGAATGTACTTGGCGAGTTGCTTTTTGCGAGCTTTCCGATCTTTCGCCACTTGCGCGCGGACAATCTTCCCTCGAAGCTGCAAGGCGCACTGCTTGATTGCCTTGTCGACGGCGTCGGCGATTTCGTTGTTTTCATCCCCGATGTACTCCTTGGACGTGCCTTTGAAAGGGATTTTTGTGGACACGATGGAGACGAAGACGCCAATCTTATCGTTGTTCTTGTCAATCTTATACGTGTTCCAGTTCAAGCGCTGCACGCATCTCGTAACGACGTCGTTACCGCCTTCAAAGAGGAGCGGAATTCTATTTGCGAAGCGAAACACGTTGAATCCCGGTTTCACTTCGCGACCGCCGAGCGAAACGCAAGCTTCGACGACGAGCGGGTGTCCACCGCAAGCTAAAGCAGGAGCGCAAAATGATGCGATCCACTCTGGGCCGAGCTCCTTCATGATGCCTAAACGCAGGTTGTATTCGCCCGCCGGCGAAAGGCACGAGCCGTCTGGATCGTCGAAGCGCGCGTCCGCCAAAAGCTGCTGTATTCTCGTCGCTTGCTTATCCGTCACCTCGGACGGGTGCATGTCCGTATCGAAACCGTAGCCGAGTTCTTGAATCAGGCGAGAAGAATGGTCCTTGTTGATGCACGTGAACTCTTTATGCAAAAAGTTGAGCAAATTCTTCTCACGCGTCTGCGAAAGTAAATCCTTTATCAAGAGCATGTTCTCCTTCGCCGCCGAAGGGTGATGCTTCGTCACCGTGGGAAGCGCCGGCATGATATCGGTACGGCGTCTAAATACGATATCGATATCTTTCGCCGTCGACGTCGTCGCCGCAGAGGTAACAAATCTAAACCGAAACTGCGCGTACGGCGTGACGATGGCGAGCTGTCTCAAATACGACAACACGTATTGCCTGTACGTCGTCCAGTTACCTTCGATGGTCACCGACAGTTCCGCACCGTGCCACTTATCGTCATTGGGTAATTTCGCCTCCTTATGAATGTTTGGCTCGTTCTTCTCGATGTCGATGTCTAACGCGTACTCGGAGATGAACGACTGGTTCGGCAACGCGCTTCGAATGCGAATGGGCAATCCTGTGGTTTGCTTGGACCAAATCAACGCCATTTTCGACCCGAGTCCGAATTTCCCTCGCGTTTGTCGCACCCCGTACTTGGTACCACTCAAAACCCGTCCCAACATGTTCGGAATGTCCTCGTGTTGCATGCCCTTCCCGTTGTCCTTGACGGTAATCTTATAAAAACATTTCGCCTGATCCCGCTTCCCACCTCCCCCTCGCTTCGACGCCGCCGACGCCGCTTTCGCCGCCTTTTTCGCCTCTTGCGCCAACCGCTTTGCCTTCGCCTTATCGCTCTCAAAATCCGCGTACAGCTCGTCGTCCAACCGCACGTGCGCCTTGAGCCCGATGAGGCTCTCGTATTGAGACACCGACACCTCCTCCACCGCGATATCGATCTCCGGCAGCGTCCCGATCGCTTCCGCCGCATCCAACGCGTTCTCGATGAACTCTCGAAGCGTCGTGTACAGCGATTTCCCCGCGTTTTCGAACCCAGCGATGCCTTTGTTGTCTTGGAAAAATTCCGCCGGAGACTTTTGCGTCAGATTTTTGTCCCCTTTCGCGTTCAGATTCGTCGGCTTTTTCGGCATCGTCCGAAAGCGCGTCGTCTTCCCTTCCGTCGCTCCTCGTTGGCGTTCGCGCCCGCGCCCGCGTCGCTCTGGCGCGCGTCGCTCGAGCGGTTCGAGCTGTCGTCGTCGACCGTTCAAACCGACAAAATTTATCACGAGCGATGTGCATATAAAATCACACGACAGCTCTATGTATAACGACGCGTTGGTTGAAATGTACATTTACATATTTAATACCACAAACGCCCATCAGATCGTTTCGCGCGCGCGGTGACGACACTCCGACCACGCGCCCCCGCGCGCGCACACCGCGACGCGACTTCGCGAAATCACACGACATGGTACGCGCGCGCGTTTTGATGCGCCCGCGGATACCGCGCGCGCGCCGCGATCGCGACGCGTCGACGAGACGCGGACGACGATCGACGATGGACGATTCCAGCGCATAATCGCGCGATTCGGATTGTCGCGCGGAATCGCCGCCCACGTCGCGCGTCGCGCGTCGCGCGTCGGCTCGGACGGCGGAAATCGCGCGGGAAGATTTCGTCGCGCGCGTCGCGCGCGCGATCGGGTCGAACGGGTGATCGAGGAACGCGAGAGGGCGTTGATCGTGCGCGCACGCGTTGGATCGTTGGCGCTCGATCTGTGGCGTTGGAAATGGGAGGGCTCGATGGGCGCCGACGCGCGAGGGGAGGCGATGGGGCGTGGGCGTGGGATGTGTATTATCGCTGGATGATATGCGCGCGAATGTGGGGTCGATGGCGTCGTGGGCGGCGATGGGACGAGCGACGGGGGCGGTCGAGCGTCGCGCGCGCGCGGCGTCGACGTCGCGGGGGCGGTTGAGAGCGAAACGCGACGCGATGTGGGTACGGGAGACTGACGGACGCTCGAATGTTTTGCGTGAACGCAGGCTGGACCGGCGCGCAAGGGTAAAGGACGCTCCTCGGGGTTGTCTGAAGAGCAAAAGCAAGAGATTCGCGAAGCGTTTGACTTGTTTGACACCGATGGGAGCGGAACCATCGACGCGAAGGAACTTAAGGTTGCGATGCGTGCTCTTGGTTTCGAACCGAACAAGGATGAAATCAAGAAGATGATCGCGGACATCGATAAGGATGGTAACGGCACCATCGACTTTGAGGAGTTCCTCGCCATGATGACGGCCAAGATGGGCGAACGCGACAGCCGAGAAGAAATCATGAAGGCGTTCCGACTGTTCGATGACGACGAAACTGGAAAGATCTCCTTCAAGAACTTGAAACGCGTCGCCAAGGAATTGGGTGAAAACATGACGGACGAAGAACTCCAAGAGATGATTGACGAAGCCGACCGCGACGGTGACGGCGAAGTCAACGAGGAAGAATTCTTCCGCATCATGAAGAAGACCTCTTTGTTCTAGGCGAGCAAGAGCTTCATCGTTGTATACTTTCACTCTCGCCCATCGCTCGGGGTAATATCGTTATACCCGCGCGAGTGAACGGTGATGTTCATCGATCACGAAACCACAGGCTATCAAGTTGCCGTATTAGCTTAGAAGGTTGAATAACCACGCCCACTTTGTGCGTCCTTTGCGCGCCCCTTTCCGTGTGCTCGCAGCGTTAATAGTCTTTGTTGAGTTTCATCAAAATTAATCTACGGGAGCTACGTAAGTTTGCGTTTCACGCTTCGACTCGTTCTGGCACGCCGTGTACTCGGAACCGGTACAGGCACGTCCACTTCTGGTGCCCTTGATTGTTCTTCACCACTAGACGCACATGGTCGACGGTCTGCGGTGACACCACGTCGAAAGTTTGTACGCTTCCGCGGTTGATACTGTACGTGTAGTTGCCGAGAGGAATCAACGACTTGGGCGGTTTGCTATGCTTGCAACTCTTCTTGCGTGCGTGCCAACCGTATACTTGTACATCTCGTGGCGCGCTGTGCAAGTCGTACGCGTTCAAGCTATTCGCGTGCTCGAGCGTGACCGCGTCCACTTTCACAGACTGACGCAAACGAACATCAACATAACCGGTCGACGAATGCAACGCGATACAATCCCCTGGTTGCTCCAAAGACGGCGTGAGTAACCACTCGTCGCTCTTCGGATGCACTCCGGATTGAAGGAACGAAAGCACCGACGTGATGGGACCGTCGCCACGGCCTACAAACGGCGAAAGCTGAGAGTGACCGACGACGCGCCCGCCACCTGAAGCGAGCGCGAAGTCCTGCCTTCCAGTTCTGTCCGCAAACCACAAACTCGAAGCCTCCTCGATGTGTTTCGTGAGCTTTCTCGAGGTATCTTTCGGGATTGTTTTAATATAACTCTCAACGCGCTCCATCGCTCTTTGCTCTAACTCCACCAAATTTGTCTGCGTCGTCGACAGCCCCCCGCTCGTTTTGATCACCTGGTTCAGCTTGAGTTCCAAGTTCTTCACAAGTTTCGTCGTCGCATAATTGTCGTGCACGTTTTTCAACGCATCCAACGTGGCGGCAACCTTTTTCAGCTGGGTAACCGTGGCGAAGTCCGCTTGACTCTTCGTCAGAGCCGCGATGGCGTCTTCTAGAGCCTTGAGTTGCTTGTTGGTGACCTTGGTGTCTGTCTTCTTCGAAAGCTTAGAGAGGAGCCCGGTCTTCTTCTTACCATCCGCCAACGCCGCGATCTTACTCTCAACATCCTTAAGACTCGCGCTGAGAATAGCAAACTCGTCTTGCGTCTTAGCGAGCGCCGAAATCTCACTCTGCAGCGATTTAATTTCATCTGTCACCACTTCGAGCTTTTGTAATTGCGCCGTCGTCGCGAAACCGTTCTGACTCTTTTCTAGCGACGCGACTGCTTTTTGAATGCCCTTCAAGTCAGCCGCCGTAAGCGCGCCGGCTTGCTGTTGCGAAAGCGCCTGCGCACTTTCTTTCAGCTGGGTAACCGTGGCGAAGTCCGCTTGACTCTTCGTCAGAGCCGCGATGGCGTCTTCTAGAGCCTTGAGTTGCTTGTTGGTGACCTTGGTGTCTGTCTTCTTCGAAAGCTTAGAGAGGAGCCCGGTCTTCTTCTTACCATCCGCCAACGCCGCGATCTTACTCTCAACATCCTTAAGACTCGCGCTGAGAATAGCAAACTCGTCTTGCGTCTTAGCGAGCGCCGAAATCTCACTCTGCAGCGATTTAATTTCATCTGTCACCACTTCGAGCTTTTGTAATTGCGCCGTCGTCGCGAAACCGTTCTGACTCTTTTCTAGCGACGCGACTGCTTTTTGAATGCCCTTCAAGTCAGCCGCCGTAAGCGCGCCGGCTTGCTGTTGCGAAAGCGCCTGCGCACTTTCTTTCAGCTGGGTAACCGTGGCGAAGTCCGCTTGACTCTTCGTCAGAGCCGCGATGGCGTCTTCTAGAGCCTTGAGTTGCTTGTTGGTGACCTTGGTGTCTGTCTTCTTCGAAAGCTTAGAGAGGAGCCCGGTCTTCTTCTTACCATCCGCCAACGCCGCGATCTTACTCTCAACATCCTTAAGACTCGCGCTGAGAATAGCAAACTCGTCTTGCGTCTTAGCGAGCGCCGAAATCTCACTCTGCAGCGATTTAATTTCATCTGTCACCACTTCGAGCTTTTGTAATTGCGCCGTCGTCGCGAAACCGTTCTGACTCTTTTCTAGCGACGCGACTGCTTTTTGAATGCCCTTCAAGTCAGCCGCCGTAAGCGCGCCGGCTTGCTGTTGCGAAAGCGCCTGCGCACTTTCTTTCAGCTGGGTAACCGTGGCGAAGTCCGCTTGACTCTTCGTCAGGGCCGCGATGGTGTCTTCTAAAGCCTTGAGTTGCTTATTGGTGACAGAGGTGTCGGTGCTCGCGCTTCGCTTGAACATCCCACCGCGCTTTTCGTTTTGTCGAGCTTCGAGTGCCATGACTTTCGTCTCAAGCTCTTCGACGGCAGTCGAGTTCGCAAACGAATGCTGACTCTGTAGAATCTCCGCTAAAGCTTCTTCCAAAGCCTTGATCTCTCGAGATGCATCCACTTTCTGTAGCTGTGCAGTCGTCGCGAAACTTTCCTGACTCTTCTCCAGCGCCGTGATGGCCTTTTGAATACTCTTCAAATCAGCAGCTGTGAGCGCACTGGATTGCTGCTGCGAAATCGCATCAAGAGTAGACTCCAACGTGCTGATCTGTGAACTCGCAAGCGAAGCGAATTTCGTCTGAGTCTTCTCCAACGTCGCGACAGCGTTCTCGAGCTCAACAAGTTGCTTGTTGGTGACCTTGGTGTCTGTCTTCTTCGAAAGCTTAGAGAGGAGCCCGGTCTTCTTCTTACCATCCGCCAACGCCGCGATCTTACTCTCAACATCCTTAAGACTCGCGCTGAGAATAGCAAACTCGTCTTGCGTCTTAGCGAGCGCCGAAATCTCACTCTGCAGCGATTTAATTTCATCCGTCACCACTTCGAGCTTTTGTAATTGCGCCACGCTGACGTAGTTGGCTTGCTTCTTGGAAACAACGTGAATTTCCCTCTGGAGCGACTTGATTTCCTCCGAAGCGCCCTCGAACTTTTGCAGTTGCGCTGTGGTCACGAAGTCGGCTTGGTTCTTTTCCAAATCCGCCAAATGTGTCGCAAAAGTAGCAACCGTGGCCTCGAGCATCGCAATCTGCTCGTCGGAAACGACCGGCCCTTTCGGCCGTGTTGAGAAGAATCCCTTCTTTGCTTGCATCTTCTTCAGCGCTTCGATTTGTGACTCCACTCGTCGGAGAGTAGTATTCGTGATGAAGACGTCCTGGCTCTTGGATACGGCGTCGATGGCGTCTCGAAGCGACTTGGCCTCCTTGATGGCGTCGTCGATTCGTAAGCGCTCAGCAGACAGTGCGAGATCGTTCGCGACGTTCACCTTTTGAAGCTGCGCTTTGGTGACGAAATTGGCTTGTCCCTTGTCGAGCGCCGCGGTGGTCTTCTCGAGCGACGCGAGCTCCGTCTTGGCCGCGAAGTTCGCTTGCTTCTTTTCGAGCGCCGCGGCCGTCTTTTCGAGTTCCGCGAGCTCCGCCTTGAGAGCGCCACTGCTCTTCTTAAGCTCCGCGGTCGTCACGAAACTATTTTGTCGCTTACTCAACGCATCAATCTGCGCCAAGCTCTTGGATACGGCGTCGATGGCGTCTCGAAGCGACTTGGCCTCCTTGATGGCGTCGTCGATTCGTAAGCGCTCAGCAGACAGTGCGAGATCGTTCGCGACGTTCACCTTTTGAAGCTGCGCTTTGGTGACGAAATTGGCTTGTCCCTTGTCGAGCGCCGCGGTGGTCTTCTCGAGCGACGCGAGCTCCGTCTTGGCCGCGAAGTTCGCTTGCTTCTTTTCGAGCGCCGCGGCCGTCTTTTCGAGTTCCGCGAGCTCCGCCTTGAGAGCGCCACTGCTCTTCTTAAGCTCCGCGGTCGTCACGAAACTATTTTGTCGCTTACTCAACGCATCAATCTGCGCCAAGCTCTTGGATACGGCGTCGATGGCGTCTCGAAGCGACTTGGCCTCCTTGATGGCGTCGTCGATTCGTAAGCGCTCAGCAGACAGTGCGAGATCGTTCGCGACGTTCACCTTTTGAAGCTGCGCTTTGGTGACGAAATTGGCTTGTCCCTTGTCGAGCGCCGCGGTGGTCTTCTCGAGCGACGCGAGCTCCGTCTTGGCCGCGAAGTTCGCTTGCTTCTTTTCGAGCGCCGCGGCCGTCTTTTCGAGTTCCGCGAGCTCCGCCTTGAGAGCGCCACTGCTCTTCTTAAGCTCCGCGGTCGTCACGAAACTATTTTGTCGCTTACTCAACGCATCAATCTGCGCCAAGCTCTTGGATACGGCGTCGATGGCGTCTCGAAGCGACTTGGCCTCCTTGATGGCGTCGTCGATTCGTAAGCGCTCAGCAGACAGTGCGAGATCGTTCGCGACGTTCACCTTTTGAAGCTGCGCTTTGGTGACGAAATTGGCTTGTCCCTTGTCGAGCGCCGCGGTGGTCTTCTCGAGCGACGCGAGCTCCGTCTTGGCCGCGAAGTTCGCTTGCTTCTTTTCGAGCGCCGCGGCCGTCTTTTCGAGTTCCGCGAGCTCCGCCTTGAGAGCGCCACTGCTCTTCTTAAGCTCCGCGGTCGTCACGAAACTATTTTGTCGCTTACTCAACGCATCAATCTGCGCCAAAACCGATTTCAACTCCGCCTTCATCTCCGTCTTGACGACCTTCGCGTCCGTCGTCGTCGTCGCCGCGTTCGCCGCGTTCGCCGCGCGCTCCGCCTCCACCGTCGCCTTCACCCCATCCACCGCGCGCACGCTCGCCTTCTCGCTCTCCAATCTCCTCACCGCATCCTCGAGCGCTGTCAACCGTCTCGTCGTCGGTCCGAGCTTCACGCTCGTCGCGCTCAATCGCACGCTCGCCAACCGCATCGCCGTCTCGCGCACGTGCCAGCTCTGCGCGCACACCGCGATGAGCGCCGTCACCACCACGCACAGCGTGCTCACGATCAGCGGCACCGTGCTCCGCACGCGTATCATTCCCGCGCGCACGTCTCGCTCGCCGCGCGCGACGCCCCACGCGTCGTCGCACGCGTCGTCGTCGTCGTCGTCGTCGTCGTCGTCCGAACGGTCATCTTTTTCGTTTAAATCATCATCGCGCGCGTCCGCGCCGCGCGTGTCGCGCGCGTCTCCGCGCGCGCGCGTCGCGCTTTTCGCGCGCGTCTCCGCGCTCGTCGCCGGCGCGCGCGTCCTCGCCGGCGCGCGTGCGGGCATCGCGCGCGGCGTTGTGACGCGTCGGTCGGTCGGTCGGTCGGCCGCACAATGCGTCCGTCGGGCGTCGCGCGCGGCGACGGCGACGGCGACGGCGACGGCGACGGCGAGGTCGCGCTGCGCGTCGTGGACGCGCGCGACGTCGCGCGCGGCGCGCGCGCGCGCGAGGACGCGCGCGCGAGTCGCACGCTCAAACTGCGGCTCGCGACGGGTGACGGTGAGGTCGTCGTCGTCGAGCGCGAGCGCTGGACCGGGGTGGCGACGATCGAGGACGTCGAGCGCGGCGCGACGGTCGCGGTCGCGCGCGCGGCGCTGGCGCGGACGACGAGTGGGGTGGCGCTGGCGAACGCGGGAGAGGTGCGCGCGGCGGCGCGCGGCGGCGGCGACGCGGTCGGGACGCGGGAACGCGCGGCGCGGGACGCGCGCGTCGACCTCGACGCGCGGTCGACGTCCGACGTCGCGGCGAGGGCGCCGAAATTCGTGGAGTTCGATCCGAGCGAGGCGGTGACGGTGCGCGTGGGCGCGGCGGCGACGCCGGCGTCCGAAGTCGCGAGACGGTTGGCGGCGACGACGCTTCGCGCGGCGCCCGCGGCGGCGGCTCCCAGAGGGACGCGCGACGGCGACGGTGACGGCGTGCGCGCGAACGACGACCCGCCGGCGCCGCCGATAGTGCGGAAGAAACCGGCGTTACCGCCGGGTCGCCGCGCCGTCGCCGACGCGTAGCGCGCTCGCGGCGCGCGCCGCCGCCGAATCGTCGCGCGACGCGCGCGCGTTCGCGACGACCGTAGATTAGCTCTAGCGTAGTTAGCGATGCGTATTCCTCGCGCAGATTCGATCGATCATCGCGCCGCGCCGTCGGACGCGCGGCGCGCGACGACGCGCGCGCCCGAAACACCCGGGAGTAGCCCTCGACGCGACGCGCGCCCGACGCGTCGTCCGCACACGTCCTCGCGCGTCGCCCGAGCGACGCTCGCCGCGACGCGCGCGCGATGCGTCGCGCGCTCGCTCGCGCCGTCGTCGCCGCCGCGCGCGCGCCCGCGCCGGCGTCGTCGTCGTCGTCGTCGTCGTCGCGCGCGCGCGCCTCGACGTTCGCGCGCGCGACCGTCGACGCGTCCTCGCGCGCGCGCGCCGCGCGCGCCGCGCTCGACGCGTCCGCGCGCGCGCGATTCGCGTCGTCGTCGTCGACGCTCCCCGAGCACGTCGTGCTGCCGATGCCGGCGCTGTCGCCGACGATGGAGCGCGGTGGGATCGCGCGGTGGCATCGCGCGATCGGCGATGAAATCAAAGCCGGCGACGCGATCGCGGACGTGGAGACGGATAAGGCGACGATGGCGATGGAAGCGACGGATGATGGGTACCTGGCGGCGATCCTGGTGCCCGAGGGAGCGACGGACGTGGAGGTGGGGACGCCGGTGTGCGTGATGTGCGAGGAGGCGAGCGCGGTGGCGGCGTTTAAGGATTATAAAGCGACGGAGACGGTGACGACGGAACCGGCGAAGAGCGCGGTGGAGACGGCGGTGACGATGCCGGTGGTGAGGGCGTCGACGCGCGCGACGGCGCGGATGAGCGCGCGCGCGAGCGGGGAACGGGTGTTCGCGTCGCCGCTGGCGAGACGGTTGGCCGAGGAACGAGGCGTGCGATTGGAGACCGTGAGCGGGAGTGGGCCGAACGGGCGCGTGATCGCCGAGGACGTGCTCACGGCGCGCGCGTCGAGCGCGAGTGAGGCGGTGACGCACACGGTTGTGGCGGAACATCCGTTGTCCAAGTTTTTCCCGGATTTCGAAGACGTGAGCGTGAGCGCCATCAAGCGCGTCACCGCGGAGCGCTTGACGGAAAGCAAGCAGCAACTGCCGCATTTCTATCTCACCGTAGACGTGCGCTTGGATAACATGATGGGGATTCGTGAAACGTTGAACAAGCAGCTCGCTGATGATAAGGCTGCGGAAGGGGCGAAGATTAGCGTGAACGATTTCATCGTCAAGGCGAGCGCCAAGGCGTTGCTCGCGGTGCCGGACGTGAACGCCAGCTGGTTGGGCGATAAGATTCGCAAGTACAAAAAAGCTGATATTTCTGTAGCGGTGCAGACCGAGCGCGGGCTGATGGTGCCCATCGTGCGATCTGCGTGCTGCCTGGGGTTGAAGTCTATCAGCGCCGAAGTCAAGTCGCTCGCCGGCCGCGCGCGCAGCGGCTCTCTCACGCCCCAGGACATGACTGGAGGCACGTTTACCATTAGCAACCTCGGCATGTTCGGCGTGAAGAACTTCGCTGCGATCGTAAACCCGCCGCAAGCGGCGATCCTCGCCGTCGGCGGAGCTAGAAAGGAAGTCGTCAAGAACGCAGAGGGCGGCTACGAGGAAGTCTTGGTAATGAGCGCGACTTTGAGCTGCGATCATCGCGTCGTGGATGGAGCCGTGGGGGCGCAGTGGCTTCAATCCTTCAAGTGTTATTTAGAAGATCCGATGACGATGTTACTCTAGAAATTGTCACAAAGAATCGCCCTGCTATGACTATCTCGCTAATGCTTCGGCTTTGGATGCTCTCCCAACGCCTCACGAGCCTGCTGCTCGACTTTCGCGCGCTCCCAATCATCAAAAATCTCTCTAGGGACCGCTTTGGCGCCAGTAATTTCGACTTTGCGTTCCTCGCTAATGGTGTACTCGATCTCCACGTCGCACAAAATCACCCTGTACGTGTCAAACTTTCGCTTGTCCACGTCTGCGTTGCGTTCGCGAATGGAACGAATGTCGTACGTCAACACTTCTTTGCAGAATTCAACAAACGCGCTGACATCGGGATACAGCGTCTTCGCCGCCGCGCTTCGAGCGTATGAACTCGCCAACGGCGCCTCGGCGCGTTCCGCGACGTCGACTCGAATAATTTTCAACGGTTCATCCTTCCCGACCGCTTCCTTCCCGACCCAATCCGGCGCCTTCGCGCTCGCGATCGAGTCACAAAACGGCACATACGGCTTTATATCCAAAATCGGCGTTCCATCTACTAAATCAATCCCTCCTATCACTACCACTCCTCGCTCGGCGTCGACGCTCTCCACCGTCCCGACGGACAGCCCGACTGGAATCGGCCTGTGCGGCGTCCTCGTCGCCAGCGCCCCGACGCGCTTTCCGTCCAATCGAGGCACCGCCACCTTTCCCTTCGCCGCACCCCCCGTCTTCGTCCCCGCTAAATTCGTGTTCGCGTGGAACACGTAAATCACCCAGCAGTGCGTGTACTCGTCCAAGCCTTCCAGCAGGTGTCGCGGCAGGCGCGCCTCCATCTTTACCTCGCACCGCGCCCGAGGCACGAGCGCGCCGCCCTGTCGCGGCGTGCCGTTGCGTCGAGAAAACGCACTGCGCGCGCGCGCGATCGGCGCGAACATACCCGTGGTCTTAGGGACGTCGCGGACGCGCAGGATCGATTGCAAGCGCTGCTTTTCGGTCGAGGCGGCGGCGAGTCGAGATTTGAGGCGACCGACGACGCGCGCGTGCGCGGCGAACAGCGCGGCGACGACGACGGCGACGACGGCGCGCTCGCGGTCGATCGACATGACGACGACGACGACGACGACGACGGCGACGACGACGCGCGAGGCGCGCTGTGCGGCGCGCGCGCGCGAGCGCGACGACGTCTACGGGCGCGCGGCGCGAGACGGCGCCGCGTCTCGTCCCGCGCGACCGCGCGTGAACTTACAAGCGCGATAATCAATATTACTTAACGTCTACTCTACATCGCGTGCGACGCTCACTCGAAGACTTCGAATTCGTCGTCTTCTTCGTCTTCTTCTTCGTCGTACGGCTCGAATTCGTCCTCCGTCTCGCTCCCCCCTCGCGTCTCCGTCACGAACGGCAACTCAACGCGCTCCGCGCCCTTATACAACCCGTCCAAATCGTAATGCGTTCGCGAATTCGGCGAAAACACGTGCACGACGACGTCCGCGCAGTCCAAACACGCCCAATCCCCCACCTGCGCCGCGCTCTTCGGCACCGTCAACCCGTACGCCTCGTTCGCCAGTTCTCGCATCTTCGCGCAGCACGCGTTCATCTGCGGTCGATTGAACGCCGTCGCCAGCACGACGTATCGCGCGTAGAACACGCTCTTCGCCACCGACAGCACCTGCACCTCGACCGCGCGCGTGTCGTCGGCGATGACGGCGAATTCGATCGCCATCTTTCGAGCCTGCGCGTCTTGGGTTTCTTCGTCCGCGTCCGCGGTCGTCGTCGCGCGTCGCGTCGTCGCGCGGCGGTCGTCGCGCGCGCGCGTCGCGCGTCGCGTCGTCACGAGGCGCGTCGGCGCGCGACAACGCGTCGCGGGCGCGCGCGACGACGCGCGCATGGCGACGCGTCGAAGAGTGGCGGCGGCGGGACGCTTTTCGGCGCTCTTTGTGTTCCGTGTGGTGACTCACATTTCGAGACTGCCGCCCGACCCTCGCGGGCGCGACGCGACGCGCCGCACACCACGACGCGCGATGTTCACGCTCTCCACGACCCGCATCGGTGCGTCTCGACGGCGAGAAAATTCGAGCGTCGCGTCGCGTCGCGCGGGACGCGCCGCGCGGGACGCGCGCGCGCGACGAGATCGAACGCGCGCGCATCGGCGATGGCGACGTGGCGAGGCGGCGATGCGACGCGCGCGACGCGGTGATGCGCGACGCGCGACGGCGCGCGCGCGACGGCGCGCGATGGATTTGGATGTGGAAATACGTCGGCGTCGTTCGCGACGCGCGTCGAGGACGGCGGCCGCGCGTGGGCGCGTGCGTCGCGCGCGGGCGTACATTTGACCCTAGAACCCTCTTATCTGACCCGAAATTGACTCTCGCGCGCAGCTGCCAAGGCTAACGCCTCGAGCTCGTTCGCTCCGCGACGGGCGCAAACGCACCAACGCGGCGCGTTGCAAGTCGTCGCCGCGGATAAGCGCACGCGCCCGGCGGTGGCGGACATGGCTGAGTTCCAAAAGTCGGCGAGCGACACCGGGAGCTCGGGGGTGCAAATCGCGCTCCTCACCAAGCGCATCGAAGGGCTCACCGCGCACTTGATCAAGAACAAGAAGGATTACGCCACGCAGCGTGGGTTGAAGAAGCTCTTGGGTCAGCGTAGCCGCCTGCAAAACTACCTCAAAAAGAGAGACTTCAACGAATACTCCAAGGTCATGTCGGGCCTCGGGTTGAGAATGAAGTAATCGATTCTTTTGGCGGGTGGTGCGGCGACGCGCGGTATTATATCATAGACATGAGCTTTCATTTCGTTAGGCAAAACATTAATCGGACATCAAGCGACATTTCGCGTCATTTCATTCGCGTTCAGTATGGGCGTCCGAATCGCTGTGGAGGGCCGGGTCGTTGGGGACCGGGAGCGCCGAATCCGAAGCGAGGCGCACCGCGATCCGGACCACCGTACCCGAATCCAGGACCCCGACCGGGACCATCGTGACCGAAATCGCCACCTCGATCGCCGCCTCGTCCGCCGCCTCGTCCGCCGCCTCGTCCGCCGCCTCGTCCGCCGCCTCGTCCACCGCCTCGTCCGCCGCCTCGTCCGCCGCCTCGGCCGGGAACGAAGCCTTCAGGAACTTTGCCCACGTAAACAGGTTCGGGTTCGGGCGGGATATTCTCCGGATCCTGGCCCCGCGCTATGGCTTCTTGCCGGCGCTTCTCCTTTTGTAAGAGCGACTCCGCCTTCTTCTTCTCGAGGTAATCAGACTTCATCGCGAGCTCAATTTTCGCGCCCTCGTGCACCAAATCAGTGCGCGCGGCGACGTGTCTCGCCTCTTCCTCCGTCGCGAACTCGACGAAAACGCTTCCACGGAAATCTTTACTAGCCGTGTGTCGTCGCAGGCGAATCGATTTGACTTGGCCGACGCCGTCGAAGAAGGCTCGGATCGAATCCATCGTCGCGTGCCTCGAGAACGGGCTCGCAAAAACGTATCGCTTATCGAGCTCAACCATCATCGCTTGACGGTATTGAAGCATGCCTTCATCCGTAGAAAAATCGGGCTCCTTCCCATCGATCGTCAAAGATTTTCTCTTCACCCGCGTTCCGTTTTCGCACGCCTCCACGATGTCTGACTGCGAGAGCGCTTCGGCCACCTTTGGCATCATCGCCGAGAAATTGTCGTACCCACCATACGGCGCAAGCAACTCTCGCATCTTCTGAAACCGCGCGATCGTCGCCAATTCCACCGCTCCATCGTGTCCCTCGCGCTTTGATTTGACCACTTCGCGAAGCAGATAGTCGTCTCGCCCGATGTTGGAGTCGCTGAAATAAAAGCTCACCTGGCGGCAAATCTTCGCCCCGTCCTCGGGCGTCAACTGCGCGACGAAGTCGTACTTTTGTCGAAACTCCGTCGAACCGAATCGCATCCCGACCATCATTCGTCTGCGCGCGGCGCGATCACCGCGTCAGTCGGCGCTCTCGACGCTCTCGCGTCGGTCGAGAAAAAGCGCATCCGAGATCGAGACTCTCGACGCGGCACCGCATCCATCCTCGCGCGCGCGTCGTCTCGCATCGCGCCACGCGCCTGTTTATTTTATTTCGTTCCCTCGCCGGTTCGTTACGCGTCGTCGCGCGCGTCGTTGTGCGTCGTCGCGTCGGGCGTATCGCACATCCACGCCTCGTTGACTTTTTCGATAGAAAAACGCTCGATGAAACGCTCGAAAAAAGCGACGCGACGCGGCAGAGCGCGACGCGCGGTTCGCACGCGCGGCGCCGAACGCGCGACGAAAATCGCGCGCGGAATCGCGCTGCGTCGGGCGGCGCGCGCAGACGTCGTGTGAACGCGCGGTCGGGCGCGCGCGACCGCGAACGATCGCGAAGGAGGTGGTTTCGTGGGGTTCGACGGGACGGGGCGGGCGTTTTCGCCATGGCGACGGCGTGCGAGCGGTGCGAGCTCGCGATCGTCGGCAGTGGACGCGCGTGTTTGAGCGTCTTGTCGAGGCTGAGCAGAGGTCGCGCCGAACGAGCGGTGGTGATCGACCCGTCGGGGGCGTGGTTGTACTCGTTCGCGAGGACGCAACTCAGGCTGGGGGCGACGCACTTGAGATCGACGACGACGCAAGTGCCGTTTGAGAACGCATGTGGACTCGAGCGGTACATAGAGACGTTGGGGAAGAAACGCGATGTGGTGCGGACGGGTAGTGGGTTCGCGGGAGTGCCGAGTGTGAGGGTGTTCGCGGAGTACTGCGCGAAGACGGTGGCGGAGCGATTCGGTGGCGTGCGCGTGGAGCGAGGCACCGTCGTGGACGTGCGGTGGTGCGACGAGACGTCGGAAGAGGTTCGTGACGCGTTCAAAGCAATTGACGAGAGCGAAGGCGCTGCTGGCGTGGGCCAGGACGAGCGTGATGCGGTGGCTATGATGCGGTGCGGCGCGATTTTATTGACGCTCGACACCGGAAAGACGTTTCTCGCCGCGCGATGCGTGTGGACGCCGAAGTTTTCCCTTCCGCTAGTTCCGTCCTGGGTCCTGGAAGCGAAAGCGTCGTACGCAAAGTACAACGCGTCTTACGACCGCCAAAGCATCGATTGTGGAATCATGAACGCAGCCGACGTGGATATGAGCGCCACTGATTGCGCGCGAGGAAAGTGCATCTTGGTCGTCGGCGGAGGAACGACGGCGGCGACGCTCGCGCTCGCTGCGCAGACGCGCGGCGCCAAGGTAGTGACGCTGATGTGCCGAAGGAAAATCACCGTGAGTGAGTTTGAATGCGACGTGAAGTATTTTGGGAATAAAGGACTGTACGAATTTCACGCGTGCGCCGACGCGCAAATTCGCGCCAACAAGCTCGAGTCCTTCAAGTCGAAGGCGAGCGTGAACGAGCACACGCACCGTCGTTTGCGAGATGCAGCCTTAAAGACTGATAATATTCGAGTTCTGGAGCAACGCGTGTTGAATGGCGCCGTGTGGAGCGACAGAGAAAAGAAATGGCGCGTTCGATCGGCGCCTACGGATGAAGCCAAAGTGGAGTTCGAGTCGGCGATGTACAGAAGGTATCGCGACGAAGGAATCGAGCCCGATAGTTCAGCGCTCGCCATTTTCGAAAAAGAAGTCACATCTACACACGATGAGATATGGCTAGCGTGTGGTGAATTCGTGGACCTGGCGAAAGATCCAGCGCTCCGCACGCTCGTGGAGACAACGTCCGTAGAAATCGCTCGAGGCTTCCCTGCGCTCGCGGAGGAAAAAATTGAATGTGCGCACGACAAAGGACAAACCGCGGCTGCAGGCGGAGGTGGAGGCTGTCGATGGCCAGGAACGTCGATGTACGTGTTGGGTGCGTACGCCTCGCTAACCATAGGTCCCGGGGCAGACCTCCCCGTGGGGCATCGAATGGCGGCGAAGCAAGTCGTCGACGCAATGAAGAAACACGAGACGGCGATATTGCGCAATAAGAACCCGTATCAAGTCGCCGAAACGAGCAGTGAAGCACAGCGAACGCCGGATAGAGGTGAAACGTTCGATCGCTTCAAAAAGCTCCCACCTGAGCTCGCGGACAAAGGTTTGATTGATATTGAAAGCTTGATCGCTGGCGCCGCGATGGAGCGCGTCGAGTTGGACAATTACGAAATGTACGAAGAAGATATGAGGGCGGAGATTCGTTTGAAAATTCCCGAGGCCATTCTTGCGCGCGATGTTTACGTGTGCTTTCAAGATCGAGCGTTAGAGATGTGGGCGCTTGGTAAACAAAATGCTTATCGCTTCTTCATCCGCAAGCTCTACAAGAACGTCATCGTTGATCGCTGTTCGTACAGGGTGTACGCCAATAAAAATCGCGTCGTGCTCAACATTCACAAGTACACGAACCATTATTGGCGGTATCTTAGAGACAGGTAGGCGATCGCGGCAAATTTCGGATGGTGTTACAAACATGCGCACATCAACGCTGATACAGTACCGATTGAAACAATGAGCAAAGCATTTTATAATTCCTTTCCTTCCTCGTCTTCATTCTCTTTTCCTTCTCCTTCGTCGTCGAACAGGTCTTCACCTTCTTCTAAGAGTGCTTCCATGTAAGCTTCGAGCGCTTCCTCGCGGGCTTGCTCGATGATTCGCACTTCTTGTGGTGTTTTCCAGACACACTTTTTCAGCGCGTGGCAAATCTCGTAGTGGCGATCGCGGCGCAATTTCTGGTGGAGCAGCGCTTGAATGTAAGGTCGACTCTTGACGATGTCGTAACACACTTGCTCGAGCTTCATCTTCTGTCTTGGGATGCGATAAGGATGCGTCTTGAGCGAACGGACGATGAATTCCCGAGTATCAACTTTTTGGTCATACTTTTCGTCGTCTTCGTCGACCTCGACCGCGTTTTCCTCCGCGAGCTTGATCGGATCGAATCGCTCCTCGTCCTCCTCGAGCAAAGAGAACAAATCATATCCCAACAATCCAAGATCAATCGCCCATCGGTACTCATTCAAAGACATCATCGCTCGCTTGCCCATCTCCGTGCCTTCGTATTGACCGTGCAAGCGCAACTGGCTCACCGCCCGCAACCGCAACCACGCCGCCGCCGCCACGTGTCCAGTGATATTATTCAACCCATACTTCTCCCCCAGCACGTTCCCATCGCAGAATTCCTCGGGTTCCGTCGCTTCGTGCATGTAATCGTACATCAAACCTCCCGTGACGTCGTCCGGGTGATGAAATTTTGTCTCCTCCGTGCGATCGTACAGCGTCTTCGTCTCGTTCAGCACCGCCATGCACGCCCCGCACGTCAATCCGTGCATGTACATGGTCGACAAATCATCCGCGAATATCTGCGTGCCGTCGAAATCGCGCGCGTACGTCGGTCCCTTCAGCGGTTCCGGTTTCTTTTTCAGCGTGTCGGTGAAATCCTCGCCAAACTTGACGGCGACGATCGGGGTCGGGCACGCCGCGAGCGCGAGCGCGGCGGCGACGACGACGGTTCGGGCGATCATGACGCTCGTTGGCGTCTTCACGGTCGTCGCGGCGCGCGATCGACGCGTCGGCGCGGCTCGGGGTGACGATCTGGCCCTGCGCGATTGTTGTTATTCTTGGTGTTGCGAGCGAGGCGCATCTGGGCGGGTGACTGGGCGAGACGGAGAGAATACAAGATGTTATGAATGACGAGAAAGAATGCTACGACGCGCGCGAAAAGACGCGGCGCGCGAGATGAATGGACTCAACGCGACTCGCGACGCGGACGCGGCCGGCGGCCGGGCGCTTTGCGAGTCGATGTCTTCGTCGCGGCGGCGCGGACGCGCTTGGTCGTCGCGCCTCGAGCGGCGTCGCGGTCGCTCACGCCGTTTTCCCTGTAAGTGGTCTCTCGCGATCGCTTGTCGCCGGATTTTTTGGGTACTGGACCGTTGACGCGGGCGATACACCAGGCGATGATGTCTTCGCAGATGTGATCGGACGTGGGCTTTTCGTGGCAGAGGTCGTGAAAGACGTCGTCGACCCACTCGAGGTGCTTGTCCGCTGTGTTCGCGCGCTCGATGAGCATCGTGCTCGAGCTCGGATCGGTCATTGGGTCGTCCTTGCCGTGAAATGAAATCACTGGCATGGTGATCTTTTCTAATTCCCCAGCCTTTTTCAGTTTAAGCGTGCTCAGGTACGCCTCGGCGGCGACGCGCACGCGCGTGTTGTTCACCCCGCTCGGCCACGTGTTCGCGTCTTGTTCGACCTCTTGTTGCGTCAGAGGAAACTTTGTGTTCCGCACCGTCTTCGCCAGAGGCACGGTTGGAATAAACATCGACAACAACGTCGTGAAAGGCAACAGCACGCGATTCAGCGGCCGCTTGCACAACTGATCCAAGCTCAACATCGGCGCCAACGTGACCAACCCGTTGGCGACGTCTGGAAACTCCATCGCCGTCTTCGTCGCCACGAACCCACCGAGACTGGTGCCGACCACGAACAGCGGAACTCCGGGGACATCTCCACGTATTAAAGTACAAAACCGCGCGAAATCGCGCACTAAATCATCCAAGCGATGGAAATAGCATCGCTTTCCGGGCGACGCGCTGTCGCTTCGCCCGTGGCCCTGGTGATCGATGCAAAACAAGCTCACGTCCGACTTATTCATGCGCTCGGGCCAAGACGACGCGTAGTGCACGCGCGGAGTGCCGGGCGGGATGCTCGCCAGCATCTCGAACGAGCCGTACACGCCCAGGCCGTGCGCGAATACGATTATAGCTTTGGGTTTCGGTACTTCCCACGAGTACCACCGAATCTTCAAGTTTTGGTCGTTCGTGAAGTCACCCGTGCGCGAGACCTTGGCGGATTTCAGCTTGAGCTCTGGCTCCCATTTTTTCTTCGGGTAGGCGTTCATGATGGGCGCTAGGAACGGCCGCGCCGCGGTGTGCCGCGTAGAGGGCCGAGACGGGCGGGCAGGGGCGGCGGCCCGGACGGGACGGCGCCGACGATGGTACGATGGTGCTGTGGAATTGCAAGAATAACGCGTCGCTATGGTGAATGACGCGCCTTTGTTCAACGCTTCATCGCTTTTCTTAAGGCAGAGCGTCGGCGACTAGGGACCAACGCGTGGCGTGCGCGCTGGGACCGGGCGCTCGCGACTGCAAAACGCCGTCGAAAGCGGCGAGCGCTCGGGCCAAGTTGGCGATCCACGGCGCGCCTTCCGTGCTCATTGGGGTGTAAGGTCCGATCGCGGGGGGCGTGTCACCCTTTCCATTCGTCGCCGCGTCGACGACGGCGGAGATGACGTCCGGGTCCACGGGTTGGGGCGCGAAATCGTCAGGGCGGAATCGCGAGACGACGCTGGCAAGTTCCTCGTCCGTGAGTTTGCCGCACACGATATCCGTGCGAAGCTTGACGTCAATCAATGCGTCCTTCGGAATCATGCACACATCTGCGACGGCTCTGAGTTTCGGGATGATCGATTCAGTACTCGTGCCAACGTTGAGATCTTTGGCGACGCTGGCGAGTACAGAAATTGCTCGCTTCAATTCGGCACCCGCTGAAAACGTCAACGCGCCGCCACCGGGTATCATCGGGTTTGCCAGGGCATCGCCAGACGGATGAATCAATGCATCTAATACAGACTTGTCAAGTGCAAGAATAATCTCCTTCAAGATGCCTTGTCGGAGCTGCGTCAATAGTAGTTGCGAAGAGCAGCCGGCGTCGTCGGCGTCGCCACCGATGATGTCGAGTCGCGTCTTGGCGAGCTGAAACATTGCAGACCAGGCGCGACCTATCTTCTCACCATCTCCATTCGGCGAAGGCCCACAGAAGGATTTCATGAAGTGTGCGAGCGTTTCCGTCACTTCGCCAGGGTTTACTAATGCACTGCAAGTGTGCTTCCAGAGCGACTCAAACGCGGCGTTTCGAGCCAAGACTTCGAGTTCGATCACGTCGCGCGTGTCCAAGTCATCCATCGTGGCCACGCAAATTCGCAGCGCGATAAGCTGAGCACATAAGAACACGAGTCGTGCTGGATTATGCATCGCCCCTTTAATCGCGACACCGAAAGCGTCCGTGATTCTGTTGAACTCGAGTTGAGACTCGCGCTCTCCGAGCGTGGCGCGCACGCTCGCAATTCGTTCTTGAAGACCAAGAGCGGTAGTGAAGCTCGAATCCTCCGCAGTGCTGTGAATGAGAATATCACAAATGGACATACTCACGATCTCGTGTTCCAAATCGCGATTGCGAGATGATTTAAGCACCGAATCCGCGAAACGCGTCCCGCGAGTGGCTGGAGTGTAGAACGCGTCGTCGCTGTGCGATGACGGTGTACCAAACGCAGTCACGTCGTCAGCAGAGTCCGAAAATAAGACAGATGACGCGCCCTCGGTGATGACTGCTTTAGCGTACACATCAATGTCGCCGCGTGCAGCCGCCTTCGCGTTCTCTTCGGCTTGAAGTTCTCGTTCCTCTTGCAATCGAGCCTCGTGTTCAGATGTGCGAAGATTTTCATCTTCTAATCGCTGTCGCTCCTCTTCTTCCTGAGCGGCTCTAATCGCTTCCTCTTCTGCCAGCTGTTGACGTTCTTGCTGTGCAATCGAAGCGATTTGCGCCGCCGCCACGTCTTCATCTTCCACGGCTCTACGCGCAGCTTCGGCTTCATGAGCTCGGGCCTTTTCAATTTCTTCGATGCGCGCGCGCTCAGCCTCGGCTTCCATAGCCCATCGTCGCTCTTCCTCTGCGCGCAGGCGCTGCTCTTCCTCTGCGCGCAGGCGCTGCTCTTCCTCTGCGCGCAGGCGCTGCTCTTCCTCTGCGCGCAGGCGCTGCTCTTCCTCTGCGCGCAGGCGCTGCTCTTCCTCTGCGCGCAGGCGCTGCTCTTCCTCTGCGCGTCTTTGATACTCGGCATTTTCAGCGAAGAGCGCGTCCTCTTCCGCCAACCTTCGAGCTTCTTCTTCCGCTTGCGCGCGTTCGGCTTCCATGCGTGCGTACCTCGCTTCCTCGTCGACGCGAACTCTTTCTTCCTCTGCTCGCTGAGCTTCGAGTCGCGCTTGCTCTTCGAGCTGGCGCTCCTCTTCTTCAAATGCCTTGCGTTCGGCTTCGATGCGAGCTACAGCAGCGTCTTCTTCAGCGCGTATTCTCGCCTCTTCTTCGGCCAATCTCGCTTGCTCCGCGGCGTTTTCAGAGTCGTCTCGCGCCGGCGACTCTTCGACTGGACGAGTGAACTCCGCTGGGGTCTCTTCGTCCGCTTCGCCCTCGGTGTCCAGATCCGAATCGAGCAAGAAACCATCGGAGTCGACGTCACCGCGTGGTGACGTCGCGGCATCTTTTGGTGGCGCACCAAACAATTCGTCGCGCGCTCGCGTCAACTCTGGATCTTCTTGCTCCAACGCGGGAGTGCCGTCGGGCGTCGACGAAAATTCGTCCGATTTCGGCGTCGCCGCCCGCGCGACGATTAGTTCCGCTCGAGCCGTATTCGCTTCAACGTCGGCTTCGTCATTGGCCGTGGCTTCGGAACCCTCGTCGACGACGTCGTCGACGACCGAGGTTTCCTCGACGGGCGCGGCGCGCTTTTTGAACATGCTCGCCATGCTCGTCAACGCCTCCACTTGATCCGCCTGCGAAGAGCTCGCCTGCTCCGACTGAAACCTCGAAGACGCCCACTGGTACTCGCCCCCGCGTTCGCTCGCCGTCGGTGATTTCAACGGCGACGCGTTCGCCGCGTTCGCCTCGCCCTCGCGTCCCTCCGCGTTCGCGCCGCCCTCCTTCGCGCGCACGGAAATCGAAAGCTTCGGCGTCCCCACCGCCCGTCGCACCCCTTCGCCGCACTCCACGTCGATCATTATCGTCTCATCCTCCGTGCGATCGACGTATTTCGCCAGATCGACGTCGCACGCCCCGACCTTCGCCGCCGTCACCTCGCGTCCGCGCGTCGCGTCTTCGGGCAGCGCCAACACGTACAGCGTCAGTGTTTTCTCCTTGTGTCCCGTCTTTCCCGCCCTGCGCACCGTCGCCTCGACCTCAAACGTGTGATCGAACGCGTACGTCGCGCGCGCGCCGTCATCGGAGCGTTCGCCCGCGCGCACGGGCGTCGTTCCGCGTTTATTCGCGCCGCGCTGCCAACCGATGGCGAACTGTCCGGGACGGCCCGACGCGCGCGTGGGCCACGGTTCGAGCGTGCGCACGGTGACGACGAACGTGACGACGCGATCTTTGCGACTGCCGAGTTTCTTCAGCATGGCGACGCGCGTCGAGGTGTGGGGGCGGGGGGGGTGCGAGATTGCGCGGCGGCGAGGCGAGGCGAGGCGCCGAGGGTTTTACAAGCGCGTCGCTCGCGCCGAGCTAGGGCGAGCACTCACATCGCGAATGGATCGATGTCTATGAAAGATGCGCGCGCGCTCTGCGGCGGCGTCGGGCCGGGGGATGGTGGCGCGCCGAAAGGGTCGTCGTAGTCGCCGGGCGGCGTCGGCGGCGGCGCGCCGAAGGGGTCGTCGCCGAAGGACGACGGAGGAATGGCGGGAGCGGGCGACGTCGACTCGTTCGATTGGCCGAACGGGTCGGAGTCGATGCTATCGAAAAAGCCGCCGTCGCCTTCGATGAGCGCGGCGGTGACGGCGGGGATTTCGGATGGGACTTTTCGGTGCCGCTGCGCGGGCATCGACGACGCTCGCGTTTGAGTCGACGCCTCTTCGCGCGCCGTCGTGCCCCAATTGTCCCACTCTTCGAAAGTGCTCTTCGCATTGGCTGAGGCCGGTGATATATTTGTGGACGCCGCCGAAACGCCGCCGAAATCCATCAACGCCGCTGTCGCAGGCGGTTGCGTCGCTGTGAGCTGCGTTTCTCGCATCTGAGCGCTCAACGACGTTGTCGCGGCTTGACTCGCGCGCGTCTCCTCCATCACTATTTGCGTGGATTTCGCCTCGACTTTCGCACGCAGACTCACGTTATCTTGCATCATCTGCGAATGATTTTGCTGCGACGCGTTCTGCGACAACTCGGCGTGACGCTCTTCGAGTTGCTGGTATCGCGCACTCAATTCCTCGTGTTCCTTCTTGCTCGCCTCGATGCGCTCAATGGGTCCGGCCAGTTGTTCGACGAGCTGCGTCACACGTCCTTCCATCACCTCACATTTCTGCCTAAGTTCGATGACTTGCGATTCGGCAACTTGTGCCCTGTAGGACGCTTCTGTCATTCCGGCTTCGCATTTACGAACAAACAATGCGAGATTTGCCAACACTTCTTGAGCCGCGTGCGCGCTCAGAACGTTCTGTCGCTCGTTCATTTCTTGTTCCCACAATTGCCGATCGCTCTTCTCCGCGTTTTCCTTGACCTTTCCCGCCAAATCACGATCTTGTTCAGGGATGGCGTCGATGTTTGCCATTGGCCCTCTGTATGTGTAAGCCTCATTCACTTGCGGTGCCGCTTGCGCGGGTGCGGTGATGTTTTGTAACTGCTCTCGCGCGATGCTAGGTGTCATTAACCCGTCCGTCATGACCGCGTTCACCTGTAGCACTGATGTTGGCGCGGCTTCTGGAACGACGGGAGCTACTGGCGCGGGTTGCTCACCCGCCGTCATGCTAAATGGTGGAAATTGCCCGGGCGGAAGCGATTTGGGAGGCATCAAGCCGTTCCTCGCCTGTTCCGTGAGGTAAGCCGCCACGACGAATTCTGTCCAAACCAAAGACCCATCTTTGTCGGAGTCACTAAGTTCCCACACGTCTTTCAATACTTGCTTAGGCGCGTTCATACCGAGTAAAATTGGCGCCACTTGCTGCCCGCTCAACCGTCCCTCCGGGTTCCCGTTCGTGTTCGAAAGGAAAATCTGTTGATATCGCTGCCAATCATTCGGACCGATCACCGGCCAATCAACGTTCGCCTCCGGCGCCACGGGTACGGCAACTGCAGGCGCTTGATACGCCTGCACCGTGTGCTCTACCGACGTCGCGCGCGGAGGCGCGTCAAACGCGAGACTCGTCGGCGCGACGGGCGCCGGCGCTCGCTCCATCGGCGCCGGCGCCACCGGCGCGAAATCATCGACCCCACTCGATATAGCGAATAAATCGTCCTTCGGCGGCGACGTAAATTCCATCGTGGGCGACGGCGCAACGTTCCCAAACGTCCCGCCAGTCGCCGCGGCAACCGGCGGTTGACTCGTCGTCGCCGTCGGCGCCGCCGGTAACTCCAACCCTTGCATCTTCGGCTTTGGAAATCCTCGCGTATCTCCCGCAAGCGCGCGATCGAACACGTCTCTCGTGATCGTTCCGTACTGCTGCAACGCTCCTATCAGCGCGCACGCCAACGAAAACGCCCGTCGATCCAACGATCCCTCCCGTTCGTGGTCCGCCGCGTCCCAGAGCTTGGCGAGATCGGTCTTCGGGAGCCCAGCGCGCATGAAGAAGTGCACGGCCTCGGCGCCGGAGACGCGGCCGTCGCCATCGGCGTCCGCGTGCGCGAACCAGTCGTCGTACTCGTGCGGTTGCTGCATTTTTGGATTGGTCGCGGCTTCGCGCGCCGTACGCGTCGCGCGCGCCGTACGCGTCGCGCGCGCGCACTGAACCACGGAACGCGCGCTCGCGAATAATCCGACGAGAACGCGATGCGTGCGGCGTGCGAAGCGCGCGCGAGAGTGTTGATGTGTCGTTTGGAGGAATCTCAGATGCGCTTTTTCGGTCGCCGCGTTGAGCGATGCCTAATTGTTGATGTCTACAATGCACCGCGCCGCGTGGGCGCGGATTCATCTAAATCTGACTACGCGTCACCAATACTGCGAAGTGTGTGTCAATTGATTAAAGCTCGTCCTTTGCCGCGGATTTGGCGGACTTGGCGGCTGCGCGCTTGGCTTTGATCCAGGCGGGAACTTTGTACGCCGGCTTGATGATGCTCGGGAACTTTTTCAACGCCGGCGGGTAAGCACCCGGGCAGAATCCAGTTCCGTCGGCGTTATCGCACATGCGGTTGGCGGGATCAGCGACCCAAGCCTTGGAACCTTCGTCTACGTTGACGACTTCGTAAATGCGAACCTTGCGATACTTGGACGTGTACACTTCTCGGAAGTGCTCCGGACTGACGGAGCCTTGAGGGGAAACGAGCTTGAAGAGCAAAGACGACGCCATTTTGGGCGTCGGACGACCAGATCGATCGACGCCAAAAGTACTCGTAATCTTCTCCATCTCCACCGCCGTGGCGCGGCCGCTCCCGATGGAAGCGCCGATGCGGAAAAGGTGAGGGCTCTTGGCCATGTCGTCTCCTCCACCGCCCGCCCAAACAAGCACGTAATCGGCCAAGTGTCGAATGACCTTATGCGCTTTAGCTTCGTCCGAGGTCAACATGCGAGCGAGGTTAGCGATGTGCTCATGATTCCACGTGTTACCGTCTGCGATGGACGTTCGGTTACCAATTCCAGTGATTTGGTAGCCGTAGTCCCACCACGCCATGACGCGAGCGTCTTCGGGGGTTTGCGTTCGCAACCAGTCGTAAGCCTCGACGTAATCCTTGACCATCACAGTTCTGCCATCATTGAGCTGACCTTTGAACATGATGCTCGGCTGAGACATGCCCTCCGCCATTTGGTGCGAGTACTTGTAGAAGACTGGAATCTTGGTCGACGTGAACACCAAAGCAAGGACAGTGACGATCAAGCGAATTTGGCGAACCGTGGACGACATCCACCACTTTGTCATGTCTCTCTTGACCGTAACGCTCAAGGGTTCGGGCTTCTTGTACGCGGCTTGTTTCGACTTCTTCTTCGCCGACTTTGGCGTCTCGGTTTCTGACGGCGTCTCAGCTTGCTCGATGTCGTCGTTCCGCATGATGCTAAGCGCGTCTTCAATGGCGTATCCGATGCACACACCAACCAAGCACGCCGCAACGGGGCCGAGGAAGATGATGAGACGGACCATGCGGTTAGCGAAGTAGTACGCCACCAAGCCGTATAACGGCAAGAACAAGGCGCCCGCGGAACCGTCAAACATAAAGTGCACGACAGAGAAACAGAACCCGATCGGGGCGATGAAATAATTGAAGTGTAAGAATCGGTAATACGAGTCGGCGTTACCCGGCTGATGCTCGGCAACGCTATCAACGAGCGGATTACCGGTCTTCGTGTGCTTGATGAATAAGCTCTTCACGCGCACGGACAAGCCGTTAATGTTGTAGACACCAGTGGCGCTGAGCACTGTTATCGCGCCGATGGCGGCGGCGAAAGCCAATGTGTACATCCGAATGCGTCGCTGCCACTTTTCGCGCGACTCCATACCCGGCTTCATCGTGCGCTCGACAAACTCCAACACTTGGAAACCGAGGAACACTCCCATGGGTCCGAGTTGTTCCGCGGACGTGAAAGGAAGCGTACCGACGACGGGAAACTGAAGCGCCCCGATCGTACCTACCACAAAGAATAACGAGTACGCCTTATACAGCGAAGAGCTGTAACGCTTGTACAGCACGAGCACGGCGGCGTGCAAACCAACCATGTTGAGCACGAACGTGTACCCGCCCCAAGCGGCGACCATGTATGTGTACGCCAAACCAGCCAATCCACCGACCCACCAAGATTTCGGGGTTCTCAAAGCGCGGCACCACGTGTAAAACGTCAGGCACATCGCCGTGACGGCCAAAGATTCGTTATCGTAACCGCCCGCTACGGATCGCATCGTGTGCGCCGGCACGATCGCCATCACCAACGCCGCCACCACCGCTCCCGTGCCGCTTCCACTGCACTCCTTCGTCAACAGCGCGACTAAGAACGTCGCCACCGCCGCGAAGTACGCCGGGAAGAACACACAGACGTCATTCAACGACATCTTTAACCCGATCGCGTTGAAGACGCGCCAGAGAAACACCGCCGTGATCTGCATCCCGGGATAAATCGTCGTCCCCACGGGCCGTCCCAGCGGGTACCACGACATGTAATCGAACCACGTCTTGAATTTACTCCATCCGTTGTCCGCCAAGTACACCGTGGCGCGATAATTAAACCACGGGTCGAACTCGTGGATGATCCTTCCGTAATCTCGAACCGCGTACAGACGAATGTCGACGGCGGCGTAGACGGCGATCGCGAGCGCGATCGCGCGCACGAACCCACCGAGCGAGAGATCGATCAAGCGCTGCATCGCTGGCTCGCGTCGAGTCGCCGCGCGACGTTGTCCCGCGCGAGACGATCGACGACGAATCACGCGAACGCGCCGAAATAAATCAATCAAATCAACGCGCGCGTTTACAAATCACAGTCTAGTCGTCGTTGCGCCGCGCGAGACGATCGACGACGAATCACGCGAACGCGCCGAAATAAATCATCAATCAAATCAATCAATCAATCGACGCGCGCGTTTATAAATCACAGTCTAGTCGTCGCGCCTCGACTCCAACGTCGCCTCGTACCGCGCCGCCCGCGTGATGTCATCCTCGCCCACGCAGCACACGTCAACGCCCGCGCGCAGCATCAACATCTCGATCACTTTGTTCGCCACCTCGAACGCGCTCACGAAGCTGTCGGCGAAGTCGAAATCCGCGAGATCCGCGGCGAGCGCCATGACGAGTCGCTGCAGCACCTCGTCCTCGCCCTCGCGCGCCATCTGCGCCACGCACCTCGCGTAGCTCGCGCCCGCGGCGACGCCGATGTCGCGATTGATCGTCGCGCCGCGCTCCCACTCCTCGTCGAGCCAAAATCGCACCATGCCGGCGACCCAGGCTTGGTCGGCGTCGACGCTTCCGCGCGTTTCGTCCCCGAACAGCGTCGACGCGCGGCGCGTTTCGTCGCCGCGACGCGCCTTCGCGCGCGCGCGAGACGCGCGCGTCGACCGACGCGCGCGCGGGACCGCGACGCGCGCGTCCGCGGCGCCCGCGCGCGTCGCCATCTGCCGTCTGCGGGCGTTTCGGTGGGATTTGAAAACGATCCTTCGCACACGACGACGCGCGCGACGACGCGCGCTCGCGAGTGCGCGACGACGCGCGCGTGAGGCGCGACTCGACGCCGCGCGGGATAGCGCGCGACAGACGAGGGAACGGCGCGACCGCGCGCGAAGGCTCGAACGGGGACGCGCGACGGGCGACGACGCGATGGCGGAGGGCGCCGGACCGAAGATTGGCGACGCGCGGTCGCTGTGGAACTTCACGCCGAGCCCGGGATGGACGAAGGATGAGGCGTACGCGCTGCGACAGTGCCTGAAGAAGTTTGGGATCGGGAAGTGGGTGCAGATCGTCGACAGCGGCGTGCTGCCGGGGAAGCAGATTCAACAGCTGAACGGACAGACGCAACGGTTGCTCGGGATACAGTCGCTGGCGGCGTATTCGGGGATGAAATTGGACGTCGATCGGATCAGAATGGATAACGACGCGCTGACGGACGTGACGCGGAAGAATGGGTTGATCACGAATCAAGGGGGGATTCGAGCGAAGGAGGCGCTCAAGGAGCTGCGAGAGGAAAATTTGAAAAAATACGGGCTGTCGGAGGAAGAGGTGGAGGCGATTGAACTCCCCGCGCCGCCGCGCGCGGCCGCGCTCGGGGCGCAGAGATACATGGGGAAGAATGATATCGTGCCGGCCGAGGCGAAGACGATCGTGAAGGCGGACGCGACGACGTTGTCGCCGGAAGGGTTGAACAAGTCGCAGAAGATTGCCATGCTCAAGGCGCTTCGCAGTCGCGTCGAGAATTTGCGCGTGCAACTGAACGAAGCAGCCACGACCGCCGCCACCACCGCAGAGAATAAGGCGAAAAAGACCCCGGCCCCGGCCGCGAAACGCGCGACGAAGACGCCGGTGAAGCGAGGGAACAAGAAATCCAAAACCGACGACAGCGACGACGACGCGGCGTACGAAACCATCGCCGTCGTCGAGAGCGATGGTCCGGTGGAGATGCTGATGAACATGGGATTTGCACGAAAGAATTGCCTCGATGCGCTCGACACGTGCGGCGGCGATGTTCAGGAGTGCGTCGAATGGCTCATGACGAACTGCGCGTAAAAGTTGCTCCCGCGAGGACAGTATTATAATACAAACGTTTTTGATTAGACGAGACGGAAGACTCAAAGCCCGAATCTGTCGGGTTTCCGCGTGCCATCCTTGAACGACCCGGTTTTAATTCCTTTCTGGATCTCGCTGCTGGTCTTTTTCTCCGGCATCGTCCACTGCTGCGTCTTACAGTCAAAGTACCCGCCCGTCTTTGGATCGTAATACACCTGCGCGGCGACGTCGTAATAGTACCCACTCTTCGTGTCCAACCGCCACGCGCTCACCTCACCCCCGTTCGCCGCCTGTCCCATCTCTCGCGCCGCGTCCGCCGCGCTCGTCGGTCCGGCCAACGCCGTCGACGTCGCGGGCGGCGCGCGCGTCTCCGCCTCCGCCTCCGCCTCCGCCGCGTCTTCGCCCTCGTCCTCGTCCTCGTCCTCCTCCTTCGCCATCGCCGTCGCCTTCGTCCCTACTCTCGCCCTCGTCTTCACCGCCTCCTTCCGCTCGACGTCCTCCGTGCTCACGTCCGCGCGATCCCTCACGCTCGCCGCCGCGTCCCTCGCGTTCGTCGTCGTCGTCGCCGCCGCGTCGTGCCCGTTGTACGCGCTCACGTCCATAATCTTCACCCCGCACCCCGAGCACACCCCTCTCGCGTACGCGCACGCGTTACAGTGCGTCCCACCGTCCCGCAGCGCGCACCGGCACACCGCGCACGTCGCGCGTCGCTCGCCCGGTCGGCCGTACGGCGTCCGTCGCATCGCCGCGAGCGCCTTGTTCTCGTTCACCGGCCTTCGCGCGTCGAGCGCGCGCGCGCCTTCGAGCGCGAGGTCCCGCCGCGACATCGGTCGGCTGTGCACGAGCGCGTCGTCGCCGCGCGCGCGTCGCTTTCGCTCGCACGCCGCGCACACCATTTCGCCCGCGCGTCGCGATGCGACGACCGGACAGCGCGGCGCGCGCGACGCCTCGCCGCGGCGACGGCGCGCGATGGCGATCGCGCGAACGCGCGCCGCGCGCGCGCGCGCGCGGACGTCGGCGCGCGACGGCGCGCGGGCGCTGGGCCGACGACGGATGACGCGCGCGACGACGCGGCGACGACGGGGCGACGACGGTACGGGGACGCCGACGCGCGCGCGCGCGCTCGGTGGGATGGAAGAGTACGCGCTCGACGAACGCGTCGCGTCGGCGGTCGCGCGGGCGATGGACGGGCGCGTCGTGGGGGATGTGTCGAGCGCCGACGCGCTGGGGGCGCTCGCGTACGCGTCGACGCACCCGGCGCTCGCGGCGGCGTGCGGACTGGCGCTGGTTTGGCTCGTCCCGCTCGTGGTCGACGCGGCGTGGAAGTTTTTGTTGTTTCCGTCGCTCGTCGCGGTGGGGGCGATCGCGGCGATCGCGCATCCGGTGGAGACGCTCAAGTTTTTGGAGCGCGCGGCGGAGGAAATCTCGACGCATCCGGAGGAGGCGGCGGCGGCGTTGGCGATCGCGACGGCGATCGCGCTCGGGCCGTACATCTTGGGCGCCGCGCTCGTGGCGCTCGTCATATCGGGGACGTCGATCCTGCCGAGCGCGGTGAAACCGGTGTTACCGCGCGAATTCGTCGCCGCCACGGAACGCTTCGACGCCATCGTCGAGGCGGCCAACGCGAAGGAACGCGAAGTGGAATCGTTCGCCCGCGACGTCAACGCCAAACGCACGGAGTTACGAGCGAAACGACTGGGTCAAGCCACACCACCGCGCGATTCGGACGCTCAAACCGGTAGGTCTTCGCGCTCTGCCGCCGTCCCCGAGTTCTCGCCGGCGACGTCCAAATCGCCGGCGACGCCCAAAGCGGCGGCGACGTCCAAACGCAGAGAAATACCGCGTCGCGTCGCCGCGCCTTCCCCGTCGACCCAGACCACGACGAGTCCGCGAGAAAAACGTCTCAAAAATAGCACGCCCCTAGAACGACGCCGCGCGATGAATGACGGAACCGGCGCGCGCTAGCGCTCGAAGCACTGTAAAAAAGAAAGATTCACCGACACGCCGCGTCGCAAACCGCACAGCGCCACGCGTCGGCGTCGCGCGCGCGGGCGTCGCGCGCGCGGTCAAATGAAACAACACAGACTGATTCTCGATGGGTCTCGTGCGACGCCGCGCGCGCGCGCGACGCGACGGCGTCAAACGATTTTGGCGTCGCGATTAGATTTCGTCGGAATCGTCCTCGCGATCTTCGCCGTCGTCGCGCCGTCGTGCGCGGGCGCGGGCGCGGACATGGCCGACCGAACGTTCGAGTTTATGCATAAGATACGCCTGCCGGACGGCGACGCGTTGAAGGCGCTGTACAAGATGTCCAACGGGCTGCCCAAGGCGGGGAGCTGCTCGACGCCGGACAACGCGGTGTGCGCGAAGGCGACGCCGAACGTCGTCGTGAGCGATGGCGTGGCGTTGTTTCGCGAGACTGAGACGGCTGTTCGCTTGGAGAATCTCGGAACGGAAGATGTCGTCGTGCACGGATGGTCCACGGATAGTTCGTGGTGGTACTTGAACGATTTCGAGCCGGGGGAGAGGATCGAGCCTGGGAAGAAGCGCGCGTACGACGCGCGGTTTAATCCGCAGCAGGTTGGCCAATTTCGCAACACATTATTGTTTAACACCAGTGCGGGACCGCTGGTTCAGCTCCTGACGTCGACGGTGTATAGGAGCCCGTATGAGTTTACGGCGTTGCAGGAAAGCGTACCCTTTGACGTGCCGGTCGAGTACGATTTGGTCATGTATAATCCGACTGCGGCATCAGTCGCGATCTTGAGCGCATTCACGACGACGCCAGAAGTCACTCTCGAGCCTGCGTTGTTTGAGATTAGCGAAGAGAGCGTGCGCTCACAAAAGGTGATCAACGAAGCCGATAGAGTTTCGCAGGTAGGGAAGTGGGATTTACTTCCGGGCGAGCGCGCTCCGATTTTACGCTTGCGCGTATTAATTCGCAAAGATGAATTCGCTGGAACGGATGACAAGCGCACGAGTATCAAAGGTACAGTGGTGCTCAATATCACCTCTGAATCCGCGCTCATGCGGATTCCGTTCACGGTTACACCTCAGCGCGATTTGATTTACGTTGTTGAGAAACATTTCGAGTTCAAAGATTTGGCAAGCGCGAGGGACAAGAGCACCAAGTATTTGCACATATTCAACGCTCGCAAAACCCCAATTGAGATTCGTTCGGTGTTCACCGAAGACATGGATAGAGAGCTATCGATCAAGTTTGGCAAAGGAACCATCGTACCATCGCTCACGACAATGCGAGTCGCGCGTATTACACGCACAGGAAGCGTCGAGGGCAACTTTCACGGCGTCATTCGCGTGCACACGAACATCTCGTCCGCGCTATTACGCGTGCCTTATTCGGCCCAAGTCGTGCACGGATCACTGACGTATGATGCCGACCAGTTGATATTTCAAGCCCCTGTCGGACCTTTCGGCGATGCAGTTCCGACTGACTCGCACATCGTCAAGCGCAAGATACAAATAAAAAACACCTTTACTCAAGCGGTGAAGTTACGCTCATGGAAACTTCCAGTGGAGGATATCATCAGCACTGGCGCACAGATCGTTCCACTGACACACATCAACGAAGAAGTCGTTAGCGCAGGACAGTCATTCACCGTCGAAATAGAATATCGCCCGAAGAGCTTCCTGACGGCAATGGCGACGACGTTGAGTCTGTTGCACAACAACACGTCAACGGGGACGAAGATTCCAGTGATTGTTTATAGCGGTGAGCTCACGGTGTCGAGCACAGTTGATTTTGGCGTGGTTGGTGTAGGCCTCAAACGCAAAATGCGCGTCAAATTTACCAACCACAACCCAGTGGTGGTCGAAGTGAACACGATGATCATCAAAGGGACGCGCAGCGTTACCGGATCGATGTTTTCATTGAACGCCGACGCAAGCTATCGCGACGTTGACGTTGACGTTGACGAAGTATTCGCAATCGATGATTGCATCGAACGTTCTGGATCGACGTGTACTCAAGTAGTTCAGGGTAAGCTTGAGCCGGGAGCGACTTTAGATTTACAGTTAACCGCGGCGCCGACGGAATTGGAAAAATTGGAGAAAGAAGGTGCCGAGCTGGCGCTCACCACGAGCCTTGGTGTTAAAACGGCGACGCGATTACGTCTAGTGTCGACGGATGGTAAAGTCTTTAGTGAGGACGGCGAAATAGAAGTTACAGTTCCAGTCACTGAACTTATTCAAAAGGATCTCATACCGATCAGGCGTGAGGTCATGGTGCATAGCACGCACGGCATTCCGGTTGCCGTTTCTGGAAACCTCGAGACGGAGTCAGACTTTTTAGAGTTTGAAAGTATTGTGGACTCCACAGTGCACGCTGGCGAATCGAGTTCGATTGGTGTGATAACGTTCGACACTACGCGTCAAAGGAACGAGTTGTCGCATTTCGCAGAAACTGCGCGGCTGAAATCGTGGTCCAATCGCTTCAAGAAATACAAGGGAGCCATCGAAGAAGACTATCTCGAGGAATCAATATCGAAAGTAGACGTGCGTCGGTTAGAAAAGCTTCACCGTTCCATGAAGCGACTCGAAGAAGATGGAGCATTGACTGCGTCCGGTCGAGTGATATTTTCTTCGGAAGCACAGAATGGCCATCATACGGTTGAAGTGCGTGCGAAAATCACGTTTCCCAGATTTTTAGACGTCACGTCCGAAGACGTCAACGTTTTGGGTACGTCGGAGCACGTCGTTATCGCGACAAAGGACGTGCCGACAGTAATCAGCGTGAAAAATCCGTCGACCACGCGCGTATTGTGCTTGCGTGTTCTCCCAATCCTCACGAACTCGGCTCCATCTCGCCGATGGAATGGTCGGCAGACGCAGACGCTCGAGCAATCGCTTTTCCAAACAAATATCAGAGCCGCGCGAGCGTACGCGAGCGTTTATGAAAATGGGCTCCGACAAACATCGGTCGATCCAGGTTTTGTTCCAAACTACAAGATCGATCGCGGTGGCGTATGCTTGAGACCTGAGCAACAGATAGACGTGCTGTCCACCGTGTTCGATCCTCGTTCGCGTCAAACGACGTACAAGGCGGCCGTGTGCATAAAAAATGACGACACGCTCCTGGAATGTATCGAGCTCATCGGGTACTCTGGTACATCAGTAGTTGAGACGGAGACTCCGATGAGTACATCGATTTATGTTCGTGTTGTGTTGGCGTTAGCGTGCATCGTGGTGGTCTATGGGACAGCGTCGCGACGAGAAATTGATTCGCCCGCGGGCTCACCGCGCGACGCTGTCCAAGATGAAATGTTCCGACGATCCGCGCAAGAGCCGTGCTCCGTGGATGATGAAGATGCGGAGAAAGCAACCGTGGATCGAATTGGTGAGATGATTCATGGAGAAAGTTCAAGTTCAGAAGCAGAGCGGGAACAAATCGTCGATGAACCTGAGCTCGAAGAGCCCGTGTCTGTCGCTGCGACGCAGCAAAGTGATGATTCTGCCTTGATCAACCACGAATTGACGGCAGTTGAGAAGCACAAACCGCCGGTCGATCGCATACTAGTGCAAGAGCCAAACCGACGTAAAGGAAAGAAGGAGAATGAAACGACGCCTCGCAAGAAAGAGAAGGCAGAGACAGGCAGAGACAAGGCGAAGGGGTCCCGCTCTGAGACCGATCAAAAGCAGAGACGAGCCCGTGATAAAAAATCGCAGCAAAGAGTCGAAGCTGAAAAGACGCAGAACGTTGTGACCAAGCCGCTTGGCCCCGTTCGGTTAGCACCACGCTCTGTTTTTCGTAAAAAAACACTATCAGTCGCTTCGTCGGACAAGGCGACATCGCACGCCGGCGAAAGGGGTTCGCCTCAGGCGCACTTTGATATGTACAACACGATGTTTTCAGAAGCGATCGGTGACGATTCGTACGCACGTAGATCAGAGCAAGGCACGCCACCTGGATCTGTGCGCGAATATACGACGCCTCCGCATTCGCGACCGAGCAGCGTTCGCAATTACGACATGTGGGCAGCACCCGCATCCAGCCGCGGAAACGGCGACATGTGGAGCGGTGACGCTCGATCGACTACAGGTCTACATTCTAGTAATCTCTTCAGCTTCCCGAGCGATGGAGACGGCGTGCGAGCAAGCACGTCACTTCGCGACTCCGAACCATTTTCGCCGCAAAGCTCGACGAGGAGCGGATGGCAAAGCATGTTGTCCCAGTGGGAGGAGCGAGAGGATCGCGATGAGAAAAGCAAAAGTCGTTCGCGCGACGACAGCTTTTCGCACTCATAGTATCGCTTATAATAGTCTAAGTCTAGATGATATCATCTTCTAAGCCTAATTCCTTCAGTGTGTATCGCCACAGCTTCTCTGCCTCGCCTTCGACGAGCGCATACTTGCTCGGCGTACGCTCCTCGCACTCGGATGTAAAATACGGCCCGATGGTGGCGCTCGCCACCGCCTCGGTTCTTGTCGCACAGTACAGCGAACATCGCGCGCCTTGGTCAGCAGTGAGCAAAATTCGCTCGAATAATATCTTATACAAAGACTGTAACCACATCGGAAGCGTGCGAACGACGCCAGTGACGATGTTTCCAGGGTGCAACACCAGCGCGCGCGTGCCCGGCGCCTTTGCGCGCAGACGCGCGTCGAGCGCCTTTACGAATAGCACCTCCGCGAGCTTGCTGGACGCATACGCCGCTTGCGAGCTGTACGACGAGCGTTTAAAGTCCATATCACTCAAATTTAACCCCGTGCACAATTCGTGCAGCTTACTACTCACGAAAACCACCCTCGCATCCCCAGTCTCCGCCCCAGTCTTTCGCAGAGCGTTCAACAGCGTCATCGTCAGCAACGCCGGTGCCAGGAAATTCGCCTGTAAATGCTGCTCCCGCCCATCGCTCGTCCTGACGTACGCTCCAGACATATCGAAAATCCCGGCATTATTGATCAACACGTCCAACCGTTTCTCACGTTGTTGAAACGCCTTCGCGAACGCTTCGACGCTCGCGAGCGAGTCCAAATCCAACGCCATCACCGCGCAGTCCGGCGGCGCCGTCCCGACCGCCGCCGCCTCCTTCGTCCAACGCTCGACCAATGCCTCGGCCTTTGAGGGAGTGCGACACGCCAAAACGACGCGCGCGCCGCGTTTGACGAGCGCACGCGCGGTGGTGACGCCGATTCCGCTCGTCGGTCCGGTCACAACGCACGTCTTGCCGCGCAGGTCGTCGACGATGACGTCCTCGGCGCGGCTCGGGAGGTGCTTGCAGTGATAACGCTGCAGGAGGATGTCGTTCAGAATGTCCAGACGGCATCGGACGCGCGCGAAAACGTCGAAGAGCATGGTGCGCGAGCGCGCGTGTGGGCGCGAAGTGAAGCGAGGCGCGGCGAAGCGTCGTTACGTAAATGGATATTGATACTGACACAACGTACGCGGGGCGCCGTTAGACGGCCATTTTCATCTCAATTTTAGGGTGGGGATCGTAACCGACGATCTCGAAGTCGTCAAAGGTGAAGGAGTCGATATCCTTCTTTTCCGGGTTGATTTTCAAAATCGGAAACGGTCGCGGCTCGCACGCGAGCTGCTTTTCGAGCGGCTCCACGTGGTTCGAGTATACGTGCGTGTCTCCGCAGCAGTGCACAAAATCACCAGGTTTCAAACCGCAAACTTGCGCAATCATGCACGTGAGCAAGGAATACGAAGCGATATTGAAAGGAACGCCCAGACCCATGTCGCACGAGCGTTGGTACATTTGGCAGCTCAACTCGCCGTTGGCAACGTAAAACTGGCAGAACATGTGGCACGGTGGCAACGCCATCTCCTTCAACGCCGCCGGATTCCACGCCGTGAGTAAAATGCGACGATCGTTCGGGTTGTTCTTGATCTTGTGAATGACCTCAGCGAGTTGGTCCACGCCCTTGCCAGTGTAGTCGGCGTGCATGTTCGTGTACTCGGCGCCGAAGTGTCTCCACTGGAATCCGTACACCGGACCGAGATCACCGACTTCGCGTTCAGTCAAACCAATAGAATCCAAGTACTCGCGACTTCCGTTACCATCCCAGATGTTGATCTTTTTCTCGGCCAACTTGTTCGCGTTCGTCTCGCCGGCGACGAACCACAGCAACTCTTCCGCGACGCCGCGCCAGAAGACGCGCTTGGTCGTGAGAAGTGGAAACGATCGGCGAAGATCGAAACGCATTTGATTGCCAAACGTAGAAATCGTCCCAGTGCCGGTGCGATCGCCCTTCACCGCGCCTTGATCGATGATTTCGCGAATCATTTCCAAGTACTGGTATTCTTCGTGCTTGATCGAGCAACCCGCGGGCAGAACCTCGTCGGCCTTCGGGCGGAACTTTCCGCTCTCGGCGTCGGCAGTGACGTACGTCAAAAATTGAAACCTCGTGCCTTTCTCAATCATGGGCTTGGACTGTCCATAGAGCTTGAACTTGGTGGCGTCGATCTTCGGGATGAAGGCGTCGCATTCGAATTCGCCCTCCACCTCGGTGAGGTGCACGGCTTCGCACTTTTCGCTTTGAAGCGCCTCTTCGTAAATTTGCGCCCCACCGATCACAAACGTCTTCTCAATCCTCTTTTCGCTCGACGAAATCGCGCTCAGCGCGTCATCGATGGACTTACGCACCAGCACCCCCTCCGGCAGCGTCTCCGCGCCGTTATTATTCTCGTCGTTCGCCTCCGCCAATCCCCCGCTTCGACTCAGCACGATGTTCAACCTTCCCGGCAGCGGTCTGAATTTCCCCGGAATCGATTCCCACGTCTTTCTCCCCATCACCACCGCGTTCATCGCGTCCCCGTCCCGCGTCTCGCTCGTAATCTTTTTAAAGTATCCCATGTCCCCGGCGAGTCGCCACGGCAGCGCGTTCTCCCTCCCGATCCCTCCCTCGCGCGTCGCCGCGACGACGACTTGAAACTTTCCATCGTTCATCGCGCTCGCGCGGTCTCGTTTCATTCCTCGCGCCGCCGTCGCCGTCGTCGTCGTCCCGCGTCGCGTCGCGTTCGAATTCAAAGTCGCGTTCGCGCGCGTCGTCGTCGCGCGCGCGAGACTTTCGATCGCCCGTCGACCGAGCGCCCGTCTCGCGAGCGCGTGAATGGCGCGCACCTCCGCGCGTCGCGTCGCGCGCGTCGTCGTTCGCGCGCGTCGTCGTCCGTCGTCGTCGCGGTCCGACGCGCGCGTTCGAATTTTCAAACGCGCGACGGAAAGACGCCGCTGACTGTTTGCGCACACGCGTCGCAGAAACAAGACTTGGGTACAACACGGAGCATCGCGCGGTTTAGGGTTTAGGGTTGCGTCTCGCGCGCGACGATTCCGCGCGGCGTCGGCGCCGCACACGCGCGCGCGCGATGCGGCGCGCGCCGCCGCCGCCGGACGACGCGCGACGCGCGGTGGTGACGCCGAATGTTCCGCTCGCGCGCGCCGCGGTGACGCACGCGCCGATCGGCGCGGGCGGGACGACGATGGGCGCACCGCCGCGGTTCGGCGGAGGGGCGCCGCCGCGCGGCGGGCCGGGCGCGATCGGGATGGGACCGCCGATCGCGGGCGGCGCGCCGTTCGGCGCGCCGCCGATGGGCGGCGGCGCGCCGTTCGGGATGGGACCGCCGTTCGGGATGGGCGCGGCGACGGGGATGGGGACGGGACCGCCGCCGATGGGCGGACGACCGACGCCGGGACAGTTTCGAGGGATGGCGATCACGCACCCGAGCGGACTGTCGCCGGATTTGTTGCGGATGTTCGCGCCGAGGGCGCCGCTGAAGTGGTGCGCGCCGCCGGCGAAACCGAAAAAGACGCAGCGGATGCAGGGGGTGGCGGCGTGCGTGAAGGAGTTTGAAACGGCGTCGAAGACGGCGACGCAGAAGCGGAAGGCGTCGAAGAAGAGGAATGAGGACGCGGACGAGGGCGAGATTGAGGTGGACGAGGACGATGATGGGCGAAAACCGAGCGGGGTGTACGTCGTGGTGACCAAGGAGGAACGCGCGGCGCGCAAGCGCGCCGCCGCCGAACGGAAATCTCGCGAGTTGATCGAGGCGGGTTTGGACGGATATCGTCCGAACGAAAACCCGAACGCGACGAGCGATCCGTATCGCACGCTGTTTATCGCACGGTTGGCGTACGACGTAGATGAAGACAAGCTCAGGCGCGAGGCGGAGTACTACGGCGCCGTGTCCGACGTCAAGTTGGTTCGCGACGAGAAGGGGAAATCTCGCGGCTACGCCTTCATCGAGTTCGAGCGCGAGGGCGACATGCGCGCGGCGTACAGGGGCATGGATGATCGTCGCATCGAAGATCGAAGGGTGATCGCGGACGTCGAGCGTGGGCGCACAAATAAAGGGTGGTTACCTCGCCGTCTCGGCGGCGGCGTCGGTCGCACGCGTGCGGGGTCAAAACGTGAAAACGTCGAGGCGCGCGGTCGCGATCGAACGTATGATGATCGTCGCGAACGCGAGCGTAGAGAGATGCCGCGCTCGCCGCCGCGCTCGCCGCCGCGCGGCGGTCGCGCCGCGCCGCCGCCGCCGCGCTCGCCCTCCTCTGAGGAAGAGGGCGAACTCGGCGAGCGCGCGCCGGCGCCTCCACCGCCGCCCGAGGATAGAAGACGCGATCGTTCGCCCAGTCGCGACAGACACGACGACAGATACGACGGCCGAAGTCGTGGTCGTTTCGGCGACGATAGATACGATCGCGACAGATACCGCGACCGCGACGGCTCGCGAGAACGCAAACGCGGCCGCGACTCGCGCTCGCCGTCCCCGCGCGATCGCAGGGACAAGCGCGATCGCAGAGACTACCGTTAGCGCACCGATGCGTCGCGCGCCGTAAGCACCGTAATAACAACATTTAGACGATTTAGTTTACCCAATCTTCGTTTGGCCCGTCGAACACCAGTCGTCGACTCGCCGCTCAGCATCACCGCGAGACGTCCGACGAACGCCTCTCGCGCGTCACCGCCGACGTGCGCGTGAACTCTCGCAGGTCCGTGCGACGCGTCGCCGCGATCGCGTCGATCGTCGCGTCAATCGTCCGTCTCGGTCGTGATGAGCAATTGTTGGTAAAAGGTCTGAATCCACCGCCCTCGCGGCGTGTCGACCACCGCGCGCGATATCGAGCGCGCACACGCCTCACGATGCGCGTTTGACGCGCGCGGCATGTGAGACCCATCCCAAGAAAGCGACCCTGGGATGGGCAAAGGCGCCGCGCGACAACGCGCTCGCGAACAACCGACTCGAGCGTCCGTCAGATACGCGTCGACGGTGTAGAAATCCGTCGGTGTCCCTTGTGACGCTCATAGTGATGTCAAACGCGCGCAAATAATCGGTGGCGTGTGCGCGCGTGCAAGAGGTGGATGCGTTGGATAAGTGAATGATCAAAGCAAGTGCAGCTGAACCGACGACGGAACGAAGCTAACGATGGAAAGCGAAGCGAAGCGCTCCTCGAGGGTCGACTGACCGATGCATAACTCGCGTGATCGCAGCATGGTCACTGAATCAACATCAGGACGCTCGAAGGTTCGTATCGGCGGTCAATGCGAGCCGTTTTGGCGACATTTCAACACTGCCGAATGGGAGCCAGAATGGCGAGCGCTCGTGGGCGTGTTGGAGCACGAGCATGTGTCCGTAGATTGGCGGCTTGCGATCGAACGTTTGCGGCACGACTTGCACGAAAAATCCGCGAACTTGAGGTTGAGTGCTTACAAAGATTGGCTGGGTCACTTGGAGGATATGCTTCATCACGAAAGAAGCGAACAGCTGCGTGACGTTCTCCAAGAGCTCCTCGAACATGGCAAATGGGACGTTATGGACGCGTTATTCGTGAACGCGACGACCCAACGTGACGCGGGCGAGTCGTGTTTATGCTTACGCGTTTTGCGAGGGCTTTGTCTATTCATCTCGAAGATGCGCGAGAAGTTTGTCGGGGAGAAAATGGAATCGCTGTTGGCGCGTTTACTCGACGAGACAGAGGATCAGAAGAACAAAGTGGAAATTCTCGAGTTATTGCTCGTCGTCGTCGCTGATGATCAGAATTCTCAGCGCGACTTCATGAGACGTAACGGCGTGTCGACGGTATGCGCGATGTACACGTCCGACGCGAGCTCGAGTGAGTTGCTAGAGGGGGCAAAAACGTTCATCAGCGTCTTCATCGAGTACATCCTCCCCGGCGGCAAAAAAGCAGCGCTGAGTAGCGCTCTCACCGCTGAAGCGCGCGAAACGGTTGCGGAATTGATCGGAGCGCACACAAAAGATGTATACGTAGTTAAGCTATAGCGGATTAGGGAATAGTGATTCATTAGAGGTTGTCATGATATTGCATTATGTACAGATACAGCGCGATGCATGCGATGCTGCGACGGCGTAACCGGAGTTACTCGTCTTCGGGGTAAATGGACGTGCAGTCTTCGTCGAACAAATCGCACGACGTCACAGGATTCTTCAGATCATTTGCGTCGACGTCGTCTCGACGTGCGGGCGTTCGCGCGGGGACCTTCGGGCGGTTCGCCGGTCCAAAGTTAGCGGTACGCAGGACGTACGCCGAGCTGATGGCGTCGTAGAGCTCCTCGCCCATGCTACTGTCGGTCACTTCGCATTCGACATCGACGAGGACGCAGTGAGAGTCTTGGTCTAACCAAGCGCGCTCGTGAACGATGTGCTTGATCGAAGCACCCACGTCGGCTATCTTGTTGCACACGCCAGCGATACCACCCGGTCTGTCGGGAACGACGCACGCGAAGCGCACGAGTCGCCCGTCCGAGACCAAGCCGCGCTCGAGCACTTTACCGAGCGTGCTCGTATCGATGTTACCACCGCACATGGCGACCACTACTTTCTTGCCCTTGAGACCGGGGAGCTTATCGGTCAAGAGTGCGGCCAAACCGGAAATCCCAGCGCCCTCTTGCACGAGCTTTTCGTTTTCGAGAAGTCTCAACATGGCGACGGCGATGTCTGACTCGCTGACGAGTACGATATCGTCAATCAAGTTTTTAACGGTTTGGAACGAGCGCGGACCCACGGTAGGAACGGCGAGACCATCAGCGAGCGTCGCCGTCGTCGGCGCCTTGACGGGTTCACCCGCTTCGAGCGCGAGCGTCATGGAGGCGCAGCGCTCGGGCTCGACGCCGATGACTTGGCACCCCGGCTTGAGGTGCTTCACGGCGAGCGCGATACCGGCAATCAAGCCACCACCGCCGACGGGAATCACCACGGCGTCCGCGTCGCGAACGTCTTCGAGCATCTCGATACCGACCGAACCGGCGCCGGAGATGATTTCAAAGTCGTCGAAACCGTTGATGTACTTGAGCATTTCGCCCTTCACGACGTAGTTCTCTTTCGCATACGCCGCCGCGTCCGCGATCGTGTCCCCTTCCAAAATCACGCGCGCGTCCAACTTTTGGCACTTCGTAATCTTCGTCAGCGGCGCGATCGACGGCATGATCACCGTCACCGGAATCCCGAGTTCTCTTCCGTGATACGCGAGCGCCAGCGCGTGGTTGCCCGCGCTCGCCGCGATGACGCCTCGCTTTCTTTGCTCCGCGTCGAGCGCCATCAGCGCGTTCCGCGCCCCTCGCTCCTTAAACGACCCCGTCGCTTGTTCCCACTCGTGTTTCAAGTAAATCTCCATCCCCGTCAGCGCGCTCAGCGTCTTCGAGTGCGTGCACCGCGAGCGCACCACCCCTCCGCTCACCTTTTCGTACGCCTCTCGCACGTGTTCGTACGACGGTATCTCCAGTCCCTCCGCCACGCTCGCGCCCGGTCGCGGTATCACCGCGCGCATCACCGTTCGCGTCCGCGTCGTCGTTCGCGTCGCCGCGCGTCGCGTCACCGCGCGTCGGCGCGTCGTCGTCGTCGTCGTCATCGCGACGCCGTCATCGCATCTTTCGCGTCGCGTCGTCGCCGCGCGCGTCGGCATCGCCGCGCGCGTCGGCATCGCGTGCGTCATCATCGGACTTCGGTGCGCCGAGCGTCGCGAGTGCGGTCCGCGTCGCGCGTCGCGCGTGCGTGTGCGGATGAGTCATCGCGAATGGATAATCCGCGCATGGGCCCCCCTGGAAAACGAAGCGACACGCGGGTGTGTCGACCGACGGCGGCGGCGGCGACGGCGGCGGCGCGACGAGACGTTGGATGGAGTTAAATACATGCGCCGACGGACGCCGACGGTGACTAACGCTTGAGGAGATCGTGCACGTCCTTGACCCAGTCGAAAATCTTGGCGTTTTGCTCGTGAAGCGCGAACGCGGCGCGCTTCACGCCCTTGGGCTCGTCGAAGGGGCGGAGGACGCTGTAGTGCGACTGGTGGACGTGCTCGGACAAGATGTGCTTGAGACGCGAGTCCTCGGGCGCGTTCTCGACGTCGACTTTGCGAACGGCTTGCGTTTTACTGGCCTCGTCGATGAGTTTGTCAAAGGTGCAGTCGGTGACGGCGCCCTTGATGCCGGTGGCGACTTGTAACTTTTTGCGCACGTGGGCGTTCGCGGTGTCGAGGAGCTCGTGCGTCTCGGTGGCGACGAGGAAGCCTCGGAATTTACCAATCTTTTGGTTGTAAAAGATGCCACCGGCGACGACGATGATGACGGCGACGTTTATGGCGTAGAGTGCGAAGGAGACTCCCGCCTTGGTCAAGAACTCTTTCTTGGAGAAGGTGCACATGAGGTCGGCGGCGTTGTCGCATCCCTTGGCGATGCCCAACGCGAAGACGATCATGACGCCAGAGTTGACGATTGGCGGCAAAAGTGATGCACTGATGGCGACACCGACGAGTGAGTTGACACCACTACTCGAGATGGCGTTCGCGACGACGACGCCCGAGGCGACAGCGATTAAGCAGCCTCCGACGAGACCGTTCGTCTGTCCGCGACCAGCCATCTCCGTCGTCGGGATTGGATTTTCGCCGTACGCCACGGCGAAAGGTCCGTAGACGACGCCCACAACCGCGCCCATGAGGAAAGTCACGACCGCCGCGCGACACTCAGCGGCAATCGAGCCCCAAAACAGCACCGGATCCCCGATCGCGAGCCCAAACGCAGAACTCAAAATCGGCCCCATGAGCGGCGAGATGAGCATGGCGCTCAAGACGACGACGGCGGAATTCGTCAACAAACCAACGCCCGCGATCACGCTCGCGCACATGACCGACACATAAAACCCTCGTCCATCGCACGATTGATCGACGATTTCGTTGAAAAGCTCCTCAACACTCTTCCCCGTATCCGCCGAGATGTACTCAATTTTCCGTTTCTCCAACCGGTCCCGCCGCCGCTTCCACCGTCTCGCGAACTGTCGATCCTTCGCCAGCGCCCCCTCCGCCTGCGCCTCGACCTTCGTCTTCAAATCGCGAAACTCTTGCACCAACGCCGCCGGATTCGGTCGATGACTCGCCACCTGAATCGACGTCACCGTGCCGAACACCACGCCGACGCCGCAATTCGTCAGCACGTTCATCAATTCGCCCGCGCGCGCCGCCACGCACACCACCATGACGACGACGCAATTTTCGCACTCTTTGCACACGATGTACTCCCCGACGTGCGTTTCGTGTCCGATCCCTCCCTCGTGCGTCAGCGCGTCGAGGACGAGCTGCCGATGACTGTTCGGGATCGAGGCTTCGATTTTGCGCAGCGACATGGCGCGTCGACTTTAGGTGGATTCGCGCGCGATCGCGAACGCGATCGATTCGCCGAGACGCGTCGGCGTTCGTTCGCGCGCGTCGCGCGCGTGCGTCGGCGCGTCGCGTCGGCGCGTCGCGTCGGCGCGATCGCGTCGGAGAATGTCGCATTGGCATTCGAAAACGGGTTTCGTTACAGAGGCGGTCGGTCGTTACAGAGGCGGTCGGTCGGACGGATGGGCGCGAACGCGCGTCGTCGCGCGCGCGGGTGCGGCGCGCGCGTCGGGACGATCAGGGAACGAAGTGCTCGGCGACGGCGCAGCGCACGCCGCCGCCGCCGACGCGCTCGATGGTTGAGAAATCGACGGCGACGACGCGGTCGTCGAAGGCGGCGCGGAGTCGCGCGCGCTGCGCGTCGTCGAAGGCGGCGAAAGCGCGGGCGGAACACGCGAGGGCGGGCTCGCCGGAAGCGGTGCGCAGCTCGAGGACGTTGCCGCAAAAGGCGTCGACTTGGGCGTGGGTGATGGTGATGATTTCACGGCGGCCGCCCGCGGCGAGCGCGTCGAGGACGCGTCGACGATCGGCGGGATCGGCGATGGAGTCGGCGCAGACGATGGCGACGGAAGAACACACGCTCATCATGACGTTGGTGTGGTAGATCGGTCGACCTCGAGCGTCGAGGGCTTTAAACGTAATCGGCGTGAGATTTTCGGCGGCGCAGTGCTCGGCGACGACTTCCTCGTGCGCGCGTTCGGAAAGCGCGACGTACGCGACGCGTTCTTCGTGGTCGACCACGAGCGATCCCGTGCCTTCGAGAAACTTTGGAGGGTCTTGACGCTCGTATCGCAACAGCGAGTCGTCCACGACCAAATTCGGGTGCTTGTGCTTCAAGAATTCGATGATATCCTCCCGACGCTCGAGTCGGCGGTTTTCGTCCTTCATCGGAAAGAGTTTCAACTTTCCATCGCGAAGCGTGTGCCAATTGTTCGGAAAACACGCGTCCGGCGTGGCGTGCTTCTCGTCGTGCGTGAACAAATTAATCTCGATCCCGAGCGCTCGTAAACCTCGATACAGCGCCTTATGCTCCGCCACCGCGCGTTCGCGAATCTCCAAAACGCTCAATCCGTCGCTCGTCGACGCCATAAAGTGATTATCGCGCGCCGCCTGCGCGTTCGTCCCGAACGCGCTCGGCACGATCATCAAGCACTCATTCGCGCTCTGCCCTCCATGCGTCGCTCTCCTTCCCGCCTCGATCGACGTCTCCGCGCCTCCGAACAATCCGTCGCTCGGCTCGACGCGTCTCAACCCGTTCCCGTCGTCCGTCTCCACCCCCACGCGCGCGCCGCGCGCCGCGAACCACGCGATCGCGTCCACGCCCGCATCCGTCAGCCTAAACGTTTCTCTCGCGCTCTCGCGCGCGTACGCGTCCACGACCAACGGTTTCTCCCTCGCGTTCTCGCGCGCCAGCACCACGTCGACGCCTCGCGCGCGCTCCGCCTCCGTCGCGCCTCGAAACGCGCGCTCGACCCCTCCCTCTCGCCCGCCGCGCGCGGGAAACGCCTCTCGCACCGTCGCCGCGCGATTCGGCAGCGGCTCCTCGTCCTGCTCCGTCCACAGCGTCGCGCGCGGCGCGCGCGCCTCCGCCCCCGCGCTCGGTCGCGCGAGCGCGAACGCGTCCGCGACGCCGTCGACGACGAGCCAACGACGCATCGCGGCGGGACACGCGACGAAGGACGGCGCGTTGGACGACGCGAGGCGCGCGAGACGACGCGCGGCGTCGCGACGGCGCATGCGCGGGCGTCGCGGCGTGACGCGGGGTCGAACGACGACGGACGCGACGGCACTCGACGACGCGCGCGAACGGCGAACGGCGACGGCGAACGGCGACGGCGACGATGACGACGACGGCGTTCGTCGAGGGCCTGTCGAAGGCGTTCGGGCTGATCGTGCTGAGCGAAATCGGCGACAAGACGTTCTTCATCGCGGCGCTCATGGCGATGAAACGACGACGCGTCGACGTGTTTCTGGGGGCGTGGAGCGCGCTGTTCGCGATGACGGCGCTGAGCGCGTGCGCGGGGACGATGTCGGCGAGAGCGCTGTCGCCGGTGGTGACGAAACGGGCGGCGACGGGGTTGTTTTTTGCATTCGGCGCGCGAGGCGTTCGGGACGCGTGCGCGCGAGGCGACGACGACGACGACGAGTTGAAAGAAGTCGAGGCCGAACTCGCGGGACGACAGCGAAACGCGAAGAAAAAGGCGACGACGTCGTGGGCGGTGTTCGCGGAGGCGTTCGCGGTGACTTTTTTGGCGGAATGGGGCGACAGGTCGCAAATCGCGACGGTGGGACTCGCGGCGCAGAGCGACGTCGCGGGCGTCACCCTGGGAGGAGCGCTCGGGCACGCCGTGTGCACGGGCGTGGCCGTGATCGGTGGTAGACAACTCGCCGACCGCGCGGCCAACGCCGAGCGCGTCGTCACCGGGATCGGAGGATGTTTGTTTTTATTATTCGGCGTCCACGCGTTGCTTTCGGGATGACGCGAGACGCGTCCGAGCGCGCCGCCGACGAACGTCGCGCGTTTCAATTCGTATTCACGCGCATTTCATCGTCGCGCGCGCCGTCGCGCTTATTTTCGACGCGATCGCGCCGCGAGCGTTCGAACGCGCGCCGCGTCTCGCTCGGAGTCTCTCGCGTCGTCGTCGCGTCGCGTCGCGGCGTCGGATTTTTAAACTGTCACCGTCGCCACCTGCGACGAAATCGTCGACCGCACACGCGCGCGCGCGCGCCGCGCGGTGGTGCGCGACGAAGAGCGGACGAGCGATGCGATTCGCGTCGCGCGCGGACGCGGACGAGGACGAGGACGAGGCGTACGACGCGTTGGAGAGGTGCGCGGTCGACGACGCGCACGATGCGCGAGCGACGACGACGACGACGACGCGCGCGACGCGCGCGAGGCGCGCGACGCGCGAGGCGCGCGTCGAGCGGAATGACTGACGGAAACGCATCGTCGCAGCGCGCACGAACACGAGGGATTGCTGCAGGCGGAAGCCGGGCGCGAGGACGAGGCGCGCGAGCGGGACGGCGACGACGCGCGACTGTTTTCGGGCGTCGGCGAGGACCTGGATGGGAAATTCGCGCGATTGTACGCGTACTTTAACGCGAAAGGGTACCGATGCGCGCTGACGTCGAGGGTGGTGAACTTGTGCACGCTCGGATTTACGATTTGGTTGAGTGGGTTGCTGTTGCTGTACGTGGATTACGATTATTTGCGAAACCAGTGCGCGTCCGAGGCGGAGCAGTGCGATATTTTGCGGGATGCGGTGTTTAGCGAGCCGTATCAGTACGGTGGTTTCGTGCGAAACGCCGTGGTGACGATGTATTTGCTGTTGTTCTCGGCGTATTGGGTGTGGAGCGCGACGCGGTTGGCACACGACGCCGCGCCGTTGGCGACGATGCGGAAATTTTGCAACCAAAAGCTGGCGCTGAGCGATAGGGATTTGTACACAATCACGTGGCCAGAGGTGCTACAGCGCGTGGTACATTTGCAAGCGACGACGAGGTTGAGCATCGCGCGAGATTTGAACGAGCACGACATCGTCGCCCGGATTTTGCGAAAGGAGAATTATCTCACCGGTATGGTCAACAGAGACGTGCTCAAGCTTTCGCTCGACGCTCCAGGATTGCAAAACCATCGCTGGTTCACGAAAGTCATCGAGTGGAATATCGATCTAGCGGTTTTCCACGGCATGTTCGATGACAACTTCACGATTGTGCCGTCATTTTACGACGTTTCTGCGTTGCGTCATCGTTTTCGATGCCTCGCCATCATCAACGCCATTCTTTCGCCATTCGTCGCGATTTTCCTCTCCATGTACTTTGTGTTGTCGTACGCTGAAAAGTTTTACAACACCCCGTCCGCGGTCGGAGCGCGAGACTGGAATTCTTACGCATACTGGCGCATGCGCGAGTTCAACGAGCTTCCGCACTTTACGCAGCAAAGATTAGCCGCAGCGTACCCGCACGCGAAGAAGTACGTCGCGCAGTTTCCGTCGCCGGTGGTAAACATTTTGGCAAAGTTTGTGTCATACGTCGTCGGCGCGTTCGCGGCATGCGCATTGTTTTGTGCGATCGTGGACGATCGATTGTTGCAGGCTTACGTCGGCGATCGCGATTTACTTTGGATTACGGCGGTTCTCGGTACCATTCTCGCGTCCTCTCGGGCGTTGATGGCGACGGAAAACGCCGTGTTCGAACCCAACGTCATCATGTCAAAGATTGTCGCGCATACTCATTACTTGCCCAAGCACTGGCGGGATGCCGCACACAAGGAAGAAGTTCAACACGAGTTCAACTCTTTCTTTTCGCTCAAGGCTGTGATGTTTCTGGAAGAGATTGCATCCGTCTTCGCGGCGCCCTTCGTGCTTTGGTTTCCCTTGTGCGATTCTGCGGACGACATCATTCAGTTCGTCCGACAGTTCACGGTGAACAAATCAGGGGTCGGGGACATGTGCTCTTTGAGTGCGTTTGATTTCAATCGCCATGGGAATAAGCACTACGGCGCGCCAAGTCACGCGAGCAAGGAGCAGCGCAGCCGCCAAGGGAAAATGGAGAAGAGCTTCTTGACGTTTCAGGCGACTTATCCTGCGTGGGAACCGGACGCAAGCGGACGCGACATGTTGAACTCACTCAATGGATTTACTAACGCCAACGAGAGTGCGCTCGGCCGATCTGCTGACTTGAGTGCGAGTGTTCTGAAAAGATCAACTCGCCTGAAGGATCTGTCGACGTCTCCCGAGAAAGCCGGCGTACGTCATCGAGGTGGCAATGGTAACGCCATCTTGCGTCAACCAGCGCATGGGAGCGGATCGATGTTTCAACCGGCGTTTGTTAGCGATATACGAGACGGAGACTCGCTCGTTGAGGCGCTCAGCGCGAGCCAAACCGTGTTGCAACACTTCTACGAGGATCAAGCAGATACGCACGATGTCGACACCGCGGCTAGGAACAGCCCGACCCGTGACGATGTTTCGGGCGACGCCATAAAAGCTGGGACACCAACGATTGATATGATTCAAATGTATCAGCGTCCTGCCGCGACAGTCACGCAAATGGTGTCGTTTCCGGAAGAAGCTTCGATTGACCGCGCGCAAAACGGGCAGCCTTCTGTGCTCGACTCTTGCTTGCTGCCAACATCAACGGTTCTTCCGCCGGTGGAGGACGCCACATGGAGAGAACATTAGAATGTAAAACACTGTAAAACACTGTAAAACACTGTATTCGATAGAAAGCTACTGTACGACTATTTCTTTGACTTCTTTGCCGGCTTAGCGGGTGTTTCTTGTGCGCGCTTCACTGACGCTCGAGTCTTTTTCGCGACGGGCGTCGGCTCTTTCTTCTTCCCTTTCGCGGGCTCTTCTTCGCTTGACTTCTTCTCCTTCACCTGTGCTTTCGCAGGCGTCTTTTTCTCCTTTGCCGGCGTCTTCGCCTTCGCCTTGGCTTCCTTGGGCACCACCTTCGGCTTCTCCGTCGACAAAATAGCCTTGTAGCCCGGGAAATCATAGTCAATCCCAGCGGCTGCGATCTTCGCTCGACGCTTCTCTTCCGCCTTCACCAAACCAACATTGCGTTTCACCTTCTCCTCGTCAGTTCGCTCCTTATTGTGCTTCGCCGCCGCTCTTCGTTGCCACGGCACCGTCTTGAACTTTGTCCCCGTCCCCTCAAACGTCTTCGGGTGCACCTTCTCCGGCTCCAGCAGCGTTATCTTCAGCACTTGATTCGCGAGCAAATAATTATTCATGCTCTCCGCCACGATCGACGCTACCTCGGGGTGCTTGAACTCCACGAACGCGTAGTGCTTGCTCTTTCCCGTTTTTTTGTTCCTACTCACTTTGACTCGAGTGACCTCGCCGAATTGCCCAAAGTACTCCTTCATCTGCGCCTCGTAGAACCCGTGCGGGACGTGGCCGACGTAAATCACGCGAGGAAGTTCCTTTTTACCTCCCGCCTTGCCCTTCTTCGTCGACACCGAGGCGAGCGGGATGACGTCGCCGGTTTTTTCCATCTCTTTGCCGGCGGCGGCGGCGCTCTTCATCGACTTTTTGGACGTCGAGGGCATCGAAAGCGGCCGTGTGCGTCGTGCTGCGCGCGTGCGTCGCGTGCGTTCGATGTGGCGATGCCGAGGGCAGCGGCGAGGGGTCGCTCGAACGCCGAGCGCCGATCTATGAAGCTCGTGTCGGAGAGTGTTGAAGTGTAAAAGTTTTAGAAAACGCAGTGTTACACGAAAGCGCGGCTACGCTTCGAAAAGCCAATCACTGAGGTCGGTAAACGCGCCACTGAACGACACTTCGCTGATAGTTTGTAACGTGTCGCGGACGACATCACGAACACCCGAGTCCGCAAGTTTCTGTTGGGTGTCAGGATTGGCTGACGCTGCCGCGAGGACGGCGCCGCAGCACGATTCCACGACTTTCAAATCCCCAAGGTGACAGTTCATGGCGAACATGAGCGGTTCGTAGACTTGTTGTTGCACAAAGGTGTGCTGTCCGAATTGACCACCGAGGTGGATGCACACCCACACTGCGCGGGCGGCTGCACGAACGACTCGAACGTCGAGTGGGAACGTGCGCAGGGTCACCGCGAGCGTCTCGAGCGCGCTGCCGCTGACAATTTGAGGAGCGTCGCGGCCGAAAAACGCAAGCTCGCCAGATATCAATCCGCTGATTGATCTTGCTCCGTGAAGCTGAATATCTACGGCCGACTCGGCGTGACGCATCAACTCCAAAGCGGTTTGCAAGCCGCCGAGTTGGTACATTTGATGCGCATTTGGTCCTTGGAAGACGCGAGAAATTGCGGCGAGCGCGCGCGTCGCCCATGTCCATACGTCCTCGGCATCGTGCCAGCCAACCGCTTTCGACATCGACCCTTGTTCGTGTTCGAGCCAGCCGGAGCGGGGAATGTTGTGATGAGCCGGCGTCGTCGCCAAGTGAACCAAAACGCGGGCGCAGCGCTTCTTTGCGTAATACGCAGCGTCGCGCTTCCGTGGCGTTGGGATCGGACGCACGGCAGTAGATAAAGCACTGAGCGTCAACGAATTCCACTGTCGTTGATCCCTAACCTTGGCAAAAGACACAGAGTACAGGAGATTGAATAAGGAGACTCGTTTCAATCCTCGTAGCATATCCGCGGCTTCGTCGTACACCAACGTTTGACGTTCTTCTTCGACTTGCACGACTTCAAGGGGCGAAGTAGCTTGTCCAGTTCGTTTCATATCGCTTAACTCCGCTAAAAGCTCAGCCAACCGGCTGCGTAGCTCTTCCATCTCTTGTTCAAGTCGCGCGATCTCTTGACTCATTTGCGCCTTTTCGCTTTCGCAAGCGTTCAACGCGTCAATCTTCTCCTGCAGCTGGCGCGTCTCTTGACGAAGTCTCGCAGCGTTCACGTCACCAGACGCTCTCGAAATTTCTGCGGCCGTCCTTTCGCTCGCGAGCTGGTTTTGTAAGTTGGAAATTTCTTCTTCCAAATGCGCCACAGTCTTTCTCGCCGCAGCCTCTGATTGCTCAAGTTTCAATTCCGCCGCTTCCTTCGCCGCTTTCTTTCGTCCAGCGTCCATTTCGAGTTCACCCAGACGTTTGAGCTGATCAGAAAGACGCGCGCTATTGGCTCCTTGCAGCTCTCGAATTGACGCCAGCTCCTCCTCCAAAAATTCGATGCGAGTATCGCGGTTGCGAAGCTGAGTAACTCCTTCGTCACGCGAAATTTCACACGCCTTCAACTTGGACTTTGTCTTTTCATATCGCGAATTCAGGGCATCCAAGTTAGACTCGTGCTCGACGATGACCAAATCCTTTTCGCGCGACTGCGCGAGGAGCTCTTCTTGCATTTCCAATCGTTCTCGCATGGATTCGTTGATCTTGATCAAATCAGCGAGCTCATCACCCAACGCCTCGTCGCTGTCTTGGAGCTTAATGACTTGCGCCATCAGTTGATCCACTTCCTCTTGCTTGGACACGACTTCTTCAAGGAGACGCTCCTGCTCATTATTCAAGCCTTCGCGATCAGAATCAATTTCGCTGAGTCGCTGTTGAAGCTGCGTAATTTGAGTTTCGTGCATCGACTTTGATCTGCGCAGTTGTGCTTGCAAATCAGCATTATGCGCCTCGAGCTGCGCTTTGGTGCGCTCACCGGCGGCGTATCGCTCTTTGAAAATAGCCAAATCTTCTGCGACCAACGTGAGCTGCTTCTCGACGTCTTCCTTCGATGAAAGAAGTGTCTCAATTTTTTCATCCTTTTGTTTCGCTGCCGCCGAGGATTTGGTGAGTTGCGCCGCGGCGTCTTTGAGCCTTTTGTTTGCACTCTCGAGCTCGTTTTGCAGGCCACCTCGCTCTTTACCAGTGCTATCGAGTGAGTTGATAAGATCGGCCATTCGCTTTTCTGCTGATGCCGTGTCCGCGCGAGATTCTTCAACCACTTGTCGAAGCTCAAAATTCTCCTTCTCGGAGTGAACGAGTTTGTCTGAAAGCTCTTTGATGACCCCACCCTCTTCAATCAACTTCTTTTGAATTGTGTTAACGCGTACCGTCAACATTTCTTTCTGCTCGGTAAGCTCTAACGCTCGCGCTTGCGCTTCGTGTACTCGAGTCGTGAGTTTAATGTTCTCTTGTTCGAGCCCGTGCTCGTCTTCGGCGTGCTCTCGTGCTTCACTACCCTCAAGCTTCGAGGTCTTGACAACAACGCGTTGCGACAAACGTTTGGTCACACGTGCGTTGTCCTCCTGAAGTGTCTTGATTTCTTTTCGAAGATTCGCACTAGCGTCTTCCGCGAATTCGCATCTTGTCTGCATTTGCTTACTCCGCGCTTCGGCGGCTTCGCATCGCTTGCACACTGGCACGCCTACAACTGGTTCCACGGTAGGTTCTTTTGATTTCGACGTACTCGAGACGGTTTGGTGGTTTGAATTCGCTACGACACCCAACAGGAGACCTACAGCGGCGATGAGCGGGTAGACGAGGAAAGTCAAGGTGCTTGATTTCTTTGATTTGCACACTTGATCCTTTGCAGCATTCGCATGTTCATTCGCAAGTTTGATCGTCTCCTCAAGGCTTCGCTGCACGATCGCATGTTTCTCCTTGAGCTTTTCAAGACTGTCGATATCGCGATTCTTAAATTTGACGTTTTCAGCTTTACTTTCGGACAGCTTGGCGCGGAAGTCCGAATCGAGCGCTTGAATGGCGGCGGCGTGCTTCTTCTTGAGCTTCTTGACTAGCGCGTCGTGTTGTTTGAGCAAGTTCGTTGAACTGGAAGGATCACCTCGAAGCTCTCTTTCATAGACCAGCACTCGATCTTGCAGCGTAGAAACCTCCATCTGCGCGTCTTCGAGCTCGAGTTGGGATTTACGCAACCATCGCGCTCCCTCGTGCTTTGCGTCCATGATGTTTGCCTGTGCGTGCGCCATGAGCTTTTCGTTCTCGGCCTCGTGAACGGCGGTTAAATACGCAACATCCTCTTCGTGTTTGAACTTCTGGTGCTCGAATTGTTGTCTCGAAAGCGTGAGCTCAGCGCGAAGAAGCCGGATTTGCTTATCCACAGCGATCGCAGAGTCGACTTCGCTGTTCTTTTTCAGGCGTGCCAACTCTTTTTCGGCCTCTCGTAGTTTGTAACTGCACGAGCCCGCGAGCGGTGATTTCATAGCGCCTCCCCAGCCATCGCTCTCACCACGACGCAGGGCGTCTAGAGATGCCTCGCATTCGTCGACATCGCTGAGAAGATTTTCATGCCGCGTTCGCAACACGGTGAGCTCAGCCATGACCGTGCCAGAGGTGACGCCGCGGGCCAGATAGCCGTGATCGAGCGCCGAGAACGTGCGGATCGCTTCCATCATCCCAACTCCTTTTTGTCCAACGCCCACGGCGTCGTCAGCGAACAACGACCCGGAGAAAACGAGAAAGGCGACGAGAATTGCGAAGGCGCTTTCGCGAGAGAAAATACGCCGAACGATGGTCCTCGCGATTGCATCCGGATGTTTCGCTCGCTTCCGCTCCGCGTATCGGCGCCAAGCACGCTGGAGCTTAATCACCGCGGCAAGCTTTTTCGCCTCGACATCCACGTCTGCATCGTAACCTCCCTTTCTTCCTTTGCCCTCGAACAAACGCTCGCGCGCTCGCCGCGCCTTGTCGCTCGCCGCGAGCTCCACCTCCGCGTCGCGCTTCGTCGCCGCTGCTCTCTTGAGCTCCTTCTCCGCCTCTTGAAAGTCAACAGACGCGCGCTCCAGTTTCATATTCGCTTGCTTCAGCACTGCATCCGCGACTTGCGCTGCTCCGGGCAGTCCGCTCTTCTTCGCCGCCGCCGCGCGTTCTTGCGCCGTCGTCGCCTCCGTCGCCGCGCGTTCAAACACCATCTGCGCCGCGCTCATCCGCACCTCCGCTTGATCGTAAACATCCTGAAACCTTCGCACCACCGTGCCGACCTTCGCGTGAACGCCATCCGCCTTCGCGTCGTCGTCCCTCGGCTCGGCGTCCGCGTCCGGCGCGTCCGGCGCGTCCTCGCTCGCCGTCGAGCCTCCGCGAAAAACACCGAACAGGTAGTCGAGTCCGAACGACGACGGCGACGCCACGCTCGACGGGCTCTCGCCATCGCCCTGCGCCGTTTTCACGCGCGTCGTCGTCGTCGTCGTCGTCGTCGTTTTCACCGTCGTCAACCGACCGCTCGCGGTCGTGACGACCGATCGCGCCGTCGGTTCGGCGCCCATGACGCGTCCGGCGACGCCGCTCGACGAAACGCGTCGATCGGTGTCGCACGCGATGCGCACGGCTCGACGCGGACGAAACGCGCGCGTGTGCGGTCGCGCGGGATGACTGGATTGATTGAGGTGGTTAACACCCTCGCGTATCACGACGCGACGATGCTGGAATGTGAGCGGCGAGGCGAGTGGCGAGGCGGATGGGGTGGCGTTTAAGAATACAATGGCGCGAGGCGAGCGCGGGGCGGAATATCTGGTCGTTCGCGTCACGCGTCTTCGGATTTCTTGCCCGCGACGCCGAAGGCTTTTTTGAGACTTTCGACAGACAGGTTTCGACGGATTTTTGACCCGAGCGAGCTCTTTTTCTTCTCGCCGTCCTTGACGGATAATTTCTCGAGCGAAGGCACGATGGGTTCTTGGCTTTTTATCGGCGAACGCGGTGGGAGCGGGCGCTTCGCTTCTGCGGCGGGTTTTTTCCAACTCGCCTCGGTGTCGCACTTTGAATTGGTGCTTTCCCATTTGCGATGACGTTCGTCGATGCTGGAACGTCGAGGCGCGCCGTCGGCGCTGTTGACGTCGAAACTACTTCTTCGGCTGCTGTTGGGCGACTCCTTTGACCAGTCATTGCCGCTGTGGAACGCCCGCTCGGGCACGCCGGCGCGGTTGCTCTGGGCGCTGCTCCAAAACGAGGTGAACTCGTACGGCTGTAGGTACCCGTGCCCGTACACGAAGCGCCCGACTGGGAGATGCGTGAGCACGATCCTGTTGTGAGTGAAATCCACTGGCACGGTGGCGCCCGGATCGACCCAGCCGACTTCAGACGTGAAGACTGCTTTTTCGTCGATGCTGCGGCGACCGCCGTCCACGCTTCGCCTGCCGCCGTCCACGCTTCGCCTACCGCCGTCCACGCTTCGCCTACTGCCGCCGGCCGCGTTCGCGGGTGGACGATCTCTCACATCAATGCTTCGACGTCGCGCCGCCTCGCCGTGCTGCGCGCATTGGGTCACCTCTTGCTCGTTGAGCGGCCAGTGCGTCGCCACCGACTTCCCCCCCGCGCCGCAAAACAAAACGAGCATCCCATCCTTCGAATGGCCGAACGACAACGGCGCGCTGAACTGCGTCGCCGCGGCAAAAACACGTTTCGTCGTATCGTCGATCACGACGAACGAAAATTTATGCTTGCCGCTCAACTCTTTCAAATACGCCTTCAACGCCAGCGACCGTTCGCGCAGGTCCGCGTGCTCCTCGCGAATCGCCTCAAACTTCTTCCCAACCTCCTCCGCCCCGAGCGTATCGCTCACCAGCGCCAGCTCATACGAGTTACCGCTCGCAAACTTCACCTTGTGCGTCATCGACCGCGCCAATCCGCCGCACTCGCGTCGTTCCACCTTGTAGTACGTCTTCGGCAATTTTTCAAAGCACTCATCCACGCACGTCCTGCGTTCGTGCGTCGCGCGCGCGTCGTTCGTCAGTCGCGTTCGCGCGTTCGCTTCGGTCGCATCCCTCGTCGCCCGCCCGCGTCGCGCGCGCGCGTCGCGCGAGCGCGTTTCGAACGAAACTCAAGCGATATCTCGAGGTCGTTATCTCGCGACGATCGCGCGCGTCGCGACGCACCTCACGCGCTCGGCGCTCCACTCCTTGGGCGGCACGCACGCCGCGAACGAACACATGGGGTGATCGCCGTTTTCGTGGTGCGCGCGGCGGCCGCCCATGTCTGCGCGGATCGAGTGCGCCGATGTGCGGCGACGCGCGCGGCGCGGCTGGCGACGAGCCGACGCGGGACGACGCGCGAAGGATTGTGCGTTACACGATGAACGGGCGACTACGCGTTCGCCGCGGCTAAGCGAATGGTGTGCGTGACCTTTTCGGGCTTGGCGTCGCCCACGGCGGCGCGGCGAAGGGCGGTGACTTGAACGTCGTCGCCGACTCGCTTGCGCTCGATGGCTCTGACGACGTCGGCGGCGACGCCGCAGGGCGCGCCGTCGACGGCGATGATGACGTCTCCGGGTGCGATACCGGCGATACCTCGACGAGTGGCGAGAAAACCCGCTTTTGACGCCGCGGAGTCGCCTATGAAGGATTGAATGAGCGCGCCGCCACCGACGGGGACTTGCAAATCGCGTTCAACGCTCGCGTTGGCGAATTTAATGTTCAACGATGGGAACACCACCTCGCCGTTCGCGATGAGCTGCGGCACGACGGCATTGACGGTGTCGATCGGAATCGCGAATCCGACGCCCGCGGACGTCCCCGTGGGGGTGAAAATGGCGGTGTTGATGCCGATGAGTTGTCCGCGCGAATCCAAAAGCGGTCCGCCACTGTTCCCAGGATTGATCGCCGCGTCGGTTTGGATCGCCCCGGTGATCAAGCTCCCGACCTGCGACTGAATGCTTCGATTGAGCCCGCTCACGACGCCCGTGGTGAGCGTGTGATCGAACCCGAACGGGTTACCGATGGCGAACACCGCCTGCCCGACGCGCACGCCCTCCGACGACGACGACACCACCGCCGGCTTCAGCAACTCCTTCGGCGCGTCCACCTTAATCACCACCAAATCTTTCTCCTTCGACGCCCCCACGAGCGTCGCCGCGAACGTCCGACTCCCCTCATTCGTCTGTATCGTCACCTTGGCCACCTCGCCGAGCTTCCGCCCCTTCGGCGCGCTCGCGAGCACGCCTCCCAGCACGTGATAATTCGTCACCACGTGTCCTTCGTCGTCCCACACCACTCCCGTGCCGTTCCCTTCGGCCACGATCGCTCCCGCGAACGCGCTCTGATTCCCACTCTGATTCAGCACCGTGAGGTCGACGACGTTCACCGCCGCGCGTTCGGCGCGTCCGAAGACGTCGATGAATTGCGACTCCAGCGCGCCCAGCGCGCCGCTCGACGCGATCGCGGGCGTCGGCACGTTCGCCGCGCGCGCGTCCATCGCGGGCGTCGTCGCGGACGCGAGCGCCAGCGCCAGCGCGCGTCGTCGCGTCGTCGATGGCGTCGACGGTTGAGGCGGACGCGCGTCGTCGTCGTCGTCGCGTCGCGTCGCGCGCGTCGCGTCGCCTCCGCGCGCGCCCGCGCGTCCGCGCGTCCGCGCGATGCGCGCGCGCGGAACCGGCGTCGCGCGCGACGCGATCGACGCGCGCGACGCCATGACGGACGCGACCGCGACCGCGCGTCTCCCTGTGCCGACGACGCCACTTCTCCGCCGCGTCGCGCGCTCGACGCGATGCGCCGGCGATTCCCGCGCGCGGTGACGCTCGCGGCGACGACGTACGTCGCCGCGACGCTCGCGCTCGCGCGCTGGACCGACGACGACGACGGCGCGACGCGTCTCCGGCGACGACTGCTCGCCGCTGACTCGACCACGCCGCTCTGGCGATACGCGCTCATCCCGTTCATCGCCGCCGCCGTGGGCTGGGGGACGAACGTCGTCGCGCTGAAGATGACGTTCTATCCGCTCGAGTTCTTCCCGGGGTTCTTGAGGTTTGCGCAAGTGAAAGGGCAGCCGTTCGGCGCGCTCGGCGGATGGCAAGGGATCATCCCGAGCAAGGCGGGAGAGATGGCGGAGATATTGGTCGATCTCATGACGAAGAAATTGATCGATATCAAGGAAATTTTCACGAGGTTGGAGCCGAAAACGTTCGCGAGCATCATGGATCCCGAGATGCGGTGCGTGACGGAGGATATATTTGAGACGGTGCTCGCGCGGGAGGCGCCGACGTTTTGGCAAGGATTGCCGAGAGTGGTGCGGGAGGAGATGGTCGCGGAGGCCATGGCGCAATCGAGTGGGTTGTTGGAAGACATAATCGCGGATTTGATGGAAAATGTGTACGACGTGCTGGATTTGAAGACGATGGTGGTGACGCTGGCGGTGAATAATAAGGACAAGGTGGTCAACATGTTTCGAGAAGTCGGCGCGAATGAGTTCGTATTCATCGAGCGGAGCGGGATTTACTTTGGTTTTGCGTTTGGTTTGGTGCAGATGGTGGTGTTTTACTTTGTCGACAAGCATGCTCCGGAGCAGGGAGTGTGGTTGCTTCCATTTTTCGGATTCGCCGTGGGCTACCTCACGAATTTCGTCGCGTTGAAGGTGATTTTCCAGCCAATCGAGCCAAAGCGCGTGTGCGGCGTCACGTTGCACGGCGTGTTTTTGAGGCGCCAAAACGAAGTGAGCGAAGAGTTTGCGCGCTTGAATCAACTTCACTTTTGCAACGCCGAGAACTTGTGGGAAGAGATGATGAACGGAACGTACAAGGAAAAGTTTGAAGCCCTCGTGCGACGAAACGCCGAAAACTTTTTTGATAAAGCCATCGGCTCGGTGACGACGGCAAAGCTCATCATCGGCGCGGAAAAGTATGACGAAATCAAGTGCACCATCGTAGACATGATTTTTGCTTCGATTCCCGATTGCGTGCCCGTGACATACGATTATCAAAACGAAGCGCTCGGCATCGAGGATACGGTGCGCGAGCGAATGCAAAAGCTTCCTGCAAAGGATTTCGAGCGCGTTTTGCATCCGGTTTTCGAGCAAGACGAAATCAAACTCATCGTCGTGGGTGGGGTATTAGGCGCTTTGACGGGCGTAGCGCAGTATTTCTTAGCGTTCGCATAGTTGTAATAGATACAGCGCGGATGACATTACACAATTGTTAAAGCTCCATGTGCGGCGTTCGGCGACGTCTCTTGTGCGGACTCTTGCCCGTGCGTTCGGTGAGGAAATCGGTGAACGCATCCGTTTCCATGTGTCCGTCGTATTCCTCGTGTCTGGGCTTATCACCGGAATGATAGTAGTACACGGTCGGATAGTGTCGAACGTGCAAATCCTTCGCCTCGTTCTTCGTCGCATCCATCTTGGCGATGATGATGTCTTTCTCATCCTTGTAAAGCGTGGCGAGCTTATCCCACACCGGCTTCATCGCCTTGCACGTGCGGCACCACGGCGCGTAGAACCAAACAAAGACGTGCTTGTCGTTATCCATGAGCAACGACTGGAACGTCTTACCGACAACTTGCAGAACGTCACCGTCCTTGGGGAGCGGATCTTGCGACTTGAGCAACGGCACGAGCTTTTTCGCCTCGAATTCCTTGAAAAAGTGCACGACATCGTTTGAGATCTCGGCGGCCTCCAATGAGCCCTTGTATTGATACTTCAAGTCATGCGAGAGAAGGCGAATCGTCGGCCCGTCGCTCTCGCGGAGAGAGAAGTAGTCATGCATGACAGTTTCTTTGGCATCGACGGTGATGATGTGCACCTTACCACGAAGTTGTCTGGCCGCACTTTCTAAAGATTTCGACATCTTCTCGGCTTCGGTCGCGTCTTCGGGTAAGAATACGAAGATGTTCGCAGCGATCGGACCCATGAAAAGGCGCTCGAGTTGCTTCTTGTTTTCGAACTTCACGATCGGTGGGACCATTTCAGTGGCGATCCAGGACTTGATAGCATCCAAATCGCGCACGTCGCCGGGGTACCTAACGGGTTCTTTGTCAAAGTCGCGCCACATCTTGATGGTCGGGAACGGCGCTTTCCAGTCTTCAGTGGCGATTTTGCTCTTCGTCTCGCCAAAGTCGAGATCAAACTCAGCCGCGGCGTGGTGGTACACGTCCAAATCATCCTTGTTATCGAAGAACCCGATAACGGTGACGTCGCGACCCATCAAGAAAACTTCGACGTCGTCCGTGCCTTCCAGCCAACGCGCCGGCTTGAGCAAGTTTCTTCGAACAAACTTATCCAAGTGTTGCGGCGATCGATCGCCCACGTACCTCTTCGGCACACCATCACGGAACAATATGAGCGTCGGGTATTCCTCGATTTCGAATCGCTTATCCAAATCGCGTTCCTTGGTCGCGTCCACGAGCGAAAACGTCATCTCCGTGCCCGCCATTTTATGCGACTGCGCGTAAGACATCCAACGCGGCATGAACGCCTTTGAGTGCCCATCCCACGGCGCGTAAAACATCACGAAGTTATATTTCGACTTTTTCAACTCGTTGTCGAAGATGCTCGCATCGAGCTTCAACACGTGATCATCCGTCGGCGCTTCGGCAATGATTTCGTGTTCGCTCACCTTGCCCTTGGTCTTTGGCCTCTGAAACGGGTTAAACATCTCCGCTCGCGCCGTCGCCGCGACGCCCACGAACGTGACGATCGTTAACGCAATCGCGCTCGCTCTCGCGCTCGCTCTCGCGCGCATCACCGCCATTTTCCGCGTTCCGGTGCCTCCGACACGATTCACAATCGCGATCAAGATCGCGTCTCGCGCTCAACGCAGCGCGCGCACACGTCGATCAAGCGGTCGAAAACGCGAGATCTAGATCGTTTCCTCCGCCGCGATTCGCGTCGAGGACGTGCGATCGCGTGTGGACGCGCGGCAGAGTGTCGCTCGAAATCGTGGGTGTTGGTCCTCGTCATCGTGACGCGCGCACTCGCCGCCGCACAGCGCGTCGACGCCGACGCCGACGTGTCGCGCGCGCGTGGACGCACAGCGATCGAGATCGCCGATCGTCGCGCGCGCGAGATCGTCGAGCGTCGCGTCGTCGACGGTGGTAGATGCGCGCGAGCGCGCCGACGCCGCACGCGATGGTGCCATCGAGCGCGTCTCTCGGGACGCGCGCGCGCGCGTGCGCGCGTGCGTGCGCGCGGCGCGCGGCGGGAATGTCGCGCGTGACGCGAGCGGTCGATCCCGAGGCGCGCGCGCGCGCGAGGACGTACACCGCCGCGCCGTGGGGCGCTGAAGCGACGGTTGATGCGCTCGAACCGCCGCACGTGCGCGGTTTGAACGACGACCAGCGCGCCGCGGTGCTCGCGCCCGTGGGCGCGACGCGCGTGCTCGCGGGTCCGGGGTCCGGGAAGACGCACGTGCTCATCGGACGCGTCGCGCACCTGATTCACGAGCTGAAGACGCCGCCGAGGGAGATTTTGTGCATCACGTTTACGAATAAGGCGGCGCGCGAACTGCGAGAAAGATTGAGGGATAAGATTGGCGACGCCGCGGCGCGAGAGATCACGGCAGGGACGTTTCATTCCGTCGCGGCGAGGATGCTGCGACGACACGGCGATCGAATTCCGGGCATAGGACGAACGGGAGAGTTTACGATTTACGACGCCGACGACAGCAAGCAAATCGTGCAGGGCGTGTTGGTGAACAAGTTTGGGGAGACGAAGAAGACGGCGCAGCCGGGACCGATGAGAAACTGGATTAGTACGTCGAAGTCGTGCGTGAAACACTCGGTCGGGTTGAATGGGTCACACATGTTGCGGGCACTTTTGGACGCGCACAAGCCCATACCGCCGATGTCGCACGAGCGCTTCGTGGAGTGTTACGACGAGTACGAGCTCGGTTTGCGGCAAGCGAACGCATTTGACTTTGATGACTTGCTTTCGGCGACAGTGGCGATGTTGGAGATGTGCCCGGACGTACGGTCGTATTATGAGCATCGATGGAGCCAGGTACTCGTTGACGAGTTTCAAGACACTTCGACGACGCAGTACGAGTTGATTAGAAAATTATCTCAGCCGCAAGGTTCAGTGTTCGTCGTGGGCGACGCCGATCAGGCTATTTATGGTTGGCGCGGCGCCGAGGTCGCAAACATTCGCACGCAGTTCGATGAAGACTTCAAGGATGTCCAGACGCACATGCTGACGACGAATTACAGAAGTACGGCGACCATCGTCGAGGCGGCGCAGGCAGTCATCAAGGAAAGCGCTTTCCCGTCGCCATTGGACCTCGTCGCGAACACCCCGGGTGGACGTGACGTCGCGATCGTCGAGGCAAATGACGATCGCGAAGAGGCCGAATTCATAGCTTTAGAGGCGCGCAAGTCAGTCAAGGAGGACCCGGATTTACGGTATTCAGAAATCGCTGTCTTGTATCGAACCAACTCGCAGGCTCGAGTGCTCGAGGAAGCGTTTATTCGTGCGGGCGTACCGCACAAAGTTATCGGCGACACATCGTTCTACGGTCGTAAGGAGATTAAAGATATGATCGCGTACCTGCGCGTGGTGTCCAACTCGGCGGACACGGTGAGTCTGAACCGAATCATCAACACGCCAACGAGAGGCATCGGGAACTCAACCATCGAAAAGCTCAGCGCATGGATTGATACGCTTCCGAAAACAGATGGCGTTCCACCGTCAATCGGCGACGCCCTGTTCAACGGCGCTTGGAGAACCAAAGGCGACGAAGGGCAGACCGAACTGCTGCCGAGCGCGGAGGAAATGGGATTGACGACGCGCGCGAGATCTGCTGTACTAAAATTTTCACAGCTCATGGCGGAAACCCGAGAGAAGGCGAAAAGCTCGACACCGGGCGAACTGCTGGAAGCGATTATCAAATGTACGGGTTACGACACCCTCGTGCAAGATGCCGACGATGGCAACGAGCGTTGGGCGTTTGTGCAGGAGCTCATCAACTTGGCGAAAGAGCCACCGCAAGACATTGACGAAACCATCCAGGATCGCGTTGGCCTGGAAGCTTTAGGTTCGTTTTTGGAAGGCATATCGTTACTCACGAGTGCCGAGAGCAAGGAAGAAGAAGGAGGAGACACGGTCAAACTTATGACCATGCACGCGAGTAAAGGTTTGGAGTTCAACAGCGTATTCATTTCTGGCGTCGAGGAAGGGTTGATTCCTTTTGTGCGTAACGGCGATAGTGAAGACGACCAAGATGAAGAAGTTCGCCTGTTTTACGTCGGCATCACACGTGCGAAGCGCAAGTTGATGTTGTGTCACGCGCGCGAGCGCCGAAGGTTTGGGCAGAGCGCGCAACCGGCGAGGCGTTCGTTTTTGCTCGACAGTATCTCGGCGATGCTCACTGGATCGAAGAAACCGGAGCGCTCGGTGTCGATACCGTCGACTTCGCGCGGTAAGGCAACATCACGTACGTCTCGTGGGAAAAGTAAAACCGATTGGGGCGCTCGAGTTGCGGTTGATCTTCCGCCGCCGACGCGGAAGCGAGAAGGCACGCCGAGAGACAGAATTGAGAAGTCTCGCGATCTCATCGCAAAAGTCACGGGTTCCGACGCGCTGCTACCCCTTCCACTGCGAAAAGCTAAGGCAGTGAATGCGAATATAAAAGATTCGAGCACGCTGTCGTCAGAAAACGCGACGTCTGGTCCTAAGTCGAAGCGAGCTCCGCGACGAAGAAAAGCCGAGTAGAAAATCGTAGATGTAGAGCTGTACATTTCAACAATCTTAAAGTAGTCATCCTGATATCCACGTCGTGGAGTTGCACAAATAATCGGCGCCGAGAAACCACGTGCAGGGGAATGGGTTGAATTCCACCTCCGCCTTGACCTCTTCCTCTTCCTCTTCCTCTTCCTCTTCCACAGTCGACGGCGCCACATCCACCTCGCGATACGAGAAAAATGTTGGCCACACAACACTCAATTCGTACCAGATGACATCGTAATACCCCGCACTCACGCGAGGATCGCTCGACGGCTGCACACTAGTCTCCACACTTAGTCGTCCGCTTCGTGCATCGCGCGTCGGCACGAATGTAAACGTGATAGAATCCGTCGCTGCGTCGACGACAGGTTCGCCTCGAAGAGGCTGTTGGACGTCGCCGACGAGCACCTTTACGTCCACGTCCACGTCGCTCAGAGGAAGCGGTTGAATCAAAGCGGTATCGATTTGCTGTCGCAAGCATATGGCTTGCCCGACGACGAGCGCGTCTACCGGTCGACCGGTGCACGTGCGGACATCGGCGGTGCGAACTCGCGCCGCGGTTGCTCGCGCCCTCGCCTCCGACTCCGCCGCCGCGTACGACGACGTGAACGCGCACAAAATCACGAGCAGAACGTGCCACTTGGGAATAAATTGGATGCGATCATTATGTGTCATTTATTTATCGTACGTATCCGCTATTGCGCCTCGAAGCGCGTTGTGCTGTGCTATTGTAGTTCGTTTCGACGTTCATCGTTCGCGCAAACCGAATCGACGGCGGCGTTCAAGCCCCCCCCAACAGCTCCTCGACCGCGCGATCCTTATTCCCACCGCACTTCGTCAGCGCTTTCAATACCGCACCCTCACTGAACCCCATCTCCATCAACTCCCCGACGACCGGATCCTTCTGATCCTCCGTGGCGTACTTCTTCGTCCACGTCCTCGCCGTCTCGTCGAACTCCCCTCGTCGTTCCGTGTACATCTGCGCCACCTGCGCGTCCTGCGGATCGTCCGGTTCCGGCGCCGCCAGCAGCGCCTGACACGACAACAGCGCCGTCTTCAGCGTCAACGCCGGCGACCACTGATCCTTCAGCACGTCCAGGCAAATCGCCCCCGTCTGGCTCGACACGTTTGGATGCCACACCTTGGTGAGAAACTTCATCTTCGGCGGTTCGAACGGATACGACGCCCCGATCTGTATGTCGATGTGAAACGTCCCGCCCTCGTACACCGTCTCGCTCGGTCCTGCGCGCGGCCGTCGCCCGTCAGTCTCTCGCGACGCGTTTCGCCGCGTCGCGATCGCGCGCACGCACCCGCGATGGTGCCCTTCATGTGCACCAAACTGTCCCCGTGCTGCGTCACCTTGACCTGCGACGCGACGTCGCTCGCGATCTCGCGCAGCTCTTTCATGATTCGGTTCGTGTCCGCCATCGCGGCGCGCGCGGTGACGCGGAGGCGCGTCGCTCTGTGACGACCAAATGTGTCGACCGAGCCGCTTCGGTCGACCGCACACGTCGTCGCGCGCTCGCGTCGCGCGCTCGCGTCGCGCGCTCGCGTCGCGCGTCGCGTTCCGTCGCGCGTCCCGCGCGCGATGCGCGCCGCGGACGCGCGCGCGGCGAGCGCGGCGAGCGCGTCGGCGTCGACGCGGATTCGAGGCGACGCGAATTCGAGGCGACGCGCGACGCGCGCGCGCGCGACCGCGCGCGCGGCGATGGGCGATGCGAGCGATGTGCCGCGCGTCGTCGTGCCGGAGGCGTACGTGCGATTCGCGGAGGCGCTCGCGGACGCCGCGGGCGGGACGACGACGAAGTACTTTCGCGCGCGCGGCGTCGAGGTGGAGGATAAAAAGGATTCGTCGCCGGTGACGATCGCGGATCAGCAGGCGGAGGCGGTGATGCGAGCGATGGTGACGCGAGAGTACCCGACGCACGCGATCTTCGGGGAGGAACACGGGATCGAACTCGGCGCGGGCGGGTCGAGCGAGTGGACGTGGGTCTTCGACCCAATCGACGGGACGAAGAGTTTCATCACGGGTAAACCACTTTGGGGGACGTTAATCGCGCTTTTGCACGACGGCGAGCCCGTGCTTGGGATTTTAGATCAACCCGTGCTCAAGGAGCGATGGATAGGGGTCAGTGGACGCGTGAGCACGATGAACGGCGAGCCGATATCCGTCAAGCCGTGCGAGAGCGTCGGCGACGCGTACATGTACAGCACCACGCCGTTAATGTTCGAAGGCATGAACGCCGCGCGTTACGAAACCCTCGCGCGTAAGGTTAAGATTCCAATGTACGGTTGCGACTGCTACGCCTACGGTTTACTCGCCATGGGATTCGCCGACCTCGTCGTCGAAGCCGACCTCAAGCCGTACGACTACATGGCGCTCGTCCCCATCGTCAAGGGCGCGGGCGGTTACATGACCGACTGGAAGGGCAACGCCTTGCGTTTCACCGCCGATCGCGCGTCTCTAGAGTCCGGCGAATTCCAGGGCGAGGTCATCGCGTGCGGCGACGCCAAAGTCCTCCGCGCCGCCGTCGCGACGCTGTCCAAGACGCTCTTTTAAAGCATCACATTCCAATCGTATGCGCAAACAGTACGGCCCGCCCTAAAACCGCGCCATCGCCCCGCGGACCGCGGTCGGTCGACCCCGCCGTCGCGAAAGGTCCGCGGTCGACGCCACACGACGCGCGACGATGGCGGCGAAGAAAGAGAAGGTGCGCGACGCGCGACGCGCGCGACGGCGCGAACGCGTCGCTCGACATCGATCGCGCGCGCGCCGCGGGCGCGATCGACGTCGCGCGGCGCGCGCGCGACGCGATCGACGCGACGGCGAAAACCTCTCGCGGGCGCGACGCGGACGGCGTCGGACGCGCGCGCGAACGACGCGCGGGGACGAGACGACGCGCGCGCGGTGAATGAAAAATCGATCGACGATCGGAACGCGCGACTGACGATGGACGCGACGCGACGGAACGTAGGTTGTGGTCGAAAAGGCGCCGGTGGAACCGGGGTACGAGATGAGCAAGGAAAACATCGCCAAGCTCGCGGTGTACATCCTTTGTCTCTGGACGTTCTTCTCGGGGATTTACGCGGCGTTGATTTTCATCACGACCGGTATGCGACACGCGCCGTACCGTCACTTGCCGCCGAAATACTTGGGTATGTTCCGTTACGTCGGGAACGACGCCTCGAAGACGGCGCCGACGACTTTGCCGGCGCTCTTGCCGTGGGTGAAGGCGGCGATGTCTGGGTGCAGCTCGTTCGTCAACACGTGCGTGCCGACGAGTACGAGCACTACGAACAACCCGATCGGGTTTCCCGAGTCTGGGTGCGCCACCCTTTGCATGAACGCGTAAGGCGACTTCTTTCTTTTCATAGCATTCTCGTTGTCCCAGTAAAATTAGAAATTCGCATCGGCGAAGCTTGTGAATATGAATCAGATGAGAGAATATTCTTTTACAAATACTACTGCGTCAACGGTGCGTGCGGCGATGCGCTCACAACGTCGTCGTCTCGACGGTTTCGCCGTCGTCACCAAGCTTCATTTTCGCGATGGACTCGCCGTCCTTTAAAATCTCTAACGCCTCAGGTTTGGCGTCGACGCACCCTTTCGACATACCCACGTCGATACGGATGACTTTACCGTCGCACGCGGAGGTAATTCCGTGCGGATGCTGGATGGTGTGCCCGACGACGACGCGCTCGACGCCGGGAATCATCCGAAGCGTCTCCTCTAGTAAGTCGCAATCGCACTTATGTTCTTGCACGTGCGAGTAATCGCGCGCCCAAACCACCGAATCTCGCCCTTGGACGCTTAACGGCGGCGCACTTTTGATTTTACCCCGCTTGATCCACTGCGAGATCTCTTCGTTGAGCGTATCCAAGCCGTACTTGACGTGCTCTGGTAACACACCGCCGTGCACGAACAAAGTGCTCCCGATCGCCACCACCACCGGCTGGTGCGCCAAAAACCTCAGCGCCAACGGTGCTCCCGGAGCGAGCGCGCGCCAGCGATCACCCTCGCCCTCTTTCACGAAACTCGGTAGAGTATCCGTCTTCGCCGCTTCGCCAGCGCGCGACTCGCACACGCCCGCCGCCAACCCGCAATTCGCTCGCAAAACCTTCCCAATGTCCTGTCGCGCCCGCCATCGCGTGAAATCAGCGTTACCCTCCGCTAACGAATACCTATACCTCCCGCTCACGTTCAGCGTCTCGTGATTTCCATTCATCACCACGAGTTCGCCCCCCGCCGCTCGCGCTTCGCCTCGCAACCGCTCCAAAAAATGCAATATCGCCACCTCGTCCTTCCCTCGATCGAGCTGATCGCCCACTTGCACGCACGTCGTCGTCCCTCCGACCCATTCGTCGCGCGCGTTCGTCAGTTTCGCCGCGCGAAACGCTTCGCGCGTCTTCGCCAGGTCTCCGTGCACGTCGCCGATGGCGACCAATCGTTCGACGCTCGGGCGTCGATACGACGTCGACGTCGACGCGTGCGCCGCCGACGGCGTCGCGGGCGATCGCGGCGTTCGTTCGTCGACGTCGACGGGCGCGACGGCGGCGCCTTGGGCGTGTAAGGTGGCGACGAAGGTGTCCACGAATGGGCCCCAGACTGGTTTGAGTTCGGCGCACTCGGACGCGTCGAGCGGGCCGGCGCGGAGATCGCGAAGCTTGGCCGCGGCGGCGCCCATCGAATGCGCGCGCGCGGTGTGTGGGCGCGAGCTCGCGCGCGCGGTGCGGTGTGCGGGGGGAAGTGCGCGTGGATTACAACTCGGCGACGGTTGGTTTGACGTCGGCGACTACGCGTCGACGTCCTCGATGACGATGGACGCGAGCTCGTCCAATAGCGCGGCCTCGCTCTCGCCCGCGGCGATGAGTTTAGCGAGCAAGTGCTCCTTGGACGCTTCCTCTTGCCCGAGACAGGCGAGAAGATCGTTGAGCTCTGCTTCGTCGGCGGCGCGAGCGTCGGCGACGGCGGCTTCGACGGCGGCGCGGAGGCGAGAATCGGCGTCCACGAGCGCGGCGTCGACGGCGTCACGGATGCGTAACTCTGCTTCAGCCTCAGCGAGACGGCGACCTTCTTCGCGGCCGGCTTCTCGCGCGATGTCTAAAGATGAGGTCTCGGGCGCGGCGCCGCCGCCAAATTCCGAAGACGCGTGGAGCTTTTCGCGCAAGCCATTGGCTTCAGTTTCGAGACGATACACCTCCGCTTCTAAACCGTTATACGCCGTGCTCAATGACGTGAGGGCTTCCTGACGTTCTTCGGCCACTTTTTTGACTTCCTCAAGCTCGGAAGTTAGGGATGCGATCTCTTGGGCGCTCGCTCGCTTCGCCGCCTCGACGGCGGCGTGAAGGGCTTCGGCGGACGCGTGACGCGCGCCGTTCTTCGCCACTGCGGATGGATCATCGCTCGCGTTTGCCGATGTCGGTGCAACGCCCAAAATCTGTTCTGCCAGTACGGCGTTTCGCGAGCGCACCTCCGCTAATTCCGACTCACTCGCTTGAAGTGCCTCTTGTAAGCGCCGCGCGTATGAGACGTCGTCTTCGTCCTCTCGTTTAGCCACGCTCGACACCGCACACTCATCTCCAGCGCCCGAAGGCTTCGCATACAGTGACATTATTGCCGACTTCACGCGCTCTTCTAACTCGTTGATGAACACTGTAATGTCGTGATCGTACAATCCTCCACCGGGTGAGACATCCTCCGCTCCCTCACTCTGCGTCGCGAACTTCGCCGCATTCGCTCGCGTCAAAGGTTTTGGCAACGTGGGTGCTCTCGACGCGTCGGCGTACAGCGATGACTTCGTCATCGTCTCCCACTTCATGAAGAAATTCTGCAATCCCACTCGGGCAGAGACGACGTCGAGCACGCTCCCAGAGTTTTCGAGCAAGCAGCATCCCAACACGACGCATGCGAGCGCGGCGACATGGGGCGATTCTGTGCTTCCGCCAGTTCGTGCCAGATCGGCTATGGCGGGAAGATGCCCCGGGGACGACAAAAACGCTTCAACCGCCGCCTTGCACTCGTATAGCCACACGATCAAAAGCCGCAAGAGAACCGACTGCAGCTTTTCCACCTTTTCTTCATCCTCTTCCCGAGCGTGCGTCACCGCGAGTTGGCGCACGCAACGAGGAAGCAACAGTTCAGACGCGTTCGAGCGTGAGCTCAGTGGTTCCAAGTTTACCCGTAGTGCTTTGAGTTTACTTTGATCGTTTTTGTGCAGCATGTCGCGAAGAACACTCGCCGCCGCTGTGCTGGCTTCGTCGAACGCCACGCTCGATCCGCCCTTCTGCATAAGAGCTCGGGCAAGTAACCCACCAAGCGACGACTCCTCACTCCTGTCATCAGCTCCTAGACCAGTCGGTGCGAGCGTGGATACGAGCAGTAGCTGACCATCGGGATTTCCGAGCATCGCCGCGCCTAAAACTAATATTGCGGCACTGCGCTCAGCTGGCGATTCGCTATGTAGCGCCGCTCGGCCGCACGACAACAGCGCTGGTTCAGTCACCGTGCCCGCACGATCAGCCGTGGCGCTAAACAACGCGGTCTGGTTACCTTCATGGTCGCGCACGAGCGCCGCCAATGCGCGTAAGGCTGCGACGCGCACACTGACGGCGTTCACCGCTGAATCTCCCAATGCCGCTCGCACAAGAATTTCCACCGTTCCGTGCTTGGCCAATTCGCTTTGGTTCGCTCGACAACCCTGCAAGCGTTGCTGCTTCATCATCGCATCTAGCTCGTCATCTCTGTTCAAGTGCTTACGTTTCCCACTTTCTTCATCAGGGCTAACCAGTAGATGCACCGTCTCGAGCGCGCACAACGTATTCGCTGCTTTTTGCGCCGAAATTCCTTGCATGCCGGCATTACCAATCTCACGCTCCACCGCCGCCATGCCCGGAACGCTGCGCACAAACCCGCTCTCGCGAAACAAGGTCTGGTTGCTAGGATTATCCCTGAGTAAGTTATTGCACAACTCCAAACAGTCTTGCACGACCACGCCGCCGTCGACGCCACCCTCCTCTCGCATCACGGCGAACGCGCGCTCAAACGCGCCCTCAAACGCAACGATCTTTTGCAACTCCTCGTTTCCTCTCGTCAGCGACACAAGAAGCAATAGTATTTCATTACGAATCACTTCATTTTCCTTCATCGCATCCATCAGCGTCGGCACCGCGGTGGGATCCGCCAACATTCCCGCTCGCATCGCCTCGCCTCGCGTCTCGCTCGCCTCGCTCAGCGTCTGCGCCGCGTGCAGCTTTGAATAAAAATCCACCCCCCTAAGCTCACTCACCAACTGTTTCACGTTATTCACGTCTCCCGTGATCACCTCTCGCGCCCGTTCGCGTCCTTCGCTCGCTTCTCCGCTCGCCGCCGCTCGCATAGTCTCCAGCGTCGCGCGCACCAAACCGTCGTCATCGTTCGTATCCCGCAGCGTCTCGAACATCTTCACCAGCCCTCGCTCGGCGACGAACGACCGCGCGCGTTCATCCTTTTCGATCAACCGTCGCAGCGCTTCCGCGGCGGCGATGCGATCGGCGCCGAGGACGCCCTCGGTGAGTTCGTCCAGCAACGGCTCGGCGCCCGCGCCCGAATCGTCCTCGGGCGCGCCGAAGACGATGTTTTTCGCCACGCTCGACGCGCCGTGCTTGAACGACGACGCCACGGCGCCGAGGCGGTGCATCTCCGCCGACCGCGCGTCGCGCAGTGCGGCGGGACGGGCGTCGTGCGCGCGCGATGGTGGCGTCGAAACTTGAGATCGCGACGCGCGCGCGATGTCGACGATGCGCGGCGCGACGCGCGCGGTGGGGGACGCGCGAGCGTTTCGAGCGCGCGCGCGCGGCGCCGGCGCGCGCGCGGGACCGGTCGCGACGCTCGAACGGCGACGCGTGTCGGCACCGGTGCGATGGGATCATCGCGGCGACGACGCGCGACGCGCGACGCGCGGAGACGCGATGACGCGCGCGTCGCGGACGACGATGACGCGCGGAGCGCGCGAGAGAGACGCGCGGGCGCGCGCGGGCGCGCGGGATGAGACGTCGGTGTCGCGAGACGCCGGCGACGTCGGCGACCGGGGTCGCGAGACGACGCGCGGCGGACCGCGAGAAGATTTGGAGGGTTTGTTCGGCGCGGATTACTCGGGCGACGGGCTGTCGACGCAAGGTGAGGCTGTCGTGAAAGGTGTGGCCGCGGTTGAGGATAAACCGAGCGGGATGACGCTGGATGTGGATTACTTGCAAGAGCTCATCGCGATTCAAGAGGACTGCCCGAAGGAAATCGGCTTCTTCGGGACGAGGAATATGGGTTTCATGCACCAGCAGTTGATTGAAATTTTGGCGTACGCGCTTTGTTTGACGGGGAATCACATATACACGAGTGGTGCCACCGGGACGAACGCGGCGGTGATCAGAGGGGCGCTTCGCGCCGAGCAGCCCGAATTGCTCACAGTGGTTTTACCGCAAAGTCTGGCCAAGCAACCGCGAGAATCGAGGGAGCTGTTGGAGGGCGTGGCGCAAATCGTCGAAGCCCCGGAGAACGACGGCATGCCTCTCGTAGAGGCGTCGAGGATATGCAACGACACGATCGTGAGTAAGGTGAAACAAATCATCGTCTTCGCTTTTCACGATTCCAGACTTTTGCTCGAAACGTGCCGCAACGCGAAAACTATGCGAAAGCTCGTCACCTTGTTCTATCTGGATTGACGCTGGCATGTATTTCCGTCCATGTAATTATATCTGGTACTAACAACTCATCCGCTAACTCATTCCTAATTTTATTCTTCGCCGATCGTCGCCAACTCGTGTTCAGGCGCGTCGCTTCGAAGCGGGGGCGCGTTTGCCGCCGCTTCCAGGTCGTCCCACACCGACGCGTTCGCCGACAGGCTCGCGGTGTCGTGCTCGGGTGCGCTCGAACGACCCATAGGAACGAATGTACGCATCTTCACCGTCCTATCCGGTGTCTCTCCGTCACCGTGAAGCGTGTAGTCTTGATATGTCGCCCCAAACTGATGCACCGTATCGTCAAAGACGTCGCGCACAGAGACAAAGTTGACGACGTTGGAGACGAAGCCACGCTTGGCGCCCGTTGGGTCGACGAAATCGGTGTATGGGAACGCGAACCACATCATCAACGATACGACGAACATCTCGCAGCAAATAAGTACGTCCTGCACCGCGCGACCTTCTTCGGGGCTATCCAAACTTCCCGTGCGCACCGCCATGGCGGTGAAGAAGCTTTGCCAAAAGCTCAAAAAGATCACGCTCTTGACGATGATAAACTTGAGTAACGGATTGTACTTCGCCAGTGGGTCGTGTGCGCCCAAGTAAAACATCCACAGCGCGTACAAAGCGAGTGTGTATGAAATGTTATACACGAAGAGAATGTACACGTACGCCTTCAAAAAGTTGATCTGTCCGTCGCCGAGCTTCCCTTTGGCTTGCAGCACGATTTCTATAACCGACAAAATCGGCTTGATAAACACGAACTGCAAGCATCCTTGTTTGCACCGCCGAATGTAGTTCCCATCTACCACTAAATCACGATCAAAGATGCACGTCCCGCGCAACCAAGAACCGACTTTGATCTCCTTCCCAGCCATGGCGTTCACGATGGCGCCCGGTCCGCCGACGTACGCCAGACAAAGATTCAAAAAGTTGTACACCACCCAGCTCTCGTAGCAATCTCGCACGACCTCGATGTAGAACTCCGCCTTATTATTTTCGATCACGAGCGAGATCCAGCTCAGCAACGAGAACACGGGCACGACGAGAATCACTCGATTTATGTGTCGCTGCACCCGCGGCATGGTGTAGTGCTTCACGTGCATGGCGACGAGCGCGACGGCGACGATCGCGCTCGTCCACGCTAAGAACCCCGTGACGTGGTGCGCGGTGGTATACCCTAGGTACCACTTCATCGCGCGCTTCCGTCTCGCGCGTCTCGCGTCTCGCGCGCGTCGTCAAAGCCGTTCTCGTCACCACCTGGCGTCTTCCGCGCGCGCGTTCGACGCGTTCGCGCGCGCGGCGCGCGCGCGCCTCGATGTCTCGACGCGTCCGGGCGTCTATGCGTCTGAGCGTCGACGCGTCGATCGCTCGCGCGCGCTCGCGCGCCGACTCGGTGTCTCGCGCGCTCGCCGACGCGTCGCGCTCTGCCGATGAACGGCGTCGGCCCGCACTCCGACGCGCTGGACGCGACATGCGCGCCGACGCCGACGCCGACGCGGCGCCGCGCGCCGCGAGCGCCGACGCGAACGCGCGCGTCGTCGGCGCCGACGCGTCGGACGCGCGCGACGCGCGAAACGACGCGGTGCGCGGACGAGATGTCGAAGGCGATGTCGATCGCGCGCGCGACGGCGACGCGCCGACGGTGTCGAGCGTGGTCGACGCGCTCGTGAAGCATCACCTCGCCGAACGCGAAGGGAAGCGGACGTCGCGAATGCCGTCGCACGAATTCTGGGAGACGCAACCCGTGCGACAATTCGGCGAGGACACGTCGCGCGGCGCGGAGCTGCGGGAAGGACCGATCGACCCGCCGAAACTCGCGAGTGAGACGAGCGAGAGCGGAGGCGCGCTGCCGCCGGGGTACGAGTGGTGCTCGTGCGATATGACGGACTCGAGGACGCAGGAGGAGGTGTACGAGCTGTTGACGAACAACTACGTGGAGGACGACGACGCGATGTTTCGATTTCAATACTCGCAAGAGTTTTTAAAGTGGGCGCTGCGACCGCCGGAGTATCACGGTGATTGGCACGTTGGAGTGCGGTTGAAGGTGACGCAGACGCTCGTGGCGTTCATCACGGGCGTGCCGGCGAAACTCAGGGTGAAGGGGAAAGAAATCGACTTGGCGGAGATCAATTTCTTGTGCATTCATAAAAAGTTGCGCTCGAAGCGCATCGCGCCGACGCTCATCAAGGAGATTACGCGACGGGTCAACGCGAAAGATGTGTGGCAAGCGACGTACACCGCGGGAGTGCTGTTGCCGAAGCCGATATCGAAAGCGCGTTATTGGCATCGGAGTTTGGATATTAAAAAGCTCGTCGACATCGGATTCACGCGCCTGGGTCGCGACGCCTCGATGTCACGCGCGGTGCAGATGTTCAAGCTTGCCGCGAAGCCAAAATCGGAAGGGTTGCGTCACATGACCGAGGCCGACGTTCCACGCGTGACGGCGTTGTTGAGCAAATATTTGACTAGATTCGCCGTGGCGCCCATAATGAATGAGGCCGAAGTTCGGCACTGGTTGTTGCCGCGCGAGGACGTCGTGTTTTCATACGTCGTCGAGGACGAGAAGACGAACAAGATCACCGACTTCGTCAGCTTTTACAACTTACCGTCGCAAATCATTCACAGCAAAACCAAGCACAAAACTCTGAAGGCGGCGTACTCGTATTACAACGTCGCGACGTCCATGCCGCTCGTGAAGCTCATGGAAGACGCCCTCATTTTGGCGCGAAACAACGCATTCGACGTCTTCAACGCGCTCGATTTGATGGAAAACGAATCCTTCCTGAGCGCGCTCAATTTCGGCATCGGCGACGGGAATTTGCACTATTACCTCTACAACTGGCGGATATTGGAAGATTTAGAACCTAGCGAGATCGCCCTCGTGCTCACGTGATTCCTTGCGCCGTCAATTGCAATACCAAACGCGACGTGACGCAACCCAACGCAGACGCCTACGTTACAACTCGACCCGCGCGACCGCGCCGACCGCACGCTCGAACCCGCGGCGCGATGTCGAGGTTCATGCGCGATCTCGCGACCGGCGGCGCGTCGTGCGAACCCAGCGACGGCGCCGGTCCGTCGAGCGCCGCGAATCCAATCGCGCGCGTCGCCGACGTCTTACTCGGCGATCGAGGCACGCGCGCGCGCGAACAACAGATACAGCGCGCGAGCGAACGAGGTTCGTGCGCGCGGACGCTCGACGCGACGCGCGAGACGACGCGCGAGACGACGTGACTGACGGTTGGACTCGGCGCGCAGACCAACTCGCGCGAGGCGCGGCGAACGCGGCGAATGGGTTACATTTAGCGAGAGAGGGGCTGTTGGACGGTGTGGAAGACGTGCGTGAAGGAACGATGCGTGCGAGTGGTCGATATGCGGCGGCACCGGTGCAGATGGTGCCGGATGCGAGGTTGGACGCGCGCGGGGCGTCGGCGCTGGAGAAGTCGTTCGCTCGAAATAGGAGCGCTGTGATGGCGAGACATTTGCAGTCGCAGGGGGAGATGGAAGACGGCTTCGAGCGCATGCGCATGGATGACGCTGAGATGAGCGCCCGAGCGCAGATGGCGCATAATGCGGCGATGCTTCGCGAGATGCAGCGCGGCGACCGCTGGGCGCGCGGATTTCAGCAACCACTTCACGCGCAGGCGTCGCCGAGTTCCTGGGCGGAAGAATTCGCGAATGTTGAGACTTCAAGGCACGCGCAGTGGGCAAACGAGTTTCACAACCACCCGCCGCCGCCACACACGATGCACGCGCCACCGCGCGCCGATGCGTGGGCGCAAGAGTACAGATCAAATCAAGGCACGCGCTGGGGCGAGGAGTTTGGCGCGGCGCAAAACAGATGGGCGGACGAGTTTTCACAACAACACGCCAGTGATGTGCAAGCACCGCTTACTGACGTTGCGGCACAAACTGCGAAACAAAGTAGTGAGCTTGCGGCGACGTTGAACGCCGATCCAAAGTTTGCGAATTCTAAATTCGCGCAACTCATGTCCAAACTTGGTAGCGGGCAAGTCGTCGTGAGAGAAGACGGTTTGCAGGAGGTAAACGCGGCACCTCAGGCGCGGCATGTGGACCAAGGTGAGCGATGGGCGGCCGAGTTCATCGAGCAAACACAGCAACCGCAACCTCAATGGGCGGACCAGTTTACAGCGCAGATGCAGCGTCAAAATCCGACGAGCCAAGCGTGGGCGCAGCAATTCTCGCAGCGCGAGATGGAATCGCAAAGGCAGTCAAACGTCGACGATTGGGCAGAAGAGTTCAAGAACGTACCGCGCGAGTGGGCGAGCGAGTTTGAAGATATGCAGCGCAACAACCCAGAATGGATGCAAAACGTTTGGGACGAAATGCAACAAAATCCGCTTTCAGAACGGAGCAACTACAAATTCACCGACCCGAACCCATACCTCGGTCAAAGTGGTTTGCAAGAGAAAACGATGGAATTGGCAAAGACGGGCGTACTCGCCGAAGCTGCCCTCGCCGCTGAGGCGTGGGTGCGTCAAGATCAGAGCAACAGCGAAGCGTGGTACCATCTGGGACGCATCCAAGCGGAAAATGACGATGACCAGCAAGCCATCGCGGCGATGTCAAAAGCGTACGAGGCGAACCCGCAAAATCCAAATGTTCTACTCGCCCTCGCTGTGAGCCACGCGAACGAGCTGGACCAGGATGAAGCCCTCGGCCACGCGTGTGAGTGGCTCGGAAGTCAAGAGCGCTTCAAACACATCGCCGCCGGACAAGCGCCACACACGCCCGAAAACGTCATGGCAATGTTCAGAGAAGCCGCTCGACAAGCACCGAACGACGCTGACGTGCAAACTGTGCTCGGTGTCATGGCGCATTTGACGAGGAATTACGAAGACGCAGTCAACGCCTTTCAACGAGCCGCCAATTTGCGCCCCGACGACCATTCATTGTGGAACAAAATCGGCGCCACGCAGGCGAACGGCGCCGAGAGTGCCGACGCAGTAGGGGCATATCGCCGCGCGCTGACCATCAAACCCAACTACGTTCGCGCGTGGTCAAACATGGGCATCAGTTATGCCAACCAAGGCCGGTACGCCGAGTCGATGCCTTATTACATTCGCGCGTTATCGATGAATCCCAACCCCGAAAGTCCGACCTGGGGCTACGTCCGCATCAGTCTTGGTTGCACCGGACGATTAGATCTCTTAGAACACGTCGACAAGCACGACATCGGCGCTCTTCGACGCGAATTTCCACTCTAGCCAGTTGACGAATCATCAAACACTATACGCCGCAGAACGCGATGCGCGCGCGCGCGTTCCCATGCGCCGTCTTCCTGGCGTTAGCCGCGATGATCCCCATCGTCGCGGCGCGCGCATCTTTCGTCGAGGAGGTCCTCATCGAGCGTTTACGCGACGACGCCGTCGCCTTGGTGTTCACCTTCACCACCACCGAGCATGAGCTCGAACGACACTCCGCCGTCATGGCCAAGCCCCTGCGCGCGGTGCTCGCGAAATCACGCGCAGAAACGCTCGAACTGTGGTTCGGACGCGGGCGTTGGAACGCGCGGCGATGGGGGGCGCCGCCGGTGGTGGCGAAACCGATCGGCGCGGAGGCGCTCGGGACGTGGCGCGCGGACGAGGACGCCGAGCGAGGGTGGCGAGACGCGACGACGGCGCTCGGCGGGACGTTCTGCGCGTCTCTGAGCGCGCTGGGGACGTCTACGGCGGTGACGTCACCGGTGTTGGGATTTAACGCTTGGGATGGGGAGGCGTCGTCGGCGCGACGGGCGAGCGACGCCGCGACGGTGAAGCACGCGAGTTTACCGCAAGAGGCGGTGTGCGTGGAGAACTTAGCGCCGTGGTTGAAGCAGTTGCCTTGTCGCGATAGAGCGGGATTGGCAAAGGCGCTGAAAACTGCGCACGAAGTGTTTAGCGCGAGACATTTGACGTTCGGCGTGAGGTTGTCCAAGGATGGCGACGGTTACACGCGATCCGAGCAAACTTTGATGATGGTGTTGCCAGATGCTAGCGAGTCGTACGCTGAAATTATCGGAACGATCCAGCGAGTGGCGAGTGACGTCTGCGTCGCCGCCGATGGCTCGTACGTTCACGCGCGCGATGGAGATGATATCGCGACTTTCAATTTGTCGTCGTCGGCGGCGTTCGACGCCGACGCTCTCGGAGTCAACCATCGCACGCCCACGCTGTACGTCGAACGGTTCTTGACGGGCACTGGGAATGAGTTCGGTGGTATTGTGATCGATATCGAGCGGCCGGCGCTGGAATCGAGCGCGAACTCGTCGCCGCCCATACGTGCTCGTTTGTTCCAGCCGCTTCCTTGGTTCGTGAAGCTGTACATGCACACGCTTTCTATCGAGCTGGACGGAGTCGCGGTGTCGCGCGAAGTGTTGGATGAAATGCACTTCGTGCCCGCAGAAGATCGCGTGCGTTCTTCATTGCTTGAGTTACAAATGGTGCTTCCAGCGAACGCCTCGATGCTTCGCTTGCGCCTTGATTTCGACAAAGGTTTCCTTCGAGCGCAAGAGTTTCCTCCGGACGCGAACCGTGGGTTCGACTTACCTCCGGCTCGATTCGATGCGTTCCGTGTCATCCACGCCGACACACGTGTGCCTCGTACGCAGCAGGCGAGCGCGTTTCTCGATAAACTTCGAGCATCCTCAGTGGCTCCCGAGACGCTGTACATGAACAGTCTCCTCCTGCTTCTTCCCACGCCAGACTTTTCGATGACGTTCAACGTGGCCGCTATGACGGGAAGCGTGCTGAGTATTTTATTTCTAAGCCTCATGCGCGCGATGACCGCTCGCGAGTCGTGGAAAGATTATAGAAGATAGCGCATAGCGCCCTCAACGGGCACGCGCCCTCGGCGCTTAGAAATACTACCAAATACTATTCCAACCGAATGCTATCGCTACGACACACCCTCGCTCAACCCGTCTTGCGCTTCTTCTTACGCTTCTCGACTGGCGGAAACGCGGTGTGCACCCAAGTGCTGATGACGATGACGATCAAACTCACGACGTGCGCGCGAGGCGGCGCCGCGCCCGCGAAGACGCTCTGAAACACCCCCGTCAGCACCAAACCGCACGTCACGGCGAACCCCTTCGCGATCGAACCTAATCGCTTCGTGATCTCCCCCACCAGTATCCCACCGATCGCGCTCGACAGCACGGGAACGAGCGCCCAAGCCGTCCACGACTCGTACACCGCGCTCAGGCGAAACTCGTCGCCGGCGGCGACGCGCTCCGCGAGCAACACCATCGGCACCCCCGTGATCGCCATCTCCAGCGTCATCATCGCCGGAAGCTTCTCGCTCCCCTGCAGCGCGAACTGACACATCGCTCCCGACAATCCCGACAGCGCAGACGCCACCAACACGCTCGTCGCGCCCGCCGCGCGCGCCGCCGCGCTCGCCGCGCCGCCGCCGCCGCTCGCCGCCGTCTCCCCCCCGAACAGATTCACCGCCGCCGCGAGCGTCCCCACCAGCGCCAAGCACTGCGCTCGGCTCTGCCGCGCCCCTCCCAGCCACAGAAACGCCGCCGCGCTCGCGAGCTTCGTCTGGTTCAGGCAGTTGAACGTCACGCCGTCCAGCGCGCGCGCGCCCCTCTGCAGCAGCACGTTCTGCGCCGCGTACACCGCCGCCGGCGCGCCCGACGCGAGCAGCGACCGCGCGGACGCCCGTCGCAGCGCCCCTCGCGTCTCGCGTCGTCGCAGCAGCGCGCACGCGCACAGCGTCGCCTTGGCGATCTCGACGCTCAGCACGAGCGCCGACGCGCGCGCGTTCGCCGCGTAGCGCGCGCGCAGGAACGGCTGCGACGCGTACTGCAGCGCGAGCGCGACGAAGAGCGCGACCCCGCGCGCGTGCGGCCCGCGTCGACGCGCGTCGGCGACGCGCGTCGGCGCCATCGCGCGCGCGAGTGCCGCGACGACGCGACCGAACATCGCGACGCGCGGCGTCGACGCACGACGAGCGCGCGCGCGCGAGACGCGCGAGAGCGCGCGAGGGCGGCGACGCGCGCGACGCGCGCGACGCGAGCGACGCGCGCGCGCGAACGCGGCGACGCCGGTCGACGAGGATGGCGGACGCGTCGTCGCTCCCGCGACGGATCCTCAAGGTGCGGCGGACGCGCGACGAAGGCGACGACGCGAAGGCGACGACGACGACGACGACGAACGAGACGACGACGCGCGACGCGGTGAAATCGGGCGCGACGACGGCGGACCGCGGCGAAGGCGACGCGCGGGAAAACGGCGCGCGCGAGACGGGAGACGGGAAGGCGACGAGACGCGACGACGCGAGAATGACGAAACGACGCGCGCGACGCGCGATGACGACGCAGGAGGCGCAGCGATTGCAGCAGGAACCGATTCCGGGGATCGCGGTGGAGGTGAGCGAGACGAACCTGCGACACTTTTTCGTCGTCGTGGAGGGACCGCGGGGAACGGCGTACGAGGGCGGGAAGTTCAAGTTGGAGCTGTTCTTACCCGCGGATTATCCCATGGCGCCGCCGGAGGTGTTCTTCAGGACGAAAATTTATCACCCGAACACGGATAAGATTGGGCGCATCTGTTTGGACGTGTTGAAGGATAAGTGGTCTCCGGCGCTGCAGATTCGTACGATTTTACTCAGCGTGCAGGCGTTGATGAGCGCGCCGAACCCAGATGACCCTTTGCGAGAGAACGTGGCGGAGCACTGGAAAACGGACGAACACGGAGCGCTGCAAACGGCGCGAGAGTGGACGGCGAAGTACGCCAAGTGAGGACGGGTATTCTTAGCAAAGAGACGCGACCTCGCCTTCGAGGACGCAGTCGCTCTTGACTTCTTCTAGCACTCTTTCAGAGCGCGATGCGATCACGAAATGTTCGGTATTGCAATGATTACTAGATTGTGCGCCGCGCCACGCGACACGATGTGTCTACCACGCTATAAAAAATCACGATTCGTCGTCGCCTTCCGCTTCCGCCTCTGCGACGAGCCGAGCGCGCTCTTGCGCGCGTTTCAATCGCTCCAGCACCACGCTCTCAAAGTCTAGATTCGCGACGCTCGGCGCTCGAGCCGCGGTCGTTTCGCTCGCCGGCGCCGGTGAAACGCCTCCCGACGCCGCGTCGTCCCGTCGCTTCGCCGGTTCCCCCGCGTCGACTTTCGGAGGAATCGCGGCGCGCGCGACGACCAACGGATTACTCGACCGCCCACACGTCGCCCCAGACGCCGTGGCGCACGCGTCGCCGTCTGCAAACACGACGAGCGCGCTGCCTTTCTTCTTCTTCCCCTCGCGAATCACGACGTCCTCGATGCGACCAAAGGTTTCAAAAATCTCCCGCAGCTCCTTGGCCGAGTACGCGTCGTCGTCCGCGTCGCCGTCGCGTCGCCACACCACCTTGAGCGCTCGATACAAGTGCTCCGGCACCGTCGACGTCGTCGCCGCCGTCCCCACGCCATCGCCATCTCGCGCCTTCCCCCCCCGCGTCGCTTCCTCGCGTCGACGCCGCAAACGCTCCAACTCGCCTCGCAACCGCTCTCGCGCCGCGCGCTCCGCCCCCACCTCCCCCGCGCTCGCCGCCTTCCGCTCCCGCGCCTCCAGATCCTCTAAATCTCGTTTTCTCTTCGCTCCGTGCGCCGCGTGCGCGCGCGCTCGCGCCGCTTTCGCGCGCAGGAAATCATCCAACGCGCGTCGCGCGTCGACGTCGAGCAGCGCGTCGCTCGCGCGTCGCAGCGCGTCAAACTCCTTCTCCGCCCGCTCGCGCTCCGACGCCGGCCGCTTATCGGGGTGGCATTTCAGCGCGAGTTTTCGGAACGCCTGCGAGTTTTCGCGCGCGTCGTCGTCGTCGTCGTCGTCGTCAGTCGTCGTTTCGAATGCGAATGCGAATGCGAAATCGTCGAGTCGCGCGCGTCGCGTCGCCCCGCGCGTCGCGCGTCGCGCGCGTCGCGCGCTCGACGCACCTTTTTAATCGTCGCCTCGCTCGGCGCGTCCTCGAACGCCAGTCCCAGCGCGGCGTACGCGTTCTCGTCGACGTCCGCCATGACGCACCGCGCGTCGCGATCTCGCGCGCGCCGCACACCGCGCCGCGCGCCTCGCTCGAGCCGTCGAGCGCCGAGACGCGCGCGCGCGCTCGATGTCCGCGTCGCTGACGCAGCGCGCCGGCGCGTTCGCGCGCGCGCGCGGACGGATAAGCGCCGAGGGTTGTCCCGGCGAGACGCGTCGCGCGCGCGTCGTCGCGCGCGTCTCGTGCGCGGCGAAACCGGCGCCGCGAGGCGAGTACTACGCGGGAAAGGGCAAGTACATCAAGGACGACCGAGGGCTGGTGAGCAAGACGGGTCGAGACGACGCGTTCACCGGCGGGTTCGCGGGCGGGGAGAGAGGCTTGTGGTCGTACCGGGACGAATTGGCGGCGACGAACGCGGCCAAGGCGCTGGAGAAGGCGAAGGCGAAGCGGCGCGAAACGAGGGAAGTGCGGCTGCAGAAGGACTTCGGGGGAATGGCGGGAGGATTCCCGGGAGGAGAGATCGGGGTGAAGTCGTTCAACGCGACGGGGGAGGTGCCGGCGGCGAAACCGCCGACGCTGGGATGGGGGCCGCCGGCGCTGGGAACGGTGGCGGTCGTCGCTGGGTACACGTATTACACCACGGGAGAGTTGAGCCAAGAGGCGCTGGTGAAAGCCGTGGAGACGCTGACGACGAAGGCGAGTGAAATCGATCCTTCGGCGGTGGCGCAGGACGCGGGCGCGGTGGCGAGCGCGTTGGGACTCGTCGCCGGCGCGTTGGGACAAGTCGTGAATCTGCTTCCGGAAGAAGTCAAAGACGCCGGCTCGCACGCCGCGTTCGTCGCGTTCATGATTTTGTTCGGCGGCGTCATGTTGCGAATTCTCGTGGGCGAAGTTGTCTCCGTCGTCGGCAAGTACTTCAAGGTGACCGCGCTGGCGCTCGTCAGTGGCACCATTGCGCTCAAGCTTTTACACATTCTTTAAACGTTTACAAATCGACGATGAATGAATTCATTCTTTACACGTTTACACAATCTTAAACGTTACAAACATTGTTTCACAACCATCGAACACCATAGCTAATCACGAGCGCGCCGATTTCCGTGACATTTTTAACGTCAATGAATGAATTTTACTTTTTACCGCGCTGGCCTCGTTTGGATTCCTTGAGATCTTCAGGGCTCAAAATGAATGTCCCTCTCGTGTCCTCGTCCGAGCTGTAAGCGTACTGCTGAGCCGCTGTCTCTTCGTCCGAATCCATGGCGAGCGCGGAGAACCCAGAGCGTACGACGTTGACTTCGTCGTCATCCGACTCGTCGTCGGTTAAGTTGTCTTCTTCGATTTGGACGACATCCGCCTTCGAACGCATCACAGGCGCGCCGGTCGGCGGCGGAATCGCGTACGGAATCTTGCCGTCGTAAACCATGCTCAGAATGACTTGCCCCGCGCGTTGGACGTCGACGCCGCGCGTTTTCACGAATCCTCGCATCTTGCCATACGCTTGACACAGCGAGAGCGGCGACCACGGCAATTCGTCGTTTGTCAAATCTTCGTTGTTCAGCAACTCGAGCGTCTCAGGATCGAACTCCTTCGATGGTCGAACTTTCAGCACGCTCGTAATAGGCGCGGCGAGCGATGCCGCGAGCTTACCATCACTTGACCCACTGAACTTGCGCTGAATCGCTTGCCACCGCTCCGCACCGACGAGCTTTGCTTCGGCGATCCAACGAATAGCGCTGAATGGCTCGCGGACGACTGGAAGAGGAATGAGATTGCCGATGATTTGCTCCGCGGGAGAAATATCGATGCGGGGAAATACTAGGCCAGGAGAATCGCACAAGCACGTGTGATCGTCCAAAATGAGCGTCTGCAATGTCTTCGTGTGTCCCGGCGTCGCCTTCACGCTCACCGCTTTACGTCGAAGAATAGAGTTTACCATCGAAGACTTACCCACGTTGGGGTGCCCGACGAGTCCTATCATTATTCGGCCTTCAGCTTTCACTCGTTCTGCTTCCTCGCGCTCTTGATTCAACGCCTGCCGCACGTACGCTTCGCCCTCTTCGTCCACCTCTTCTTCTTCTTCCTCTTCTTCCCCTTCTTCTTCGCCGTCGTCGTTTCCATCATGTTCGTCTTCCATCGTGTCTTCCATCGCCGCGTCGAAACGTTTGCCCGAACGCGCGAGCTCTTGACACACGCGCAGTAACGCGTCGCGTCCGATGGGAATACTCGATTGACGGTGCATGCGCACTGACGCGTTGTCTCGCTCCTCGTGATTTTTGTCCTTGCGATCCCAAAACCGTTCGTCCTCGGGTGCTTCGTCGCGGGAAGAAAAACCGACAACTGCGTCGATTCCCGGCAAAGACGCCATAAGATGTGCAGCCCATTCATCGATCGCACGCATCGGTACCGCATCCGTCTTGTTTAACACCACGACGAGAGGTTTGCACAATCGCCGCGTCACGTGCGCATACAACGCTGGCGGCAAATGCAACATCGGATTCCTCGCGTCGACGACCACCACAGCCACATCTGAGCGCTCTAACACCCGCCACAACTGTCTCCAAACCTCTATGTTTTGCTCAAACGCGGGTGCGTACCCCCCAGCCTCGATCATCGCCTCCTTTGCTGATCGCAACCACTTCACGAACGCCTTTCGTTCTCTCGCGTGCAACCGTCCTCTTTTCAATTCATAATCCCATTTCGGCCGCGCCGGCATCAACCTCAACGACCGTGCGTCGTCTTGAAACATGTCCGGCGTTCGTTCGTCGTACCCTCTCGGCTCGCTCATCAACGGTCGTCGGCCGTCTCGAACGCGTCGCTCCACGTCGTAGCTCGCCTCCGCCGCGAGCACCGTCGTCACCCCTCTTCGGTGTGCTCCGCCGCTACCGATCCCGCGCTTCTTCTCGCTCGCCCGCGTCTTCGTCGACTTTAACCCGAGACTCTCGACCGTGAACACGGTCGTCGCCATGCCTCGTCGCGCGTCCACGCGTCCGTCTTCCGCGGCGTGTTCCTCGGCGGCGGCGCGAATGCCGCTCAAAACGTCACCGCGCTCGCGCTTCTGCGCGCTGGCCGCCATGCGGGCGATGTGCGCAGACTTTTTCTTCGGCGCCATGGCGACGATTCGCGCGACGCGACGCGATGCGCGCTGGTGTCTGAAGAAAGTGGATTCTGTTTGTCTGATGCTGCTCACTAGTCGGTGCTTTATTACATACGCCTCGCTGGGTTCACCGTCGGCGATAATAGGTCTAATCAAAGAGCCCGCTGCCCTTGGAGTTATTGCGTGAGATCGGTGTCAACGGCGACATCGGAGTGTGCGACGAGGACGAGGTACGCGGAAGACGATGCTTGGACGGTGTGCGAGACATCGAGAGACGACTCGGCGTCCTGTTGAGTTTGTTGGTCAACTTCTTAAGTAACGCTTCGCCGTCCTTCTTCGTCCGCACGCTGTTGATGTCTTCGATTTCTAGCTCGATCGATGGCACCAACAATTCTTTGCACTCGTCATATCGCTTCGTTTCGTACAGAAGCTTGGCGAGCTCAACGCCGTGAATCAGGCGCTTTGGATTGATTTCAATCGCTCGCCTGAAGTACTCCTCAGCCCGCTCGATCGTCGCCGGTTCGATGGCGCCGTATATTGTCTTGATTAAATACCGCATCAATCCACCGATGTGCGCCATGGTGTGCTCGAATCTGGCCAGCACGTGATAGGCGTAATCGCTCTCGGGCTCGATTTCCAACGCCTTCATTAAATTTCCTTTAATCGAGTGCGTGAGTTCCACCTTTTGCCGCGCGTCGCTGAACATGCTCAACCGCGCGTTCGCCACGGCCAGCGCGATGTAGCACTGTGCGTTCTCAGGTGCGAGTTCGATCGCCTCCGATGCTAAATCAGCGGCTCTCGACGCAAGCTGTCTCGCCTGCGGCTTGTTGTGGAAAATTTCGTGATCAAAGACGCGGTCGCTGAGTTCCTTACTCAAAGAAATCATCACGACCGGATCTTTCGGTCTTAGCTCGAGCGCGCGCTCAAACGCAGCCTGCGACTTCTGGCTATCGCACGCCTTGTCGTACGCCAAACCTTCCTCGATAAGTTTATCAATCACCGCTCTCATCTCCGGCGTCTCACCCGGCTCGGTGCGCACTTGCGACTCGACGCGGCGTAAACTCTCTCTCCCCGCTTGCATCGCGTTCTCCCACGTCTTCAAAGCATTCCAACGAAGCGTCGGGAACTTAAAATCGGTGCTTAACTTGGGGCGTTTCTTTTTCGCTCTCGGCATCTCCCACGAATCATACTCGAACGCGCTCAGCAGCCACTCCGGCACCATTGCCAATCGACTGCCCACGATGAGAGGAATCAAAATCAACTGCCTTGGGATCTCAAACGTGCTCAGCGTCACGTTCAACACGAACGTGAAGAGCTTAAACATCTTAAAGTCGAACACGCTCGAGCGATCGCTCAGAACCCCGACCATGCCTCGCGCCGCCCGACTCGTGAACCGCTTAAAACTTTTCGCCGCCAACTTGGCCGCGTTCCCCGCGCCGCGCGCCGCGCGCGCCCCCGGCACGCTCCTCACCCTCTCGAACGACACCACTCGCCGTTTCGCCGCCGGCGTCACCGCGTCGTGATCACTAAATAAATATTCATCGTCCTCATCCGTTTCGTCCGTCCACTTCGGTTCGCGCGGCGGCGGCGAAGACGTCCCGACCGCGCGTCCCGAGCCGCCGCGGCCGCCGTCGCGCGCGGGCGACCCGAGTCGTTTCGACCGCGGCGCGTTCGGCTGCAAGTTCCACTTTCCGAAGAACCCGGTCACGTCTTCCGCGAACGTCGCGTACACGGGCGTCGTGTCTGTCGTTTCCGCGTCGTTTCCGTCGTCGTCAGTCGTCGTCGTCACACGTTTAATTGCGCGCGAATTCATCGCTCGACGCGTCGCGTTCGTCGCGTTCGTCGCGCGCACCGGCGAGGAACGTTGATTCATCTCTCGTGCGCTCGTTTCCCGACATGCCGACGGCGCGCGCGCGCGCTCGCGTGCGACGCGCGATGACGAGAATGCGCGTCATCGAAAACGTTCACTTTTCCAGAGGTGCTTCAGAACTTGCGAGGCGGCGCGCGGGAACGACGAGGAAGGAACTTTTGTTCTGACACGATCGCGCGGTCAGCCGCTCGCGCGGTCTTTGGCTAGGTCTAAGATTTCTAATTGGACGCCCAAACGCTCGGACGGGTTGGGAGCGGCGGCGGCGGCGGCGCTCGCGCCGTCGGCGGCGACGCGCTTGCGAGCGGTTTCCAAAGCGTCGAGAATGGCGGGGAAGAGCGGACGATTTGTCGGATCTTTTTGAGCACACGCGCGGAAGAGATCAGAGAGGAGGATGGTGAAGTCGTGATCGGCGGCGGGTACGCCCTCGGGTGGAAGTTCGAGCTTGCGTTCGGAGTAACCGACGACGGCGACGATTTGCATCGGGTGTAAATCCATCCACGGTTTTCGCGCCGTGAGAAGTTCCCACAAAACGACGCCGAACGAGTACGAGTCCGCACGTTCGTCGAAGTCTTCAGCACGCAGCATCTCTGGGGCCATCCACTCTGGCGTGCCGTGAAACTCGCTCTTCGCGCTGACTTGTGTCGTTTGGCGCATGCGCGCGAGGCCAAAGTCAGCGATTTTCACGCGCCACTTCTCGTCCACCAAAATATTCGGACTCTTCAGATCCAAATGTAGTATTGGTGGAGATCGCGAATGCAAGTACGACATCCCACGCGCGACTGCGATGGCGACCGCATGGTTCCTCGCCGGTTCTAACACGTTTCCTGACTTTAAAATTGTGTGCAACGATCCACGTCGCATAAACTCCGTGCAAATCAACGGCGGCTCGACGCAATATCCCATGAACAGCAATAAGTTTGGGTGACGTAACTTAGCCAACACCTCAACCTCCCTTTCTAACGTCGTCTTTACCTCGCTCGAGCGCTCTAAAAGCTGCTTCACGGCAACCACGGTCCCTTGCCACGTGCCTCTGAACACCTCGGCAAAACCGCCGACGGCGATGCGCTCCTGCAATCGCACGTCCTCGGGGTCGATCAGAAACTCCGTTTGAAGCGAATCACTCGTTGTTTCATTATCATCGTACCATCCAATAGCGGGTGAAGGCGCGCGAAGCTCGGTCGCACCCCAGCTATCCTCCGGCGTCATGACCGAATACCGCCCCCCGCGTCCCGGCACGAAGTCTCCCGAGTCCAACTCCGAAATCTGCACACCGCCCGCGTTTTGATCGATCCATCCGCTGTTTCCGATCGCAACGATTTTCTGCCCATCGCCTTCGCTCTCTGGAAGCGCCAACGAGCGTCGACCAATACTCGGTAACGATTCTCCAAAGTGCGCTCGAAACGACGTCGTCATCTTTACGTCGAGCGTCTTGTCGTCAATCCTCGTGACGTTCATCAACGGCCCATTCACCGCACTCACGCGCTCTGGCTTCACCGGCATTCTATCTAAGATCGGTCGCAAATAATTTTCATACTCCGTGCTCATCCGTCGACGTCCTCGTCGCGCGGGTTTGTTCGCCGCGGCGGCGTCCTCGCCGTCCCGCAGCGCGTCCCGGACGCGTCCTCTCGCGACATCCGCGTCGTCTCGAACCCGCGCGCGAGCGATGCCCCACAATTTACTCCCGCTACGCGCGGGCGAGCTCGGCGCGCGAACGGCATCGGTATCGTCTCGCGAGACGTCCTCACGAACGTCAACGAAAGATGACGAAGCCGAAGCGTCGGCGCGGGGCGAGGACGACGCCGGCACCGCGGGCGCGCGCACCATCGCGTCGCCGACGTCGCCGCGCTCGAGTGGCATGTAACACGCGACTCGAGACTTCGCGACGGCGACGGGTGGACGGCGCCGCGCGCGTGGAAGTACGGTTCAGTGGCGCGCCGCGCGGGAGCGCTCGCGCGAGCTAGTCGTCGAGCTCGTCAGGGGCACGATTTCGTGATTAATTTACATGAGATGACGCGTCGCGCGATGCTATGCGTGCCTACGCATTCGACGACAGCCAGTCGTTGAGCGTGGTGAACTCGCCTTTGTAATCGATCGCCTGGTGAAGGCTTAAAATTTTGACGATGCGCGCGGGCCACTTTTTGTCAAACATTTGCTTTTGCACCGGCTCGTTGTTCATGGCGAGCGCGAGAGCGCAGCCGCAGAAGACGCGCGCGACTTCACTGTTTTGTTTGGCGTACGATTTGCAGTCCAGGATGTGGCGGATGATGCCGTCAGCGACGAGGGCGTTTTGCAGCGTCGCATCGTAACCAGAGGCACGCATGAGCTGCCAAAGCGTTCCCAAGATCATTCCTTGAAAACTGGGAATGTGTGGAACGAGTTTAACCACGGCCAAGATGCAGCGACCGAAGAGCCCACCGGCGAGATGGCGCCTAAGAACTTCCGAGCGCTTCATGCGTCGACTGGAGACGAGATTATGAACAAGTTCCATAGCCTCCCACGGCGCGTTGTCCTCCGTTATACGTTCTTCGCCCAAGCTCGCCCATTCCACCATCGCCATTAGAGCGTTTGGAAGCGCTGCACAACGCGCCGAGACGATAAGACCAAACGTCGACGACCGCGTGATTTTGTTCAACGCGGCGAAGCACTTGCGTCTGACCGCATCCTCAGGATGCCTCGCCGAAAGTTTCGACAAGACGATGATGGCGTTGCGTCGAGCACGGTATTTGAGCAAAAAGTTGAACCGCTTCGAAATCGCGATGGGAACCTCGGAGACGTCCTCTAAGCGGGCCACGAGGGCAGCCGGCGCGTCGTTCGATAAGTCTCGGTATTTCGTGATTATCGATAGTTCTTCTTCCGCTTTAAGGTGTTCGTCGTTCCTCACAAAAAAGTCAGAAAGCAGCCCGCAGTATTCCTTGGCGTCTGCCATGGCGCGCTTGCTTTGGAGTGCGTACTTTTTACCCATGTTCGCCTTCTCAAACGTGATTATGCGTTTGGCCATGCTGTCTAATTCGTTCTCGGCCGTCTCCAAACGTACTGCAGCTGAAGTAGCCCTATTCGTCATCTGACTGACTTCGGCTTTCTTGACTTCGACATCCGCCGCTTCGAGCCTCTTTATGACGTCACTGCGCTCCTTCATTCGCTCCTCCAACTCCGCAAGGCGCACTTTGAGTGCCTCCTCCTCATCAAATCTATGTGATTTCGCTTTCGCTTCCTCTTCAGCGAGACGCTCCTTGAGTTCGGCTTCTTCACGCACCAGGCGCTCTCGCTCCGCTTGTCGTTCACGCTCCAGCTCTGCTTGTTTCAGGGCCGCTTCTCGCTTGATCCGTTCAGCTTCTTCCTTCAAACGAGCCTCTTCCGCCGCGAGGCGAGCTTTCGCTTGAGCACGTTCTTGTTCTAGTATATTGGTGGCTCTCTTTCGTTCTTCTTCCAATTGCGTCTTTGCTTGAGCCTCTGCTTCCGTGAGGCGAGCCATTTCTTCTTGACGCGCTTGCTCTCGCTCCGCCGCTTCACGTTCAGCTTTGGCGGCTTCTTCTCGCACCTTTGCCGCTTCGCTCATGAGTCTCTCGCGCTCCTCATCAGCGCGCACCTCTTGCTCGATTCGCCTCGCAAGCTCTTCGTTTTGTCGTTTAATGTTTTCGGCCTCTTCATGTTTTTTGGCCATCTGCGCCCGTGCGCTCACGACGTTTTCGTAAGACGCATCTCGAAGAAATTGCAGAATAAAAGGCGATACAACGACGATTACGCCGTACAAGCGCTTGCATAGCCAAGATAGATAGTGCGCGATCGAACCAGGAACGTCGCCCGCGCGCTTAAAGCTCTCAATGAGGTCCTTGACGAAGACTTCAATCTTTTCCTTGGGCGTCTTCGCCGCTTGGGCTTTCGAGAATGCGCCGACGACTCGACTCTCGTCCTTTGCGTCTTCATCCATGAAAGGGACAACTTCGCGAATAAACTGCCCAACGTTCTTTTGAGCCTTCTTATCGACTACCCCAATCGCCATGTAACACGCAGTGAGCGTTCCGACCAATTTCAGACTGGCCGAAGAAAATAGAGTGTGCAGCGTAAAAGTCACCGTCGCCGAAACAAATCGAATGGCGAAGGCGACGACGCGAAGGACGGCGAGGACCGCCTTCAACGCAAAACGCAGCGTCGCTTTCACGAAGTTGATGAACCGCCGCACTAGGGAGACATTCTTCTTTGCGGACGTCGCCTTCGCGCGAGCCGCCGCCGCTGCCGCCTTAAGATGCGCGGGTAAGTTGTCGCCTTCTCCGCACATGCCGCTCGCGGTGATTGTCGCCGCGTGGCAACAGTTACCGACTGTATCTTCTCGCATACCGCTGAAGCACTTGCCATCGCAGCCGATGGCGGCGTTGTTACCGCCGCAAACCGCACATTTGTCGAGAAGTGCTTTGCCACCGCACATGCCGTTGCAGTCGGTTCGCAAGCCGCTATCGCACACGCCGTCGCAGCCGACGACGCCCGCGCCGACGCATCGCTCGTACTGCTTTTTGCCGCAGTGATTTACGCGCACTCTGAAACCGCTACCGCATTGCATGCTGCACTTGGTCCAATCCCCCCACGCGCTGGCTCGACATCTATCACCGTACGTACGCTTCACGATGGGCCGCACGGGCTCGTCTAGCGCGTCGAAGAGCTCGGGGTAGGCGCAAAACTCGTACGCGGGACGAATAAAGGCGTCATACAGTGCCCTCGGCCACTTGAACGGGTTCAAGAATATTCGCATCGGTCGCCTGATCACCGAAAGCAAACGCGCGTCGAGCACCGTCGCAAGATTTTGCTCCAGGTTAAACGTCATGTCCTCGAAGAAATCCATCGTACCCGTGAAGAATGTCTGATACAACGGCTCGAGACCGTCGAGGACGAAATCGTACAGCGGCAAAAGCGTGAAATCGACGACGGGCGTCGACGCGAACATCACCAACCACACCATATTCCTCACCGACGACGTCGCCGTCGAGCTCACAATGGCCACCGCGTCCACGATCGCGCCAAGCCCCAGGCGTTCGAGCGCGGGCACGAGTAATCGCACGCTTCCTCGCGCCAAACGCGCGCTTTGCGAGACGGCGCCGACCGCCGCCCCCGCGGCCGCGTTGAACGAACCTCGAATCGCGTACCGCGTCACGTGTCGCCACCGCGTCGCGACTGCGCTCGTTCTCTGTGCGTTCGCTCCGTACCCAAAGGCCGCGCCGTGCGTCGCGTTATACCTCGCCACCGTCGCCGGGTCGACGCCGCCCGCCAACATCATCCCCTCCGGGCTCAGATCCAATCGCCGTCCCCGAAACGCGCTCGCCGTCGCGTTATACCCGACGACGACGACGAGCAACATCGCGTACACCTGCGTCATGCTCCACAGCGCGCCACCGCGCGTCATCGCCACGCCGCGCGCGCGTCGCGCGTCCGTCGCATCCGCGCGGTCATCGACGACGGCCAGCGCGCGCGTCGCCGCGCCCGCGTCGCCGCCGTCGCCCGATCGCGCGTCGATCGTCGCGAACACCGAGACGTCCATGACGACCGCGCGCGTCCGGTCGCGCGCGCGTCGCGCTGTGTCGCGCTGTGTCGCGTCGCTCGATCGGTCGAGCGTTACCGTTTAGTGTAACACTAATAGTGTTGGACGCGCGACCGCGACGCGTCGCGGTCGCGGCGCGGCGCGGCTGGGACGAACGCGGGCTGGGATTCTACGGCTAAGGCTACGGCTACGGCTGCGCGTCGTCGCCGTCGTCGTCGTCGACGAAGTTTTCGCGCGCGCGCGCGGCGTCGCGCTCGGGTCGGTCGGCGGTGAGGACGAGACGGGCGGTGTTGGCGCACGCGACGGCGACGACGGCGGCGCCGACGGCGAGAACGGGCTTGGGGACGGTGTAGAACAGTTCGGGGTTCATGATTCTGAAGAGAAGCGTGCTGCCTGGGCGAGGAGGGCGAGAGCCATGATCGGACATCGAAACCGCGCTCGCGCGAGCGCGAGCGGCGGTGTGCGGCACGAGGGACGCGGGACGGAGTGGTTGTTCGAGAAAGCGACGAGTGACTCGCTTTGAATAACAGACACGCGGTCATACATCGCGTAATTCGTGTAGCTAAGACTACGACGCACGGGCGTCGTCGCGGCGTTCGTCAACCGCTGCGCGTTTGTGCTTCCTTTTTCTTTGACTTGAAGCTCACCGATCTCAAACGATCGAAAAACCCGTGCTTGCCCTCTTGTTCGCGCGGAACGTCGACGTGCTTTAGCAACGAGATGATTTGCTCGAAACCAGGGCGGGCGTTGGGGTCGACGAGCCAGCAGTACTGCATCACTTGCGCGATGACGGCGTGGCACGACGGAGCAATCGTCGGTCGCAACCCGCGCTGCACGACGCCGACAGCGGCTTGTAAGGGGGTGTAGCCGGGATAAGGTACTTCGCCGCCACTCACGAGCTCCCAAACCATGATACCGTACGAGTACACGTCAGCTTTCTCGTTATAGAATTGATGCGCGATGACTTCGGGCGCCATCCATCGGTAAGTGCCGGTTTCCGCCGTCATGGTTGACCCATCCGTGGGCTGGATGCGCGCGACGCCAAAGTCTGCGATCTTCACCGCGTTATTTTCATCCAAAAGTAAGTTCGCCGTCTTGATGTCGCGATGGATGATGTTAATCTTGTGCAAGTAATCCAAACCCATGGCGACTCCTAGAGAATACCGAATGAGCTCGGGAAGCTTGAGCGCGTGCTCTTGCACGTACTGCAGAAGGTTCCCACCGTGCATGAATTCGGTGACTAGACACATCGTTTTTTGCTTTGTCAACGCTCCGATGAGCTGTATGATGTTCTTGTGATGAACACGTCGCAAAATGTTGAGCTCTTGCGCGAATTCGCGCAACGTCTCGGCCCCCGAGCCCTCCGCGGCGTTGCTCTTCAGGACTTTGATGGCCACCTCTTGGCCGCAGTAGCTCCCCCTATACAAAAGCCCAAACGCTCCACTAGCGATCTTTTCGTTAAACACGAGCTGTTTTTCAGTGAGTTCCCATTCGCCGCCGTCTATGGAGATGGAATCTGAGTTTGACCTATCGCCAGAGGGGTTCGACATCCTGCCCTCAGATCCTTGACTGGAGGTGATCGCGTTCGTTCCTTTCGAAGATGCCGGTAAATCGCTAAAGTCCGCGGCATCTAATGCTGTCTGTACGGCTGATTGCACCGAGGCCGCGTCTCCTTGTCGCCAACCCGTGACTATGAAAATATCCAACGCGTAACCATCGTCGGTGCAAAAAACGTGCGCTTCGGCAATGTTCAACCCAACGTCGAATAAAACGGCGGACACGCGCGAGAGTAAACGTGGTTTGTTCCCCGCGCTCACCGCGATCTCGTACATCCCCACCTGTCGAGGATCCGCCGTACTGCCGAGCATCGTCAACGTCAAGCTCGAACCAAACGTCGGCGCGCGCAAATTGGGTCTCGTCGACCCGCTGTGTGATCCCCCGTACCCACTTCCATGACGTAGAATATCCACGCCGCGCGAGTTATGATCCATCGACGTCGAATCGTCGGCATCCATGGCGTCGACGACCTCTGCATTCTTTCTCGACACGTCGACCTCGCGACACGTGCACCATACCCCCGACCTCCGCCCCCCCGTCCCTTCGCGATCATCCGTCGCCGCCTTATCCAGAATATCCGCGTGCGCGAGAATATCCTCAAGATAGTTCACGTCCAGCGAGTACTGCCTCGGCAATCGCGTCAGATGTCGCTCCACCCGCGCCCTCGTCGTCGCGTCCCCCGAGCTCCGCGTAACCTCTTCGATCTGCGAACTAAACTCCGCCAACGCTCGTCGCGCGACTTCCTCCTTCGACTCTCTCTGCCGACTCATCGTCTTCGACGCTCGCGTCCGACGCGCGTCCACTCGCGCGCGCGCGCGTCCGCTCGCGCGTCACGCCGTCGCTCGTTCGATTCTCCGCGTCCGTCCGTTCGGCGTCCTTTCGTCGCGATTCCACCGCGCGTCGCCGCTTTTTCGCGTCGACGCCGTCGCGCGTCCGCGCGGACGCTTCGGGCGCTCGCGCGCGTCGATCCGCGCGCGCGCGAACGCGTCGCTCGACGCGCGCGCGAGGTCCGCGCCGCGCACTCGCGCGACCGACCCTTCGCGCGGCGCCGCGGCGGCGACGGTCCGTGTGTGTATTATGAGAAATCCACTCGCGACGGGTCGTGACTCGTCGAGCGCGAGGATGACGCGTCGGCCTCGATTCGGGAATTCAATTCCGAAGGCGCGCGCGCGGCAGTGTTCGGCGCCGTCGACGCGAGCGCGAGCGCGAGCGCGAGCGCGAGCGAACGCACGCGCGCGCGCACCGCGAGCGAACGCGAACGACGCGAACGAGACCGCGCGGACGGTCGTCCCACGGAACGAATCGCGATTGCGATTGCGAATCAACGAACGTTCGAATCGCGTCGCGTTCGCGCGCGTGAGACCGGCGCGGAGGCGATCGAGGCGCGATGAGCGCGCGACCGACGACGCCGATCGGACGCGAGGATTGGGCGAGGACGACGAAGGGGTCGGATGAGACGTTGGCGTCGATGCGGAGCGATAAATTTGAATGGTTGGCGAGTACGTGCGGTTGAACGCGGCGGGCGAGGCGAGGCGAGGCGAGCGAAGGCGAGGCGAACGCGCGCGAATCGGAACGCGCGCGATGACCGCGATTGACGATGATTGACGATGGTGCGATGATCGCTCGCGCGCGCGCAGAGTGCCGATTCGGCGGCGAAGGGTGCGAACTTCCGCCGACGGACGGTAAGACGAGGACGGGGGCCAAGAACGGGGAGGCGAACGGGAAATCAGTGAATTTCTTCAAAGGGATGCTTTTGGGGGTCGATACCAGACAAAGTCGGGATGATTTCATAAATCGGCCGCGCGAGGCGAGAGAGAGGCGCTCGCCGTCGCCAAGGCCGAAGAGAGAGAAGCCCAAGCCCAAGGCAGCGCCGCCGCCGCCGCCGCCGCCGCCGCCGCCGCCGCCGGCAAAAGAAGATTCCGCAAGCGCCATCTCTCGACTGTTGGATGGGTTAACGAATGGGTCTGACGTGCACGATGAACCCGAGTTGAGCACGAGTCCGCTCATTAAACGCGTCGATAACCCCATGGGGGTGAGTTTTCGTGTTGAACCGCTTGCCCTGCTCGAAGCATGGCGAGGCACAGACGGCGGAGTCAAGACTGTCGATGATAGTTGGCGCGTTCGAGCGTTACGTGCAGAAGAAGCGCTTCGTGCAGAGCGCAATGATTGTGGCGACTGTCACAAGCGACGCGCGACCGCAGAAGCCGCGCTCGAGGAGCACACGCGCTGGCTCGGCGAGGAGCGTTCGGCGAAGGCCGCGCTCGAGCAAGAGTTGAACGACCTCAAGGCACATATGGAAAAGAAGATTCAAGAACTGACTGCAAACGCGGAGAAGGATCGAGTAAAGGCAAAGCGCTCTCTCGAGGCTGCTATTGAGGCCGCGAATCGAGTGACTAAGCAAAATGCGCTCGACGAACGCCGCAAGCGCGATCAACTCGACGACTTGAACGCCAAGTTGAAGAAGGACATCATCGAGCTCGAGAAAATCAACGCGAACGCGCAGGAGCGCATTTCGAAGCTTGAAATCGAGTTAAAGAGCTCGTATGACATCAAGTCGTCGATTAACATCTCTATATCAACCAACGAGGCCTTCGCGAAGTTGGAAGATGACAAACACAAACTTGAAATCGAAAACGCTGCTCTCAAGAAGAGCCTCGATGGCAAGTCCGAAGAAGTCGATCGCCTGAAGGATGAACTCAATGCTTTAAGAGTGCGGATCAACGCTGTGACGGGCGAGCGCGACAGCGCGACGAAAGAACTTCAAACCACTTCGAAGAAGCTCACCTCAGAAATCAAGCTTCTAACGAAGGAGTTGGAGCAGTCGCAGAGCACGACGACGGTGATTGAGCGCAAGTTGAAGGAGAGCATTGAGTCGCACGTACGCGAGACGACCATTATTCGCACGAAGATCACGCAGAGTGAAAAGTCGCGCAAGCGAGATCGCACTAAGTTTGACACGGATCGGACGAATCTACGCGCCGAGATTTCGCGACTGATGCGTCTCTTGTCCAAAGCGGAATCGCGCGAAGAAAGTGTCCGAGGCCGCAAGCATTTGATAGAGGAAGAACTTCAAGTTTGCCGTGCGAAAATCCGTGACTTGATGACAAGCGACCGTCACACACTTCACTACAATTCCAATCAGGGTGTGCCGGACGTTGAACGAACGTTGATCGAGCGGAGAACCGGATTGACGTTCGCGCACTTAACTTCGCGAATGCAAAACTTTGCGCTCAAGACGCGCATGCTTGAGTATTTGGACACCATAGAAAAGTTACGGAAGGATGAAGTTGAGTCTCAAGTGCAGCTCAAGTCAAAAGAGGAGTTACAAAGCCGCGACAACGAGCGAAACGCCGCGTTGATCGATGAGTTACGTAAGGAAATCGCGACTCTTCGAGATGCGTCGGAGAAACTCGACGCTGATCACTCGGCGGCTCAACAGGCGCACAGCGCGCACGTCATCAAGTCGAATACTATCATTGCGCAACTGCGACAGCAGATCTCCGACGGTGAGGCTGCGCTCCAAGAGTTGAAACACTCCAGCACTGAGGCATTCAAATCCGCACAAGCGTCGATGGAGAGTCAGAAGCAAGCCGCTGCGGACTCTTTGGGGTTGCTCGAATCGTCACTAAAGAGTAAAGATGCAGAAATCCTCGAATTGAAAACGGATCACGCGTCGTACATTCGTGACCTTCGTAGCCGAGACGAGAAGATCGATAGTCTTAGCGATCAAATCACGGGCATTGAACGCGAACTCGAGTCGAGAACAGCCGAGTTATCCGACCGTCGCGCCGCGCTCGGTGTTGCAAAATGGCGCGCGTCCATTCGCGGAACAAGCCTCAAGAACGCGTACGACGCTCTACTCGTAAAGCTCACTAACACAGAGACTGAATTGAAGACTGTCTGCGAGCTTCGTGAGAAGGATCAGCGACGAGTTCAAGCGCTTGAGAACGAAATTGCCAAAAAATATCCGGTACGTGCAACCGATGGCGAGACAGCCGCGGTGCCGTCGATGAGCGAGGCGGATCAATTGAAAATGGCTCAGCTTGAGAAGCAGTGTAAGCAGTTGCGTGCGAAGAATGAAGAAGATGTCGCCAAGTACAGACGACTTCTGCGCGAAAAGGACAAGGAATTCACATTGGTGAAGCAGAACGAGGCCGCTAAGCTGCGTGAAGCCTACAACATCATCAACACGCAATCCGTGGATCTGAGCAGGCTCGATATTAAGAGCAAGCAGCTTGAAGTTGCGGTATCCGAATCCACCAAGTCGACTTTGATGGCCGAGCAGCACAAGGTCTCAGTTACCAAATCGATTCGTGAGGTTACGCAGCGCTGCCAGATTCTTGAAGAGAAGCACATCAAGATTCAACATGTCGAATCGATGCGGCCAGTGGAGACGCGCGCCGCTGATGTGAGCGCGCAGCAGCTTCAGGCTCAAATCGCCGAACTCAGACTTCAGCTTGATTTTAAGACGAGTGAGAGCGACGCCAGGGATAGACAACTTCGCGGAAGTCACGCAGCGAACGTCAAGGAATGGCAGCAAAAGGTTGAATTTTTGCAGAATGATTTGCTTAACATGACGGCATCGCGCGACAGTGCTAAGTCTGAATTACTGGCACTTGCTGACGAATTGAGCGTTCTCAAGCATCAGTACAACGTCAATGCAGAATTCTCGGCGACCAGAGAGCGAGACATGGCTCAAGCGAACGACACGTTGCGTAGTTCACTGGATTCAGCCGTGAAAGGTACAGAATCGATCAACAGAAGATATTTGTCTCTGCAAGACAAAGCCGAAGCAACAAACGCCGAACTCACGAAGCGCAATGATGAACTGCGAGCGATTATTGCGAAGCTCAGGGGAGATCACGCGGAATGCTTGGATGTTCGAGACAAGCGCATTGTGACCCTCGAAGGAATGTTGCAGGAGTATCAATCCTCATTGCACGAAACAAAGACGAGGTATTCCCGCGACCTCGAGGGCGAAGTTGCACGCCTTCAAAGCAGGCTGACCTCGGAACAGGCTGCGCACGCTTCAGCGATCGCGAACGGAAGGAGTGAACGGGCAAGATTGCGATGGGCCGCGATGTATAGCAAATCACGAATCATTCAAAAGCACGCCAGATTTTACGCTGTTTCAAAGGACTTCTCCAGATCCATGAAGGAGGAATATAGGCAGCACGCTGCCGCGGCGACGGCAACGATACGGTCCCTTGACAAGACGATCAAAAGGCTTGAAAAGGACCTCAGCGATATGATGGCAAGTAAAGAATCGCTGGCGGAAAGTGTTGTCGAGTTAGAAAAGCGTCTTGCAGAAGGCGACAGCGAGCATCGATCGAAGCTGGCCACGCTTCGTTGGTCTCACTTTGCGCGCTTCCTTACATTCAAGGCTCGGCATAATCGATTCTTCCAGAATTCGAAACAGTTTGCGGCAGCATTGAAGAACGAAGTCCGTGAGAGTGACAAGACGATCAAAAGGCTTGAAAAGGACCTCAGCGATATGATGGCAAGTAAAGAATCGCTGGCGGAAAGTGTTGTCGAGTTAGAAAAGCGTCTTGCAGAAGGCGACAGCGAGCATCGATCGAAGCTGGCCACGCTTCGTTGGTCTCACTTTGCGCGCTTCCTTACATTCAAGGCTCGGCATAATCGATTCTTCCAGAATTCGAAACAGTTTGCGGCAGCATTGAAGAACGAAGTCCGTGAGAGTGACGCATTCAAATTCAATAATGAACTTGCGTTGGCCGCCCGCGATAATCGTATTCAAGCGCTTGAAAAGATGGTGAGTGAGTATCAGGAATCTCTGCACGAAACAAAAACGCGGTATTCCCGTGAACTTGAAGGCGAAATTTCAACTTTGCGAGAGCGTATCGATGTCTTGCAGAGTGAACTCGCGACGAGCCGCTGGACTGCATTGTGCTCGCTCCTTCGCACGCGTAAGCGACACCTTCGATTCCTGAATACTTCAAAGGACTTTGCCAAGTCAATGAAGACTGAATATCGGCTTCACGCCGAGGGCACGACAAAAACAGTTCGCTCGCTTGGTGACACAATAGCAGCGCTAAAGAAGGAGCTCGCTGATATGGTAAGCAAGAACAAGTCGCTCGAAGGTACTATAGCAAAGTCGAAGACGGACCTGAAGGAAATGCATAAGCAATCCAAGCAATTTGAGACGCAAATCGAACAGATGCAAGGCGAAATGTTCCAGACCGACGGCGCTATGAAGGCGCGCGACGAGCGCATTGGGGTGCTCGAAGGTATGGTCGAAAGTTATCAGAACTCGTTACACGAAACGAAGACGGCATATTCTCGCTCCCTCGAGCAGGAAATCAAAGACATCCGAGACGCGTGGAAAGCGGAAGCGGAAGCTCACGTAGCCTCGAAGAGGGATCGTGTCCGTATTCGCTGGTCGATGTTGGCCAACGAGCTTCGTCTAAGAAATCGTGGCATCCGATTTACGCACACAGCTCGCGACTTTGTCAAGTCGATGAGGACTGAATACCGTCTTCACGCGGAGGCATCGACAAAGACGGTTCGTTCGCTCGGTGACACGGTTGCGGCGCTAAAGAATGACCTGGAAGGAAGTAAAAAGAGCAAATCAAAGGTTGACGAAGAGCTCAAGATGTTGCGAAAGCGACGCGATGACAATTTGAACGTCATGAAGAAGCAGTTTGAAGAAGCGGAAAAGAATCGGGCCTCAATTGAAAAGCAAAGCGAGCGAACGATCAACTCTCTGAACGACGAAATTCGTAATCTTAAGAAGCAACTCGAAAATGAAGTCGCAAAGAATCTGGGGATAAAGAAGGCGTCGGAAGCTCGAATTGAGGAGCTTCAACAGCTCATCGCCTCCTTGGAGGATGGCATGAAAGAACTCCAGTCGAGCGCGGAATCAACAAAAGCGCGACTCTCCTCAGAAGAGTCGCGATTGAGATCGGAGTGCGCGACGCTCCGTAACCGCCTCGACGAAACGAGTTCACTTTATGCCGGGCTCCAGGAGACATCATCCGCGAAGCTCGCGGCGGCAAGATGGAGACTACTCCTTACGAATGTCAAACAGCGAGATCGTCATGACAGGTTCTTCGATACCTCAAAGGACTTCACTCGTGGCATGAGAGCTGATCATAAACTCTACGTAGAGTTCACTCAGCGCACGATTACGTCGTTGAATGAATCCAACGCCAAACTGAAGCAACGCGCTGACGACGCCGCGAAGAAGGAAGAAGCGCATCAAGACGAAATCACTACGTTAAAGGGTAAGATGGCTTCGGATGAGTCGCAAGCGCGGATGAAAGTCAAAGATTTGGAGGAGAAACTCTCCGAGAGTGGTAAACTCGCGAAGCAACTGAACAGGGATCTCGACACGCTGGACAAGGATTCGAAAAAGCGGTATGACGAAGCTGTGAAGGTTTCCAGAAGAGAAGCGGATGCCTTGCGAGAAACGATACGTGATCTCGAGAAAAAACTCGACAATGCCAATAGGTCAGCTCGAAAGACGGATGAAAAGAACAAGTCCGAGGTTGAAAAATTGCGCGCGAAATTTGAATCGTTGAAGAAGAAGGACGTCGATCAGCGCCGTATTACTGAATTGGAAGCGCTCGTCAAGCGCCTCGAAGCTTCCATCGACGAGCACGAAAAACTTCTCACTGCTGCGCGTCACACGCACAAGGATGAAATTGAGGAGAAGGAAGCCCGTATCAATGAACTTGAGCTCGAACGCCA